ATCATTAATATGGCGTGCCGCGAAGGGCGTAAGCAAGTGGATCATACGTCTGTGGATGACGGAGGATGGAGCCTTGAGCGGACATATCGGAAGTCTGGACGTTTCAAATTGTCCCGGATGGGTGTGGCTTTCATCGGATATTCCGACACTCACACCGCATTGAACTCATCTAAAAGCAATTCTATTGAGAAGGTTGTTTTCTCCAACAGTATTCAATGAACTGGTCCTCCATTGTCAAAACCATGGCGATGGGAAATAGGAAGGGAATGACCGTGCCAGAATAAGAGACAAACGGCCAGCGATATCGGACCGGATGCAGTAGCTAAAGTATTAGCTCGTGCTTTGTCCAAGAGTCTAGAAACTTGGATGGGTTCTTGTTGTTGTTCCCCTTTGGGATCTTAACAGATGGTTTCGCTGCTGCTCCTGCTCCTGTTGCCTCCGGGATGGACAAGTGGGATAATGATGTGTACTTACCATCAACAGAGACCAATAAGGAAGCCGAATATTCAAGTCCTCGACTGAGCGATTCTTGTGAAATCTCCAAGTCGATAATTGTAGACCGAGCATTCGCCGTACCCATGCGAAATGATGGATGGGGCCAAGTGGATGCTCCTGCCTCATGTAAAAGCCCTCAGTCGTCTGCACTCACCTCAGAATCCTTTTTCTAAACCAGAAAGTTCGTAATATAAGACGTCTGTTGGATTCCTGATGAAACGCCAAAGAGATGGCTGGTGGGATGAAAGTGATTGATGATATGAGTATCTACGAAAGATGGGTAAGGTGCAGATGACCTCCAACAACAAACAAACCTTTGCATGTCTCGAATGTCTGAGGCACCTCAAAACCACTAGTATTCCTTATTTTGTCTTATGGTGGAAGTCTTTTAATAAGATAGGGAGATGTAATTGAAACCATGCAGAAAAGTTCATTCGGATAAAAGTATGTACATTTTACACCGGTCCACAGCCAGGGTTCTTGACACCATGATGATCTCTTTCCATCCTCGTTGAGCAGTTGGGAAGATATCCATCACTCCGGCTATTTCAGACATCCAAATCACTCGTTCAATTTATCAGGTCTTCTTTGATCGGGTGTTGGCCTCTTAGCACTAGTATTCCGCATTCCACCAACCCAAAGTAGCTCCCGGTCTCGGTCTCTCTTCTCTGCTAATCACAAGCCAAAAAGTATCAGTACAAGGTCTCAATCGGAAGTGTTCAAAATGGTATCACTAACTTGCGACGATAATCCAATCCACCAGCTTCATCTTCCCCTCCCTCCTCCTCAAGGGATCAATGAGCGTCCGCGACAGAGATAATTCGAAATCAATTCAACAATGTATGACTGACCTATAACGATTAGTCAACGTCAACCCCCTCCAGATCCCTAGAAGTATTAGCAGTCACTCAGCCCTTTGAGTCATTTGGAACCACTGGCCTTTCTTCATGAACAGAAGGAATTATTTCCAGGCCCTTCCCAACCACCCAACCACAGGGCCCTGGAAGAAAGCTGCAGGGGTTAGTTCTACGAGGTCCCAGGCCCGACCCCAACCGATCCGACCATGCGGTCCTGGGAATCAAACCATGCGAGATGGAGATGAGTGAGGTAGTTAGCAAAAGAACTCATCAACGTAGCAGGATTGTCCGCTAACCTTGCTACGCGACTAGTATAATTATCTAAGGCCCAACCCAACCGCCCATCCACAGGACCCTGGGTTATGACAGACCGTGTGTCGTCGGGCTGAGGCCTAGCCTCAGGCCCCTATCAGTTCCTAGGGCTATTCCCTCGTTTGTATACATTCTGTTCCTCTTCCTCGCCCCATACCGCCTTCTTGCGCAGGGCTTTTGAGCTTGTTTGCTCTCCTTGGGATTCTAGCAGGATAGGTGACGCCTAGGTGTGCTCAGGCCACCCTTCCTGTTAGCCTTCTCCGGTCCGTTCAGCCTCCTCTAGAGCTTCTAGGCCCCTTTCATTGTCTCTCTCTGCTCTGTGTTGGTCCTTCTGGTGCTGTTCTCCGGAAAGAGCCACGTCCGTATTAGCTATAAAGTCCAGTAGGGCTTTAGTAGCTTTAGGCTCCCTAAAGAGCCTGCTTTCCGGGTAAGATTCTTGTACGGAAGGCCTTGCTATTTCCGCTCTATCTAGAGCTGTATATAGTACCTCTCGTTACCGTCGCCATTGCCTGCAGCTGATTGGTATATAAGAGACTGTCTCCCTAAGAGCTTGGCAGTTTTGGCAGGTCGCTCTTTCCCGAGATTTAATGCGGTATAGGTATGATCCGATAGCTGCATGTTCTATCTTTATCTAGAAGTATCGGCTAGCTAGGCCCTTAGTAGCTGTTGCTGCTATAGGATCTAGTTGCCAGCCTCTTCCAGGCTTATAGGTTTTCTGAGTCGATTGTGATCTCCGGCTCAGACTATTTTTTAGCTGGTGTTATCTGTTTGCTCTCAACACCTCTGTACAGGTCCTACGAATAAATGCTAGTGAGATCTCTCTGCAGTCTGGTCTCGGTATTTGTACTGCAGCTTATTTTGCTGCTTAATCTGCTCTTTCGTTTCCTTCTATGCTTGCATGTCCTGAGACCCAATGAATTATCGGATTTTGGCCTCTAGATAGCAGGTCCTGAGCGGCTGTGCGTATGTAGGCAGCTATTGCCTGACCTGGTCCAGGTCTTGCGTATTGTAGCCTGCTTATAGCTGCTTGGGAGTCAAGTAGTATGGTAATTGGTCCTTGGTTTCCCATCTTTCTCACTAGCTGTAGTCCCTGGTAGACTCCCAGAAGCTCTGTATCGAAGACTTCATATCCTTTTCCTATTGGTCATCTTTTTGTCTTTTAGCAACCTTGCTGGGTTTGCCATGCTATTCCAGCTCCTGTTTCCCCATCTTCTAGTCTAGATCCATCTGTCCAGATAGTCTGAGCTGCCCGGGCTGCCTTTAGTGCTTCCTCTGTAGGCTTGATGATAATCTGCCCTGGAAAGCTGTTCTCTGAGATCTGTATTGAGGTTTCACAACCTCCTGATGGGTCCACTGGTAGGATCTTATTTAGCTGGCGTGCTAGATGTTAACCTAGTGACCAAGGTCCCCGGTTTGATTCCGCCCAATTTCGGTCCTCTTCAGGCTGTTCGTTAGGCTGTATGTGCTGATCCCCTTCTCTAAAGCTAACCGGAAGAATTTGTCTTGCTGGATGGTTCTCTGGTAGACCTAGTAGCCGGATAGTATATCCTAGCTGTCTCGATTCTAGTAAAAATTCAGCTGGTGTTAGGCCCGCCTCCCGTATAAGGGGGCCGATAGGGTTAGTTCTGAGCATTCCCGTGATTTCTCGAGCTTGTCGATTGAGCAGTTGTTGTACCCCTTCTAGCCGGTCTTTCTAGCCCTACTACCAGAGCTCTACCCCATATAGAGCTACTGACTGCACTGCGGCTACCTGGATCCTGCGTACTAGGCCTGGGGGCAGGCCCTGTCTGCGGCATAGAGACTGTACCCCGGCCTCTGCTGTGCGGGCCTTCCGTAGGCATGTATTATAGTGGACTTTTAGGGTGAGGCCTGCATCCAGCCATAACTCTAGCCATCGGGTGGCTTCTTGGTTGAATGAGACCTAGTGCCCATCGACCACTATACGGGCTCGCTGAGTCTGGGCCCTAAGTTCCTGGCCTCGTTTTCGGGTGAAGAGGACCGCCTTTGTTTCTCTGCATCGAACTGGACTTTATTCATCTGGCCCCAGCTGATTGCTATCTCTGCAGCTTGCTGTAGCTTTTCGCGCGTTTCTTTCACTGAACACCCTGGGGCTAGGAGACCTATATCATCCGCAAATGATAAGGCCTGGACCCCCGGTACTGCTGTCTCTATAACCTTAAAGACCCCGCTGAGTCCATTAACGTAGCAGGGTAGCCCACTAACCTTGCTGCCCTGACAATGTCATTATCCCAGGCCCGACCCAATCACCCAACCACAGGGCCCTGGGTTAGTCTACGGGGTTAGTAGGTGAGCAAAAGTCCCAGGCCCGACCCCAACCAGCCCGACCATGCGGTCCTGGGACTCATCCACAGAATATGGGATGGATGGGGTTGTAACAGTCGCAGCGAATTGAAAGCAAGGTCAGAGATCGAACGAGGAGCTAAAAGTAGAGGAGAGAGAGAAAATGAGAGACGATTGTTACAACTCACCGAACGCAGATGAGACACGAGCTCACATCCAGCCCAGGTGATCATAGAAGATCAGTGGGAAAGAGAGACGAAATGAGTCACAGCATACACAAAACGTCATCCAGCGGACTATATGAAGAAAGCCGATGAAGTGGATGAGATGAAGAAATGTAACAGGTTGAAGCAGAGATAGAAACAGCAGGATAGACGGAGAGGGAGAGGGAGAGTGAGGAGATGAGATTTTATGTGGGAGAAGTGAAGGGGGAGGTTGGAAGGGAAGCTTCCCTTAACCATGAACAGTGAATGACGGTTGCCTTCATCACGAGATTATCCAACAGAAAATCAGTTCTACGTCTATGGAGTCATCTCTTCGTAATCCGAGTAGGAAGTTCACAATAATAGATTCCGATTTGGTTGAACTATTCACTATGTATAAATGTATCACAAGAAGGAATAAGGAAATAGAAGTGAGAAAAAGGAAAAGAAAAGAAAAAATGAAACCCAGCAAAGTCCTAAGCAATAGCATGAAACATCGTGAAGGTGATCTCTCATCCTCATTTCTTCTTCTTTTTTTAAAGCCTTGAACAAACCCCAGAAAGAAAAGGAAACAGAACTTGAATCGAAATTGGTATAAACCTCGTCAGATAACATATTGAGAGATACATGCCGTCGGTTTCTATGGTTGATCATCGCGCAGTTTGTTTGGCCAAAGTCATGTCCAGCCCAAATCTGCTTTTCCTCATGTAACTTTTTCTCGTTTGTGACTCGCCCATCACAAGATTTCTTATCATCGCATGCATGGTAAGAGAACGGAGCGTATCCGGAGTAAATCGTAAATGATCGAAAGACGCAGGGTTTATGATGCGCTTTAGACGGTGTACTTGGCCTTGGCCCGTGTGCTGCCGCTGTGGGCACTGTCCGTGTGTCCGGAGAACTCGACGACATCGCTTGCATTGAGGCGGAGAACCTCCTTGAACCGTCTTCCAATCGACTCCAGGACCTCCTTGCCCTGAGCAGGTGTGCGGGTACCGGCCTTGTCGCCAGGAAGGCTCTTGCCGACGGTTCGCGTCCACAGACCGACACGGTAGAAACCCTTACGCACGTTCACCACGACGCCCATAACCTCGCTGTCGCCATCGCCCTCCAGGGTCTCGCCGATAGCGGCCAGCTGGGCGTGAAGCCACAGCTCATCGATCGGGACGGAGCGCTTGTCCTTGAATGAGTACGACCATTTGCCGCCGTGCTTGTTCTGGGGGTCTTCCCACTCGGGTCGGATTCCCTTCTTGAAGAGGTGGTAGTCGGCCTTGAGGCCCAATTCGGAGGTTGGCGTGATGTTGTTCTAGCAGGGAGACTGGTCAGCCAAATCTAAGGTGATGAAGGACAGATGATCAAGGTCATACGTAGATGCCCCAGAATTCTTCGACGGAGTTGAAGGTGACGACCTCCTTCAGAAGGTCGTTCCAGTTGTCGCCCTAGAAAGGAAATATTAGCAACCCTGCTGATGATTCGTCACGTCGATAACGCACCTTGCCACTGGGAGGCTTCGTGAACCAGAGAGTCCAGTCGTGCATCAGGGGATGCTTCACGTTGAAGTTGTCGGCATCGTGGAACACCGTGACCGAATCTCCGTTGGCCTTTTCGGTCTGTTCGGTGGGTGCGGTGTTCTCGTTGTTCACCGGTAGGGGAGGGTTTTCAGCGACGGCGGCCATTTTGAATGTGAAATTCGAGTGAGATGAAGGATTCTTTCGAGCGACCGAGATGACGTGGGGGAGACTGCGGTGATAGGAAGACCGAGTGGATTATCGGAGAGGCGAAGAAAAAAGTCTTGGTGGGAGCGGCAAATTCTGAGCGAAAATCGACCCTCGGCGAGGAAGGAGCAACCTAGGGGATGAAGGCTGAGGAAGAGCAAGGAATGCGGAAGGTTATGACGGAGGCAGGTATCTGCTCCAGGCAGAATCACGACGAGATGCGGTGACGGAGGTTTCAGAGGATTCTGCGGCGAGAGACAATCTGAAGTTTTGAAGCGTTTGGAGCCGCCGCGAGCTGGATGGGCGACCAAACCTTTCCCGATCGGGCCGCCGCCTTCTGGTCCGTTCCAAGCCCTAACGAGGAGTATACGAAGTATGAGTGGGTGTTTGGAACAATCTGACCACCAGATTATGTGGGATTGAAAATATCTATCGACTAAATTGATAATGTCACAGTTGTTTCTCCCGAAAAGCGAAAATAGAAAAAAGAAAAGAAATTTACCTCAGACTACCACAACCCCGGCATTCACCGCAAACAAAACTCCGGCAAAGAGAATAAAAATTGAATATTGAGAAGTATAGAAGAAATAACAGACAACACCAGAGATCCTCCACCAGCTCTATATAGTTCCGAATATCTATATTTAATCGAAAATGTCTAAACGCGGAAAGCGCCAGATGATGTCCAGGAGAAAGGAAAAAGGAAGCACAGCGGAAAGACCTCTATGACCCCAGAAGAAATCGAAAACAGATGCCGGCGTTTGCCAGTTGTACAACCAAGGGTATCACTAAACGCAGGTCTTGAACAAACAAGAGAGAAGGCAGACTATTGATCGTCGCTGGTGATCATACTAAGAAGGCAGTTCCAGCCTATCGACTTGTCAGCATACTTCAGTAAACCAACGGTTCAAGATACGTACCCAAGCTGACCACATTGACGACCAGTACCCGGAATTCAATCGGAACAAAGGCAAAGTTGACTCCCTGAACCAGAGGCCAGACGGACAGGTTGGCCTTGTATGTGGGAAGGAAGGCGTTGCGCCACTTCTCGACGGGATCGGTTCCTTCCATGATGGCCAGAGAAGACAGCAAGCAGGACAGGTTGATGGGCGTGAAGATGGCTTGGTCGGCAACGACGCGGGCAACGATGGTGCTCTTAGTGCCTTTAAGAACGACGTGACGCTGGAGGAAGCCGAACCATGTCGTGGCGGCGGGACCGAAGATAGCTATGAAGAGTCAATGGACGTCCAGTAACTTTGAGGACAACCAAACAAGATTGAAATGACAGGATGATGTTCTTACCTCCACCATAGATCGCCAAACGGGCTGTCCGGGCTAGATCGTGCTTCTCCCAGCCCTTGCGATCGACAGCCTGTTGAGCGAGGACATCTCCGCTACCAAAGAGAATCTAGACCGAATAAGTATGAAGATCGTCGTGCAAGTTGAGGAACGAGAGGAACCGTACAAAGCTGGTAGCACTGGCGGTGAGAATGGGCGACTTAGCCAGTTTTGCCTGGTACCTGATAACCGTGACGTTAGCTTGGAGCATCAAGACATGGGGGTGACGATCGGGAAAAGAGTAGGATAGACGCACCAACGCAACATCTTGACGAGAATTGAAGAGTAAAAGGTGTTCAATTGATACAACCAAAGACAATTGATGCGACTGGAACCAGAGCAACGGCAGCAGAGTGGTGGAGGGAGGAAGGGAATGACAGAGGCGTTCGATGGCAAGGAACCAGGACAGAATGATATAAGAGAACGGAGACTCCCCCAGACCGCCGATAAGAAGGGACGAACCCCAAACAAGCAAAGGCGCGACCGCCGACCGCCACGCGGGCCACTCATTGGCGGCCGCCGTCACATGACGTGGGTCCCTGCACGCGGGTTGCAGCGTTGCCCAAAGGGGAGAGCCGCCTAGGGTATAGGGCTCAACCTCGCTTAGCGCACCCGCCGGCGAAATTTCGCTCCCCCAAACAGTTGTGGATAGCGAGCGAAAAAGTCAACCTCGACGTCGACAACCCTCAACGAACACCCCTCCCGTTCAACTCCCCCCCAAATCGCCATATAGATCAACATGGCTGACGCCGCTCCCCGTGGACGTGGAGGATTTGGCTCGCGCGGTGACCGTGGTGGTGACCGTGGCCGTGGCCGTGGTCGCCGTGGTCGTCGCGGAGGCGCGAAGGAGGAGAAGGAATGGCAGCCCGTCACCAAGCTCGGCCGTCTCGTCAAGGCCGGCAAGATCACCAGCATGGAGCAGATCTACCTGCACTCTCTGCCCGTCAAGGAGTACCAGATTGTGGACTTCTTCCTCCCCAAGCTGAAGGATGAGGTTATGAAGGTACGGAAACGATATTCTTTGAGACAGCGACGGATATGAATTGGAGGACAGAATGCGCATTGCACATGTGGAATCAACCGGAATTTCGATACATTGGGAGGAAGGAAAATTCGACATGGAATTCGCAGGGCGTTGAAAGACAGGACTTGAATGACGCAGTTGCTGACGGCATTTCTTCAAAACTACAGATCAAACCCGTCCAGAAGCAGACCCGTGCCGGTCAGCGTACCCGTTTCAAGGCCGTCGTTGTCATCGGTGACTCCGAGGGTCACATCGGTCTCGGTATCAAGACCTCCAAGGAAGTCGCGACCGCCATCCGTGCCGCCATCACCATCGCCAAGCTGGCTGTCCTCCCCGTCCGTAGAGGTTACTGGGGTACCAACCTTGGTGAGCCTCACTCTCTGCCCGTCAAGCAGAGTGCCAAGTGTGGTTCCGTCTCCGTCCGTGTACGTTACGATTCCCTGTGTCCATGAGTTGGTGGGGAAGACAGCAACTAATTCTACTAGCTTATCCCCGCTCCCCGTGGTACCGGCCTGGTTGCCTCCCCCGCCGTCAAGCGTCTACTCCAGCTTGCTGGTGTCCAGGACGCCTACACCTCGTCGTCCGGTTCGACCAAGACCCTTGAGAACACCCTCAAGGCCACTTTCGTTGCCGTCGTCAACACCTACGGCTTCCTTACTCCCAACCTGTGGAAGGAGACCAAGCTCATCCGCAGCCCTCTGGAGGAGTTCGGTGACGTTCTGCGTCAGGGCAAGAAGTACTAAAAAATAGTGCAGTGATGGGAATAAATTTGCATGATTGTTTTTGAAATCGAACCATTTTCCTACGGGGTTTTCTTTTACCTTTTTTCCTCTTCACATTTGGCTGTAGGATCGGCAAGGCTCCAGCGCACTCGACAATTAACGCTTTTACGGTATATGGTGTCTACGGTTGTAATATTCGAGAGAGAAGCACGATTTAATTAGCGTCAAGTCAATATACTTCCTCTCGCCAGTCTTTCTTCGCCTGCAACGCGACATCAAATGCGTCTACTACCCTACACCGTAGGCAGTGCATATTGAATGTACTCCGTAGAACCGTCAGTCGCAGTCAACGATAACATACGTACCTCTCATGGCCATAATCCATGGAACGCGCTGCGTAGCTTCCGTCTACTTCAACTCTTTTGCTGTGACGTTATCGAGCGTTCCAACCCACCAGTCACAGTCCAGGCTGCATAATAGGTCCCTATCCACTCAGCCCTTCATTCGACAGCTTGAATCAACCGGAGAATAAGATGATTAAATCCAAGGTCCAAGGATCGTTAACTCCGTCATCCGCACGGGCAACTGTGGGTCTGCTGATATGCGGCGCACGGAGCACATCGATGATCGTGGCCAATGAATTGTAGTAGATTCATCAGTATGATTTTATTGTATTGTATTGAACACGGTGTGGTGGTGGACGAAACGCTTTTTTGTGTTAATGACTAGAAAAGGTGATTATATTGGAGGACTCTACGTATTTCTGCAAAGGTTTTTTTTGAGTGATTGTTCTCTTGAACCTTGTAGTACTTATTCTCTGCGAAGGATACTCGAATATATATATTTACTCGGGATCGGAAGATAAGGTCCTTCTAGATTCTCGCCCCTCCCCCCACAGTAAACCATATTCATGTCGCTGGCTTTGTCTGGTACTCGTTATTTGATTCTGATCTCATGTAACTTGCAAATGAACAAAAAATGCCAATGTACATAATTTAATGCAACGCTCCAAGTCACCTGGCAGCCCGAAGTAGAAGGAACCTAAAAATCTTGCAGGGCCATCCTTCAGACTAACCGGAAAGGGATAGAGCTCAGCTGCCCGGATTGGGTGGGGATACGCGCCCTCCCCCCGTCTACCTCCAGTAAGGTAGGTAGAATGTAGATTCCTCATCCCGGTCAAGCATGCACTTCCCCTTTCTCCGCATCGTCATCCGTGCCATCTGGACGGCTGAAAACCGGGCTATCTTCCCTCCATAATGACTCGACTCGATCGGACGATTTTTATCCTCCACACCGCGTGTCCTCGCAACCTATGATATGATCCTATACTCACTCTTCCTGGGCCTCCTGGCCCTATACATCGTTGGCTATGTCCGGCGCCTAGTCACATATACTCGTCGTATTCGACCGCTCAAGCTCCCATACATAGTGGCTCTATTCTCCGACTCCGATCTCCCCGTGATCATCCTGTACGGATCGAACTCGGTCCGCTATGCCATCAACCACTGGCTCCCCGGGTGGTTATCCGACCGACTGAACGAAGCGAAAATCATCAGCCGCTGGTCGGCCAAGGATCGCATGGCGAAGAGACTGGGCGGGGTGTTCTTCAGAGTCACCCCCAAAGGCCCCGTTGGCAATGTGTCCGATGCGTCGGTTACGTCTCAGATCTTCGGTAATCGGGGTGATTTTCCGAAGCCGACGCAGCAGTATGGTTGGTTTAATGTCCTGGGTGCTTGGTTGGTATGTAGATTTGAATGCTGATTGAGAAGGTCTTTTGGAATTGTACGGTCCGAATATCGTCACGGTAATTTTCAGCTCCACGATCAGATACTATCTAGGACTGAACTAAGGAATACAGGTTGAGGGTAAGGAGTGGCAGCATCACCGTCGCCACACGGCCACCACGTTCAATGAGAAGAACAACGCTCTGGTGTGGAAAGAGGCGATTCACCAAACCACTCAAATGATCGAACATTGGCAGGAGACTTCACCAACCGCGACCGAAAGAGACTTCCTGGTCGAGAGAACCAGAGAAGATGGTCTCAAACTGACCTTGAATATCCTATCGGGGGCGGGTTTCGGAGTCCCGATCCCCTTTAAACCAGTGCAACAAGGCCGGGGCAGCGACTCGGAAGATATCTTCAAAGATTCCAGCACTCCGCCAGCAGGCTTCGACTACACATTCAGCGCCGCCATAGCGTATGTGAGCATAAAAATTATCACCGTCATCCTGGCGTACAAGATGATTCCTCGACGGCTCCCACGCCAGCTTGTTCCGTCGTTCCTCCGAGAAAAGATAGCAGCATACCGGGATCTCGACGCGTATCTGCATAAGCTGGTTGTCAAGTCGAAAGCCAGCGTGCAACACTCAGACGAGAACGCGGGAAACCTGGTCCACGGCATGCTTCTGTCTCAGATGCGTGGGGATCAGGACGGGGGCGATAAAGGCCTGACCGATGTAGAGATCATGGGAAACATGTTTATCTTCGCCATCGCTGGACACGAAACAACCGCGACGACCTTCAGATACGCCCTTCTGCTTTTGGCGCTCCACCAAGACGTCCAGGACTGGCTTTACGAAGGCGTCTTGGAAGCTACGCGTGACGAGCCCGTCGAAGTCAGCGATTGGGATCATGACCGATTGTTCCCTAAACTTATCACTCCTTTATGCGTCATGGTACGTCAGGCCCTATATTGACCCGAAATAGGGACATAAACTAACGAGTGACTACAGCTGGAAACTCTCCGTCTCTACCCCCCTGTCATAACCATCCCCAAATGGACCGGCTACTCACCCAGCACCATCACCTACCACGGCCAAGACTACATCATTCCGCCCAAAACCAACATCAACATCAACGTCAACGTCCTCCACCTATCCGAAGAATACTGGGGGCCCGACGCCAAGCACTTCCACCCCCAACGATGGGACGCCTCGAACCAGGACAGCTTTCTGGCAAAGAACGCCGACACGCCGGGTCTGGTCGCTGCCGGGCTAGAGCTCCCAACCATCCATCGACCAGTTCGCGGCGCGTACGTCCCATTCAGCGACGGCGTGCGGGCCTGTCTCGGGAAGAAATTCGCCCAGGTGGAATTTGTAGCCGCGCTGGCTGTGATCGTCAAGCAGTTTCGGGTGGAGCTGGCGGAGGATAGTGTGGAGTTTCGGCGGAATGCCGAGAGGGTGCTGGAAGGGGGGATTTCGGTCTTGACGTTGGGGATGGAAGAGAATGTTCCACTGCGGCTTTGTAGGAGGTAGACTCTGCGGGTAATGATCATTAATGAAATTTGACATTTGTTATCAGGTAGTGTGGAGTGTTTTTGCCTTTGTTTGATGGCCTGTTTGTGTCTTTCATTTACCCGTTTTCTTGCTCGCTAGGACATTGTGTAGCAATCTTGTCTTAAATATTATTTGATGCAGACGTGCGTTCTTTGAAGGAACATAGTAGATTACAGGGGGACTTTTAGAACTCTAGATAGGTGCCAGGTCTGGTCTTTGAAAAGCTTTTTAGACTCATCAAGAGATAGATCTGGTAAACTCACTGAATGAATGGTTGATATACTATATCTTGCTGTACCATGACACATCCGTGATATCTTGTTTGTTCTAAGACTGTTATTTGCAATAAAGAGAAGAATTCACTCCTACAAATTACCGGAAACTATGTAGGTTCATTTACGCCAAAACTGTGTTCTACTTTAGTTCTATCATGCTTGAGAGGAAGACTCCGATAATGCATCCCTCAAACTACTCTACAGAAGAGACCAACATCACAGTTCCCACAGTATAGTGCAGCCATAAATACAAGCAATCAACTAGATTTGCCTTGTTGTCAAAGCCATTCACCGATGGAAGTGATTTGTCTCTCCCTCTCTTTCAAAGAAAGTGAATAGTGGCACTCCATCCTTCGCTTCACATTTCTTTGCTTGCCTTCTCAACACCTCTCACTTTCCCCAATCCGCATTCTCCCTCTTCCCTCAACCCGTTACGATCCTTTACGCTCCCCTCACGTTTTCCCACCCTCTTCGCGATGCCGACAAACGAGCTCAAGATGGAGGAATACCCTGCACACTGGAAAGCCACCCTCATGGGAGAAGCGTTCTGGAAAGACGCTGAAGAGTTCAACCAGCCCATCAGTGACAGTATCGACGCAAGTGAGTCTCCTTCCCCCCACCTCATCTCCCCTCCCTCTTCCCAATACTGACCCTCTCCCCTCCTCATCCATCATCATCTCTAGATTCCCACCCTCCCCTCTCCAGATTCCCCTTCAACATCGGATCCGAACAGCCACCCAGCTCCCACCATCATTCTCACCAGCAAGACCAACCCTCCCAAACCCCAGAAGAATCTGAAAAGCTCCGCAGACGCTTCAGCACCAGCGACGCCCTCCGCTCCTTCGCATCCAGAGCATCAAGCCCGTTCCCTGCTCCGTCGCGCGGGTTCGATCTGCGTCGTGGCCGTTCTCAATCCCGTCCACCTTCCCCGTCTACTCCGCGTCGATCAAACTCGATTCTGCGCTCCACGTTCAACATGCTGAGCAACAAGGCCTCAGAGTCTGCGTCTGTGGACCCCTTCTCCTCGGAGACTAGCAAGCGTGCTCGTATCCCTGCTAACCAGGCGACTCCTACCCATCCGTTGCTGCACTTCCGCGGCGGAGATACCTGGGAGGCGCTGGATAAGGGAAGACGCAGCCTGGGTCTGGACGTGCTTTTGCCCGTGGACGTGCTGAAAGAAGAAGCAGTCACCGCCGCCGGCGCAGCGAAGGCGCATAAACCCAAGAACGCCTCAGGCGAACCATCGCCGGAATCCGAACAAGAGACATCCGACTCCTCGCACATTGTGCAGCGCGCCGAGTTCGAGGTCCTGCCATGCAAAGAACTCGAGCCCCTGAGCCAGTTCCGTAAGCTGCGCGTTCTGAAGATCACGGGCATGATGCAGTCATATCAGAAGGAGATCTGGCAGGTGGCTTGGCTGAACGTCGAGTTGGAGGAGCTGGAGATGGGAATGGCTTTGAAGCCGCGGATTCGGCATCCTTATGTCGAGCATTGGCCGTATATCAAGGGTGGTTGGATGATGAGTAAGGATGTTTATGGGGAGCCTATTTACTTGTGAGTCCTTTCCCTCCATTTATTTCTGTTCATGTCATACATATCGTCGCTTGGTTCGGATTCCCATCGAACCACACAACCCCATCCTAAGCCAACGATCTTTCACAGCCAAACTAACCAACCCCCCCAGTGGCACCGAAATGTCCACCGGGATCCTCCACCGCAAAGTCGGCTGCGGCGAATATCTCGACAAAACCCTCATGGAAAAAGCCAAGATCTGCGCGCTCGCAATCGGCTGCAGCCGCCAACGTCTCTCCATAAAAACCCTCCGCCTAACCGGGTTCGTCGTAGACGCCGACCCCTTCCTGCACTGGTTCGACCCGAAGCGTCTCAAGACGATCGATTTCAAAGACTACTGCGTCGACGCGGGGTTCTATCTCTCGATGCCGATGGCGAAGGTCGAGGTGTTGTTTCCGCGCGAGATCGACAACAATACGAAGGCTGTGGTGGGTCGTAAGACGACTATGTACAAGGATTTGAAGGTGATTCGGATCGAGGGGGGCAAGAAGGTGGGTGAGATTCCGTATCGGGGGCCGGATAGTTTGAAGGCGGAGATTCCGAGGAATTTGGTCCCTGGGGGAAGGAAGGGGGTGGTTGAGGAGATTGAGACTGACTGATTGACTGGCGGACTGTCTGACTGTCTGACTGGGTTTGGTCATGTTGATTGAGTGTTTTTCTTAACAGTGAGCAAAAGTACGGAGGGTTGAGATTCTCATTCTGAGCATGGAATCTGAAGTCATGGATCTTAGGGAACACTGATAGCAGGGAGTTTGCATTGGGTTTGCATGGTTACTGGCTGGGTGGTTTTCTTGCGCGTGGAGTTCAGGTTCAGCGAGTTCTTGTACGGTGTTTATGAGGAGGCGAAAAGGTATGGCGTTTCATGGTACTGGTCGGGGTAGGATGGATGACTGCCTGTTTAGACCAAAAAAATGTATGGATCTGGGAACATACGAAGACTTGTCAAGTAGTTTGAATCTATCAAAATTCAGACTCAACAACCCTGAAGAAAAACACTAGATATGTAGAATCCTTAGCAACGAGTTGGATGAGATCGGCAATCCATTGACTGTTAGCAATCCTGCTACTATCCAACTTGTGGCTCAGTGTTCTTGGAATAGCTGTGGTATAGTACCTGATATGGCGATGTTGGGTCTACAGTCAGTAGAGGTTTTCAGCGGAAAGCAGCTCAAGTGACCCGAGGTGTTTGATTAGTATATCGAATGGCTTAACAGTCCATAGTCGTCGTACAAGAGTCCCATGGATCCTAGATACGAATGACATGGACAGGTATGTCATCGATCATTCTCAGCCCTAGCAGCCGTACAAAGTAGGTATATTTAGCAGAAGCGGTCAGCAACTACTACTGTATCTCGTAGAACAGAAATAGACAGTCTGCAAGGGATCTACAAAATCTAGTCCGTCCAGTGCACGGAGCACGGAGCACGGAGCATGGAGTATACAGTCGATCTCCCGACCTCCCCGTCCCGATAGACATCCATCGTGGCAATAACCGCATCATCCCACCATCACGCAGTCGGCTGCAGACCGGTGTAACTCGAGGCCAGGGAAAGCCGGCCATGTCTCGCGGGTCAGCGTCGCAGCACGAAAGTCAGGATTCGCGACCGTTAGAATCAGGACGGGGTTGCGTTGTCCGCATTGGCTGCATCCCAGACCCGGTCTTCGATGACGACACCGTCGAGGTCAGCATGACGACTGTCGGTCGTAACGCCGTTAGGCCTTCTTTATAATGAATGCCCCAGATGATCTGCTGTCTGGATTGATCAGAATATCGTGTGAACGTTGGTCACAAGTTCATTTTGTGTTCGTTTCTTCCCGCTCAGTGCAGTTAACGAATCTACGGCTTCATCCTCCATACCTAGTATCTCTTCCATGGCTGTTATCGATATGCTCGAGGCTCTTCAGTCAGAGCCGGTGCCTGTGCCGGCTCCGACTCCTACTGCGCCTGTCTCTCCTATTCCGACCGTCATTCCGGGCGACATTCCTATCCTGCAGGAGATTCACGATGCCGGAAAGCGCACATTATGGTAACATCCCACCTCGTCCCCATACTACAACCTAGAGAACCATCTAACGGTCAACCAGGGTCGTCACCGTTCTCATGGCCCTATCCTCCGTCGTCTTCTACATTCTCGCCGGACGGTCACCCGTAGTACGTCCTCCCCTTGCCCTTCTCTCTCATCCCCTTAACCCAACCCCATCAGAAACCAAGCTAACCACCCAACCAGCCCAAACGCGTCTTCCACACCCTCGTCGCCCTTAGCACGACCATCTCCTTCCTCGTCTACCTCGCCCTTGCCACCGGCGAAGGCATAACTTGGAAACACGACCTGATCCGCCACACGCACAAACACGTCCCCGACACCTCCACAGACTGGTACCGCCAAGTGCTCTGGCTCCGCTACGTGAACTGGTTCCTCACCGAACCCCTCACCCTGATCAACCTCTCCCTCGTCTCGGGTCTCCCCGGCGCGCACCTCCTCGTCGCCGTAGCCGCCGACTTCGCGATGTTGGGATCCGGCCTGTTCGCGACCTACGCGGGCCACACGGCGCGCCGATGGGTTTGGTTCGCGATCAGCGCCATCGCGTACCTGGTCGTTGTGTACCAGGTGGGCGTGAATGGTGGGAAAGCGGCGAGTAGGAAGGATGTGCAGACGAAGAGGTTCTTTGGGGCGATTTCGGGCGTCGCGTTGTTGGTTAAAGCGTTGTATCCGATGTGAGGCCTTCCCCTTCCTTTCCTTCCGTTCCTGCCCTTGCCCTGTTCTTGTCCATTTGTTTCGCTTAACCCCAATTCCACTCTTCATTTAAAGACGAAAGCAAGACTGACAAAAGAAAAACCATAGTGCCCTTGCCGCCGGCGCCCTCGCCTTGAAAATCAACCTCGATTCAGAAAGCATTCTCTTCGCCGTATATGATATCATCTCGCAGGGTATCCTGGGCTACTGGCTTCTGATTGCGCATGATGGTTCGCCTGGAATGTAAGTCCTTTCATCCCCCTTATAAACCGCTACCAGTATCCCTTTGGCTGGCATGCCCCAAGTCTGTCTGTATCTGTGACGTGAATGCGATACTGACTCGATCGCGATGCTCCCTAGAACCCTCTACGTCGACGGCTTCTGGACTAATGGAATTGGTAACGAGGGTGCCATTCGGGTTGGTGATGAGGAGGGTGCTTGATCTAGGATGCCTGACTTGAGTGGTTAGCTTTGGTGGTTATGATGTAGTTGAGTTGCATTGAGTTGAGTTGGGTCGGGAGTGGGGAAGTATGAGAGTCGTGATGTTATGAGGCGTGATGTGGTATGATAATATGACGTCATAGGTCGATCGGTCGACTAGCCGATCTTGGGTTAAAACAGATTGGAAGGGAGAGGAAATGTTAGTTGACTAAGGTGCAGGTAGGCAACTAGTTGATTTGTTAAATTGTTATCATTTATTTATCTACTTAATGTCTTATTGTTTGATTTGGTTTTCAGTTAAATTAACTTATATAACTCTTATTAAGGGGGAGGAATCGAATCCTAAAAGCAGAGCTCTGTCTTCTGTTTCTACTTTTTCGGCTAGCCGAGTTCACTAACCCTGAACGATCTATCAAGATACTCAGCACAGTGTGATGGTGGGCGTTTGGGAGATGGGGTTCGAGCGGAGGTTGAGGAGGAGCGTATATGACATGGTAGAAGCTGGGTTTGTATAAATACATATGTATTAAGAGCAAGGTTGTCTAAAGGTGATGTACTATATTACATGAGTTCTGGATCCTTTGTTCAAGATATAACGGCATCCAGTTGCTGAACGACGTCATCGCAGCGACCACACAGGGATTCTTCTTCAGCCACCTGCTCGGGAACGACATAGCGCCAGCACCGCGGACATTTGTCTGCCTGCGGCGTGAAAACATGGACGGTGCCTTTCTGTCCGGTCTGGAGCTCGTACTCCTCGCTGTAGTGCCATTGCGCGTCAACAATAGCGCTGGGTGTGGCCTCCCCAGGAGCTCCCAGGGTCACAGAGGAAACGACAAACTGATCCGGCAGCTCCGCCAGATTACGCTGGAACACGGAATCAGTGACCCCCTCGGGGAGAACGATGTGGACGAAAGACTGCAGCGAGGAACCCATTTCCTTCTTGGCGCGGGCGGTTTCCTGCGCGGTTTTGATGGCGCCGTGCACGGCGACAAGGTCCTGGTAGTCGGTCTCGAGCGTGGGGGTTTGCCATTCCGACTCGGGGACGGCCGCGACGCGTCGCAGAGGGTGTTCGCATTGCGACTTGATGGCTTCCGGCGTGTGCTCCCACGTCTCCTCCACCAGCATCGGGGTGATCGGGGCCAGGATCTCTTGGAGGTAGTGGTAAATGTGGAACAGCGCGGTCTGCGCCGCGCGGCGGCTGGGGCTGTTCTCGCCGTAGGTGTACAGTCGATCCTTGATGGCCTCCATGTAGAAAGCGGAGAATTCCAGATTAGCCCATCGGTTGATGGCGTTCACGGCCTTGTAGAACTCAAAGTTCTCGCAGGCCTTCTGGCTAGCGAGGACCATCTGAGACAGATGCAACAGGGCGACGCGGTCAACATGCTGCAGCTGGTCATACGGAAGGCGGTTTTCTAATCGGAAATCCGAGAGCGCGCCTAGGAGAAGCTTGAAAGTCACACGGTACTTGTGCAGGCTGGTGTTGACCGTCTGAAGAACCTGTTTCCCTATAACCACGTCCCGCGTGTAGTCGCTGCTGGCCGCCCACATGCGGAGTGCGTCCGGGCCCAGCGCGTCGTAGACCGGCCCCTTGCTTTCGGCCTGCTGCTTTCCCTTGCCTTTCCTCGGCTTGAGAGGCGGCAACAGCGTTCCGTCCATAATTGCCTGCGGTTCGATGGTGTTGCCGATGGATTTGCTCATCTTGCGGCCTTCTTCGTCGAGCGTGAACCCGTGGGTGATCAGATGCTTGAACGGCGCTCGAGGGGCCACGTCGGTTTTCCCGGAAGCGAGCTGGTGCGCGGTGAAAGTGAGCAGTCCGGATTGAAACCATCCGCGGTGTTGGTCGGTGCCTTCCAGGTAGACGTCCGAGGGGTATCCGTTGCTGTAAGGCGTGTCGATCTCCGCCCAGCTGGTGCCGCTATCGAACCAGACATCCATCGTGTCGGTTCCGCGACGATAGCCGGGTCCAGACGCATCGTGCAAGAACGGTGGGATCCAGGCCAAGTCGTCTGCATCGTCGGTCCACCAAGCGTCGACCCCTCGCTGCTCGATCACAGTCATGATATGGGAGACGGTGTCCTTGGTGAGGACCGCCTCGCCCGTGCCTTGATGGTAGAGCGCAGGAATCGGCACGCCCCAAGCACGCTGACGCGAGATACACCACTCACTCCGGTTTTTGACGAAGTTTTCCAAGCGCTGTCGGCCAGAGGCGGGTACGAAGTTGACATCATCCAGCGCCTTCACGGCGCTGCTGCGGATGTCAGCGACATCGGCGAACCACTGTTCCGTGGCCCTGATGATGATGGGACGCTTCGATCGCCAGTCGTAGGGGTATTTGTGCTCGTATCGGTGCTTGGCAATCAGATGGCCTTCAGACTGGACGTATTCGAGAGCAGCGGTATTACCTTCATCCAAGACGCTCTTTCCACTCAGCTTCGCGGGGTCGCTGGGCATGGCTTGGTCGGTGAATCGGCCTTGGTCGTCCACGGGGGCGAACGCCGGAATTCCGCGCGAGACGCAGGCTTCGTAATCATCCATTCCATGTCCTGGAGCGCAGTGCACCAGACCCGAACCCGAATCGGCCGTGACAAAGTCCGCGGTAATGATCGGCTGGGCGTCCGCGTCTGGTCCTTTGAAGAGGGGTCGGTAGGTCGTGCGATCGGCCAGTTCCGAGCCACGGATAGCCGGGACAATGACCGGCAGGTCCTCTTTCAGCATATTCTGGAGATACTCGATGCGGGACTGAGCGATAAGAAGATGACCGTGCGTTTCAGATTGAACAATCGTATACTCGAGATCCGGATGGACAGCGATAACGGCGTTGGCAGGAAGTGTCCAAGGAGTCGTAGTCCAAATCACAGCGCTAAGGTCCTTGACCTGCAACAGCGGGTTCTGCGCAAGATGCGGCGGGACCGAAACCAAGGGGAACTTGACCAAAGCAGCCGTAGAGGTATGATCCTCTTTATACTCCAATTCGGCCTCCGCCAGGGCCGTCCCCGTCGACGGCGACCAATACACAGGTTTGAAGCGTCGATAGATCAGGCCCTTCTCGACCATCTCACGAAAGATGCCCAGCTGCCTCTTCTCGAACGCCTTATCCATCGTCTTCCAATGATTCTCCCAATCTCCCATGACCGCGAACCCGCGGAACCCTTTCATCTGATCCTTGACGGCCTTCCCGGCCAGCTTGCGCGCCGCCTTCCTAATCAACGCCGCACTAACCGGCCCGTTTGTCGCCTCACCCAGTTCCTTCTGCGCCTCCAGCGCCTTCAACTCAATTGGTAACCCATGACAATCCCACCCGGGGACGTACCGCACCGCCTTCCCCTTCCCCAACTGCACACGACAGATAATATCCTTCAAGATCTTATTAAGGGCGTGGCCGACGTGCAGCCCACCATTCGCATACGGCGGACCATCATGCAACACGAAGGGTCGGTCGGCGGGCCTCTCACGGCGCTGCCAGGCGTAGAGGTCGTCGGTGCATCGGCGCAGGTATTTCGACTGATCGGCGGGCGTGACGCGAGCGGGAAATGTCGACTTGGGGAGCTTGAGCGTCGACGACCAGGACCGAATGAGCGACCGCGGCAGTTCGGGCATCCTACCGCTCAAGCATATCCTGACTCTGGTGGTTGGGTCGAGGTCAATTGGCGTGAGTGGATTTTGGGGGATGGACAGAGATGCAGAATGCGGATTTGAATCTGAGGATGAAACGAAGTCCGGCAGATGCGTCTTGTCACTTGTTTACTTACACCGCATTTGGGGCGGGTCTTGGTGGGTATATGTGGTATTTGATTACGAGTTGTAAATTACGAGTGTTCTGATTGAGGCAGCAATTCAAAGGGTGCTGTTCATTTTTTGAATGAAAATTAAATTATTTACAGATGTAAGGAAAGTGAAATTGAGCATGGTTTATATAATGGGCTTGGAAAATTAGGCATTTTGTGAACAATAGACTTGGAAATGCCGGAGTTGACAGATCTATATATAAACACACCAGTAAGTATCGGGAGATCTACTCCCAGAATTTAGAACCAAGAGAGCGTATTCGGACAAGGGGAACATATACACGAGAAATCAAATAGTATAATTAAAAGGCATATACAAACTAAAACCTGAAACAATTACTACAATCATGCCTTAACGCCGGCAGTCTAAGTGTGTCAATATATGGTCAAGCAGCTGACGGCACCATTCTTCAGAACCTCGAAAAGCAGTCCGGGATAGCCAAATAACTCCGTATTACCCAGTCCTCCGTCGTGATTATCATGACCGGTCCGTTGACCTTTGCCCGTACTCTCCTCCCACCCGCCCAGGAACTCCACGCTACTCTCCGGGCTGTCGCCCCAACCGCGGTTCAGCACCATGGGCCTCTGCAGAGCTCGTTCTTCCGCAGAGTTCGCATAATAACCTTTCCAAACACCCCGGAGACGCTCGGAGATCTCATCGTACCGGGTTTCGGAGGTGATGACTTGATTGGAAGGATTTAAGTTGACCTTCCAGCGACTGCGTCGGTGGCGATTGAAAGGATAAGACCCGGGCACATTGCCGTGTAGAATGATCTTGGTCACGACTAGATTAGACGAGGGGGATGGGGGAGTTGGATCCGCGAGAGCGGAACCGGGGAACGCAGGCCCGGGAGTGGTAGGGTACGAGATGAAGGCATCGAAGCCATGGTGGAAGTAATTGAAAAAACATTCAGTGGGAAGCGACATGGGATCTAGATTATAGGTTTGGGATAACTCGTCATCCGAGTCGTCTGTGCCGCTGTTGGACGAATGGTCGGTGTCAGTCACATCCATTCCCCGGCCCGGAGACGGGCTTATGCGAAGAGGGTCGTCGCCATTACCGCCAGCGGCACGGTGTATGGAGATTCTTCGATCATTTTTACGGTAGATGGCGTCGGGCGGACCGAATTCAGCGATCAGGTCCTGCGGTGTGGTTTCGGCTAGGCTGATATAAGAAGACGGCGTGGATCGGCGAACCGCTTCCAGCTTGCCAGCACCTAAGATGAGGAACTCTTCCACCTCATCCGGCACCACGTCTCGAGTTTTCCCCGCCAACGCCGGAAAGCGAGGATACTGCGGTTGCTGAGTGAACAACTTGTTCCGAGCCTCAGGCCACGATGCGCCTTGGAAGATGGCCATCGAGGTTGCCGTCAACGCCGCCGAGGAGGACAGCAACGCTACAAAGTCGCACTGGTCGGACCATGCGGAATGCTGGAGGGGGAACGAAAACGAAACCCCGGGGTATGAAAGCACGTACGTGCCATAGGGGGATTGAGTGGCCGGAGGAATGTATTCGCCCGGGTAGGAGGGACCGAAGAGACGATTGTAGACATGTCGGAAACTAGGTCCTTGCTGCGAGACCGGCTGTTCCTGCGGCTTGACCCCCTTCAGTACCTCCTGGCTCTTATAGACAAGAGTGATCTTGGAGAAGTCCAGCACTTCGATCAGACGTAGCCGTTGATCAGGACCGTCGAAGCGCAGACGGAGACCGTTGGACGGCAGCTGCAGCGTTACGGGCTTCTGGATGGGTTCCGAAGGAGAGTACGCTATGTCGATTGCGGGGTAGGTCTGGGGATGGGACTTGACGCGACTGAGGACATTATGAAGCGACGCACCGAGGGCTGGCAAGAGTTAGCATAATCCATGAGCCAGCTGGGATCAGACAATGTAGACATGCTTATGAACCCCAGTCCTTTCCCCGGGAATATCTGCGTCTGAGTCGAGGGTCTGGTGGCGGTCATGATGGTCTACGGCCCGTTCTCATCCTGGAGCTGGAATGAAGGGCAAAGGAGGATGATTACTCCATGAATATAAACAGTACAGATCAGTCTGCAGTCACAGTAGTCACAGTAAATGGAGAGGAGATGAAACAGGACTCTGGACCGGAAATAATTAAGAATCAAGACGCAGGGCCGGTCAGGTCGGATCAGGAGGGACGATGAGCGCATGGGATCATGTGAGCGGCGGGACTGACCTCCTGACGCCCGCACCACATGACGGCACGTGCCCGTTTGTTTACGTTTTCCCTTTTGGGCCTGCCGAGAAACAACATCGACTTCCGCCATCTCAGCGTCGCCCTCGCCAACCTGCCCACCTTGTATTTTGTTCCGCACAACTGGATGCGGTAAATGCAGCTGACTCAATCTCGACACTGAGTTATCGGAATTGTCCGTTGAGTCTCATCCTTCACCATGGCTGGCCCCCAACGGCCGACCTCTGGCCTGCCGACCAGGAGAACCACCACCACTCGCACTCAGCCAACGACACGGCGAATGAGCTCTGCAGTCCCAGAGAAGCGGTATCTGAGGTCGCCGGCGATCCCGTCTAGAACTTCTACTGCGACATCGCGCGCGATCAAATCCCCTAGCGAGCCGCCCACCATCACCGCGAAAAGAAGGGAGAGAGACTACGAGCGCGAGATCAACGAGGATACCAGTATTCACGTGGCTGTGCGCTGCAGAGGTCGCAATGATCGCGAACAGAAAGAAAACAGCGGAGTGGTCGTGTCGACCGAGGGTGTCAAGGGAAAGAACGTGGAACTGTCAATGGGCCCGAATGCCCTGTCGGACAAAACTTATACGTTCGACAAGGTTTTCTCGGCAGCTGCCGACCAGCTGACGGTGTATGAGGATATTGTACTGCCAATTGTTAATGAGGTGAGAACTAGAAAAACGAAGTAAATACAAATCGCTAATGAGGACCAGATGTTGGCCGGGTACAACTGCACGATTTTCGCATACGGACAGACGGGCACCGGTAAAACGTACACCATGTCCGGAGACATGACAGACACACTAGGAATCCTATCCGACCATGCCGGCATTATTCCGCGAGTGTTTTACTCATTATTCAACAAACTCGAGGAGACCGAAAGCACCGTTAAGTGTTCGTTCATCGAATTGTACAACGAAGAGCTGCGCGACCTGCTCTCCGCCGAGGAGAATCCCAAGTTGAAAATCTTCGAAAATGAGTCGAAGAAGGGCCAGGGCAGCAGCACGCTTGTGCAGGGAATGGAGGAGACCTTTATCCACTCGGCGACGTCCGGCATCAAGTTGCTGCAACTGGGTAGCCATAAACGCCAAGTGGCGGCGACCAAGTGCAACGACCTAAGTTCTCGAAGTCACACGGTTTTTACCATTACTGTCCACACCAAGCGAACGTCGGAATCGGGCGAGGAGTATATGAGCTCAGGCAAGCTGAACTTGGTCGATCTTGCCGGAAGCGAAAACATCCAGCGCAGCGGCGCCGAAAACAAGCGTGCCGCTGAAGCTGGGTTGATAAACAAGAGTCTGCTCACGCTAGGGCGCGTGATCAATGCTTTGGTTGATAAAAGCCCCCACATTCCATATAGGGAATCGAAACTCACCCGACTTCTGCAAGATTCTCTGGGAGGACGCACAAAAACGTGTATCATCGCCACTGTCTCGCCATCTCGGAGTAACCTCGAAGAAACGATCTCAACCCTTGACTATGCGTTCCGAGCCAAGAATATCCGCAACAAGCCGCAAATCAATTATACGTCGAAAAAGACACTCCTACGCGAATTCACCTTGGAAATCGAGAAACTCAAAGGAGAGCTGATTGCAACAAGACACCGGAACGGTGTGTATCTGGCGCCAGACGCTTACGAGGAATTGACCATGGAAAACAGTTCGCGACGAATTGTCAACGAAGAACAGCGCGCAAAGATCGAGTCCATGGAAGGAAACTTGCGTCACAAGGTTCAGGAGCTGTTCGCTTTGACCAGCAATTTTAACAACCTGAAGAAAGACAACGAGGAAACTCGAGTGTCTCTTGAAGAAACGAATGACGTGCTTGAACAGACCGAAATTGTACTGAAGGATACCAAAACCCTGCTTGAAGAGGAGGAAATGTTGCGCAAGGCGCATCAGGATACTGAAGAAAAGCTCTACGATGCCGGCACAGGCTTGATATCGACTCTGGATAGTACTGTCGGCGACGTGGACGGACTGCACGCTAAACTCCAGCGGAAGGCAGATCTGGAAACCGCCAATATGGAAACGTGGAATACGTCGACTTCCGAAGTATCAAACGTCACTCAGAAAGTTGATATGAGCGTGGAGAGCTTCCAAACTCAACATTCGCAGCTACTGCAGAGCATGGCGGAGAAGATCAACGGCTACGTGGCTAATGAGCTGAGCAATATCGAACAAAATCAGACCGAACTGCTGGAGCGCACTTCATCTTTCGAGACGGCGGAGGCCGAGGCAAGATCTCAGACCCATGGCGCGCATGATGAAATGAACGAAGTCCTGGAAGAGATCAAGGACTTGCGAGAGGAGGTTAAATCCAAGGTGGGAGAAGGGTTGAACGGTCTCTCTGCTGCGGCCGCTCGCATCTCCAAAGAGGTCATCGGGGAGTTTACCGACTTCCATGCTCAGTTGCATGCATCGTACAGCACCCTTGGCCAGGAGTTCAAGGCCATGTTTGAAAGTATGGTGGGGCATCTCAATGGGCAAAAGACGGAAATCAACCGGTTGAGACTCGAGATCCAAGAGGCCAACCTCAGAACGGTAGAGGCGAATCGGCGAGCCTCGTCCCACCTGGCACACACTTTGGAAGAAGAGCAAGCCACGGCGGAAGCGGAGCGAGACGTGCTACTCTCGCAGATCAGAACCCTCATTGAGGATTCCCGGCAACGACAGCACGGCCGCTTGAAGGGCAAGATGGAGGATGTACGGAAAGAGATCTCTTCCTCCGGCGACAACTTGGAGCATACTACGACGCATTACGATCGACAGGTGGACGAGTGGGTGTTCAAATCGGAGCAATTTGCCAAGGACGTGAACGCTTCCCGAGACGAGATTAAGACGAAGATGCAGAATGATTGGGAGGTAAGTGTTTTTGCCTCAACCCATTTTTGGCCAATGCTAATTTATTAGGTCTTCGACCAACGGAATCTCTCCATCCAAAAGGCAACCGAGTCGGTGCATGAAGAAACTGTGCGCATTGTTAATGCTCAAATGAACAACATGGACAAGCAGATGGAAGCCTTGGACGACTTCGTGGACAAGGCGCGGTCTCAGAACGGCCAGTATCGCGACGCACACATCACCAGCTTGGAAAACATGGCGTCCAACGTCCACGATTCATACTCGTCGATGCACGAGCAGATTTCCGGGTTTGGTAACCGCGTGAACCAACTCCAGCAGGACGCGACGCAGCAGCATGTCGATCTCGAAGAATCCACCGCCCCCTTGTTCGACGAAGTTCGCCAACCTCTCCAGACGCTCCGGACCAACATTCTCCAGCGCCCTCTCGAGGACTATGTCCCTACTGGCGCTACTCCTCAGAAGCGGCAGTATGAATTTCCCTCGGAGCTGCCTCGGACAGAGCCCCACGATATTTTGAGATCCCGAATGCGAGCGTCGAAAGACCTTACCGTGCTACCGTTCAATGACGAAGGGCAGCTTTCTCCGAACAGTTCTCTCGCAACATCTTCTCCTTCAAAAGGCTTCGTGTACAATGACGCCGCGGACGAGGTAGGAATACAGCCATCTGCCACAACCACCGTTACTCCTTCCAACACGGGCCTTAGGGAAGTCGATGCAAACGTCGCCGTCAAACCACGCGTGTCTAATATCGACGAAAGCTCGCCCAACGACCTTCCGTCCGGCAAGAGAAAATCGTCGTCAATGAACCCGGATGGCTCGGATATGGACGACATGGATGAACAACAGCCCGCGAAACGCCGCCGCTCCAGCCATACTCTTGAGGCCAAGCTCCCACATAAGATGATTTCTAAACAAATGGCCGGAATGATGGAAGGGAGAGAGAATGTGCCCCCGCCGGGCCTTTCAACCGGTCGAAGGCTGCGAGGCAGTCCATCTACTTGAGCGAGTCAACACAGCATTCCTTGTTCGTCTTTTTGCTTCTTTCTCTTATACCCGATATCTCTTTCTCTCGACACTATATTGATGGGCGTTTAATAAAACGAGATCGGAGTTTGTTTTGGTGGTCCGCGTGAAGCGTTCCTAGTCGCTTGGGGTCTTGTGTTCGTGGATTTTCCTCGATTGGTTTGGGGTTTTGATTCTGTGATTTCGCTGTTAATTACCGATGGTTTCGGTGCTTGGAGTTTTGTTTCTACCTGTTTGTTCTCCCGGGGCACCATTAAGATACCTGGTTTTGTTTTGATTATCTCTAGAATTCTCGTTGGGGGTTTATTGTTCCTTATTTACGTCGTGGAATCAGTTCATTACCACAACCATTGCAGTATTTCTCTTGAATGAATCAATCTCCTGAAGTAAAGATCATCAACTAATATTGCAGTAAGATGCTTCCTATATGAGTACCGACATGCTTTATGACCCTTATCCTTCATTTTCCATACCATCCTCGCCATTGCCCACCTCCGCACCACCCTCTCCCTCCAAATGAACTCCAAGAGCATTATCATTTCCAAACCCCACCACCGCCGTTGCATCGTTCGGTTCCTGTTCCTCTACCCCTTCTTCCCCTCCACGCTCCTCCCCAAACTGCCCCTGCTCCCCAGCTTCAACCACCTGTCTCAGCTCCCCCAGCCGCTTCGAGAACTGATCCATCATTTCCTCCAACCGCTGGCTACTTCGCTCCTTGTCGCGGTCTTTCCCGAGCAGCGTGATCGGCAGGCCGGCCGTTCCTTGGATTTTGAGCATCAAGCCACCGTTGACGGGTTCGTTGGAGGTGTTTTTCTCGAACGTCGGCGCGGGTATTACTTGTGTGTGTAGGACTTGCCAGGAGGGCGTGAGGCTGTGTACCGAGGAGACGCTGAATTGGGGAGGTTGGGGGCCTTTGTGGTCGGGGGTTTGGGTTTGCGGGTTCGGTGTATTTGGATGTTGCGTCTGCTGTTGCTGTTGTGATTGAGCCCCTGCTAGATGTGTCTGTGTCTGCGAAGGAAGACTCGACGAAGCACCGGTGATATTCTCGCGATTCGAAGCAGCGGCTACGTTTCCCGGATGCACCGTCTCATCGGACGCCGTAGTCTCCAAGTCCAGGATGATATAGTTATCACGCACGCCGGGGATCGGAGGCAGAAGAAGCGGATCTTTTCTCGCGATGGCGAACTCGTCATCTTCTTCGTCGTAGACCTCCCCGTCTCCTGCTCCATCTTTGGCGCGGACGGGCTTCGATTTCCCCTTCGGGCCTTGAGACAGCACGTCCTGGTCGTTTTCGAGCGAGCGGAGCGCAGCCTCCGTGACGATGTCGGTGTCGTCATCCGAGAAGATGTAGTGGACTGTGGGGTGGTAGTATTCGGAGGTATTGGCGTCTTCGATTAGAGTGAAGAAGGGCTGGAAGGGCGGTGGTTGGTGGTGCTGCGGTGGGAAGTCATGATGTCCGTCTCCTTGATGGGTTTGGGAGGGAGGGTTATCGAGGGGAGGATCGTGGGTGGTGGTTGATTCGAGAGGATGGTGCGTTTGTTGGGCTGTGGGGGGTCGGTCGATGATGCTCTGGGGGCGGGACGGGGCGTTCGAGTTGGCAGGTCGTCGGATAGATTGTCGGGATGGAGAGGAGGATAGGGAGGGAGATGTGGTATGTTTTGGAAGAGACATCTCCAGTTGTGTAGGCTACATGATTAAAATGAGGCGGATGGGAGAGAGTTCGTGATGCTCGGACGAGGTGGATAGTTAGCTGGAGGAGCTGGGGATCACCTGGTGCTCTTATCGATAGGGTCAGGTGACTGCAGCTGGTATTGCCCGACAGGGAATTCATTCATGCGATCAGAATAATATATACAGGAGAAGCTGAAGAAGAAGAAATTGATAAATAGAAAGGGGTATCGTGTGTGCCATGGAGCTTTTCAACGCCTTCAAGACTGCCAAATTGTGTCAGCATTGAGAAACCTGGTGCTTGCAATGCATTATTCCTCGTTTTGTTTCCATTCAAATTCTGCGGGCATTAGTATAGTAATATGTTCAAAGATCCAGTCAGTCTTACTTTGTCTACACATCGGACAGAGCCCCTTAGATGACTCCTGTTGAATCCAAGTCATTAGGCAGTGCTGTCATTATCAATGCAATCAGTGATCGGTTCTTGTGAGCACATGCAGATCCACTATCGCACCATATGGAAGGAATGGCCGCATTTGCCAAGTACTAGGAAACAGGGTTGGTTAGCATCCCTGGCCTAGCTCCAAATCCTCGGGGCAACAGCGACACTTACGTAGAGAACAGTCGTCGCCTGGAAATTTGCAGGTCGGACAAGTGCCGTCGAACTGGACGCGACAGATACCGCAGACCTCGTCGTCGGGCATATCCCATCGCCAGGTCGCGACGGCGTTCCATTCTTTGATGTTGACCTTCATGGTGGGCTGTGTAAAGGCTCGGGGTAATATTTATATTCTCCGAGAAATTGGGGTCTAATGTTGACGGAGAAGGTTGGGCGTAGCGAGAGATACTCAGGAGTAAAAGATAAACAAGTTCACATGGCGGAGAACCTCAGGCGACAATCTGACTCCGCACTCCTCTTTCCCCCCACAGCACAGTTGACCACACATGCCCTGCCTCTTCCTTTCCCCCCCCCTCGTTGATCGTTAATCCCCTGTTAATTTCTCCTTCACCGGATGACACAATCTGACGAAATTGCTCTTTTCGGAATGTAAATATTTTGTCTCATCTCTATTTCTCCAAGAAATTCCCCTCCCCCCTTCTCTGACCATGGCTTTCGCGGCCTTTCGTAACTCTATCGCTTCTCCCCTTCGCTTGGGTCGCTCCATGATGTCGGTCTCTCAGCAACAAACCCGTCAGGCCTCCTTTAATTCCTACTTGGTCTCTCCTAAGGAGCTCAGCGAAGCGCTGAAGAAGAACCCGCCAACAAAGATCTCGACTTCTCCGCGCGTCGTTCCCATCTGCGCGGCGTGGTTCATGCCTAATGACCCCGAGGGTCGCAAGGGCATTGACATCTTCCGGAAACATCGCATCCCCCAAGCCCGCTTCTTTGACCTTGACGCGATTAAGGATCCCGAGTCGCCGTACCCCCACATGCTTCCCACTGCCGAGACCTTTGCCGATGCGATGGGAGAACTGGGCATTCGGAGGGACGACGAGGTGGTGGTTTACGATACGGAAGAGTTGGGAATCTTTAGCGCGCCCCGAGTCGGATGGACCTTCCGGGTCTTTGGACACCCTAAAGTCCACGTATTGAACAACTATAGGCTGTGGATTCGTGAAGGATTCCCGACCGAGACGGGCGAGCCTCAGCAGGTGGAACGCACCGCCTATCCTCTTCCGACTTACGACTCGAAGCTGGTCATTCCCTACTTGGAACTGAAAGAGATTGCCAAGGAACACAGAAAAGAAGGGGCGAAGGAGGTGGAAATCCTGGACGCGCGATCGCACGGCCGCTGGGCGGGAACCGATCCTGAACCGCGCCCGGGACTCTCCTCGGGACATATTCCTGGCTCTAAGAGCTTGCCCTTTCAGGAATTGCTGGACCCGGAGACGAAGACTTATCGCTCTGGAGCCGAGTTACGCAAGATCTTCGAGGAACGGGAGGTCGATGCCTCCAAGTCGATTATCAGTTCCTGTGGCACCGGAGTCACGGCCAGTATTATTGAAACTGCGCTAGGGGAAGCTGAATATGGCGACCCCAGTCTTCGGAGAGTTTACGATGGAAGTTGGACGTAAGTGTTTGATTTCCCGAGGTGCAAGTGATTCGAGGTTCCCATTGCTGACCATGTTATTTTTCTCTTCTAGGGAATGGGCACAGCGTGTTAAGCCGTCCGACGGTCTGATTAAGAAGATAACCTGAGGTGGTCACCAGGCAATGGGGGAGAAATTGAAAGATGAATGACCCGATGCTGTTCAAGCACCTTAGTATGACATAGCGTTCGTATTCCCATGCTTTGCTTCTCTTGTGGACTGGTGGATCTGTGTGACGGCGACAGCACACACCTAGAAGGTGGCAGCTGGTCGGTTCCCTGTTTGATATAGAATGTAGTACAGACCAATCTCCCATAGACATTATGATTGACTTTCAGTGGAACTGGCGGCCAGTAGAACCTGATTATGCGGAGAAACCCGACACTGAAAGCCTGAGGACCGCAGCCGCTTAGTCAGTCAGGCCTGGAAAGTCCCGCGGCTTCGAGTTGATCCGCTGCTCTTCGGATCGCTTCTCTCTCTGTCTTCATCTTTCCTCCGCTCGATTCATTCCTTCAGTGCTAAGTCCATATTCTAAAAATGCTTCAGATGATTTTTCTTTGTGAGCCAGGGCCCCGTTGTGAGTAGAGTCATGATTCCTTCATTTCTTTTTCACCTGTCTTTGTCATGGCTTGGTGCCTAGTATCCCGGACCTATGCTTCTCATACCACACTGGCTTGCCCCCACATCAGATCCATCCGCCTCCATCAACCCAAACCTCCTTCGTGGATCTGTTTCCCGCTAACATCGCCGTGCGGCTCGGGCGCAGTCGTCAAATTTAGCTGTTTGGTGTAGGATTCCTGCGCCCTGATTCCGAATTTATTCTCTTTCGCCTTCGAGTCGCTTGTGTCTGCCGTCGACCGCTTTTCGAGTCATGTCGACTGGACGCAAGGTCTTCCACTGTGCTGTGGATGAGACGGCATTGACCACGAATATCAGTGAAATCAAAAAATGGACGACCAACGGGGCCATCACCTTGGTCGTTCCTCTTTACAGTAAGTATAATGGTGTCCGGACTGTCGGTGATTCCTTGTCGCTTACCAGCGATTGCTTTCCCCAGCCCTTGAACGCCTTCACGCCTTGAAGCGGGCGGGATCTCAGGTCGCCATCAACGCCCGCGAGGCCGTCCGATTCCTCGATCGAGTGACGTCCGGAAAAGACAATGTGATGGCCGAGCGGGTCGCCCTGCAGGGGCCGATGGAACAATACGAAAATTGGGAGGAGGCTGAGAAGTACTTTCTGCCGGAGTTTGAGGAGGAGCCGGAAGCGCTTGACGGCGTGGCGGCAGCGGAGGACCAGGCGCTGCCCGCGAAGCGCCAAGGGAAAGGAAAAGACCAGAAGAAGAACGGTGCCAACCACCAGGACGATTTGTCGCAAATGCTTCTCAACAAGCTGAACTTTAAAAAGGAGTCGGATGCGGTTTCCATCACCTCGAACGGTACCCACAGTGCCCCTGCGTCGCGTCCGTCTTCCAGGAGTTCCCGGACGAGCCCCGAGTGCGCCAATTCCCACATGGTCGAAAATGGAGGAGGATCGAAGGACTCCAAGGCCAAGCGTGTCAACGGACATCGCCGTTCTGCGTCCGGTTCGACTATTCCGACTGTACCCTCGGTGCTGCGACCGTTGCTCAGCGCCCTTTTGTGGCGACTCCATAGCGGTCCCGATTCGTCTAATGCGGCCAAGAATTGTATCTTGATCACGAACGATCATCCTACTCAGGTCTGGGCGCAGAAATTTGGCATCGGCGTCAAGAATATCCACCAACTGCGCACCTCCATCCAATACGAGGAGCGGGAGTACAAGAACCGCTGTAAATATGTCGAAAAGACTCAATCGACCCAGCCCACCGAACCGAAATCTTTGCTTTCGTACGAAGCCGAGAGCGATGAAGATGAACTGGTTTTTGTCCCCCGCGGACGTGGCAAAGGTGCCTCAAGAGGTGGCCCATCGCGCTCCGGAAACAATCGCAAAGCAGCCACCGCATCCAAGCCGGCTGCGCCGCTAGCGGAAGCTACCATAGAGATTCCTACGCAACCTATCGATCCGAATTCCTTTAGTCGGTCCTTCAACGGTCCTACAAAGCAACAGCCCACAGTTGATCTCAGCACCCAGTCTGGAGCTGCGCGCGGTATTGCAGGTGCGTCTCGAAATCACGCCAATGGTCGCCGCGGTGGCGGTGGCGGCGGCCGTGGTACTTCTCGTGGAGGCACTCGAGGTCGTGGAGGAAAACTTTGGGTTCCTTGATCGGATTTCAGTGCACCGTTGATCCAACATGTGTTCACGGGCGTGACTTTGCGAAATCCAACTTAGACCATTGCGGTTGCTACTCGAAGCAGAGAAAAAGAAACGGAATTTTTTTTGCCATTCCCGGGCTGCCTCCTGGTCAGACTATCAGCTTCAAACTGTGACTCGACGACGGATGAGGTGAGTGGGACTTGGACAGATGCTACGGATACGAAGATGAGTGCGAAACGGATATGGCACAGTTTCGGTCCAAACCACAACGACGATTCGAAGATGGGAAGGACTATGATACTCGGAACTCTGGAACCGAGTGGATCTCTTCAACCGACGTCGAGCCCTTTTTATCTTGTCATTGTCCACTTCCTTGCTTTCCGTCGCAATGGAGATCCAGGCTGTTTGCTTTCTCTTTCCTTCCACTTGCCGGTGGAACTCTGGAACCACAACGTTCGGACCGGCTTGCTTTTAAACCAGCTAGCTTTTCTTTCTTCCGTCCTTCGTACAAAAAGAAAAAACCAAAAAAAATCTCCTCATACGGCAGTGCTTTTACGGTTGCTTGATATTTCGTTGGCATTTTTTTGATTGTTGTGTGCGAGTTGAGAGGAAATCAAGTGGAGGGCCGACAATGCCAGGATTGCTATTACGTATTTATTCCGCGTGGCCAAAGATCTATTTGTGTGTATGGTTATACTGCTAGATAGCTTTTCGATAGCTCTTTAGGAAAACTGCATATAATGAAGTGACACGCTAGGTAACGGGTGCATAAATACTGCATAAGTGTGGAATATGACGCATAACTGGTTAAATTATGAGCTAATCACTGCGGGACGGAATGACATCGTCCAGTCTGGCTGGTTGCCCCGCTGATGAGGCACCCCAGGTCCCGTGTCTCCGCATCGATCACTTGACCGGCCATGCCACTTCTTCCATCTGACTTTCGCTACTCTTTCTTCCTGTGATCACATTGTTGTACCTCTCACTGACCTTGGCTATTTAGTCCGTACATGACCGATGTAAGTCAGCCAGAACACACTTTTATCTTGACCTTCTTCAACCGCTATACTCTGCCTACATACTATACATATACTAACTACTAGATATACATCTACTCCATAGTCAAGCATATACCTTACATCAAATACCTGAACAATAAATACTGTTGACCTCATCCTTCCTCCATCACCAACCAAACTAAATCAACAATACAAGAAAAAAAATGGTCTCCTCCACTATCGACGATACCTCCCTCTCCGCCTCGCCCACTGAGCGCCGCAATTCGCTCGAGAAACATCTCCAGAACCGTCCCGAGCCACAGGACCTCAAGGAGAAGCATATCCTGCTGGACACTAATGTTGCTCCGTACGTACTGACCCTGTTCCTCAGTGACATGAGTATGAGTCTATGGGGATAGGATATGGCAGTTGATACCTAGTAATGGATATTCCCGGCTGACGGCGTGATGTATCTAGATCCATCCAAGCCGCTCACCAGGAGCTCGCACGCCAGGAGCTCGCACGCCAGCGTACAATAGACAGCTTGAAGAAGCACCTTGAGCATAGACCTGAGAGGGATGAGTTGGTTGAGAGTATGTATATTTTATATTATTTTGTCGTTATGCTTACTCTTTCTTTGCATTTCATTCCTTCTCTCTACCTGTTTGCCTGATATTATGCACTGGATGACCTCATGCCTATTGGACTATACCCTACCTCCACCTTAACCCCTCTCTCGAAGAAAAACTATACTAAAATCGAAAATAAAATCAGGAAACATCCTCCCCTCCACCAACGCTGCCCCCGCCCTGCAGGCACATGCCCGCGAGCTCGAAAAACACATGATCGCCGACCAACTGGACCACAAGATCCAAAGTCGGCCACAGCCCGAAGAGCTCATCTCTCAGGGTATATTGGACGAGGAGGAGGATCCGAGAAAGCCGAGCATTTAGGTAGGGTAACTTAGTGTTGATTAGGGGATGTATTTATGTAGGTAGTCGATAGGCGTGGAATGGGTATGGAAATGGATTGGGTTTGATATTGTTGATAGGGGCGTTTGTTTGTTTATGTGATTTTTCTTCCTTCCTGTGCTTTGTTTGATGGGATGGATGGATTTGATTTGGTTTCGTGTGGAAATAATTCATCTGGACAGACAGACAGACAGACACAGTATATGATGTGATCTGCACATGAACATGAACATGAACATGGATTTGTTTGCATCGATTCCTCGTTTCTCATCACACTGCCAACCTACCCACCGACACTAAGACGGAACAGAGTAGAGGAAAAATCAATAACTCTCCATCTCGACCTGCGCCGACGACAAATCCGGCATCCATCCCGCCGGCCTCTCACTCCCTCTCACCAAGATGCCATACGCAGCCCGCTCCACCTTCTCCACACTACTCTGCATAACATCCGTCTTCTTCCCCAAATCCTTAAACATGAAATGTCTCCTTGGCACACTCAGCCCCTCAAACAAAGACCTCAAGGCCTGCAAATCAACCACAATCCCAGCCTGCGAGCTACTAAGCGAGGGTTTCGACGGACCAGCCGCCTCCCCTTCTCCCTCTCCCTCTCCCTTTGCCTCCCCATCCTCAGCCACCTCGGGGTTAGACTTAGCCTGGGCCTGTCCACTCGACAACGCCATAACCGCAAACCGCATCATCTCCCCCGTCAAATCAAACAACCCCATCAAATAATCCTCCTCCGAGACAAGGATCCCATCCGGAAGACTCTCGCGGACCTGGGGCAGGGAAATCAAGCTCTGATGACGCAGATAATAGTGGAACGACAGCGCCTCGATGTACTCCTGCACTCCGGAGCTGATTTGGCGTTGGTAGCGCCAGCTCTTGAGGGCGTTGAGTTCGGGGACGGCGGAGAGGAAGAGGTCGTTGATTTGGGTGAAGCGGGAGGAGGTTTCTTTTTCGATGGAGGGCGGGAGGGTCGGAGTTGGGAGGGTTCGGACACTGTTTTGTTTGTTTGATTAGAGGGGGCTGATGTTGATGATGTGTATAGGGGAGGGGGCAGGTAAATGTATAGGATGTATGTAGTGGACGTACCGTTGTAAAGAGAAAATACTACCGACAGATTGATCACGATTAGCCACTATCTTTCAAGACTCGGCATGCAAACTAAGGTGATGAGGTTAGTACATACATCTTCTTACTCAACCCTGTGATATCCCTGGATATCTTAATCAACCGTTCCCGCCGATCATGGTGCTCGTCTAGCTCGTCGCGAAAAGTGCCGAACATGGCGAGGATCGGGGTCGCGGGTTCGTTGTCGGTCATTGTGATGGCGATTTGGGAGCGGGTGCCGTCGTCGCGGAGTGGTTTGCCTTCCCAGGAACGTTTTGTGCCGGCCATAGATTGGGGGTGGGATCGTGGAGGGAGGAGGAATTGAGAGGAGATAATGAGAGTAGAGAAGAGGAGTGAAGGAGAGGGGAGAGTTGAAAGTGAAAAGGAAAACGGCGGGCGTCATTCATGGTTGCGGGGCTAGCCGTTTCGGGGTGATTTTGTTATCTGATAAGATCTAGATACTTGAATTCTACGGGGTATTTAGAGCATAGTATATTTATTTCCCAAGTTGAATAGAAGCGAGTATTGGGAGTAAGACGGAAATATCATGCTAGATTCAAAATTTAAATCATCCAATTCTGTCCCGTTTCGCTTTCACTAGAATAGCCTGCCACTCCAACGCATCCGGCTGGATTTCTCGCAACACCCCCCAATTATCCTCTAGCCTCTGCAACAACTTCTCTGTATTCACCCACCGATCCCATTTCACCGCTCGAAGAAACTGACTCAGAGCCATATATGCGCTATCCAACGATCCTGCAATCCATCCATGATGCGCACTACATGCCTCGCCAGCCAAGAACAGTCTCCCGTCCGCAGCCGGCTTGACCAACTCGGGATAATAATTAGCGAACTGGCCAGGCCCGAACATGGCAAATGCTCCAGAAGTATTTGGGTCCTGAGACCAGTCATATGCATGGATGGCTTTGAACTGCCTCATTATCTCGCTCTTCATGTCCTCATAGGAAAGATTGGCTGATTGATAGTGCAGCAAGGCTAGGTCATGCACCAGCACTTCTTTGAGTTTGTTGGGATCGTTCATGAGTGATCCCATACGCTGTGCGTCTTTGTTCCACGTATATGAGCAAAGCAGAGTAGCAAGCTTTGTGTCCTCCGTCACATAGGACGGGTAGATGCAGGTCCGAAGAGGAAGGTCGGTGGCTGCGTATCCGCCACGGGTGACATTGCACAGAGTGATCCACCACGGAGTTTCGAACTCGATAGCAATCTTCACGGAAGCTTCATATTTAAGACAGCGGATCGCATCGACCTGAGCTCGACTGAGTCCTGCGCGACTAAGCTCCATGCGCTGCATACAGGGTAGAGTTGTGGTGGCGAAGACCGCGTCGTATGTTTTTGTCTCCGGAGTGCCATTCACCAGGGCTTTCACCTTCATGGTCTTAGACGTTGAGTGAGGATCGTACTCAATGCTGGTGACATGGGTATTGAGGGCTGGTTTGTGGTGGATTCGATCGGCCATTTTGTTGGTTATGATGGATGTGCCACCTTTGATGCAGTACCAGTTGGTGGGACGTTCGTCGGAGAAGTTGAAAGTTAGGTCATCGAGAACGCTTTCGGTAAAGGCTCGATCATACTGACCGGTGCCGCTGAATGGGTTAGTTTTAGTTATGCTAGTATGGAGTGGCCAACCTAGATGTTGTCTCGAGGTACTGGACTGAGTAAAACTCGTAGCCCCTACTGATTGTAAATATAGATGTAAAAGGGTGAAGAGCATGGCCGCATACATGACCTGACGGATGTAATCTCTCGTAGAGAATTGATCGACTCTCATGAGTGTCTGGAAACCCTTTTCGAAGTTCCGTTTCAGCCTGTCTTTGTAATAACCAAATGCGTCGTCGAGGATGGCTTTTGGTCCCTCGTTTACGGTTCTAGATTCAGTCAGTCATAAATTATGCATTTGTAGAAGACTCACGCGTCTGGAACCAGGCCATTGTTCGAGACACTGAACTTGAACGGATCCCTAGGTCCCCCTTCTCGAGGAACGTAAGTGATACCATTGTATCTCCGAGGACAGTTCAAGCCTTGGGGATAAAAAGGAATAAGAAGCTCGCTGTCTTCGGTTACATCGAGTTGTCTGAATAATTTGAACACCCTAGAAGGTATCAATAAACGCTACAATCAATCTATCACTGTCATGAACCATAGACCAACCGATCCATTATAGGAATCTAAAGCTTGTCAGCACTCCGCGGCAAAGATATAGAGAGGAACATACGTCCGGAAACCGCATAGCGCCAACATCATAATACTCACCCCAGACCCAAGGGGAAACCGAGTCCCTTGGAAACCAATGTGTATAAACCCTTCCGCCTACTCTGGGGCTCGACTCGAAGATATCATAGGTGATAACCGGATGCATTTCATCCAGCAACATAGCCAAAAACAGGCCCGTGATCCCTGCACCCACGATGCAAACATGGAACAGTGTCCCGTTTGGCAAGTCCGCGATCGGCTGCTTGGGTTGGGCGACCTTGTCTGGGGGCGGTGGTAGATTCAAGGGGCCATGGGTGTCTCTCAAGACAGGTATTGGGAGGCCAGGGGTTTTGAGGAAGTGTTTGAGTTTCTTGTAGTCTTTGGTGTTCTGTTCTTTGTCGAGGGTTGACTTTAGGGTTTTGAGAACATTGTGGCCCACGAGGTATTGGGCTGCGCCGTCTCGGATGAAGTAGGGAAGGCTATCTTCGGTGTTTAGTTTGGAAACCGACATGATAGCGGTTTCTGATTGATGAGGTAATAATTCGAGTTGATAAATAAACAGTGAACATAGAAACGCAGTTGATAGGACTGAAGGTACATGCAATCAGCCCTTGAGAGGTCAGCCATTCTAAAACAACATACGCCAATTATACGCGAAAAGTGAGTCCTCTATTTATAGCAGATTTAAAAGGCCTATACTAACAGATGAGAGCATCTGACCCGATGAAGGCGCCTGACTTGATGCAACTAGTTGTGAAACCTCAAATGGCCATCACCCATCTCCTGGAGTATAAAGTCTCTGAAAGGGTTATGCACATATGTTCCACAAGTCTTACTTGGGCTTGCTCAAACCACGATCGAGTATGCATTTTTTTCAATGTCTAAACAAGGGTCCCACTTCGATCGTGGTAGGTGTCATAGCTGTCATCTGGTAATATCCAGTGTGTTATACTGGCTAGGTTGCAACGAGCCCGAGTGGAATGTACATATGTTCGGGTATGGTAGAGGGGAAGTAACCTCAAGATTGCACAAGGACATGTATGCTCTCGTAGAAGGCTAATTGAGGTTTCTTTTGATTGACACCAAAGAAGAGGCACGTGATGTCGGCGGTCGTCTTTTTCGGCGGTGAGCAGTTCATCCCTCCATCGTCAACATCCCAGATGGCCACCCTCATTCAACAGCACCACATGACGCAGCATCCGGAGCTGGACCATCTCTGATGACAAAGGATTAACACTCGACCCTGAGATGCTAGTCCAGTATTCTCACCATCTGTTCATCGGTCAACTTGCCCCGTTCTCCGTACCTGTTCATCCGTCGCTCCGTCCTAGGGCCAAGACTTTATATTAAAAAGACGCGCCAAGATGCCTTTATACCAGGAACTATCAAAAGCTAAGCGACACAAGGGGCGGGCCCTTCGTCAGCTCGAATAATGTCCACTCAAAGATGCGGGGAAAGGGGGTTTTCCATCCTTCAACATATCGGCAAAATGGAGCATCATACGACTCCTAACCTTACACCGGAGTAGCCCGAGCTACATGAGTGCGATGATGCATATCAATGCCCAGAATAAACCGATGACACGGAGCCTGCATGGCTAGGGGCCGTTGTTGTCAGGACGAACCCGCGCCATGGCGAGCTGGAGGGAGAGGCTCGATGCATTTGTCATTTGTCATTGACTCTACATCCTGCTCGTCAATGGCGTGGCTTGTGCGCCTGATATCTACCCCTGGTCTATGCTTTCTACCAGCTGATCGTTCACCCTTTCTGTCGTCTTCACCTCCGCTTTCGGTATGAACTTAGGCCGAGTACGGAGTAATCTGTGTTATTGATAGTCTCTGACTGTCTGATCACGGTTAGCTACAATGCAGATCAAGCAGAGCTGCGTTAGCATTGACTCCTTTCATACCTCTATCATGAAACGGTCTTATCCACTCGCCCGGTCGAAGAGATGATCGGCTTTCTTACGCTCGTTATGGATGCTGCCTAGTAATGGTCTCCCGGGCAAGAGGATGATTTTATATTAAGGAGTCAATGGCATGAGCAATGTATAGCCGGATGAGTGGCAGCTGGACGGCGTTCCGGATGAACTCCAGCGATGCGTCTCGGCAATGGGCTTCAATACCAAGAATACGAGACGGGCCAAAAGCTATATAAGGACCTTTGAGAAACCCCTTCTTTCATAAAGCTAGACCTCAATCGCCAACGGAATCGAGTCGAACAGATTCATTTACCAACACGATGAGAGCGTTCTTCGCTGGTCTGGCAGCGGCCATCCTGGTCTTCGCTGACATCGCCACTATGGCGCATGCCCAAGACACTCGGCCGATGGAAAGCCTCGGCCGCGGTATTGTGGCAGTGCGCTCTGGAGACGAGGAAGTTCTGGTCACCTGGCGGCTTCTGGGGCTCGACCCCGAAGATATTGGGTTCAACATCTACCGAGCTACCGGCGATGGAGATGCTGAGCAACTGAATTCGAAGGTGCTCACGGGTGGAACGAACTATGTCGACTCCAACGTCACCCTCGACGAATCGAAAAGTTACTTTGTGCGTGCCGTGGTCGATGGCAAAGAGCAAGACAGCAGCGGAAAGTTCGTGCTTCCAGCGGATCAAGAGACAGAACCCATCGTGCGAATCCCTGTCCGTGATAGCGGCCGCATAAAATATGTCTGGGTGGGCGATCTTGACGGGGATGGGGAGTACGACTATGTTGTGGATCGAACCAACGAGAGACAAAGCATTGAGGCCTATCTTGGGAACGGTACCTTTTTGTGGGAGGTGGACTTAGGCCCCAACAGCGAGAATCAGAACAACATCTCTCCGGGATCGACGGCCATTAGTGTTGGCAACTGGGACGGAGTGACGGTCTACGACTTCGACAGTGATGGATATGCCGAAGTGGCTATTCGAATCGCCAATGGCGTGACCTTCGGAGATGGACAGACCTTGAGCAACGACAACGACGACGAGCAATGGGTGGCCATCCTTGACGGACGGACCGGCAAACTCCGATCGAGAAGCAAGATCCCCGATGACTACATTGAGAGTGGCCCACTAGCTGCTCGGTTCGGTGCTGGCTATCTGGACGGGAAGACACCGCATCTCTATGCGTTCATGAAGAATCGCAATGAGGATAAGTCATTCAACCGTGTCCTGGGAGCCTGGACATTCGACGGCGACTCTATGACCGAGCAGTGGATCCTGCTGAACAACGCAACTGATAGAGCGGACGGCCACAACACCCGTATCATCGACGTGAATGGCGACGGAAAGGACGAGGTCGCCGAGATCGGCTTTGTCGTCAATGGGGACGGCACCATTCTCTATGAAATGCCCGAGCCCGTCATTCATGGCGACCGGTTCCACATTGCGAAGATGGACCCCGAGCGAGACGGACTGCAGGGGTACGGCATCCAGCAAGACAATCCCGAGAACCTGATGGAGTACTACTACGACGCTAGCACCGGCGAGTTCATCTGGGAGCACTACGCAGACGAGACCGGCGACGTCGCGCGCGGCATGGTGGGCGATATCGATCCCACGCACCCCGGCTACGAGGCCTGGTCCTTCTCGGGGGTGTACAATGCCCCATCCAACGAATTGACGGTCGACGATACGACCCAGTACCCCTGGCCTCACCTCGGCCTCTGGTGGGATGGTGATGAGTTGATGGAACTGCTTAACGATGGCAAGATCGAGAAGTGGGACTGGGAGAACCCAAGCGAGCCGAAAGGCGTTCCTCGACTTGTCACAACGAGTAAATTCGGCGCGACGAACCCTGGTGGTCGATACCCTGGCTTCGTCGGGGACATTCTCGGCGATTGGCGCGAGGAGGTGATCATGACCAACGACGCCAACGATGAACTGGTCATCTTTACCACCGACCAACCCAGCGATATCCGACTGTACACGCTGGCGCATAACCCGGCTTATCGCAACGCTATGACTTTGAAGGGCTACATGCAGTCTCATCACGTGGATTACTTCCTTGGCAAGGACATGGAGACTCCTGCGCAGCCTAAGATCCACTACGTGGGTGCTTAACTGCTGGTCCTTTGGATGCGATAAGATATGTGAGCAAAAGGGGCTTGTTTTGCAGGTGAAACTCCGGGTTAAAATAGCTAGACTGAACTACTCCAAGCCAATTAGGGTTTCTATCTGGCCAAGCTGTTTGCAGTTACCTTTGAATCAAGTATATCATTGACGAACTTTGGAAGAGAACTTCGAAAGATCGGACAGAGGACGGTAGGACATCTGTTTGTGACGAACCTTTGCATATTCTACGACCTAGGCGTAGACGTTTCGTAGTTTGCTCTTTGGTTGCTGAATAGTTAAATAGTTAACTAACTAGATCTTGCAGAACGTGCTTAGTAATGACCTACCTAGTACCTTCACCGCCTTATCCCTTGTTTATTCTCTTGGAGTACATCTTTCCTTGACGCCTAGCAATACCGATTATAATTGTTACTCTCTAAAATCCGCACCTGGCTCCGTGATATCGTCTAGCGCGTATTCACTGATCCAGGCGAGCCAACGTCAGCCCAGATCCCTTCTCATTATCTTCTCATGCTTTAGTGATCTTCTAGAATGTCGCAAATTTTACAGCCTGATCATACTGAAGCCCAAGACCTTCAAACAACCAACCCGAGGCCTGAGTATCCTCTGTATTCTCAAACAGACATGTCTGGGCAATCTCGCGGTACCCAAGCTCCTTTCGCCAATGATCCTTATTCTAATCTCCCAGCCATCGGGATTGGCATGACCGGGATTGTTCTTGACATGGGAGAAGGCCGTGTTGTTAAGAAAGCTAAAAAATATCAAACGGGGCAATTCAAAGACCCTGGTGATATGGAATATATAAACAAAATCAATCAGCAAGCTCTGGAAAATGAGATCCAGGTCTTTCAACGCCTGGGAAGCCATAAAGGGATCATTCCATACTTTCAAACGTCCGAGTACGGAATTGAGCTAGCCCGTGCACAAGAAGATCTTGAGTCCTATCTTGCAACGCATCCGGAGCGCAAGGATTGCATGAAAATAGATTGGATCTTGAGTCTTATTGAGACCTTCGCTTATATCCACTCCCACAGGGTATTTGTGGACGACATTGCCCTTCGCAATATCTTAGTCCTGGATGAGCAGCTCAAACTGGCCGATTTTGGACAGTCCATATTATTACCAATGGATACTGACATGGCGTCTGCAAATGATAACGGCTTGGATGTTTGGATTGAGATACTTCATCTTGGTTGGATCCTCTACTCGATTGCATCCTGGAATATCCACAAGTACTACTTCTTCGGCCCTGAGAACCCTGATTGCTGTTGGCCGGAACCAGACTCATTCCCAGATGTTGATGGTATTCTATTCGGCAAGATAATCGAAAAGTGTTGGCGTGGCGAATATGCGTGTATGGATCATGTTAAAGATGAGGCTCATCAACTTCGGACCAACTACAGGTCATCCATTATAGGAGCTTCCCCTTGAGACTTGTACTCTCGTATTCCCTTATTTTTGATCGAGAAAAGCCCTTCCACAGTTGAGCAAAAAAGCCTCTGATTCATTGTCAACTCTACCAGGGGTTAAGGGTTTGCCTTCCACTTGTAGCCGAGATTTCCATTTCCTAGGTTTCTCTTCGCCTGTCAAACGGTTATTTTGAGTCCGGGTTCTTGGCGATGAAAGGGCGGAGCATGTAGGAGAAATGCCGGGTTGACAAGATTCGACTGAACTACTCCAAGCCAGCTAGCAATTTCTTCGCTAAAGCGGTTCTCAGTAAGCTTTTGGATAATTTGAATCGAGTGCCTTGTTAACCAGAGAATTTTAGGACCAGTCTATTCTATCTTAGCCAAGGCCGTGAGCCCGTGAACCGTACCCACCGGCGAGGAGACCCACAGAACCGATCTTTGGAATCTTTAAAATTTGCCTACCAAGTCACCTTTAGACCGCCGTATTATGAGACATCAAGGGATCCTTCCTTCGGTAGTTTTTCTCTCCTTCCAATTTGAATTTTTTTCGTATTGATCTTTTCTGTATTCTGCAAGGTTGTGCTCTGGGCTGTTTCCTTTATAACCGTTAGGGTACTTGGTCCTCGGAGAAAGCGGAAGATAGGCAAAATTCGAACGAGAAAGATCTGTCGGTCAATCCAAACGCCTTATACCATGGACTTTCGCAGTCCAGATCCTAAATCCGAATAGTTAAGTTTGCGACTTCTATATACTCGAGCGAAGAAAAGAAGACTCAGAACCGACAACCCAAGCTGGATGCATGCCATTTCCACGCCCACCACGCCCACTCCACTATGCAGATCCGATCAACCCTGTGGAACCCATCTCTCTTCCTTTATCTCCTTTCTGCTCAGGCCGCGTGGGTGAGGAAGTTCCATTGTGCTTCGTCGCAGCCAACAGATCCGGCAGAGAAGGCCTTCCGCATCGATAGTCTCCATGGCTCATTCGACACCGTTGATAGCCCGACCCGATTCATTCTATCTATACTGGGAGTTCACAATGTCTCGAAATTTACGTGTAATGACCTCGACTTAACGGGGATCGGGGATTCTGCTCAGCTTCATGTGCTCGGTCACCCAGTTGGCTCCGTAGAGTATATTAGGAGTGAATGTCCGCTGCCCATCACGGATACTCTGACACCGTGAGTACATTGGTCCAAGAAATTTCTTGCATATCCCAACTTGAACTTAACCGGTCTTCTAGACCTGAAGGGCTCTTATTCTCCAACTTTGAGATCGGCTACTCCTTCAGCCATACTCATCGGCTCCAGACCCTGGAGACGGAGATCAGCTTTCCATCACAGAACGGTGTGGAACTCGATTGCGCCGCTGTCAAGATAACCCCAGACATCGGCAAAGCAGCCTCTGCCGCTTTTACGTTTATCCCTCTCGCTGTGATGGCCATCGTTGGTCTGGCTTCGTGGTACAGGCGAGTCCACGCATCTGAGAGTGACTCGTTAATTGAGCATCAGAATCCCCATGCTCTGCGCATCTGGGCAGCCATTCTCGACGTCTCGGATTACATTCGATACCTGCAGTTTATATTACTAGCTGGCTCACTTACCATGGAATATCCAGGGTTCTATCAACCCGTGGCAAGCCAGGTGGCCTGGTCCTCGCTTTTATACTGGAGCGGTCCGATCGACCATGGATTCACATACAAGGGAGTTGAAGACGGCATGTATGTCAGCAACGGATCTTACGGACTAGAGTATATGTCGCAGATGCTTGGATTTCCTCAAATGCCTGACATTATGTTTGACGCATTCATAAACCTGTTTCTTCTGCTGTCCGGGTTGGCCGTCGTTCTTATGGCTCTCTATCTGGGCACGTTCGGACCGAGTCAGAAGCTGCCGTTTGGTTTGACTTTTCGCAATGGGGGTTATATAATTATTGGGTTGGTGCTGTCTTTTTACAGCTTTCCTTTATTATCATTCATGTCCTACGAGTTGATTCTCATTGGATATCTTCCGAACTACCGAGTCGTCCTCGTCGGGCTCGGGATGGTCCTCATCCTTCTTGCGAATTATCTCATCACACGCTATTTCGACCAACTCCAGGAAGTAGAAGTTAGCTCACAGTGGACTCATGATCAATCCAGTGTTTCACGGGAGATCTTCAGAGCTATCTCGCACTATCTTCCGCACGCCATACCTTTAATACAAGGCATCATAATTGGTGGCCTACAAGACTACAGTTTGACACAGATCTTAGTCTTGGGTTGTTGCGAAGTGATATTCCTCGTCCACTCAGCACTTCAACAGCGTTTAGAGATCCTCACGTCAAGAAATGCCTGGTGTGCCGGTACCCGGCTCCTCACACTATGCTTGAGCACTTCATTTACCACGTCCCTAAATGAGACGGGCCGACAATGGATTGGATATCTCATGTTGTGTCTTCATGGTGCAGTGATTTTGACCTATTGTCTGCTCTCTAGTTGGCACCTATGGCGGACATCTCGGAAGGGCAAGTTGTTTTCGGGGCGCGGGGCTTCACCGTCTCTTTCCCTGACTGACCTTGACCCAATTCGCTTAAGAGCCAACGATAGATCTACGTTGGACAGCAACTCTTTAACTTGCCCGAAGAGTAGCTCGGGGAGTTTCACAGACCACGCTCGTCCCGGATCGTCCGGGACATCATCGTATCGAGGCATTGAGATCAGAATCGGTTTCAACAACTACTCCACTCACAGAGCGCCCCTGACCTCAACACCGGCAAACATAGAACACGGCCCAACAGACTCTACGGAGTTCTATCGAGCCCCACGAGCACGGATTGATCATCAATACTTGTACACCGAGTCCGGAGACAGTTCAACTCCCGATAACATCGGTGCGGCTGCGGAAGCCCCTAGCGCTGAACCAACACCCGAGCTGAAACCAACAAACCGCATGTCCCAAAATACCCTCGACGAGTGGTTAAATGTCCCAGAACGCGTGGATATCGATTATTCTGTTCGAGAGTCCGATCAGTATTACGGCAGAATGAACATTAGCGATACGGTGTCGGAATCCTCTTCGACCGTGGGATTAACAAGAGAAGTCGGTAGTGAAGCATCCAGAAAGGATACCGTTAAGGACTGGACACAGAGGGCTTCGAGACGTTTAAAGCCACCCAAGAAGCCAAAGGAAAAGGGATTTCAAGTCGTCAGGCCGAAAAGGCCACCGGGCCCCCCTACGCACCCTTGAACATGGGACGATGAATAGAAAAATACAAGATAGATAGTTCTAGAACGTTAATTAATCAAAAGGCCAGTAACGCATATATTCAGCCTTCTCCTCGTCCGTATCTGCCAATTGCTCCAACATCTGGTCTTTGACCTCGTCCAGAGCAGCTTTGCATTCATCATAACGCTCGTGCCCGATAAAGCCTTTATCGGGCCACAAATCGCCCATAATCTCCTTCACCTCCGCAACAAGTTCGGTTCCGGCAACCGCACCCTCACTATCCAGCTTTATTCTCTCCACATCGGTTTCCGAGTAATCGAACGGAAACGGAACGTCACTGGTGACGGTGGGCAAGTCTGTCCACGAGTCCTTCAGATCGACAAGAAGCGATTGGAAATGAGCCTCGCCGTACTCGAACATGCGGTGCGCAAGAAAGATCAACCCATATGTTGGCGTCTTGCGGAATTCGACAACTCGATAGAGATTAGGGTTCTTAGCGTGCATGAGTTTCCGCCATCCAAGGAAGACGTTTTGGACAGAGTACTCGTACACAGCCGCGGCCCTTTCTTCCGGAGAAAGACTGGACAGGTTCGGTCTTGGTGCTAGATCGAGCGTCTCGGGCTCAAGTCCATCCCAGTCGAGAAAGGCTGGGTCGGGGTTATGATTGAAGAGCGGTGAGACGTGACACGATTGCCAGTCGATAATACCTGTGATTCTTTCCGGATTATGTGGGTCGACGTAGATGTTATCATCATGTAAGTCATTGTGCCAAAGGCACGGTTTAGCAATAGAAGGGTCTTTTGGGATCAGAGCGTCCACGATTTGTTGGTACCATGCTACAGCGGTGAGTTTGTTTCCTTTGTCGGGTCGATAGAGCTTTTGACAAGGTGATCATGGGACCGTGGATGAAATCGAAGGCAGCAGGAGAGAGGGGCCAGTGGGCGTCGTTGGCATTAAAACGAACAAAACGGAAGTTGGAAGGTGCTGGGAGAGTCAGATGAGGTGGGTGTATGTCCGTCGCGATGAGGCGTGCAGATGGGTAGGTGTTAGCCATGCCGATGGCCCACGTCGCGGTACCGCAGCCGATATCGAGGATGGCGCTCGGAGGAGTAGCGAAGATGGTGCTATGTAGCCGGCTGTCTAGAGTCAGAAGCTAGATTTCACGCTGCAGACCTAGATGGTTCTGTTCATCCTGCGTTGCCTGGTCAGTTGAAAGGAAAGAAAGGGGGGAAGGGGGTGATGCTTGCGCTCTCAGTGGGTGTGGTCATGAAATAGCTGGGGTTGTTTGGCTGCGCCATTGTCTATGACGAACTCCGGCAGATAAACGGCTGACTGACAGGGGAGATTGGGGGAATCAACGGTATTTGTACCATCAGAAGTTTTTGCTTTTTGCACCATGCCCAAACCATGCGTTGCGCTAAATATGCCAAGTCACCAGGTGCTCTCAGCCTGACTGCTCTCCATACCTTGCCAGGAAAGATTCGGAAACCATGCACTGCCTATATAGCAAGGGGGATCTAGAATTGGGATCGAGGGTTCTTTAAATTCTACCATCGGTAGATTAGCTGTCTGTGTTTCACGTAGGCGATAATCCTCACTGCAATGGGATGGGTTGTTTAGCATGCTGCAGAGTACTTGACACTACGTATTGGGTAACGGTCGCATATATTGCCACTCACTAGAATCGTCGATGTCCGTCGGCGACTAAGGTATTCTTTTTGAATTGACCGGATTTCTTATTCAAGGGAACTTAGAAGGCTCTGATCGCCTAGTCCAACGTAGGAAATACGTCAGGGGGGTTTCATTGTTTTCACACTTATCAAGTAGACAATCTATCCTTTACTGACCAAGAAACTTGTATTTCAAAGGCGCATCATTCTCGCCAAGCCCCTTGATGGTGACGATCTGCTCATCTCCCGGTACGATATCAATGGCGCTGTCGCTGACCCGCACGCCATCCCGCTCCTCAAAGACCAAGCATTTGACGGGCTTCTTGGAAGTGAGCTTCAATGTCTGCCCAGCATCAGACCCAGCTCCCTTCGTCACCTCCAGTCCACGGTCTGATAGATCAAGGTACTTGAATGGCTGGGGCCAGTCGACATCACGCGCAGCAACGTTACCGTCCACCCACAGTCGCGCCGCAAGGACATGCGGCTCCGGGATCTCGGCATGATCAATGACCCCGTCGGCGATGTTGGTGGTTCCGTTAGGGACGATCTTCACGTTATCGTGCACAATGTTCTCGCGGACCTCGAGACCGGTGTTAACGGAGAGGAACCGCAGCTCTACCTTTCCGGAGACTTCTTTCTGCAGGCTGCTGGCGATCCAGAGCTCGAATTTGCTGGTCTTCGGGGGCTGAGCGTGAGTAACGCTCCAGTCGTGGTGCTCACGGCGCACGCCCACCGCGATAGGGCTCAGGACCCGTGCGACGGCGTAAAAGGCGGGTTTGGGTCGCAGGAAGTAATCCACGATGGCCCAGGAGATGGTGGGCCAGCAGTCGTTCAGCTGCCAGAGAAGAGCACCGCCGCAGTGTCGCTCGTCACCCCATTGGCGACGCCAGCCGCGGTAGCCGAACATCATGGTTTCGGCCTGAACGATTTGAGTCAGGTAGATGTATGTCTGTGATCTTCAATTAGCCCTGAACCATTAAGGAAAGATGGCCGGGGTAGATACCTCAAGGTCAGTGGCCGTTCGAAGGTTTTCAACGAGGTAGGTGGCGATTCTTCGCTCGTGACCATCGGCTTTGTTATGGAAATCGAGCACATGCGACTGGGGATACTTGTCTTTCTCGTTCTCCACAAAGTAGTCAATTGTCGAAAGGTGTGGGAACGCTTCCATGCCGAATTCACTGTTGAACCGGCCGCCAAGAGTATCGAAGATTTGATACTTTTCTTGTGTTCCATGCCACACTACGCTATATGTTAGCAAACACTCTAATATCCCCGGAAAAGCGAGACATACCATTCCACTGGTGCATGTCTCCAACCGTAGGATCGGAAGTGGTCTTCCCATCTCCCCAGGGACTGCCCGGGTGGTAGAAGACCGAAGGGGTCAATTTTTCACAAACGTCCGGAAGCAGCTTCTCGTAGATGTAGCGAGCAGGAAAGTCAGTCTTTAGCCAGTTCTCCGGGTTTTTGTCCTCGTAATCGTAGACCAGGCCTGCCTGTTCTTGTACTTGATAATCTTCGTTGTTGCCCACCCAGATAACAATGGAAGGGTGGTGGCGTAATCGGCGGACGTTGTAGACTACCTCTTGTTCGATCGACTTCAGCAGCTCAGGCCATGTCGGATAATTGCCGCATCCAAACATGAAGTCTTGCCAAACGAGCACACCGAGTTCATCACAAGCTTGGTAGAAGCTGTCATCTTCGTAGCTTCCGCCACCCCAGACCCTAAAATCTGTTAATATACTTGCAAAGTAGAGTAAAGGGGTTGATGCACACCTGATCATGATCTGTCGTCCAGCGACCATAAGTTCGATCCATTTCCGATACCGTTCAGCACTGATGCTGGGAAGGAGGTTATCGGCGGGAATCCAGCATGAGCCGCCACAGAAAACATCCACCCCGTTGATCCTGAAAAAGAAGGACTTTCCGTGTTTGTCGGGCTGCTGAATCACCTCCGCAGTGCGGATGCCGATTTTCTTGGAGACACGATGAAGCTCACCCTCTCCCTTCTCGAGTGATACAGAAACGTCATAGAGTGTGGGGTTACCATAACCATGGGGCCACCAAAGAGACGGCTGTTTCACGTCGAATGTCACGTTTGCGGACTTGTCCTTTGGCTGCGTCACCTCGCGAGCGACCTCCTTGCCGTCAAGACTTAATGTAAATGTAACATTGTATGACCCGTCCGATTCGACGCCTTCAAATTGCGCAAATGCAGAGACCTGGGCTGACTGGTGATCGGAGGCCAGCTTCAGCTCAGTCCAGAGATCTTCGACCCGGGCAGTGTAGACCTCAAGTCGCACATCTCGCCAAATACCGGCAGTCATCAAGACGGGGCCCCAGTCCCAGCCCCAGTGGTACTGGGCCTTTCTCGCGGCCATTCTAGCCGGGTCGCCGTTGAACGAGGCCCAGTTATGCTTCGGATCCTCTTCCTTGAGCTTTCGAGCACGTAGCAAGGCACAATCAAAATCGATCTCCAGTACGTGTTCACCATCGGTCTCTAGGGCCTTGGTGACATCTACGCGATGCGCAAGGAACATGTTGTTGCTTTCCAGGATCACTTTGCCGTCCAGTTTGACGGTTGCAAAGGTATCCAATCCATCAAAGGCCAAAACAACCGACGATCCACCAGGGATCGCGGGCTTCTGGAACGCATTGCGGTAGGTCCAAGACTTTTCGTTGACCCATCTGGCGTCCAACTCATTGAAGCCAACGTAGGGATTTTTCAATCTAGATTGTTCAGCATTGGGTTAGATAGTATTCTCGAAGACCGTACTTGTTATTCGCCTGCAGATCCTGGTGAATCACAGAAGGGACGACGGGCACAGGTAGCCAGGCTTCTGTCGACGCATCCTCGCTGTCCTTGAAGCTCCATCCCGTGGAGAGAGAATGCTGTGAATGAGCTGCCATGACGGGTTGATCAAGCAGATGGGACAAACGAATGGCAATTGCTTCCGATACTTCCACAGGTGGAATTTAAATCCTAAGGACTACACTGATGAGCTTTTAAACGGGAACCCATTAAATTTAGAGGCAGAGCCTCCATCGTCCTCGACGGCCCGACGAAGTATGAGCGAGCAGTCGATGGAGATACACGGAGGCCCCTCCGTCTCCCACGTGCCGCGCCTTCCTAATCGGGCCACTGCCAGGCGGGGTCGTGACCGTGCCCAATCGGGTTAGCGCGTCGCCTGACTCTCCTCTCCGCGTTTCCCTCTCTCTCTCTCTCTTCCTCCGTAGTCCGTACTCCGTATTCTCTTTTCGACGCGTATCTCCAGGGTCCGTCTGGAGTTCATCATTTTGACACATTCCCCCTTCATACACACATCTTTGCCACGTCTCCTAGCCCGTCTCAGTTTTTTAATAGGAAAGATTCCCGGAGTGATCATAAAGTTAAACAGGCACCGGACTCGTTCTCCCGCCCTCTGAAACCAGCCCGTTGCTTTTCTCCCGGCCCTTGTCTCTCTTAGGCACGGAAAATACTCCGTGGAGCTCTCTTTTGGGCGAGGAATATCCTTTTTCCCGGACTCGTCTTTCACCGGTCCCCTGAGGTGCTCCGACTGATCGAGTCTAAATAGCACCGTTCGTGCCTGTGCTCCCGACCCTCCAATAGCCTGCCTAATTCCATTTGGTTCCTGCTGCCGTTTTAACTTTCACGATCTTTGCAATCCTTGGGTTGGGGTAGCATCCTGAGCTTTGACTCCCTTTCCATGCGCCCTGTGGCCTGTAATGGATGTCTCCTGACACCCGTTCGTCTCGGTTCTGTCGGCCCTTCTTTTTTCCCACGGTTGCATAATCAAGACCCATCCCACCTGCGCGAGCATTCCTCCTGGTCCCCTCTGTTGGCACTGAGGTCGTGGTTGAGTTGCCCGTTGAAGATGGTAGACCATACCCGGCATATGGCGATGACAGCATCCCTGCCTTTTCTCAGACAGAGACCCATGGGCAACTGCAAAGATCATATGTCACTGCTTCATGCCAGGAGCCTCCAGAACAAAAAGGATTCTTTCCACCTGGGTCCCGATGGGCATACCCCTCTCTGTTCGGGTTTTTGCCACTAATGATCCCCCTAGTCGCAGTAGCCCAGGGTCGCTTGCAGACATTTCTGCTCTTCCTAGGGCGCTAGAAATGGTCTGACAGCCTAAATCCCCCAGGGTAATTACTTCGACCCTGGCCGCCCTGCCCCTCATCGTACCATCATGAATTTTTTTTTTTTTTTTTTTCTTTCTCCCTTCCCTTGTCCCCTGGCCATTGGCCAACCCGTGGTCCTTCATATCCCGAACTTAAATTGACAGGGCGCTGTTCTATTTTCACATGGCGGAGCCGATATCTGACGGGTGAAAATGTCTCATTCTTGGCAAATCCGCTCCCTCCAACCCGTCTGATCACGTTGTGGGTCCTTGAAATGAATTTGGCTCTTAACGATCGACGCCACTGGTTTAATTCTAACCGTCCGGAGACACCGGGGCGAATCTCCTGGACGAGGTGCCCAGTGCGCTGAGAAGGTTCGGATGATCCCGAATCGGCGTCGATATGAGAGTTTGGCCTACGCTGCCTTTTTCAGTCTTCTTTCATTCTCCTTCGCTGCGTCTTCGATCCGACAAATCACTTTGGGTTTGCGTATTAAACCTCCGGTCGATCCGGGACAAATGTGAATAGTCTCACCACCTCCCACCCCTACTATCCCAGAGAGTAGAAGGGATAGCGAGGAGTGGGGGCGAACCACATCTTCATGCTTGCAAATCCAAATCAATTCACCTTTTTGCTCTCGGGCTCGACGAAATCGGCTTGCGTGGACAATTAAGAGCTGATCTATTAATTGACATTTCACACGGGGTCCCACCTGCCGATTTGAAGGTGTCCGGTCCCTTCTGGGTAAATGACTCCCCTCCAGCGTCGTTCTGCTAATCTAACAGCCTGCCGAACCCTAGTCGGGTTGCATACGCAGGGAATTAGATATAACCACCAATGCCAGCGTGTCCTAGGCAACGCTAGGCGCTTGGACTTACGGAGAAAAGGCCACCTTCTCAGGTTGGTCACCCGCGGATGAGAACAGGGAAGGAATATTGAGATCCTTGAAGAGCGGGTTTTTCTCGCCCGGGATATCTCCGACGCAGGTCAGGATCATTGATGCTGCTTCTTTTCGAGATGAGGCTTTACAGCATGCAGTCAACTGTTTGTAGAAGGGAATCGAGGCGCGGTCGTCGCGGTGGAGTCTACGCGGTGGAGAGACCGTTGCCACTTTTCCCGGTACCTGAGGGACCTGATTTGATCGGTGCATCTTTCTGCAGCGGCACGCGCCCATCACTCTGTGGGGCGTATGGGAAACAGTTATGCAAGGAATCAATTCCTCAGCACATTCGACCACACGCAATTCTTTTTGCTGCTCCCTGCAGTCGAATGTTGTTGGTCTCCGTTCGCCTGCAGAGTATTTTCCTTGGTACTTGCAGACGCAAGCCATCCAAATTGAGGAGGACCCAGCGCCATTTTTCCTCATCCATGTAAGAATTGGGCGCCATTGTAAACCGGGGTAGGAAGGTAAGAAGGCCACGAGAGGAACTCCTTAGGCGGAAAGGGAGGGGGGGGGGGAGAAGAGCCGGACGGGGGATAAGAGCCGGACGGGGGATAAGATAGGATAAGCGAAAACCTGGGGATATGCAAACATCGCACTCCCGACAGCAGAAATTCTCCGCGATCATAAATTGTCCAGTGACCGAGAGCGAAGGAGGGAGGGAGATTGCCGGCAGTGGACGAGCCATCTCCGAGGCTTTTCCCTCCAGGTACCTAATATGCGGGCGTCCCAATCACCTTGCAGACTGGAGCCTCTTGGCCATGTCCCTGGTTAAATTAGGACCAACCAGCATTGTGAAAGGACACGGTCAGAAGGACCGGGAAAACGGCGCCAGCCTAACAGAAGTGCCGGTTTTGTTCACGATACCCGCCGGGTTCATTTCAGCCAGACAAGCGCAGGCGAGCCTTTGGTCAGACTCAAACTCGCCGCTACTTGCATAAAGGTATTAATCTATTTTCATTCATCCAGCCCCGAAAAATGCGGGGGAAGCGAAGGGTGAGATGATGGTCTGGCGACGATCTCCCAGGGACTCAACGCCAGTAGGTTCGGACTTTCTAGGCTGGAAAAGAAATACGACACGCAGGATCGATTTGGATTGGACGTACTCCGGTGTACGGAGTATGGCAAGTGGGAATGGATTCTATTCCTCTTGCCTCCATCCAAAGTGAGTCCAGTGGGTTTGATTAAATGGGGATTAGCAGTTAGTTGGCGGCCTGCCCTAACCATTCTTAGTTTTGGGGAATTATTTCCTCCTCTTATTTATTTTATTTTATTTTATTTATTTGATTTTCCTTTAATTTTTTTATTTCTCTTGTTGGATCTCCGTGCACATCATTTCTCTTTTCCTTCCTGCCGACTTGGTCGACTCCTAAACCCTTCTCTCTCGCTCTGCCCATCCGGGTGGATCTTATATTCCAGACATGTTTGCTTCTTAACCTGCCTCTCTTCCTTTTTTTGAAATCCTCAACCGGTTCACCGCGCCATATTTCCGACTTCTGCAAGCCTGTTAATTGCCTTGCAGCGCCGCTGAACGGTGGCGACTTCTCTGCTGGGTTAGATTCATTCCGCCCGCTGCTCTGTTACTATTATTATTTGCTACTACCGCTGCTGGCGGTGGTACTATTGATCCTGCCTGCTTCACGATCCCTGAATCTCGTTACATTCCAGCTGCTGTCTCGAACTATTCTGCACACCGAATGGTCTTTTGCTCGCTGACTGGGACCCTTGAATGCTCCCCCAGCTGAGCGACCTGATTCCAGGGTCGCTTGAACTTGACATTGAAAGACAGAATCCCAGTAAACCGATCCCTGGCCATGTTCCATACATTCGAGGGATTCGAGAACCCCGCGGGTCTGATTCAGACTCGGGGGCGCAACGAACGTCAGCCTTCGGTCGGTCGGCGGGTTACAACTCTTCGCGCCTGTACATCCTGCAGACACCGGAAGATCAAGTGCGACGGGGAAAAGCCCTGTGAGGCATGCAGATGGTATAAAAAGGCAGATCAGTGTCATTATTCCGACCCTCGACCGTCTCGGAGGTATGTCCTTCCCTTCCGCCTTGGTCCGGATTTCGTTCCCTTTTATTACGCCATAATAAAAGATAGGAATCGTCATGGCTTACCAAATCTGGGGAAACAGACATGTGGAGAAATTGTCTACCACGCTCGACGAGTACCGGAGTGTCCTCGAGAAGCTCTTCCCCACGTTGGCACCGGAGACCCTGGTCAATTTGCCACGCGAGAAGCTCGTGGAGCTAATGGGCAAGGGTGCTTCACCGGTGCATGCTCAGGTGCCACTGCCCCATCATCCAGCGTCGCCGGCTACTTCTGCCTCGGTTGACGCGCATGTGTCGCCCATGTCCAATGAAGATGGCAACCTCGAGTCGCTACAGACGATGCCTGAAGATTCCGATGTGCGGAACCTTAGCGGTGCAGAGATGGCCAACGGCATTTCTGACGACGTAAACGCGCTTTCCCTCTCCGCTCGACAAGCCTCCTCATATCTGGGGGTATCCTCCATAAACGCAGTGCTCAAGGTGATCGTCTGGCTTGACCCGGGCTGCTTGGGCTACTTCTCTCGCATTCCGGCTGTCAACCGCCAGGACGTGGCCATGGACTACCCTCCCCCTCCTCCTCTTTCAGACATCCAGACTTGGGGCTCCTCTCAAGCCCCGCCCGAGACACCCCCGCAGCCCCAGTTGCAAGCCACCGATCAACAACTCCTCGACGCCTATTTCACATACTTTCACCCCTTTGTTCCCATGCTGGATGAGCAGTGCTTCCGCGAGACTTACATCACCGGTCGGCGGAAAGATGATCGCTGGCTTGGACTGCTCAACATTGTCTTTGCGCTCGGCAGCATCGCTGCGGGCACGGCGGACGATGTATCTCATCAGACATACTATGCACGCTGCAAGAGATACGTGAGTCTGGAGTCACTAGGTTCCTCACACATGGAAACCATCCAGACTCTGGGTCTTTTGGGTGGCTATTACCTCCACTACATCAGTCAGCCAAACCTGGCGTATTCGCTGATGGGAGCGGCACTGCGCATGGCTGCCGCCTTGGGGTTTCACAAAGAGTTTTCGGACAGCCCAGACGGGCTGAAGAAGCAGATGATATCGTCTTCCGATCTCAAGCGGCGTGTATGGTGGTCGCTGTTCTGCATGGACACTTGGGGCGGGATGACTCTCGGTCGTCCGAGCATGGGCCGGTTTGGCCCGACCATCACGGTCAAATTGCCCCATTGTCGAGAATCGGTATGTTCCTCTCCTGTTAACGACACTTCTCATATGCAGGACTAACAGATACCAGGAAAATGTTCTTGATATCCTCCCATTGCTGGAGAACGTCCGATTCTGCAAGATCGCCACTCAGATCCAGGAGGTCCTGGCTGTGTCGCCGTTGACGAGACACCATGAGATGTTCCATTTTGATAACCAACTCCTCGAATGGTACGAGAATCTCCCGTACATTCTGAAGGATCACGAGCCATGTTCCGAGTCCATTGCGATCACAAGGACGGTGATGAAATGGCGTTACTATAACCAACGCATGCTGCTGTACCGGCCAACGCTGCTGAGCTATGCCATGCGTCGCGTTCCCTACATCGCGCTGCGGTCTGAAGAGCGCACCTCAATTGAACGATGTCGCGACATTGCAGAGGCCACCATCCAAGACATCGCGTCGACAGCGCAGTCACACGGGATGTCGGGGTGGAACGCCGTCTGGCTCCTGTTCCAGGCAACAATGGTTCCGCTCTTGGGGTTGTTTCTCAATGATGGCACCACCAACGACCCTCGAGCGAGCATTGAATCATGCCAAGGACAGGTAAAGATGGCAATGCTTACTCTGGCACGGCTGCAGCCGTGGAGCCCGACCGCCAAGCGAACGCTTGACGCCGTCGCCCGCATTTTCGAGGCCAGTAAACGAGGGTCTGACATGGGTGGCGACATGAACGGGCAGTACGGAACTCCGCGGGACAGCATCGTCTCCGGCGTCGCACCCCCTGCCATTTTGCCGTCCCAGAATGAATTCGGCAGGGGTGTCATGGTGGCCAACGAGGTCAGCTTTACAGACCCTTTCGCGCCGTCGTTCATGGATGATTCGGCTGGGCAACAGCTGTGGGACTTCCTCAGCTGGAGCGACAGCAATCTATGGCCTGGCATTGCCGATCTGGACTGTTCACCGGAGATCAACCTATTTGGGCCGGATGAGAAGGGTCTAAAGTACGGAAACAATGCCTCGGCCTTTTTCGGGCTGAGCGATTCTGCCTATTATCCGAATCCCCCGCTAGCTTTTTACTAGTGGCAAACGGTGCGGTCGAGATTAATATGCTTTATGCTCGTTGTTGATCCGAATTCCGGACTTCATTTCCGTTTTGTTGATCATTCTTCTCTTGGTTCAGCTTATCACCTTCTCCTGATTCCCCACGTTTGCCTTGTGATTTTCATTTTATCATTTTGTTTTATTTTACTTTTACTTTCCTTCCGTCAATCGTTACGAGCGAATGCATACACGACGTGATGTACAGAAATTGATCTCACCAGGATTGGGATATAAATACAGTGGACTCGGCGGGACTTGTATATATGTCATGCCCATCGGTAGTCCTGCCGTCTAGCCGCCCAAGAATTGGGCTTAGTCTTTCGTTTATGGATATTAGCCAGGTGTTACGAATTGATTATGTCATTTTTCAGTTTACTGTTGAGTAGAAGAAGCACTTTGTATAGAATAAACACTGTGTACAGACTCCCTGGTGTTGATGGAATTGACGCACAACATAATGCAGATCATGTGACCTTTTATGCCTCCAATGCAGATGACTAATCCCTTTCCCGACCACCTTCCCAGCAAATCCAATCTGGATATACAACTTGCGGTGACCATCTGCGAGTCAACATCTCAGCCACGTCCATGGGCGCCTAAGAAACAATCTCCTGGCTATATCCATCAAGAACCATCCAAGGCATTCTAACTCCACTACCCATGAGCCCTTGAATCAGCATCACCACCTCCACCCAAAAAGCCACCATGGCGTTCACACCATTCTTCCAACGACCTTCACTGGTCTATGGTTCTGCCATCGCACTCCGCGCCATCCTCCTCATCTATGGCGCATGGCAAGACGCCCACTCAGCCGTCAAATACACCGACATCGACTACATGGTGTTCACGGACGCCGCGCGGTATGTCGCGCATGGTGCGTCGCCGTACGCGCGAGACACGTACCGCTACACGCCGTTACTCGCGTGGCTGTTAACCCCTACCTCCTGGACTTCCGCCGGAGGTGCTTTCTTCCTCTTCGGGAAGGTTCTGTTCGCGCTCTCCGATGTGTTAGCGGGTTGGTTAATCGTTAAATCCCTGACCTCGGCGGCGTATGGGATGGATGTGGTGCGAGCGCGCAAGTACGCGGCCGTGTGGTTGCTGAATCCCATGGTCGCGAATATCAGTACCCGGGGCAGCTCGGAGGGGTTGCTTTGCGTGTTGGTTGTTGCGTTGTTGTGGGCTGTTCTTAGGGGGAGGGTTACCCTGGCGGGGGTGTTGTTGGGTCTGAGTGTGCATTTTAAGATTTATCCGTTTGTGTATGGTGCCGCGGTGGTTTGGTGGTTGGATGGGGAGAGGGAGGTCGCTCTTAGGAATGCAGTGGATGGGGAGAAGGCGAAGGCGAAGGCCAAGACCTCGTCTCAGTCTACTGCTTCTGTGAAAAAGAACCAGGAGGAGGAGGAGGACATCCTCTCACAAATCTCCTCCTTCCTCACCCCCTCCCGTCTCCATTTGACTCTCACCGCGCTGGCCACCTTCTCGGCCCTCAACCTCTCCATGTATATCATCTATGGATATCCGTTCCTGCATCATACCTACCTGCACCATGTCACGCGGATCGACCATCGACATAATTTCTCGCCCTATAGTACGCTGCTGTACCTGTCTGCGTCTGCTATGGGAGCACCACCAGGAGCACCACCCGGTACAGGAATAGGGTCAGGGGCGGAGGCAGAGATCGTGCACGGCTCGTTCGAATCCCTCGCGTTCATTCCGCAGTTGTTTCTCTCCGTTGTGGCTATTCCGCTCGTCTTGGGGAAGAGGAGTTTACCGGGGACGATGCTCGCGCAGACGTTTGCGTTCGTGACGTTTAATAAGGTTTGTACGAGTCAGGTATGTTTTTTTCTTCATTTTCCGTCTGCTTTTATGTTGGTGGATTTGATGGTATTATGGAATGCGATGGAGATGTCTCTTTCTCTTGCCCATTGTTCCTTAAACCATAACATCACCACTACTATCCCTAATCATAATCCTCATACCCATACCAATACTCATACTAGTACGAAGAAATACTAACAACCCACCTCATTCAAGTACTTCCTATGGTACCTTGTCTTCCTCCCCTTCTACCTACCAGAGTCATCTCTTCTCCAAAAACCAAAACTCGGTCTTGTAGCTGCTGCGTTGTGGGTTCTTGCTCAGGTTCGTCTACCCCTTGCCATACTTCTCTCTCCCTCATTTTTTGTCTTATGATGGAGTGTATATCATATTATCACTTTGTGCTTTTACCCATCTACCTTCTATCCAATCCAACCTATATTATCCAATTCACCCCAACGCACCCCAACACAATCCAGAAAACGGACCCTCTCCAAAAAGCCATTCCTCCCTCAAAACAACCCTACCCCCAAGAAAAACACACTGTCTAATAAAAATAACATCACTAGGCCCTCTGGCTCTACCAAGGCTACCTCCTCGAATTCATCGGGCTATCGAGCTTCGTCTCGGGCCTGTATCTCGCGGGGCTAGGGTTCTTCGCGGTGAATGTTTGGTTGTTGGGGATTATTGTGGGGGATGTTGGTGCTGTTTGCTAGATTATGTATTTTGTTTGTTAATTTGTTGGTCGGTTAAGAAGGTTGGTGGGTTGGGTGGGGTAGGGATAGGGATAGGGATAGGCTGCGCTGGGTGATAGGATAAGAATCGCCATTATCATCATCATCATCATGTGTTTAACTAGAAAGTACATACTGCATAGTAGGCTGAGGGAGTTTGTTGGGTGTAGTAGAAGACAATGGGTAGGTAATCTAAATGGATTCTTATAGTTCATTGCATTACATTTAGCAAGCAAGGTAGGTACCTAGTTAGTTAGTTACCTAATAGGTTTCTCTTCGACAGTACATACAGTACATATAAACAGTTTCTATAAAATTCCCAGTTGACCTGACCGAGAAATCGTATCTTGGCATTGAGGCTGCGAGTGAGCCATCCAGAAAGGGGGAGATGGAAGGAACAAAAAGAGGTGGGTGCATAATATTCCATGAACCTAGAAAAAGAGTCTTGTCGGTTCATGTAACGGGGAAAGCAGTCGGTTTGCTGCTTCTGCTTCTGCTTCTGCCTGTGTCTTGTCTTGTCTTGTCTCTACTACTCTAGTCATCACGACACCATACCTTCCACGATTCTCGACACCCAGTACGGCATCATCGATTATCGTCCGTTAGCTGCTTCCTGTTCCTCCCACATCTGGTAGACTGGCGATACGGCAACGATGGAATGAAGGAGGCATTAATATCAATTTATCAGTCATCCTGGAAAGCAAAGCGCCTCTCGTCATCGGGTCGCCAGCCATAACGCTCGGCTAGGATATGGATTTGACGCTCGGTTGGCAAAGCGAAGAGGACGTAGCCTAGTAATTACTGATTTAGTACATTCCAAGAGGGCAACCGACGCAGTGAATATAAAGAAAATGGGGAAAGGGGGCATATTACCATATTGGGCCACTCGTCTCGTTCGCCACGAGGAGATTCGCTCACGCAATTTCGAGCTCGATGCCCGATCCACCGCCGTCTGACGGTGATCTTCCCCATCATCATCATCATTGAGACTCTCGACGTGCTGTAGCATAGCTACCACGGAATCAAAGCGCCCGTGCCAAGCGTTCTCAATCAGGGAGTCGAGGCGGTGATTTCCTGTCTGAATAACCGGCAAGATCAGACCCTCACCAGCGTCGGCGGATAAGACATTAGGGCGAAGTCCCGTTTCGAGCTCGTATATCATCGAGGCCATCGCGAACCGATCCGTCGCATCCGAGACGGTCTCCGCAGGTCCGTTCATGAGAACCGGCAGAGAAGGATTCGGGTATCCGAAGGGCCAACTGGAGCCGAAATCACTCAGGACTGCGTGCCCATGGGGGTCGAAGAAGATGTTGTCTACGCGGATGTCGGAATGGGTCACCCGCAGCGTGTGGAGATGCAGAAGCGCCCGGATGAGATCCTGATACCACAGGATCCGATCGGACTGCGAGGCGGGAGAGAGGGCGGAAAGCGGTCGGTATTTGCGCAGATAGATCTCTCGGGATGATCCACATCAAGGACCTCGACGATGTTGGGGTGGGGACGCTCCGCTAGCCGACGCAGGATGGCCCTCTCGTCTTTCAGAAGGCCAAAGTGGAAAATGGTTTCCGAAGCATAGTCCCACAGAGCTATGGGGGTCGCGTTCTGTGAAAGGGGCTCGTAGATCCGGCACGTCTTTAACACAATGTCGTCGACATTGTACACTTGACCGGCTGTTCCGACGCCGATGATGTCAAGGCCCGTCTGATACTGAATGGTCAGGCATGTATCTGCATAGCCCGATGGGCCATTCGACTTGGGGAGATCTTTTGCAGGAGGTTGTTGGAGCTCCGAAAGTTGACTTCCTGTGAACTTGAAGGCAGTTTGACAGAGGAATTGGATCAAAGGGAACACAGCCCAATATACGGCAGAGAGTAGAAGGGACCAAAAAGAGCCAATGAACGGGGGCATCTTGCTGGGCGAGACATGCCGAGGCTGACTGAGAGAAAGAGAGGAAGTTGAAGTGAGCGCGGTGCGTCTAAGGTGAAGGGGGATCACGTGCAGGGAGGGCTCGTGGTCTGTATTATACATGTGGTTGAAGTACGAATCGAATCAATAAGTGCTATTGATTTGAAAAAAAAAATAATATTATTGGTAATCTTGTTTTAAATCATGCTGATGATAATAGGCATTCAAAGAAACGAAGACCTCTCACTCTCAGTAATATAATGAGACTGGCTGTTAAGACGATATCTGGACATTCGTCTGGACTGACATCTGACTATCTGACGATTTTAAGACTTTCATTCAGTTGATTTGATTGCAGACAATATGTCGGTGAAGGAGTGAATGATAGGATGCTAAGATATGAATCATATGGGGTATCGGGCAAGGTATCGGATCGGGCAAAGGTACGATACTGTTTGGAGATCAATAGATCAATATCCAACAGATATCAAGACCGGTCAAGGTTTGGAAACGTCGGCAATAATCTTATACGTCGACGCATGAATACTCAATGGTCTGGTGCGCGGATACACCGCCCCTACGATCTGATGGTTGGGTCCGTACTGCGGATAAATGCCATCCGAGAGTTCGACAAAATGCGCCTGCGGTCGACTCTCGTGCAGTGTCTCCAGGATACTCTCGCTCCACAGCCCGCAGCATTCCGTCCCGACGAGCTGGAAGTACGGGTTCAGCGGTGGACAGGCCGAGTCGAGATCGATGAACCGGATGCGCATGTAGTCCAGGTCCTGGTGAAGGCGGAGGCTGTGCACGGCGCCGACGACCAGGTTCTCGAACGAGCGGATGAAGTTGAGGTTGGTGATGCCGGAGAAGTCGTCGAAAAAGGGGAGGTTGGAGGGCGAGCCGGTGCGTTTCTCGCGGCAGCAGGTCTTGACCACCAGGTCGAGGGACTTGAGCTTCGATTTGGAGGTGAAGGGCGTGTTCGTCGACATGGTGCGCGCCGCCTGGAACATCGACGCGCAGAGATTCCCCGTAAAGGCCAGCGATTCGACTCGCGGCGCCACGTCGCCCAGCAGCCGACATAGATGCTGCACGTTGATCCCCTCGCCGAGCCAGCCAGATTGTGAATTATCCTTGTTGTAGAACCCTTCGAGGCTGATGTTGACGTGCACCAGCGACGAGGGCAGCCGGCGCAGGATGGCCGCGATGGTGTCGTAGCCTTCGACCTTGGGCTTGGCGTAGGCGCAGTGCCACTCCCGCAGCCCCGGGAGCGCGTTCGACAGCGTCTGCCAGTGCTGCGGGCTTCGCATGATGTTCCAGGCGCCGCGCATGACAAACACCTGAATGTCCGGGAGGCAGGGGAGCGCTTGGCCCGACATGCCGGCGGGGTCGTCACGGAAGTGGTGAATCATGGGAGGTCGCTTGCAGTGACCACCCTCCAGGGTCAGAATGCGGGCCTCGGGGAAGCAGCTCTTGACGTGAGCGAAGATCTCAGCCAGCGTGGCGTTGTGACTGGCGTAGTGATATTTATAGTCGCCGCTGCGATTGGGAGGATCGGCGCCGTCGGTCTGGGTGCCGGCCACGTCGGCCCATTCGACGCTTCCCTCCCAGCCGTGATATCGACGCGAGGGGATCTGCTGCGGGACGTGCTTGGCCGCCCGTTTCCCCCAGACGGGGATCCACATCTCGATCTGACGCACATACGGGGCGAGATGCGGGTGCATGGCAAACCAATGGGCGCATTCGGCCAACTCGTCGGTGGTGCCCTTGATTTTGACTGGTTCAGGTTAGATAGACGCCGGAGAGATCAAAAGTCACGAACTAACTGTGTCTGTAGATCCGCTCCTGCACCAGCGACCTCCATACTGGCGAGATGAGCGACAGGTTCGACAGAGCCTTCCGACGCGGATGACGTAGGGATTTGTTCCAACTCCGAGCCGATGGCTTGCTCGGACCGGCGGCGGTCAGGGCGGACGTGCGTTCCCCGAAAAGATAGTCCAGGATGGCCTCGTAGATCTCAATGGGCAGGTTCTCGAATTGCAGGCAGGGCTGGTCGGACGTCTCGACGGGGTCGACCTGAAGGACGGCCTCATCCATCTCGGTATCTATGGGAGACTGGCAGGCCAGCTGACCAGGGGCGGAGGGCGGAGGAAGGGGCGGCGAGAGATCATCGTGAGCCTGGTATTCGGCGCTGGTGCAGCGGGTGGATTTGGAGTATGGAATCGTCGACACGGACGCTCTCGCCAGCGAATTGACCGAGACGGGACGGGGAGGCGGAATAGTGGATAACATGGGGGGCGAGCGGATAACGTGGGGAAGATCTGACGGAAGAGAGTAGAAAAATCAAATAGGTATCAGGAATCGTAAATCGTAAATTATGGCTGGAGAAAAAGAAGGAAGATTAGCGAAAATCGAAGGACGATAGGACCGAAGGGAAATAGGACAGGGGATAAAAAAGAGAGGGGCGGACCTAGCGAGAGAAAGGAAAAAGGTCGTATGACGGATGGGCAGACCAGGTCGACCGGAGCGAAGCGATAAGAATAAGAGCGAAGGGCCCCTTCAAGAGGGGAGACAGCGAAGAGTAGAAAATCACCAGCCAGCGTAGTCCATGGCGGAGGGGTTCAGGCAGTCGGGCAGAAGAACAGAACGGGGGGGATGAATGACGGTGCCGATGACGATGGCGGAGATGGACGGAAGGGATGGATCGAATGGATGGATCGAACAGTAGTAGAAGTATGGGATGGAGTTGGATGGACGGGGTGGGGAGGAAGGAGAAGGAGAAGGAAGAAAGAAGAGAAGATGGAAAGAAGGGGAAGAAGGGAAGAAGGGAAGAAGTGGAAGAAAGGGAGTAACAGAAGAGGAAGAGCAAGAGGCAGACAGGAAGAGGAGGGAAAACGGAGAATGTCAGGCGATAAGAAAAAAAAATCCAAAAAGGAAAAAAGGAAAAAGAAAAAGACAAGAAAAAGAGGATTTTCTCCGCTCAGCTGAAGGGCAGCAATCAATTGGTGAAACCGCCGACGATCGAGAATCAACGCAGATCCATTCTAAGAATATCTTTTGCACTTTGGCTCGCAAACATTAATTAATTCTCTACCGTAAATCCTTAATTCAGGAATCTTTCCCTCTGGTGAAACCGACTATCGACTGTGCGACGTCATCTATTTGAAGGGGTGGCCAAGGGTTCATTCAATGATCGATCCCTTGCCCATATCCCTCGTCTCTGCCCTCGCTCTCTTCTGGATTCAGGAGTCAGGAATCGGATGGTTATACGGATAGTTCAAGCATAAAGAATCGATCAGCCAAGGAAGGCCAGACCGACTGCTAAAATGTGGGCGGACCCGCAGCGTTATTCGGCTCTCCACCCGCATCGATCCTCTTGGGGTATTGCATCTGGAGACTTGGGAGAGAATTCTGTGCAATCAGTGCAATCAGCGCCGCCGTCGGAATCGGAATCGCATCTCATCCTCGCTATCGGATTCTCGCTCCTGGCGACTCCGTTTCTGACTGACCGCTGGCGTCTCTGTGCGGGCCACCGACGCAGCGCGAGATGTCTCCCCTTCCTCTGCCTCCTCCGCGTCCTGTCCCTGTCCTTCCGGTCCCTGACTGATCGCTGGCGGACTGCGCTCGGTCGGTCGCTCGCTAACCCAGTAATGCTCGCCGATACCGAAGTCCTTCCGACTCACCTCTTCCAACGGCACGATCACTGTTTGGATACGATGACGCGCCTGCCCGCCGTCGCCTTTGCGCCGGAACTTCTTGAAGTTCTTGCGCCCGTTCCATCGATCGTCCCAGCGTTGGTCGCGGTCGGCGTCCCGGCGCGACGGCACCTCCATTTCCTCTACGATGGCCAATCCCTTCAGCTGCTCCACGTTGACGTCCTTGAGGGAATCCTGCAGCGACGCCGCCTCCTCTTGCCGTCGAAGACGCTGCGCATCCTCTTCGGCCTCCCGGTGCTGACGGGCGGCTTCGCGGATGTCTAATTTCCGTCGCTTGGGCCGCGGCGACTCCTCCGCTTTCAGCTGCGAGGCCGGCTCGGAGCTTTTCTTCATCGTCTCGGCACGCCGACGCTTCATCGCCGCGGCGCCGGGGAGTAAACTCGACAGGTCCTCTTCTTCCTGCAGGGTGCTGTCGAGTTGCGTCTGAGGCTCGATAGACGGTTCGATCTCCATAGACGGGGCCGGACCGTCATCGTCGTCTGGGGCATAAGCGGGGATGGCGTTGATATCGAAGCCATCGTCGAAAGTTTTCATCTTGCTCTTAAAGCTACGCACGCGGGGTCCTGTAGCGCTTTTCGTAGTCGCCTGCGTGGGTGCTTCGTCGGACTGCGATTCCGGCACCATCTGGACGTCGGCACTGGACGGTGGTGCAGACACCAACGGCTCTGCAGGCAGCGGAGGTTCTGACGACGGCGGTTCTGATGACAGGACCGACTCGACCTGCCTAGCTGGCTCAGCTGGCTCCAGCGTCATACACAGCGACGTCGCGTCGTTGGCCAGGATGGCGTCCAGGAACTCGCTCTGTTCGATGACGCGCTGCTCCGTCAACACGCCCACCCGGTCGCTCAGCCCCTGCGACCATTCTTCGTAGCGACCTTTGCCGCGGTAGCGAACAAGGACCACTCCTCCCCGACCCCTCTTCCTTCTGCCCAACCCGTTGCGACCGGCCATCGTGCGCATAAATTGAACAATATCCTCGGCAGTGGTGACACCGTTCTCGATCCGATACAGTAGAGCCTTGCCATGGCCATTCGTCACGGCATCCTGTAAATTCTCATACTGCGTAGAGTCACCAAACACAAACGTATATCCATCGAAGACATTAATACGGTCGGGGTTCGGCGCAAACGCCTCCTTCGGTCTCTGGACGGCCTCTTTACCCGGTGGAGGAAGATGCTCGGTCGGGTCCGGCCAGGCCGAGTCAAAGTCCGCCTCCAACGGGGACAACGACTCCAGGTTATCCAGATCGCTCGGCGTCGCGGCATACACCAGCGCGTCGATATACGAGTCCTGCACGATGTGCATGCCGTTGACCAGCGCTTGCAATCCCTTGGCCGTATTGCGCTTATTCTGCACCACATGGGTCGTCTGGCCCACGACGTAGGGTATCACGGTTTTGACATCCAGATCTTCCAGTCGGCTTCGGACGCGAGCGAGGGGGTCGTGGGCTTTGAGATCTTTCGAGGAGAAGGAGAAGCTGAGGACGACTGGTTCCCATTTGATTCTGCATGAGCCTGTCAGTACTTTCGCCTCACCTTGAATGGTCATCGCAGCACGCACCGCAAGTCATGCTTGTACTTGCCCAGTCGGAGGATATGCTCGTCCTGGGTCAGGCGGATCCGGCGGCCCTTGATATCCTCCCCGTCGACCGTCGTGCCGCATTTCGACTTCTCGTCGCTAACGGTGATATCCGATTTTGTGTAGATGTGGGACTAGACCATCAGTTAGACGGGTTGCGGAGGGATTGAGGCGGACCTCTTACGCCGTCGCCGGGTTTCACAGGGGCGACCTCGATGATCATATGCTTGCGGGAGATCGAGGTATTGGCGATGGCATGTCGTACTGCGATAGAACGAAGAGTCAGAAGAGCTGAGTTCAAAAGTGGAATGAAGAATGCAAATACCTCCATCCTGCAAGACCCGACCGAAGAGATACTTCTTCCCCGGCCGCAGCCACACGCGCCGTCCTGGATCGATCAGAATCAAACTCTCATCGCAATCTGACTACCAGTACACTCACCTCCCAGGAAATCGCCCGCCGAGTCGAGAATCCACATGAGGGGCGAAATGCGCAAGACGAAATGGGTGTTTGGCCGCAGCGACTCCGAAGACGCTCCCCGGCACGTGCAACACGGGCCCGCCGACGCGAGCTCACGTGACGCGGCGGATCAATATCTGCCTCGTTGGGAAGGCAGTCATGTTCTCGCTCCCCAAACCATGGACGATGGATGCGGCCGAAGAGCCCATCGGGGACGAAATTCCGTCGGAAGCAAAAGGGAATGAGAAGGCGCAAGAAGATGAATACATGACGTTGAAATATTCTTTATTAGGTCCCTCTCTGACGAAGGCGGGACAAGATGCCGTGGATCAGCAGAGGGTGTCGGAAATCATCTACAATGCGTCCAAAGGGTCCAAATTCTTCAACCACGAACAGACCCGCGATCGGGTTCTGACGGAGAAGATCGCTCGGATCTTGAAAGAGAAGACGAGACTGGAAAGCCACGATCTCTCGCACGATCTGCGACGAGCCGATCAGCTGCTGACAGAGCTGGAACTCACTCGCGATCTGACGCAGCATGTCGTACATGTCGACTGCGACGCCTTCTTCGCGGCCGTGGAGGAGTTGGACCGACCCGAGCTGAAAACTGTGCCGATGGCCGTCGGCAAAGGCGTCCTGACGACGTGCAACTACGAAGCCCGCAAGTTCGGCGTGCGCAGCGGCATGGCGTCGTTCGTGGCCTTGAAGCTCTGTCCGCAGTTGATCCTACTGCCGCAGAACTATGAAAAGTACGGCGCCAAAGCGAAGGAGATCCGAGCGATCTTTGCCGAGTATGACCCGCTCTTTGAAAGTGCCAGTATCGACGAGGCGTACTTGAATATCACGGCGTATTGCGACGAGAACCAGCAGGACCCGGAAGAGGCGGTGCAGCGCATGAGGGCTGAGGTTTTGGAGAAGACCAAAGTGTCCGTGTCCGCGGGCATTGCGGCGAATGCCAAAATCGCCAAGATCTGTTCTAATCGCAATAAACCCAACGGGCAATTCCGGGTCCCCAATGACCGAGAGACCATCCTCAGCTTTATGAAGGAACTGCCGGTGCGCAAAGTGAACGGCGTCGGGCGCGTGTTCGAGCGGGAACTCGACGCGATCGGCATCAAGACCTGTGGCGACATCTATCCCCAACGCGCGCTGTTGACCAAGCTGTTCGGCGAAAAGGCCTTCCATTTCCTGGCGCAGTGCTACCTCGGCCTAGGAAGAACAAAGATCCAACCGGTAGAGAATGAGGAACGCAAGAGTGTGGGCACCGAGCGCACCTTTAGCGAGATTGGAAGCAAGGAGGAGTTCCGGCAGAAACTGTGGTCCATCTCGCAGGAGCTGGAGAAGGATCTGGCCTCGACACAGTTCAAGGGGCGCACTTTGGTGCTCAAGGTGAAGCTAGCTACGTTCGAGGTGCTCTCGCGGCAGTGCCAGCCTCCGAGAGCGGTGTCGGTCGCCAAAGATCTCTATTCGTTCTCGCTGCCCATGCTGGAAAAGCTGGAGAAAGAGGTTCCAAATCTAAAGCTGCGACTACTCGGACTGCGATGCACTAATCTCGTCAGCACCAAGAAGGCCGGCATCGACTTTTTTGGCTGGGCCACGCAGTCCAAACCTGCGGAACCCAAACCTGCTGAGCCCACGTCCGACACTGGCGATGTCAGCGAGCAAGAAATTAACACGGAAGAGGCCTTTGAGCGAGCTGCGCATCAGGAGCGGCAGGCGGAGATGAACGAGCTAGAGCAACTCAGTCAGGAAATCTCCGACCCGACAGCCAACGAAGACGAGGCCGAGGAGGCCGACGATACCCTTCCTATCGAGCTATCGGAACCGGTTTACTGGGAGTGTCCGATTTGCTCGCGACCTCACGCGGCCGATGATCGTGCGTTCAATGACCACGTCGACTATTGTCTGTCAAGGCAGACGATCAAGGAGGCGGTTCAGGGAGCGTCCCGAGAGGTGGACGACGGCCCGAAGCCTACTCAGACGACGACGCAGACGCAGACACGCAAGAGGAAACCGACGTCGACAGATGATTCGCGGCAGAAGCGGCTTTTTTTCGTTTGAAAATTGATCTGTTTTCATTGAGTCATTGGAGTGCGGGATGGTACGTATACGGAGGCATGATGATGTACATACTTGAGTCGATGTGAATAGCATCTTGCATAGAAGCAGTAACCCATTGAATCACAGATAAAGAACACTCGTAGTAAAAAGAAATAAAGATAAGATCGTCACATGGATGTGTTCAGGCACTAAGCCCCTTCAGGCACATCAGCCCATGCAGGGACGTTGAGGTAAATCGGTGCCATTCCGGATTCTTCCTTCTTCATCTTCCCATCTTCTTTCTTAAATCTTGCACACTGCATCCTCAATTCTTCATTCTTCATCCGTCATATTATCCCGCACTATACTTGCGGTGTACCGGTGGCCACTAAATGCAACGGGCGGGGAGGCTTCCACTCGACTAACACCGAACGGTACTAGAGTCGCTCTGGCGGTGTTGTTGGCACCTTCGACTAAACTATTCTTCTTCATCCTCATCCACCCTCAACACCCGAACGTCTATTTTAATTTTCTATTTCTGTTTCGTCCTTTTTTTTTTTTTTTTTTCTTCTTGCTCTACCTCCTCATATCCCCCGGCTGGGCCATCATGCTTACAGATCCCCGGGGACTGTCGCAATGCCATGAGAAGTCGCTCTCCTTTCTGCCCCTCGACTGCCGCAAGTATGACCTCCGATAAACAAAACAACAAACCCTTCACTCCCACCCTCAGCGCCGCCTTTCACCGTTCCAGCAAATCCCCCTTGACCCCGAAGCTGGCCACTCCCGCCGGATACCGCACACCGAAACGATTGGCTCCCTCCGACATCTCCTCGTCCTCCTCCAGACCCGATTCCGATTCCCTCCTGAGTGCCAACGTTACCCCACGGTCGGGATCTCGCCTCACCCGACGAGATGGCACCCCGTCCACCACCGGACGCAGCTCGCCCCAGACCCCCTACGTGCAGGCCAGCGTCGTACACCACGGCTCCAATGTCGGATCATACCGGACAGATCGCAGTCCTGTCCGCGCAGGGCGGTTGGAGCCGGCCAGGGCCACGAGAGCCAAGACCTTCACCAACGAGCCTCACCAGCTGTCTCGCTCGAATTCCGCCTCCAACGGTGCCTCGGGCTCGCCCATGTTCTTTCATGCCTCCGACGCGCGATCCTCTCCTTCTGAATTAGAACCTCATGCCCCTCATGCCCCTCCTGCTCCTGCTCCTCGGCCGCGACCGGGGAAAGCACCCTCGCAACAAACCTTCATCTACGCCAACGGAGCCGAGGAGCCCAAATCCGATGGACCGGGCGAGTCCACGGCCTACAAGCGACGGTCGACAGGGCTGTCTCGATCGGTGGTGGGTGCTAAACCGCCTCCCTCCGCCTCCCCACACATTATCTCGCCGAAACTGGGTCATGCCTCGCCGCGACTGTCCGACGGACTGCTGCCGTCGCAGGTTGGATCGCAGGTTGGGTCGCAGGACGGCTCGTCGGATGTGGGCTCTCGCGTTCACAGTCCTCCCTCCGGCAGCTTCTCCCCGCGACTTCCGGCATCGACACCACGACACTTTAAATCCTCGAGTATGGACTCCGGTCCGGGGGCTGGGGCTGCCACCTCGCCGCGGGAGGCTCTCCGACCGAGTCCGATCATCGTCTCGCCGGGGGACGCCAAACTCGACGCCGGCAGTCTCGCCTCGGAGCCCATTCCCCTTCGCCCGCGGATATTCAGTAACGGGTCGACGGCGTCGGCAGATACGTTTGCCTCGGCGCAACAGAGCCCGGTAAAGGAGAATGCCGCACCGAAAGACGATCCGGCGGCGGCAGCGCGCACGGAGCGCAAGATCATGGACCTGGAGATCAGCAACTCGTCACTGCTGGCAATCAACCGCACGCTCGAGCGCGAGATGCGGAAACAGAACGCCGAACTGCGTCGATTCCGTCGACTCAGCCGGTCTGGTCGGTTGTCCGTGGCGCCGTCGACGCGCTCGGTGTCGGGCACCTCGCTGAGCATCATGAGCGAGCTGGACGAGGGCAGCGAACGCTCCTCCATGCGCTCGCCTGACGAGCTGTCAGACTTCAGCGACTCGGAATCCACGGCCGAAGACGGGGTTATGAGCCCGGATTCGCAGGCCGACCACGACGCGCGACACCAAGCTCGCGATGAGAAACGGTTCTTCGTCGATCTCGCCAAGCACCAGGAATTGCTGGCGGATAGCCAACGCATGAACCAGAGCCTGAAGCGCTGTCTGGGGTGGACAGAGGAACTGATCACCGAGGCGAAGAAGGCCCTGGAGTACAATGTGCATGTCAACGACGTAAAGCTAGGCGGACGAGTCCTGTCACCGGAAGAGCTGAACGAGATTGGCGAGATAGCGCGGGACATGGCGCTGCCGGATGATTCTGATTCTCATTCCGATTCTGACTTCGAGTACGAATCTGATCTCGATCTGCCTGCATCGGAGTCCGCAACCATCACAGCGGAAACATAACTAGATACCCAGCATCTACTTCTTCTTTCATCTCTTTTGTGTATTTTTTTTCTTATTTTCTTTCTTTTTCTTCACACTTCAAGGCCTGTTCTTTCCAGCCCGCGAATACCCTTTCATTCTTTCAATTGACTCTTCGTTTTCTACTCTATCTTTTATACTTCCGTTTCACTCACCGCAGAGCAGAGACAGAGATTAGACAGCGGGCCTTGTCTTTTTCTTCTTCCCCTTTTCATCTGTTAGATCGATTTATCGACCTTAATACGCATACACACCATATATTTCCTTTCTCTATCTCTTTTCATTTTACATTCTCCATTTTCCTTATAATCCTCTGCTTCTACTCATCTCTGTTCTGTTTTGTTCTATTGATTCATTCCGAACGATTTCGATTCTATAAACGATATAAAGTGGCGAGTAGGTTAGGTCAGGCTAGGTTCTGCTAGATTAGGGTGATTTGATTTGATGTGATTAGAATAGTCAAGATCTGGTACTTTAGATAGATACCCGATGTTTTAATGATTCGATATGAGATTTTGATTGATTTGACTTGGTTTTGCATTAGAATTGACTTTGTTTTCTTCTATAGCGATGATCGCACGGTATCAACCCGGTCTACGAAGATTCGATACTGTTTGACTCTATTAAATAGGTACACTGTATACCAGCTGGGCTGATTATGTAGACGTTTTGATGCCTGAGGCAAGTAACCAAGCATGGCACCTTTTAGATGGGCAACACCCTGGAAGACCTCCTTTCTTCCTACATCAATTAACCCGTCAGTTCAGTATTGATCTAAATGATCCATTCCTTCCATTCATTTCATCATCTTTGACTGCTGCGGTGCACCCGATCTCTGCAGCACTTCTACAACTTGGACAGCATAAGATTACGACAACTCCGTGAATATATAAAAGGGATTCTACCTCTCATGAACATTCCAAATACCCTTTTTCAGTCCAAGACCGACAAGCAGGGGATGCGTCCATCCGTGATTGACCGATTCCACATTAGTTACAACCATATTACCATTATTATTGATGTGCTGTGATAACTGATAAGTTCAGGTCTCTATCTCGTACTAAGGAAAGAATCAATCCAACCCGACCCACACCCCCCATTCCGTTCCTCCCCAAAACCCCCAGTTTCTCGCATCAGTTAAGACAGTCGCAGCAACGGTTATAATCCCTGCAGGTATTTACTGGGTTGGTTTATGCCCTGGAACTTATCATTATAGCGTTTCGAGTTGAAATATGACCACCGCTGGAGACGGACATTTTCAACTCGACTATCATCTGCCAGACCCGCTGGATTTCCCGGATGTGAATCTGGACGAATTCCTGAACTGTTTCGATGATCCTCCTATCTCCTTGGACCTACAAGGTCAAAAGACCTGTCCAGCTCCGAACGATTCCCTTCATATCAGTGACCGAAGGAGTGGCTCACGTCAGGACGTGAGTGATTCGTCCTTTCCCAGAGAAAATGAGAAGAACCAACCGACAAACACCCCAAATTAACACAAGTTCTCCAACGTGTGGCCACTCTTGACATCCCCAAACCCCACCAGACAAGTAGTCGGCACGCACGGTCGACCGAACACCATCAATATGGAAGCATCCATTCATGGATTATTCTTCGAGGCCGACAAGTCGCGTACAGCGACAACTACGACAGACGGCTCGCCTCCCTCCGCAGACTTGATCTGCTACCGAAGGAATTTGTTCAAGGTCAATGCTACGGTATCACTCCCGCCAGATGGTGGATATCTAGCATTAGCCGAGGATCAGCGCATGGAGAGGATTGTCGGCCTCCACGCCCAACTCCATGCAATAGATAGCATGCAGAACCGGAAGACGGACCTGGTTACGGCGTCCTCTAAACATACGCCACCCGCTGGCCCGCGGGGGGGGGGGGGGGGACTCCCAGCCATTATTTGTGTCCATCAGACTCGATCAACCACGGGCAACTCAGTCACGTCCACGTCCACCAATAACTATCTCGTGGGAGCGGATCCGGATCCGGAAATCCACGATCAAATCTCCACGCCCTGAGTCCGAACAGACCTATCGAATCTGTGTCGAGGTCGTCGGTACTCTCTCCAATGGTCGTCTAGTCTCCTTGGCACGTTCGGAAAGCAGACCTATCATTGTGCGTGGAAGATAAATGTTACCTGTCAGATCAGCAAAACCTCCGAATCAGTCAACCCTGTCCAGTGGAAGCCCCAGTTCAAGATCTGACCCTTACAAACCCTCCCGTTCCCTTCCCTGAAACGCCAGCCGGGGGGAGCGCCGGGCGGTTATCAGAGGCTGGGGGAGGATGTGACATTGTTGAGGGTACAAGGCCGATCTCTACTGGCTCGTCAGTACCCCAATGCGGCAACCATGACCAAAAGCCTCCGGGCAATTACACTTATCTTCCCACGCCGGTCATGGACTGGTCTCCACCGGTGGAGGCCTTTTTTGTAAGTCACTCTGCCTGTTCTATCATATCTGTATACTCACGACTTACCCTGGCCGCCTCCTAGCGACCTCATCAAGTGCAACACCGAAAACCTGTGGAATCCGTCTCTCGCTCCACCACAAAGCGACGGTATTACATGCCAGACAAATCCAAGCCCGGATCTTAGCATCGTATCTCATGTCAAAGGAAGCTGGGCTCCTGTCCTCATTTAATTTATATCACTCTAGCAAGCGGTATCCTATTCCCTATATCCATTCCCATTGATGCAGCATTATTGGTCTTGTCAACACGAATAAGTAATGACAGGTCTTCCTCGTTGCCACATATCACGATCTGTCTTATCTATATCTAACTGGCCATTTTCAAGGGCTCCGTCGGCTCCGTCGGCTTATTTGCATTCATGGATAAATACGCGGACCAGAAGACAGCCACGGTATTAGAAACCAAAAGACGATATTGCAGAGAAACAAAGAAGTTGACCATCCGGACACCTGCCAATCCATGTTAGAATATTCACCCGTCCTTGAATAAAATTATATATCTATCTGATTTGGTTACTTACCAGGCCATAACTCATAATTCTGCAAAAGGACATCAGTGAATGTTGATTCCACCTGGTCCCTAGCTCTCTCTATTCGTCTGGTCACATTATCGCAGTTCGGCTGGGCCAATTGAACCAGTGTAAAAAGGCCCACGGTGGAGACGGGGGCAAAGACGAGTTGATCCGTCGCAACTTGGGCGACTGTGCTTGCGAGTTTCGATGAAAGCTGGATTCGAGTTTGCAGATATCTGTACCTTTTGTGTGACATATATCAGCAAATAAAAAATTAACCAATATACATTTTCAACATTCGGAACATGGTAAGGGTAGGTTCATTTATACCAAACAGCCATTGTCGGACCAGGCCATTTTCCTGGATCGTGTTGACCTTCCCAATTACCGCATTGGAACCCGAGGACGCAGGATCGCCAACCTCAGGTATGTCAGTTTTCCTCTCGGTCCGATCATCAGGCTCATTCGAGGACACGGGATCAACTAGAGTGGAACTGGAGCTGGAACTGTCTGCTGTCGGCGTGGGTATGATCGGGCTGCTCCTGGGTGCCGTCAATGCACTGCGTGGTTCTTGTCCGGTCAATTGTCGTGCAAGCGCTAGCTGGGCCTCGATGAGAAGAGATAGAGAATCGGACTCTGGTTCATTGTCGCTCTCCTGAATATCATCGGGCAGAACGGCCGGCTTTGGGTCGGATACCTCTGGGATGGCTTAGCAAATGACTCTTACAGGCTGCATCAGCCGGGAGAACTCACCAACGACCGGATACAGGTTCTCCTTGATCAGATCCCGATTTAGGTTTTTAGCCAGCGACGAAAAAGCCGGATCTGCTGCTTTTGTGCCAGCAGGCTCGATTTTGGCTCTAGTTAACGCCTTCCGATTCCGCGGTGGACAGATCAGGTGCTGTCGGAATCGGTGGTGCCATCGCTGCATCTTCACCTCGATTTGCAGGTCCATGTAGAATTGCTTGGAGCCATGGTGAAAGACAAGCGCAGTGTGCACGATAGAGTGGTGCACGGCCTGCCGTTCCAGCTCGTTTTCTTCCAGGTGCCAAACAAGTTGTTGATACCGACTATCTCGAGGGTATGTGTCGTCGGACGAGTCGGCTGCAAATCGCGCCCCGGTAAATTTCAATCGCAAGGTGTAGTTCACTTCCGACTTTCTCGACATCCTGGTTCCTTCGAAACTAGCATTGGCGGCTCCAACTTTGGGGTTAACCTCGAATGTCTTCGATACTTGTCGCTCCCTTTTTCGCCACTCAGAGTCTGCGGGCCAAAGAACTCTGTGACTTCGAGGCCTGAAATTTTCTTTCTAAATGGCGCTCTTACGTGCTTTTTAAGGTGGCTGTCAGCGTCGTGGAAGTTCATGGTGATGGTTGCTTGTGCAAGCTTGCAGTCGGCGGGTTGGTGAAATGTGAGGTCCAGGTACATCAGGCCGGAATCTCGACCACGGAGTTGTCCCAACGCATCTTGGACATAAGAAAGCAACAATCGACTCGCAGCCTTCCGACCTTGAGGTCACACAGACTAGCATCCGACTCAGTTTGGCATACATCGACATATTTAAACGGTTTGGTAGAAGGCAGTGGGAAATTGGAAGACATCGTCTCTGAGGGGTTCTTAACTATAGTTACGTGAAGGGAGGGAGGCCCCAGGCTGCAATAAATAGGGAGGGACTGACATGGATGAAGTAGTGCCTCCACAACCCCATGTTCCTTTTCTCAAGAGGAGGCGGTGCCAGCCACAGCTAACAGAGCGGCTGGGCTGCAGCGTTTCATTGACCTCTATGATTTGTGCTGCTTATGCAGGTCTGGGGCCTTGGCAAGGCTGTGCGAAGACCCAGCTATCTTAGCTGAAGGCAACCTCGTTTTTATTGTTTAACCATAGCCGCCATCGCTATGACGTCCAAAGTCACCATAGGCCCAAATTCTCATGCACCAGATCACCCTGTCACTGACAAAGAAGATGCGTCCGAGGCCCATGTTCATCCACCCTCCGAGACGGATGAAACTGATGATGAATTGGCACATCACCCCTATTCGAACGAGCTGAGACCGAGGAGTTCTACCGCGAGACCATCAAGAAGAATACCCGATGGCGTATCAAGTTCGGAATCGTCCTCATCCGTATCCACCCATCCCGAGGAGTGGCTGATCTCTTCCGGCGACAACGATAAAGACATTACCGTCCATGTCAACCTAGACGCAGGGCTGTATATAGAGCATTATTTGGACCATTTAGCTAGACTGTGTCGACGGGGGCATTTCAACCAGGGAGTCTGGCTATTTGAGGAGCGCCTCGCCCCCATGTCGATTTTTTTCCCCGTTGTAGCCGAATATGCAGACCTTTTCCTATAGCAAGAGAACTTCGGGCGACTTCAACAATTCATCTCTAGCCGCCTCGTTGATACTCATGTTAGCTTCTCCGACGAGAAAACCCTTTTACTGAAGACTCTGAAATCTCTTGCCGGCATTTATACCGGAGGGAGAGAGGTCGTGTAGATACTAACCGTAGGGATCACATTTTTATTTCCTGTCAGACGCAGAGGACCTTTACCGTCCTCGTTGACCTAGTGAAAGACAAAGTCAGGCGCCTGGGCTTTGAGCGCAGCAGGAAAGATCTCGTCCGGCATATTTTTCAGAAACTCGCGGCTGATGCTGGAGAAGTAGCCCACGGGAGCGACGTCAAGGTGCTCGGTCAAGCTGAATCCCAAGAGTTAGTATAGTATAAATCGGGGACAAACCTGTTCAAGACCACCGTGCCGACGTGGATCGGGCGTCCGGGGAGGCGAAGGTTAAGAGGCAATTTTGAGAGTAAGGCAATTGAATTATAGGAGAAATATTCTGAGAGAGTTAATTGACTGATTGAACACCGATTCTAGCAGGAAGTGACGGCTTTAATACTTCACCTTGTCCGAAGTGTTTGGCAGGAGTATACAAAGTCTTCGCATCTTTCCGCCAGCGCTCACCTAAACTTTCCGTCCGGCCCGCGTGAACTTGCCATCCGCAATCTACGGCAGTCCTTTCACGGCATATTAGACTGCGTACTGTGTGCAGTATAGTAGCTGCTGGAGTCTTAGAGGGATTCTACTATTTGATCTACTATATTTACTGCCATGCAAGCTTGGAGTAAGATTACCCGCTAGTGACCTTTTTCAGGTTAAAGTAATTGTTTGATAATAAATAATTATTTACTTGGTAGTGTTACTGGGTGCTTTAGGGGTGCTTTGTATTGCGATGACCTACGTTTGTATGGTAGTGTATATGGTGGGTGGGATGGTAAAATCCTGATGGGATTGATTCTATGTTGGGTTTCCGCAGTGGCGCGGCCTGTGGCCCGTGCAGTGTAACTTTTTGTTTAAACGATTGAAAGATTTAAGCAAGTTAGGTATAGTGTGCCTATAGAGTAACAAAGATCGCTTTCAGCCGGTAGAATTTATGGAAAATTAAATTCAAGTTTTTTGTTACTAGGCGGAGTACTCCGGGGTATAGTGTCTTGGCTTTCTGGCGGCCGCCCGCCTCCACTTGGTATCCGCCATCGGCCTCGGGAATAGATCTATGCCGAGTCGCGAGCACCGAAGACCCTGCATCTTGACAAATCCGCTCCCATTGAGGTGTTGGTGATCGGCACCAGCCTGAGCTTAAAAGCCGCGACAATTGCGTCCTTTGAATCAATAAGTCTGCGATTTCAGCGGCACGAGAAACAAGCAGCGACAGCGAGAATGGCGGCCATTCTTTTACAAAACGGCACTGTCTTGACCCACGACAATGACGATCATGTTGTGGCGTTAAGAGACCATGATATTCTTATCATAGGGAACAAAATACAAGCTATCGGGCAGGCCCTTACCTTGTCTGATAATACTCAAGGCCGAATCATCGACTGCAGCGGCAAAATAATTTCCCCGGGGTTTATTGATACGCATCACCACCTATGGCAGACACAGGTAGTTGCTATCCTTCAATTCCTCATCAATCATTGTGTTTCTGATGCGAATCGTCTTCTAGATGAAGGGCAGGTTTGGGGACTTGAAGTTCATGGACTACATGGTTGCAGGTATGTGATGGCAAGTGCCGAGCTGCTAGATTTCCGCAAGAACCATCGACCTTACTCACACACGCCCAGGCAACATCCAATCATTCAATTATACACCAGATGACATCTTCTGGGGCCAGCTGGGCGGTTGTCGAGAGAGTATTCATAGCGGGGTCACGACCGTCGTTGACCACGCGCATATGACATACTCCTCTGAGCATGGTGAGATCATTTATTTCTATAGCCTATAACGACTAACTAATTACTCTTTAGTAACCGAAGCAATCCGCGCGACTGCATCATCTGGATTACGGTCATTCTTCTGCTACACGCCCATCTGGCGTATTAAAAGTTGGTCATCATCTGAAGCCCAGTATGACGAAGACCTCCTGCCAGACTGGTGGTATCAGACACTGGAGTCGCTTGCTAAAGCCAATCCATTTGGACATCGACGAGTTATGCTTGGTCTAGGATTTGACGACTTTAAACTTCCCAAGGAGGAGGTTCAGAATCTCTGGGCTAAAGCTCAATCCCTTGGTCTCGGCCTTATCACCACACATTTCTGTGCGAATTATATGAAGAGTTAGTTCCACTCGTTTTTCCATCTCTAATTCCTCTTCATGAGAAACGTGTTCACGCCAAGGATTCAGACTCAGTCAAGCTCCTCAACGAATATGGCCTCCTAGACCAGCCCATCCTCTTCTCCCACGTCAACGGAATCACCAAAGAAGACGCAAAGACCCTCATGCAGCACAACGCTCACTTTTCCACCACCCCAGAATCAGAACTTCAAATGGGCCTGGGCGAGATTGTTGCTTTCCGCCCTGACATCAAGCGCAACGGCTCGATAGGTATAGACTGCCATGCCAATAACTCGAGTGATATCCTGACGCAACTCCGTCTTGGTATGCAACATGCCCGTGGTATTGAGAATACGGAAGCTCTAGGTGCTGGACAGTATCCCTCTGTGCAGATCAAGCTTGAAGAGGCCTTCAATCTAGCTACAATCCAGGGGGCCAAGGCTGTTGGGATGCAAGATCAGATTGGACGGATTGCTGTTGGAAAGCACGCAGATTTGGTGATTTTTGACACAACCTCACCCAATATGGTCTGTGCAGCAGAAGAAAATCCGTTGGCTGCTGTTTTGCTGCATGCTAACGTGGGGGATATTGAGATGGTGATTATTGACGGGGTTGTTCGGAAAGAAAAGGGCAGATTACTTGATGCGGAAATTCTAGATGGTCCTAATGGCCAGGTGATCAAGGTGCTGGATCAGAGAGAGCTGTCAAAAAGGCTTCTCACGAGTCGCGTGGAAATTAACAAGCGGAGGGAGGGACAAAATGAGGAGAAGGGGATGGAGTTCTTGTATAAGACCTTTGGGTGAAGAGGTTAGCTGTCTCGCGCTTTTATGTCTATTTAATAGTGGTGTGCTTTAGTTGAGTTAGTGAGAGCTTAAGGTGTTGCTATTATTATTACTGCTAACTATCATTCTCTAGGTTTACCATTTGGATGTACTCTGTACTGGTCTTCAGCTTGGCGCTGTTGGGAAAGCTTCATGATCTAGCCATAGTAGGCTTAACGTCGTGAACTAACGCAGGTGCTAATCCAAACACGGTAATTGATCTCCCCGACCCCCCGCAGGACCCGAAGGAAACTAAGAGGAAGTTATCACAGTCAATCGTTCCGCTCAACACAATTGGTTGGAGTCTCGTTGTCTCTCTCGGACTTGGAAAGATCTTTTCTCACATGTAGCTGTCAGCATTGAAGGGATTTTCCAAGAAACTCGAGCCACCTTACTTCATTATTCCGGCATGGCAGACAACCAGACAACCATCGTGCTAGCTGGCGACTTCAATTGGTGAGGTGAATATATGGGACTTCGAGATCATAATAGTGCACTTGATTGTAGAAATACATGACATCTACATTGGTTCATTACTTAAAAAAGTAAGTGAAGTTTGGCAAATAAAATACCGATTGCTAGCATTTACTTCTTGTACTCCTACTGATTAATATATAGCGACATATTCCCGTCGGGTGAACACCTACATTAGAACCATCAAAAAGTTGGGACAAAATATCATGGTTGCAAGCTCTAAGATTGAAGCATTATCTTTGAAGACAAATTAAGTTCCATACCGATGAACTTCACTGCCATGTTGATACTTCGAACAATTCGAAAAGTACGGGTTTGATGCCTGAGGCCAGAGTAAGCCACCGGCGCCAAGAATGATCAGGCATCAATCTAAATTTAGGCTCGCAATCCAGGCACTCGCCACTTTAGCTTTGACATCCATCTCCATCAAAACCCAATTATTCACTCAACGACAATGGAACCTAACCATAAATTCCAATGCCCCAGGCCGCGAAATATCCGGGCATGTGCCCACTGTCGCGCCAAGCGCACGCGTTGCTTGCGCGAGCTCGCATATTCTCCGTGTCGGCGGTAAGCTTAATTAAGAACCGGGAGGCTGATCATGACCACTGGCTGACGAGGCGAGAAGCTGTCAAGCATTGCATTTACCATGTCAAATAGACGATCGCACTGCGTCCGCAAAGAGTGCACGTCCGACTGCGTCAAAGTTAGAAGAAATTGACGTGGTGTCGGGATTGTTCGGCGCGTCGCAGAAACCGCCTCCATCTGACAACCTTGTCGGTTTTCATAATCGCATATTTAAAGAGAAATTTTGGAGATCCGAGTCAATTCCGACAGATCAGTTACCACATATCTCCGATGGACCGGGCGTGCGACCGCGAGTGCTGGATCAGAAGAGGGCCGATGAGCTAGTAGAGAGGTTCTGCGCCAAGAATAGCTATTTTCCGTTTGTGACTGTTCCGGACGATATTGCTTCTCCGGAGCATCGGTTTTTGTATCTGGCGGTCTTAACAGTGGCTGCTACGGAAGACATGCCTTTGTTGCGAAGTCTCGATACTCGGTTCCGCGCTGTGTTGGCGGAGAGGGTCATTGTTGCGGGAGAAAAGAACCTGGATTATCTCCAGGGGTTGCTTGTTTACCTTGCTTGGTAAGTTTTCATCAAAAAACTTAAAGATAATGCTTAATGGATACTAGGTATAACATGAATGTCCGTCCAACGAACTTGCAGATCCATCAGTATCTGCATATCGCCGTTTGCATGGTGTCTGAACTTCGATATAACGATGAGGCTTTTTTAGCCGCTGATCAGAATTCTTCTACTATCAGTGAAGCCAAAAATGCCTGTTTGGGATGCTACTATCTCTCCTCACTGTAAGCATCTATCTGCAATCCGAAAGACGAGTCTGATGTCTTAGGATGTCAACCCAAAATAAACGGCCAAATATCGCTGTTCTTCCGGAAACTCTCAAATCATACTTTTCCGAACCAACCCAGTCGGACTATCCACACGCACAAATGATGTCGCGCTGTTTTCAAATGCAGATGAACGTAGAGGCGGCATACCGGAATGAGAGCCCAGTGCATGAGATATTCAGAGATGATTTTCTAGACACCCGTAAGTCATGATCCTGTATGCAAGAGTCGAACTCATGAATTTCAATCAGCGCCAATCAAAATCGCACATTTGTTCCTCTCCTTCTTCAAAGCATACACTCCTACTTTTCACCCGGACCGAAGCACCGCCGCCGGCCTTCAGGCAATCACCACCACCGCAACCGAATTTCTAAATTATCTCGTATCGCTTCCCATGAACGAACTATTCAATTTCACCATTGCAGAATGGACTCGACTGATAGTCGTTATCCGCGACGTTTTAGAGTTCCTCTCAGCCGCTGCAAGTCAACCAGACCTTATTCCAATAGCTCGAGTGCATGCCCAACAAGTATCCGTCCTCCTCGAATGCCTCGCCAACCGTCTGACGCAGGGATCCCAGTCGGGTCGTAACCCTGGCGAATTCCCGGATATGCTGTACCTATTCAAATCAGTCTTAGATCTACTACTTCCGGTTGAAGCGAAGATTGGGTTACCTGCCGAAGACGAGCAGGATCTAAGCCAAACTGCACATATAGGTCCCCAATTCAAGCAAGGACAGTGTCCTGCATTGGTGGGTATGCGGAAAACGGACTTCTGGAGTGCGTATCAGAATAACCTGGCTGATATGCCTTCCTATGATCTTGAGATCGACTTTGGCGATCTGTTCGGGGATGCGCCGGGGGTGGAGCTGTCGCATGAAGAGTGGATTGATGCTGCTAATACGTTGAACATGTGAGGCCTAGCTTCAAGATTTATATTAATGCAGGATAGCTCTCTACTCAAATCATGATTTACGACTTTATAGCAGACATTCTCTAAAAGCACCTGTTGATCTTGACTAGCAAACGCAGACATCACCTCTAATCCACCCCTCAACACAAATACCATCTAATCCCTAATAAACTCCCCATCCAGACCCCTGGGCAAATAATCCAACCCCCTCCTCGCCAACCCCTTCAAAGTCTCCCCTCTCCTGCCCTCTAGCAGCCACTGTTCGAACATATCAACTCCCGCAAACGCACCCCCAGATGTCCAAACCTTGCCATCCACAACCCATCTCTCTTTCTTCCACTCCGTGGTAGGACACTCCTTCTTCGCCACGTCAAGGAACTCCCAATTCGTCGTCGCCTTGACTCCATCCAACAGTCCCGCCTTACTTGCCACAATAGCACCCGTGCATGTCGTGAACAGGAACTCTACCTCCTTTACCCTCTCCTGGAGGAACGAGACATACGACTCCGGGATATTATTGAAGAACTGCGGCCCCGGACCTCCGAGAAGGAGACATGTTAGGGGCGGACAGGTAGAGAAAGTGGCAGTGGGGACGATGATCATCCCCGAGTGCAGTTTCACCGGGTCGAGCGTTGGCGCGAGGAAGATGAACTCGACGTCGATGGCGTGAGCGGCGAGGCCGGCGGGCATGTAACCGTCGGATTCCATCTCCGCGAAAAGCTGTTTTGAGGAGGAATGGATGAGGTCCATCGGGCCGACGACGTCGAGGACTTGGAAGTTGTAGAGGGGGATGCCGAAGACGTACTTCTTTGCGGTGTTGGGGGTGGAGAGGGACATTTTGTTGGTTGGTTGGTTAATTTGCGTGTGGCTTTTCAAATGAGGATATTGAGGATAGGCTTCTTGATCAGAATGCTGCTTCAGTGGAAGGGAGTGTATGGATAATGAAGATAGGGCTATTTATACATCCCTCAAATGGCATACTTGAAGCTATAGATACTCCCCCTCGCGTAGAATTTCCTTCCGCTGCTGATTGGTCGCGTATTCTTGCCTTCCGGTGGATGTTAGTCAGATCGTCAGCTGACCCGCCGAGCCCTTGGCGGTTGAGACGAAGATTCAGATGTTGTCAATGGAAAGGAGTTTCTGAGCTAGCATTTCTCAGAGAGTTCTAGGATTGTAGGTATGTTACAAGGAGAAAACGATAGAGCTGGGATGGTATTCTCTGAAAACTACGTTGAGTAGCTGTAGTTGTTGTTAAGTGCGATGGTTTTCCTACTACGCGTATTTTATCAAAGGCATTTTGATAGATACATTGGGCCATATGTGGATTACCAGAGAGAGACGTGCTTCGGTGAGGTTTTTCATGTCAAGGTCAGCTAGTTCAAGTCAACGGTAGAACAGGCTATAAAATCCCCATACCACATCAGAATTCATAGAGTGAAGTTGAAAACAAATCGTTCGGCCGAGAGGATGTAAAGCAAACATGGAAGAAACCATAAAAGGAATCATGAGGTATACCAAAGGCAAAAGAAGTAACGGATTAATCAAATAACAACCCTCCTCTTCCCCCCATCCAACACAATCGTCTCCCCATTCAAATATCCACCCGAAAAACTCGCCATCCAGAGCACCAATCCCGCAATATCAACCTCCCCGCCACCTCTAGTGAGAGGGATATGCGTAGCCGGAAACGAGCCGTCAGACACGCCTGTCCCTGCGATCCTGAACCGCTGATAAAGCGGACAGGTCATATCAGAATAGAACAAACCAGGTGCAATGCCATTGACTCTGATTTGATGATCTGCCAGAAACGAACACCATATTGAAACCATATGCAGAAGAGCTGCCTTTGATAAACCGTATGCAAACCCGGCAGGGCGATTCACCAGCGCGCCGATCGAGCTGGTGATGATGACCTGTGGGCGGGGTGGAGACACGGTGTCTTGTTGTGGAGGGGGGCGGGAGAGATTTGCGTTTGCAAGGAGAGGAAGAAAAGCGAGAATAGTGTAGTGGCTTCCTGTAATGTTCACATCGAAGACACGGGTGAATGAGTCCATGGGGTGAGAAAAGTGGTGGTCGCGAAATTCCCGGAGAGTTGGGGGGGTGAAGGGTCTGGATGTGGGATTCGGAGGAAGACAGGTAGGAGGGCCCACGATGCCGCTATTCACGATGAGGAGGTCAATATGGTCAGTCTGGGCTGCGATGGTGCGGTACGCTGCCTCGAGGGACTCCTTGGAGGTGACGTCTGTTGGGACGGGAATAAGGGAGTGGTTTGATGCCTGGGCGCAGGCTTCTTGAAGAACATGCTCCCGACGACCGAGAATGAAGACTTTGGATGCATGATTTGTATCGAGAGCGAGGGCAATGGTGCGACCAAGGCCTGATTATTTGAATTAAAGGTTAATAGTGAGGCTATGAAGAAAGGGGATAGTTAATAGACCTACCGGATCCGCCACCAGTGATGACGGCGACAGTGCCTCGAACAGAGAATAAGGAAGATGCATCGAGAGACATGTTGCTTTCTGTGCAGTCTGGAGGATACACACCAGATTCCGTTGTCTTTATGGGGACTGATGTATGGGGCCGATTACTAGAGATCTCCAGAAGAGAGAGCGACCTACCTAATATCGCGGTACTAAGAGGTCCCTAGAACGATCTAATGATTTCAATATCGCTGGCCAAGCCTCCAAGAACATGCACGCATAATAGTGACAAATAACTCAGCAGACGTGGCCCATCCTACAGTCGTTCCAGAACTCCGTTCAGTCTCTGAAGTCTACAGCTTGGCTGCTCGATTCATATGCCCCAGTGACTTCCTCCTCGGCCTAATTCAGAACTTCACTTTTTGTGACCAACCACGACATATTCTGGGTTCTGACTCGGGCAAAGTTAGAATTAGACTAGTTTGGGAACCACCTCACGAACTTCCAAGATCAATACCAAGAATACCAAGAGTCCGTCAATGGCGAAGACACAAGTTAGCTTCTCAACCTAGGCCAGTCGATAAGAATAAGAGAAGTGGCTAAGAGAACCGTCGACATAAGACATAGTAGGCAGGTTACTCAGATAAAGCGGACATGACTACAGGGGCGATCTGTATTGCCTTCTAATTTAGACATAGGACCTCTTCGTTAGTATTGGGTTGGGCTTCACTGACTTAGGGCGAGCACAAAAATTATTTCAAGGACGATTATGTTCTGAAGGGGTCAATCAGTACTAAATTGTGGAGATTTGATGTGGCTTTCAGAGATATAATATGTTTCTTCTGGCAATTCACCCTATATACCCAGAAAATGTTGAGAGAATAACCCTTCAAAATGCCGTTCAACGAATTAACCTCCAGCACCAGACTTCGCGCTCCCCTTACAATGATTGACACTCCCTACTCGTACGTACTGCAATTAAAAGAGCTAATTATTCGCTGTCGCGCTGCTCATTCAACCTCATTGACCCTGGCCTGAAGATGTCCAGCCCAATATAGCTCCCATATTACTCCAGGAACCCAATCATGCCAGGGTTCAGCGTAGCTGGAGACGTGGTCACGATCCAAGCCTTCACTAAGCGATCAATATGCCCCGATCGAGAGTTCAAGGATCTCGGTAGGGGCTTACTAGCTGTGGACGGAGGCTCTTGGAGGACCAAGGGGTGTAGCTCTTTCCCCGGGCTGCGATGGTGCCGTTACCATTTGATGAGCGCAAGGCAAAATTTATCGTAGAAACTACAGCAGCTAAGAGCCTGGTGGTTTCGACGATGTGGCAGAGATGAATAGTTTATTCCCTGAGAAGAGGTGTTTTTTGTTGTTGCCGAGCCAAGGGGGAGGGTGGCGGGAGAGAGAAGACGAAGAATGTGCAGCAAGGGATAGACATTTTGGCGAAGGGAACATTTGCCGAGAGCTTGAAGATCAGATTGAATTGAATAGTTAATTGTGTGATTATTAAAACTTTTATGTAACTAAATTTACGACTAGACCGACGAAAGGAAAGAAAGGTAGGAATCCATACCGAAACATCTAATGCAAGAAACCTCTCTCCTTCCACCCCCGTATATACCCCCTCGTCACCTCCTCGCTGACAGCTCCAACTCTCGATAAAGTGGATGAATGCTCTCTCGCCTTGCTGGTGTCCAATAGTAGCCCACCGCAAGACATGCGTTCAAAATTTTCCTCTAGCCAGTCCGCCCCCCGAACAGCAGGGTTATCCTCAGACGAGCCCGAAAAAGACTTCACGCGTTGGATCCACTCAGCAAAAGGAACGATGTTACTCCTTGGGACCCCTAGCTCATCTGCTAACAAAGTTATCATGTCTTTCCACGGCTGCCGAACAGGATTGTCAATATGGTACACAGGGTGTGGCTTATTAGTGCTTAGAAGCAAATCGACAACAGTCCCCGCAACATGATCAACCGAGGCCCATGAGACCACGCCCCTGAAGTCGGGAAGAAGTTTTAAAGTCTGCGCGGACTTGATGATGGCGGGTAGATGCTCGCCAGAATTCCAGTACCCAGAGACACTGGATCCGGCGATTTGTCCCGGGCGAATCACCATCGCTTCGAAGCGGTCTGGGTGCTGGTGGAGGGTCTCGTCGAGGATCCGCTCACAGATGTACTTGGCTTCACCGTAACCATTGGGAAGAACCCATTCAATCTTGGCTGATTCTTCAGTGACGATGGGTTGGCCGGACAGCAAGGGACGATGACCAACAGTGCCGATGGAGGAGATTAGTTGAAATCGTATGGGCTTCGTGCGAAAGCTGGCAGCATCGCGGGCCAGATCGATCAGATTACGCATCACTTTGAACTGCGGCTCGAAAGCAGAAAGTCTGGATATTCCGTTCATGGGCCAGGCGTTGTGTATTATGTGGGTTACTGTCCGCGTCAGATTGGAGAGCTGATCGGTGGTAAGCCCGAGGTTGAGCTCTGAGGTGTTCGATTCGATGACCTCGAGTTTGGATAGTTCTTGCGGAGTGAGATCAATCTCTTTGTCCACGAAAGACTGCATCTGACGGTCAAAAGCGTCTTCTTTCGACCGACGATTCAGGCACACAACCGTTGCAACGCCAGGATCTCGAACTAATCGCGCCACAACATGACATCCCAAACTTCCAGTAGCACCGGTGACCAAGACACTGACACGATCGTCGGAGATGGCAGCCACAGGTCTTGTGGGGGCCTCAAATCTCTCAGCAGCGCGTTGAATATACTCCCCGGTCGCCTTGCTTCGAGCGGCATTATCAACAGCCACCATGGGCGAAGTTAGATTCTTCCCCAACGGCAACCGGTCGCGCTGTCCCCCGGAAGCCGTTGCAAAAATGACTCTCTGCACACTAACCTCGGGCGAGTATCCATCAGTCCAATCCACATGTCCATACCCGACTGCATGCAGGTCTGTTTCCCAGCGGGACTCATTCGTGATCGCATGCTGTCGTCCATCATTAAAAACCCACCACCCCCGGAACAGACCGAAAACGATATCAATGGCAAACACGGGTCTGGTCATCTCCAGCATCATGAGCACGCCGTCATCTCGAAGAGCCTGGCGCATATGACGTGTTGACTGCTGCAGATTCGACGTCGCGTGCACGGCGTTACTCGCGATGATGATATGTTGGGTGCGAAGGAGGTCGTCGGCCGGGGGCTTCTCGATATCGTGCACGCGATACTGCACAAACGGGTAGTTTTTGAATCGGCGACGAGCCTGCGCGACAAACCCGGCTGATATATCGGTGAAGGTGTATTCAACGGGGATGTTGAGCTTAGCTAGGCCGGGGAGAAACCATTTTGTCCCTCCACCTGTTCCGGCGCCCATCTCAAGGATCTTTAGAGGGCTCCGTGTGGTATCGATTGAACCCACTAGGCGCTTGATAAATTCAAGCATTTGCTTGTATCCGGAGACGTTGTGGGGCTCGTCACCGTACATCCACGAGACAAGTTCTTGACCTTCCTTGGTGCCGAAGATTAGCTGAAGGCCGTCTTGCTCACCACGGAGAACGCTAGCGAGATGGCTGCCAGTGAAGAAGGAGAGCTTGCTGGCGCCGGCATATTCGGGGTACTCGCGAGATACCTCTTCGAGGATAGCAGTGCTGGAGCGCATCGGAGCTGCGATTGCAGTACGAATGACGGTGGTCCCGTCTAGGTCAATCAGACGAGCTTCCTCAAGCCTCTTGTAGAGATAGTCGACGAGCTCCTGATGCTGAGGATCGAAGGAGATTCTCTTCAATCGCTGACTAGGCTGAGCCTTGCGAATGGCATCGCCCAACTCCTCGAATGCCTCGAGTGTCAATGTCACGCAAAGCTGAATCTGCAGCGGAGCGAAGGCATGAACCCGTCCGCTGCACTGATTATCGGCTAGGAACTGGTCGGTCAGCGCCTTGACCTGTCCAAACGCTTCCAGCACTGGGTCTTGAGACAGACACAGCTCCGGGACATCTGAGACACTAGTGGCTGCGGACTCTGACGGCGGCGGCGTGTCAATTACCTTTTCCGAGTGGTCTTCTTCCTCTGTCGTGCTGCTGCTGCTATCATCATCTTCAACCCCCAACGCCGTTTGTACACACTTGACCATATCTCGGAAGGTTTCGGCTTCCATCAGATCTGTCGCAGGAAGCGTACATCCAAACGCCTCTTCCATCTCGCGAGCCAGCTCCATCGCCATGAGCGAATCAACCCCGGCATCAGCCATATGGCCGTCATCGTGAATCTCGCTGGGATCCATGGCGCAAAACTCTGCAACCACGGCCTTGACCCGACTGGCAATACTCACTGTACCCTTCTTCTTGGGAACCTTGGTCTCCGCCTCGATATTTTCACTACCACCTCCTTTGCCAGTGCTTAATAACCGTTCATCTTCTGCCTTTAACCCCTCAGAAGACGACGCAGCCGAAGCGCCCGGCGCCAAACTCCTAAGGATCTTCGCGAACGCAACCTTCGCGATCTTTGAATACTGAAGCCCTAAGAAAATCTCCACGAGCTTGCCACTCTCGGGCTCAAACACGAACACGTCACTGATATACATACCCTCTTCGCGTCGATGCATCGCCAAAACATCCCAGTTCTCTGGCCTCGAAGCTTTCTTGTCCGCATACTCAGGACACCGCATCCACATCTCCATGCCGCTAGCGATATAGATATCGTCCGACGAACGGTCCGTCATACAATTCACCCAGAAGCCACCGACCTGGCTAAACGAGTCACAGAGATACGGATCGGCCCAGGTCTCGCCGGTGTATTTCTTAACGACATGGCCAGCGGAATGGCTGCCTTTGCCGACGAGCTTGGTTACGCCGCGATACGGAGCCGAGTAGTCGACTACCTCTGAGAAGGCGCGGTAGATGGTCCGGCCTTGCAGGATGTCGTCGACGTTAGGATCGACGAGGAGATCACGACAGTGTGCGTGACTAATGAGGCGGGTGTATCGGGCGAATTGAGCTGCGAGGTCAGACGAGTCTTGACTGAAGATGATGATGCGGGCAGAGCAGTGCATCATTTGGGAACGGGCGCCTTTGGCTGGGTTCCCGCTGATGAACTTGATGTCCCATGTTTGTTTGTGATTATCGGTTGCGTGTAACTCGATCCAGAGAGTGCGGGATGGGTCTAGACAAAGTGGTGCGTCGCTGGTCACAGCGTGGACTTGTGGTATTTTGCCCTTTGCTTCGGGGAGAGTGTGTAGTGCTTCGATAACGATGTCGAGGAGGAATGAAGCGGGCGCGAGAGGCGCTGTGGATGCGACGACATGGCCGGATACGGGTTCGACATAGCTCGGGTGAGATGTATTGATGTGAAATTTGGCAATTTGTTGCGCTTTGTCCTGGTAACCGAGGAAGGTGAATAGGTTGTTTTGCTCAGTGGGAGACTCGGGGGCGGTCATCGTAGTGGAGGCAGGGAGTCTCTTATTGTCCATCCAGTGACGAGATTTCTCGAACTGGTACGGAGGAAGCAGCATTGGAGTGTATTCTCTTGTCTGGATTGAATGATATCCCCAGAAGCGTAGGTGGATGCCTTCTCGCCAGAGGGCTAGCGTGGTATCAGTGAGGTTTTGGATTCCTGTGGTACTGGTGATATTGACGGGCTGGAAACGATGTCCTGCCGCGTTGGTGAGAGCCCTGCTTGCCATGCTGGTGATAGTAGAGTTTGACCCTGCCTCATGCCATACGCTAGATGGGTATTTGTCTGCCAGACGCTCCACCGCGTGGTGGAAGTATACCGGTCGACGAAGGTGCTCAGATACGACGGTCATGGGCGGAACACCAGTCGACGCAATTTCCGTTGCGCGTTCAAGGTGGATAGATGGATCTCGCATTTTCAAGCCCTCCGTGATTTTATCAAGAGCCGGGATCAGCGGGTCCACTAGGCTCGAGTGGAAGGCATTTGTGACTGCCAATCGCTTGGCTCTGATATGAGAGTATGCCGGCTGGGCTAGAGTTTGTTGGATCAAATCAATCGAGCCGGTGGTACCGGCCAAAGTGAAGTTACGAGGACCATTAAAACAGGCTATTGTAGCTGGAGTAATATCTGGGGCCGCCTTATGCGACTCATCCAGTAGACCGAGAATCTCTGCTTTCTCTCCCTCAACAGCGAGCATGGCACCGCTATCAGGGCCCCAATTATCTCGGATAAGAGCTGCTCGGCGAGCTACCAACGTCAGAGCATCAGCCAGAGACAAAATCCCGGAGATACAGAGCGCCGTCAGCTCCCCAAAGCTATGTCCAACAACTGCGGTCACAGTCACTCCACAGTCTATCCAGCATTTAGCGCACGAGTATTGCAGCGCGAAGAGCTGTGTTTGCAACTGAACCTGGTCTGTGATGGGAGTGCGAGAGAAGATGCCAGGGTAAATGCTATCGTATCCTAATTCCTGGAGGAGCGAGTCACATTCATCCAGATGTCGACGGAGAAGTGACATCGCGTCATGGACCGCTTGATCTAATCCAACGGATGTAGATACCTGTCCACCGAAACATAGAATGACTGAGCGTTGGTCCTTCTTGGCTCGAATAAAGTGTGTCTCGTCACCTTGGGCGATCGCTTGAAGCTTTGTCTCTAGCTCATCGATAGATCGACAACTGAACAAGGCATGCTTATCCAAGGTTGGATTCGTCTGCCGCGAGATGTTGAACGCTACGTTGGCCAGGGACAAGGCGAGAGACCCTGATGTCTTTTGATCGCGCAAGTAACCAAGAAGCTTTGAGGCATAATCTCGCAACCGGCCTTCGTCGTAGCCACAAAGCCGCACTGGGAATGGTATCCCATCTTCATGAATGGGGGACGACGACCTCTCCCTCGGCGCTTGAGTGAGAACCATGGACGCATTGGACCCAGACGCACCGTAATTATTGATCAGGGCTGCTCTGAATCCAACACTCCATGGCTTCAGCTTTTTCACGATCTCAATATGATCGTCCTCTCTCGCCTGAATATAAGGGTTCAGCGTCTCAAAATTCGGCTGCGGTGGAATCATGCCTCCATGAATCATCATGAGGACCTTAACCAGCGCAATCAAACCCGACACACCTTCCGTATGTCCCACTAGGCCCTTCACTGACCCGAGAGCCAGCGGCACCTCTCTCTGGGGACCTCCCAGCGTCTGTCTAACACTCGAATACTCAGCTGGATCTCCCGCCTGGGTTCCAGTACCATGAGCCTCGACGACGGAGATATCGCGCGGAAGAACCCTCGCTGACTTCGTGACCTTCTCAAACAAACCTGCCAGAGAAGCCGCATCCGGGACCACTATCGGCGTGCAGTTATTATTCTGCTCGACTGCCGTAGCGGCGATCGTCCCGAGAATGGGATCCCCGTCCGCCAACGCATCCGACATCTTCTTGATATACACAGCCGCGAAGCCCTCGCCACGACAGTAGCCGTCTGCCTTCGCATCGAACGGCTTACATGGACCCGTAGGGCTCACGAATGAGGCACCTGCCAGGTTGTCAAATGCTAAGGGACTCATGATGGCGTTGGCCCCGCCGACTAGCGCTGCCCGACATTCGCCTTTCAAGACAGCCTGGCACGCCTGATGTAGAGCGACCGCGGAGCCGGAGCACGCGCTATCGACGCAGAACGCGGGTCCTCGCCACCCAAAGTAATGGCTAAGCTTGCCGGCCATGAAGCTGCGCAGGAGGCCCGTCGCTGCGTACGCCGTGGCAGTGTGACAGTTCACGTTGTGTTCGTAGTCGACCGTGCAGCAGGACACATAGCACCCGATATTCTTGTCTTGGTTGGTATCGTGGAAGTATCCGGCTTGCTCGAGAGCTTGGTACGCGACCTGTAGGATCAATCGCTGCTGCGGATCCTGAGACATTGCTTCCCGAGGCACTTTCTTGAAGAACTTATGATCGAAGGCGTCGATGTTACGCACAAAATTCCCGAACCACGGTCGTTGGGCCCCGGGACGCCAGGGCGTCTCAAAGTCTTTGTATCGGGCCTCGGGCATGATCTCGTGCTGTGACGTTCCGGCACACAACAGGTTCCAGAATTCAGGCAGGTCGTCGGCCCCTGCGACACGACAGGCCATGCCGATCACGGCGATGTCCGTGTCATAGGTTCTGGGGTTGGGGTTGAGAGGGGAGAGACGCGAAGTGAGGTCTAGATTTAGATCTGCGAAGTGGATAACGCGTCCACGGAGATTGCGCATGAATGTCGGCGGGACGCAGCGCTCCTGACCGAATTCGACGATGATTGATTCACTGATCTTGAGTTGAGACTCGTAGACGGCCGAGAATGTGCGCAGCCAGTCACATTGCTGCGAGAGAATGGATTCAATGACCAGCCTCGTCAAGGGTCCTGAGGTAACGGGCTGACCGCCAGTGTTGGTGCGGGTGGGAAGCACCAGCTGCGATGCGTCGGGCAGTTGGAGTGACGGATCTCTAGAACACATGGCCAAGAGCGAGTGCACAGTGTCTTTATGCCCGTACCAGTGGTATCGACCGTTGAAGTCAACTTGGCCGCACCCGAAGCTTGCCGATTGAAGTGACTCTTGGAGCTGGGCCATGGTGCGCCGGGGTGTCATGATCGTGGCGCGATTATCGTCGTAGCGGACGGTGATATATGCCTGTAGAATTAGCATTCAGAATAACGCAAGACCTACAGGATATAGCGAAGGAAAAAATGAAAAACGGCATACTTCGGGAAACCCATTTAACACCTCATTCAGAGCTCCCTCCATATTCTCCCTCTTCCACACCGTGGCCAGCGATGTCCACTCCTCCTCGACCTCCTGTGCATCCCCAATCGCCCCTAGCAGCATGGACAGTCGGACTGCGACACTCGCATACTCGGCCAGCTTCTCCCTGGAGTCCGCCGCGGAGGCCACTGCCGCACTCAAGAACCCAATACAAAATCCCACAATCTCTCCAATCTCGCTCTCCTCGACATGTATCCTACCATCATCCCGATACCCAGGAGACGTCAACCGCAGGTACTGTTCATACTGTGTGAAATGCGTCAGCATGAGCAGCGGTGCTAGCTGGATATAGGGAGGAGGAAATGTTTCGCCCGCGATATCTCCTGTTCGGAACCATTCGTGTAAGGATCGAAGTTGGCGATCTCCATGGATTGTGTCAAGCTTGGGGAGGTGTTGCGTTGCGGTGCGATAGTAGACAGGGAGCTCAGCGAGGACGTCAAGTGCCCAGGAGTACTCTGGTGAGAAAAGGATTGTCTCGCGGAGAGCGAGGAAATCCTCCGCTGAGAAGGTGAGACATTGGCAACCAAAAACCAGGACGGTTTTGTTGCCTGGAGGAGGGGAGAGCTTGCTGCTCATTTTGGCGTAGGGGAGGGAATAGGGATGGGGAATGAGAGAAAACGCAGCCAAAAGTTAAGGAGGCTGGGTTGACAAGTAGATGCTCATCACCCTTTTCGCGTATTCTCCTTATTATTTCGACATGATATACAATCGTTACTAAAAATCACGAAATCATTCTAAATTTATTCAATACAGTCATCCAGAAAGCCTTGGTCCGATAATCGCAATATATTGCTTTTTCGGGGGACACGTCGGCCGGAGTTTCCTGACCGGCATATCTCTTCGGCCTGTCTACGCCCTGTAATTTCTTTTCCCTAATATGTCAGCAACCACTGTGCGGTGGTACCAGAGAACCCGAAATTGACGGGAGTTAGGGTTAAGGGACGAGTTGGAGGAGCCGTTCGGAGTATAGTGAAACATATCCATGTCGGCTTCTGAGGAAGGGGTATGCGGATGTAGACAGGAGTTGGTATATAGAGAAAGATTTCAACGGACAAGCAAGAGGCTTGGTTAAATTCTGTCATGACCTGACATATTATTAGAGTGACTCTCCAGACCTATTACTGATTTGTCCAATATTATGCAGGGCGCGCTACGGCTGAGCAGGTCCGTGACCATCTTTTGATTTGATTCAATGGAACAACCACAGCTATTATGACACAGATAACTGCGGACTTTGAATAGGGTTCTTAGCTCGGTCCAAGTCTTGCAAACATTCCAGTAGTTCTCGCAACATGCCATCGAACGACGAGTCGAGATACCCATGTGCCGTGAAGAACTCGGTACACATCATCAGGGGAATTGGCGTTAATGGATGGACCTGCATCGTTAGTTTTCACATTAATCTCAAGGACGGCAAAGAACTCACTTTGAAATATCCCAGCTGGCCCTGCAATTTAACCAGATTCACAACCTCATGCGCCGCCAGAATACACAGTCTCTCATACTCGATAATCCCCAACAAGTGATCCCCTGTTTTCCAAACGATCGACTCCAGCACGTTGTGCAAATACAGCACCATCGTCTGTGCGACTATTCGCGCAAATATAAGCATGGAATCAACCTGCGTGGACGTCGACAGGACTTGAATGCGATTGCTCAACAGTTCATGCAACCACTGGTGTCTTGTCCAAAGTCCATCAAACACGTCACCATTGATCTGCTCCACGGCTAGCTTCTGACGATGCGAGAGCGCTCGTCCACAGATAGTCGCAAGAATAATGCATTCGCCAAATGAAGAGATGACCATTCCTCCTACATTCTCACCTCCGAGACAACTCCGCGCCATCACCTCGGCCAAAAACCGAGTTACGACCGGCTGACCGGCCTGGAATTCTTCCTCGGGCGCTGGCAGCCGCGTTGAGATCTGCTTTTTCTTGTCAGCTGTGTTTGTTTGCATGGTCACTCTAATCACTGGGCTGCCGACTCCATACATACCAATTGCTCATTCAACGTAAACGGCAACCCATTATGAAAACTTATGAACCGGTCCAACGAATACGCCATCCAAAAGGTTCGTCTTTGCTCTTCCAGCCCGGTCCAATCCACCAGCCCATCTTGTTCTCTCGCCATCGTAATCGGATTATTTGGATCATCGAGCTCGTAAAGACGCATGCCCAGCACTAAGCGACAACACCGCCCAGCGCTCATCCATGCCTGCTGCGGCGATAGATACATGTACTCGTAGATAGAAACCAAGACCCACGCCTGGGCTTGCTCGATGCCGGGTCCCGAGCTAACGCCCATGGTCATTGATCGGGGAGTCCGTACGTCAAGACTGTCCAGCATCTGCCGTGTTTCTTGGTACAGCGTGTCGCGGAAGGATTGAAATTGGGCGGAAAGGGACGCTGCGACAGTCCACATGGCATACTGCAGACAGGTCTGGGCGTCGGTCTTCTTGCCTTGTTTGGCCCAGACGTGATAGCGCCAGCGTTGTAGAATGGGGGCGAATGGGTGTACACGGTCGAAGTAGAGTTGGTCGCTGGTATCATTAGACACATTCACAGTGATGAAAAGGGGAGGGAGAGGAAGGAGGAAAAATACAGGGGGACGTACAGATCAGCTCGCATGAATTCAGAAACTAGTCCCGTTGTTCGGGGCTGGGAGTCAAATGAAGTAGGCGATTTGATGTCCGTTCCGCGGTCGTCAGAAAGACAATCATGGAGAGAGTCAGATAGTGATGGCAGATCTTTGAGAGGATCGTCCTCCGGATCCATGTCTACTAGAGACCCGTTGAATAGGTTGGCCATTTGATGGTTAATCGCCGGATGCTGATCGGCAAGACACCGTTCCAGAGCGGCTGTGTCTCAAGTAATCAGACTTGCTATCGTAATGGCAAATAGGAGACGATAGTCTATAGACTATATGAAATAAACGTACCAATCCTCGTCCGTAAAGTCCTTAATTGTCCCTTCCTAGGCCCCCTAGGTAGTCTAGTTGTATTGATCTTACACTCAATACCCGTCTCGAAGCAAACCTGACACTGGGGGCGACGACGATCACACCGAACCTTTCGACGACGACACTCTTCGCAGGCCGATCCGGGTCGCTGGCGAGAGATAGTGGGGGTCGAAACCATTTTAGCCTCTTCCTCGGCCTTCGCAGTTCGACTGTCGGTTCAAACGGAGTTCAGATCTAGTTCATGTCCGGTCTTGCTAATCTATGTGATGTCTGGGCTGCGGGTCGCTGTTTCTCTACCGCCGGGCGTGGTAGGGGGGCAAAGGAGATTAATGATTGACGCTGTGCAATGGAGGCCAGATGATCTACTGGGTGGGAGAGAATATAAAGAGTGAAGTACCAGACAAGAGGTGGGATCAGAACAGGGAAGCCAGGTGGAAAGAGAGACACAAACTCTGGTTGGTCAGCATCAGGACGAAAGTAAGGCCTGGTACGAACTGCTGTTGCGCTTACGCTGCGTCGCGTTGAACATGCTCTGAGCAGTGGTGCTATTTGCTGGGATGAACTACACGATAGAGTTCAAGTTATCGATTATCTGGCTGGCTACGACCTCGCTGTCTGTTCTTCTGGGAGATTCTAAGTTCTGCTGCACTGCAGCCTCCAGAGACTCTCTATCGGTCCTCTTAGGTAGCCAAAGACCGTGATTCATGAAGTTCTACATTGATTATGCTCTAGCCTGATCCAGTATCTTCCTGTCCAATCGCATCTGGCAAGCATGCCGAGTCAGATCAGATCAAGACAATCTGGCACTAGAAGGACAACGAGAACAAGAGCCACGACCAGACCCGACCGCGATCCCAGCCCACAGGACCAGTGTCTGCTGGGAAAGAATCGATGTTGATGACACTGCGTCCAAAACTGATTGAGATACGGCCTGGCTCTGCAAACATGACTGGTCCAGAACGTCTGTCGGGTTCCTACCGGTGCCCTGTGGCAAATAGTGGGTTTTCCACCCTCTCAGGAACTGGTCTGGTCGGGCCTAGTGGCTCTGTTTATTCTTTGACTTCTTGTGGATTGACATCTGCGCGATATCAAATCGGCCTGCAGGGGTTGTCGATCCGCATGGTTGATGGATGTTGGAGAATACGGGTTGGCTGGTGGCGGATTGGGCTGGCTCGTTTAATTATGTGATCGGATACCTGCTCTAGCACTGTTAGAGACTTAACACACCAGGGACTCATTATCGTCAAACTCAACTTAAGATAAAACATCCTCACGGGAGAATACATGCATCGCTCCGCGACTGCAGCCCACCAGCATGGCCCATTACGACCAGTTCATCCAACTCCTGCCGTGCTCTTTTCAGAGTCCCATCAAACAATACACTCTCAAACACAGCATCGAATAATCTCCTGCTGTATGCCCAATTCGTGGCACCCTTCATCGCAAGAGGACTGAGAGCGCGGGCAATAATCTATCGCCAGGTTTCACGATCGACGACACAGCGTCGGCCTGGGTTCCGACTGTTCGCCACCATCCAGTCATATTCAAGGGGCGTGTCTGACAGGTTGGCAGTGGGCTGGAGATTTCCGACTCGGGTTAAACAAATCAGGGATTCGGCGCTGATTGAGGACTAAGCAGGTTTGATCATCTGAAGTTTAAGTGTGGATTTCCTGCTGGGTGGCTGGATGGCTAGGACCATCGGGGGTTTCATGAGCAGGTGGATCTAGGATCAAGGGATCTGTGGAGATTAATGAGATGTAAGGAGGTGGGTGGCATGTGTAACTCTGGTCGGGACAGGGCAGAAAGTCTATATGGTGATAGAGACACTTAATGGAGCGGCTAATATATGACAGTTTTCTTAACTGTTTCAACGGTCAGGGTCTACTGACCTATGAGTTTGAACAAGCAATGTTTGATACAGTGTCACCATGCTTAGCTTGTCGGCAGTCAGTCGACGAGAAGGACTAGTCCGTCTACGAGAATCAAATGATGGACAACTCAGCATAGCCAGTATACATTCCAACATGGACCAGCTGGTATACAACCCAATGAGTAGATTGTTGGCTGTTCGAATACACTCTGCCAGGATGTACCTTGGATGTCGTCCCTATATACCCAGTCATAACGGCGTCCTTGCACAACAATGGCATTCTTTTGGCCAGAATGGAGCCAACGTACAAGGCAATATGCATGCAGACACGGACTCCAGGAGAGGCTATTATAAGGCAATCTCCATAAGCGGCTCACGACGATGACTACTCCAAGATCATCTCGCCCAGTCCGGGTCGGGATATTTCTGCATCTTGACTGCGTCACCGTGCGTAACCCTCTCGTGTCCTAGACTACTGAATAAGGACAGCAATCGCTGCTATCTCTGGGCCTTCCCGCCTTGCTATCCTCGTTCTGTTGCTCTTACTTTCTTCCTCGCTATAGATCTTACTCCTCTCGCACTATTGTCCGCTATGGAACCAACGGCCGTAACCTACGATCATATCCAGGATGTCATCGGTCAGCTCCCAATTCTCAAAAGTTATACTCACGTCCTCCTCTGCTTCGCTCTAGCCGAGGACCGGCGTGCCTCTATTTTAGCCTCCCTGGAGTCTGCCGCCCACACGGTCGTCTCTGCCCTGCCCTTCCTCTCCGGAAAGGTCATCAACGAAGGTGCTGGACCCAATAACTCCGGCGTGTTCAAGGTCGCACGTTTCCCGCAGCAACAGTCCCCGGATCATCGTTTTGTCCGCATTGAGGATCGTTCCACTGTCTGTCCCTCGTACGATGAGCTTCTCGCCGCCCATGGCCCGTCTGGCATGTTACCGGGCTACGTGCTCGGTCCCAGGAAGGCATTCCCGGAGCCGTACGACGAGAGCGAGGACGACCCGGCCCCCGTGCTGGACATCCAAGCGAACCTGATACACGGTGGCCTACTCCTCGATCTAGCCGCTCAGCATAACATCATAGACGCCAGCGGCATCTTCCAGATCGCCAACCTCCTCGCCACCGCCATGCGCGGCGACCCGATCCCCAAGGCTCAGATCGACGAAGCCAACCGGCCCCGTCGAGAGATCATCCCTCTGTTAGGGCCAGACGAGCCTCTCCTCGACCACTCCGACCTGCGTCCTCCCTTCGTGATCAAAGACCTTCCGCCCCTAGCCGCCGTCGCTCCCTTCCAATGGCGCTACCTCCGCATTCCCTCCGCCGCCGTAGCACGTATCAAAGCCATGGCCGACGCCAACCCGGAAGACTTTGACCCTTCCACACCCTTCATCTCCACCAACGACGCCCTCACTGCCTTCATCTGGCAACGTGTCACCATCATCCGCCTCGCCCGGCTGCAAACCCCTCATGCCATCTCACGCATTAGCCGCGCCGTCGACTTCCGTCGCGTCATGGGCCTCTCCCCAGCGTACCTGGGGCACATGATCCGCGTCGCCTTCCTTCGTCTCTCATTCAACGACATTGTCAATTCCAGCCTCTCCCGTCTCGCATCCCTCCTCCGTAAAGGCGTCCTCGATATCACGAACGAATACTCCCTCCGCAGCTACGTCACGTATATTGCGAACGAACCAGACAAGGCAAATATTGCATACGGAGGCGGGTTCGATCCCAAGACGGACCTATCGTGCTCGAGTATTGCGCATATTCGCGTCCCTGTGTTTGGGGACCTGGGTAATCCGGGGTTGTTGAGGAGGCCGACGTATCGGCCGTTGCCCTGTTCGGCGTATGCGGCGCCCATGTTAGATGGTGAGGGCATTGAAGTGTTGATTTGTTTGCTTGGGGAGGAGATTAAGTTGCTCAGGGATGATGCGGTTTGGAATGACTTCATTGAATATGTTGGGTAATTGGATACTTTTGCTGTTTGCTGGAAGGTGGGCTGGGTGGTCCTACTACCGTGTCTTTATTTTTATTCTGATCTCATCAAGTCTATACGTCTTGAAATTATGTAGCCTGTTGATATGTCAATATGACAAAGGGTAGTTCTTATCTGGGAGTTTATGCATGATCGCGGATTCCATTCAGGCCTGTTACTTGTTCAACATATTTGTCTTCTATCCTGCATAATTAGCTCTTTATCCCATCGTTCATCCTATCCACGTCGTAGCCTCTATACCACGCACTCCAAACTAAAGCACAGGTCCTCCCTACTATCAAAAATCACTATTCCTCCTCTCTCTCACTTTTCCCTCATCACCCCCCTCTACCCCCTCCTCATCCCTTTTCCCCGTATCCACTTTAATCTCCACCTCCTCCCCCAACGCCCGATTCAAATCATACTTCTCAACCCACATACTCATCACCAACCCAATCCCAGAAACCGCACACATAAACCCCAGAATAACCCTCAAACTATCCGTATACGCCTCTTTCAGCTCCTTCTTCCTCAGCCCTTCCGCCCCGGCATCCCCCATCCCTTTAACCACGGTCACCAGGGCCGCCGCATCACGACTATACTCTAGAGCATGTGGAGCTAATTCCGGATACCCCAGTAAATTATCCTTCATGCGATTCTGGAAAATCACGCCCCCCACAGCAATGCCGATCGCCTGACCAAATGCTCTAAAGAACACCACCATCGCGACCGCGACGGTCAGGTTCCGATTCGTCGACGAGGCTTGAACCGTGCATACGATTGCGGCTGTTAAGATTCCCAGCCCGAGGCCAGGGGTGATGTTCAGGAAGATCCAACCCGCGGTGCTAGTTCCGGGCTTGAGGAGGCATTGAATACCCAGGCCGATGGTCGAGAGGAGCCATCCGACCCAGAGACCCCATCTGTAGCGACCCGTGACGGTGATGATCACGCCGCAGAAGATGGCGCTGGGGGCCACGGTGAACGTCTGAGGGAACAGGGCGACTCCGGTTAGAATGGGGTCGAATTCTTTGACGGCTTCGTAGTACAGAGGCATGTAGTAGAGGGCGGACCAGAGGATTAGGCCTTGGAGGGAGGATGCGATGAAGGCGATTACGGCGCTGCGGTTCGTAAAGACCGAGTGTGGGATCATCGGCTCGCGGGGAATGTAGATCTCGTAGATTATGAAGATGAGTAGTCCTACTGCACCGAGTATTAGGGGGACGAGCGTTCGCCAGGAGGACCAGGAGTACATGATCCCGCCCCAGGAGAGGGGAATTAGGAAGGAGGAGATGCTGCCGACGAAGAGGATCGTGCCGAGGTAGTCGATTCGGAGGAGCTTTTGCCGGAGAGAACCCGGGGGTTTGGGAAGGCGGAAGAAGAAGACGATGAAGAGTGCGGAGAGGCCGATGAAGGGGAAGTTGATGTAGAAGATCCATCTCTGTGATCGATTCAGTGTTAGTATATGGGATGTGAATAGTGCAGGAGCAGAGAGGACATACCCAGGTGACATTCTCCGCGAATCCGCCACCCACAATCGGTCCGAGTACAGAGCCTAGACTATACGCTGCGCTGAGGACTCCATAGTAATTCCCGCGTAGACGCAGCGGTACGAGATCTGTCACGACCACTTCCGAGAGCATGGCGATTCCGCCGCCGCCAACGCCTTGGATGCATCTGCCGATGAGGACCTCGGTGAAGTTGTGCGCGAGACCGGCGACGAGCGCGCCCACGAAGAAAAATACGATAGAGATGATGATGAGCGGCCGTCGACCGAAGATGTTGGAGAGAGTGGCGGTGCTGGGCTGGAAGACTTGTTTTGGTTAGAACGGTTGAGAACGAAATGCAGCGAATGCAGAAGACTCACCCGTTGAGCAGAGCAGAAATGAAGTCCCGCTCCAGAAGGCTTCCATTGCAGAGCCATTCAATTCGGCTGCCATTTCCTGTGCTCATTGTTAGCGCCTGTGCCCTTCGCGCAGATACAATTGACGGACATACTGGCAACGCCACCGAGATAGAGGTCCCATCCAGCGAGACCATCAACGTCAAAACGGCCAGAGTAAAAAATATGAGTTTCCCTGATAGAGATAGCTTGAAGCCATCATAGTTCGCTGTGCCATCTGCATTCCCCTCCGGAGAAGTGTTCTGCTCCTGCGTTCTAGACGCAGCATCTTCCGTGCCATTCTTCTTGCCAACCTCTTTCTCGATCCCAGGCTGAACCCGTTCATCAGTCTCTGTGATCTCACCCATCTTGAAAATAAGCTTAAAACTGATTAAACGATTCACTACCTACCTATTCAAGGCCAAATCGGGACAAGAAAGAACAACCCCAACGCTTGGTATGGTCCTCCCCCGGAGTGGGGTAACTATCCAGCCAAGGCGAGCCAATTCAGACGATCTCCGACAGGAGAAACATATTCCAGCCCTTTTTCGCATCCGTGTTACAGGGTGCAACGTCTCTCGGACTGAAAATACTCCGCCTCGATTGCCTAGAAGTAGGGCACAGCTGGCCACGGGACCGGGCGCGTGCGAGCCAATCAAGCAAGCTTCAGCTTCAGCTTCAACTTTCAAGATAACACACGCTGACTACAACTTACCTACCCAATAGCTACCTCATGCGCTCCTGCCTTCTCCTCAATTCTCCGTCCCCAGATGCTGATCCCTTCACCACCCAATCCTCCCCCTTCCCTTAAACCGGCACTGACAACTTCGGCGCCCGAACAACGCCGTAACACAACCCCTAAAGCCCCCTGTCCAGGACAGCCCACCAGGGAAAATAACTCATATCATACATGCGCTCCCGTAACACTGACTCGGGACCGTGCAGGTGAGAAAAGTTTCGGTACGCGCCCCGAGCCATTGGAGACTTGCGCGGATTTCGCGCTGACTGGTCTTTTCTGGACGAGGGATTTTTAACTCACCCGTTCGGATGACTCTGGGGCTTGGGGTCTAGGCTATTCTAAGCATTAAGTGTAAGCGTAGGGCCTGGTACTGGTACGGGTGTTTGAGGCTAGGTGGTCCCGAGAAAGGAGCCGTTAGGGAGGCCATCGGGACCGGGGGTTTGGCCGTGTTCTTGGAACCGGGAGAGATATGAATAGGATAGGCTAGGTTTCTCAATGCTGAGTTGAGTGTAGTCAGCAATTATGGCCCTGTATAACCTCGTATGACCCACGTTCTTGTCTTCGCCCTCCCTGGGTGATTGAGCTGATCCAGGTTAGACACACACACACACACACACACACACACACACACACACAGAGAGAGAGAGAGAGAGAGAGAGAGAGAGAGAGAGAGATACACACAGAGACAGAGACAGGGAACGAAGACAGGGAACGAAGACATTCCCAAACATCGCAATCCAAAACCCTCCACCTCCAAGAACCCAATTCACCAAGCACCTCAACCATGGACGCCATCGACCCATCACTCACGTCCCCCTCGTCCCCTCCACTCGAAATTGCGATCATTGGTTGCGGCATTATCGGCACCGTGCTTGCTCTGGGCCTCCTAAACAACAGCCCATCCCCGTCCGCAATCCGCGTCAAGATCTATGAGCAAGCGGCCTCCATCCGCGAGATCGGCGCTGGGATCGCATTCACCGCCAACGCCCGGAAATGCATGTTTATGATCGACTCGCGGCTTCCGGAGTGCGTGCGGGCCGTGGCCACTGCGAACGGGGACCCGGATAATCCGACGAATTATATGCAGTTTGTGGATGGGTATACGCATGACCCTGGGAATACGGAGGTAGGGCAGGAGTTGGAGGGGAGGACGGTGCATAAGTTGCATGCCGGGGAGAGAGGGTTTGAAGGGTGTCATCGCGCGCAGTTCCTAGAGCAGGTGATGAAGCTGATGCCCGAGGGTGTGGTGGAGTTGAGGAAGCGGTTGGTTAGGTTAGATGAGGAGGGTGGAGAAGGGGGGAGGGTTCAGATGAGTTTTGAGGATGGGAGTGTCGAGATTGCGGATGCTGGTATAGTATATCTCTTTCTTCCTCTTCCTCTTTTTGCCTCCTATCTATCCTGCTCCCTCCACTTATCTTGTTCAGCCGTGGCTAATAAAAGACATGATACCCACGAACAGTCATCGGCTGCGACGGTATCAAATCGCTCGTCCGCCAACACCTCCTGGGCGCAGCCAACCCGAGTTCCCACCCTCACTACACACACAAGATCGCCTACCGCGGACTTGTTCCCATGCCCCAAGCCATCGAGAAACTAGGTCTCTACCGCGCCACGAACCAACACATGTACGGCGGCCCATCAGCGCACCTCCTCCATTTCCCCGTGATGCAGCAGAAGCTGATGAACGTGGTTGCGTTCGTCAATGACCACGACGGCTGGCCTCTTCAAAAACCCATGTCTCAGCCCGCCACGCGTGACGAGACCGGGATCGCGTTCCAGGACTGGGGTCCGACTGTGCGCGCGATCATCGACCTCTTGCCGGATCAGATGGATAAGTGGGCGGTGTTTGATCATTTGGATTATCCGGCCAGCGAGGGGTATAGTAAAGGAAGGGTTTGTTTGGCGGGAGACGCGGCGCATGCGTCGTCGCCGCATCATGGGGCCGGTGCTGGGATTGGGATTGAAGATGCCTTGGCGTTGACAACAGTGTTGGGGCTTGTCCAGAGGGATTTGATGAAGGGGGGAGGTGTAGAGAAGGTTTCCTTGCTGGAAAAGGCATTCCAGGTGTTTACGAAGGTCAGATATGAGCGGTCTATGTGGCTGGTGAAGAGCAGTCGCGAGGCGTGTGAGATCTACGAGTGGAATCATCCTGAGTTTGGAAGTGATATGGCCAAAGCGCATAAGGATATTCGTCGCAGGTCGCATAAGATTTGGTATTTTGACATTGAGGGCATGTTGCGGGAGCTGGAGGACGAGTTTCGTCGGTAGTAGAATAGATCTTGTTGAGGTAGAGAAAATACATCGAGTTATTCACTATCGGGAGTTGGATCCAGGGATGCAGATAATACCACGGATTTTTTTCAATTTCCACGTCCCGCCTACTGGGGACAGGGTCCACGCTAGCCGCTTCGGGAAGTATCCTGCCTTGCTGTCTGCCTTAGTGCCTAGCGCCACGTCTTTTCTCTGGTTGGACCTGTGCACTGTTTTCGAAGAATCAAAACATCATTTTCAGAAACAAGAAAAAAGGGAAAGTGTTATATGAGTACTATTCTTCTACGAGAACTTTTAAGCGAAGCGTCATTGAAATAAAATTAACTCGCATATGCTATTGTACTCCGCCTTGTCAGGCAAAATGTATTTTTCTCCCGCCATACTGCGATAGTGATGGTCTATTCTCAATTCGGACTCAACTACAGTCTTACGGACACAGGAAATGCAATTGCAAACAGTAATTCACTAGACGAATCCAACTAAATTTGATAATCATGAAAAGATTTTTGTTTTCCAGAAAAGGAGGTCTCTCAGGCAAAGACGGAATGCGTGGCAGATCACAACATGACCACCCCAGAACCAAACTGAACATATAATCTTGTCATGAGATTCCATATTAGATACATTACAATTTACAATCATATAGCTATGTACCTACAAAATAAATCATATTGGTCCTTTCCTACGCCAGAAGACCCGAACAAATTCACATAACCAAAAAGAAACCAGAACTCATCACCGGTGCGTGGCCCCATTCCCGACATCCCCGTCCGGTCGCCACCAGCCCCCAGGCGCAGATCCCTCCGGAGACACACTCGAGGTAGTAGTGGAATACTGTGCCCTCGAGGCAGCGACGGCTTCCGCTTCAGGAGACGATAACTCGACCAAGGGAGCGGGATCGAGCTCACTGGGTGAGCGTTGATGCCTCGTACCCGCGACTCTCTGCTCGTCGCCTTGCGTATGTTGGGAAGCGATACTATCGCCCAAGAGAGGAACAGGATCAGCGGGTGTGTTTTTGGGGTCCGTGTAGCCGAATCTGCCTGCCGTGGGGGATGAAAGTGACGTTGGCGGCTCGCTGGTCGGGGCGGTCGTGGCGTTGGCAGCCTCGGCAGCTTGCTTCTTCTTGCGTTGCCGTCGTAGAAAGAACCATACAACACCCACGATGATGAGAACACCGGCGACGCCGCCGATTACGCCGCCAACGATCGCGCCGACGGGCTTGGAGGACGAGGATGAGTCGGCTGGTCCGGTGGCGGTCGGAATGGCGCGCGTTGGGGATCGCGTGGCAGCCGTGTACTGGCGGTCGAAGTAGGTTTGGAGATCACGATCGTTGAAGCCGCCGGAGGGCGTTTTGACTTTGGCGTTGCCGGTTCCGCTGTACGTATTTGGTTAAGCATGAGTGATTGTCAAGAAGTAGGTAAAGGAGTAGGTGAGGGTAGGAGGATGGGGATGTTGAGGTTGTCAGGACACGTACGTTCCTCCAATCACGTCGGAAACCTCCGAAGGGACTTTATAGCTCGTCAAATTGCTCTTGAACGAGGCCCAATTTTGGTGGAGGGAGTTCTGCTTCCCCAGATCCATGTTGTGCATGCCGTAGATGGTTGGCACGTCGCACGACGAGCTGTTGGTGAAGGTGCCGCCCATGACGCTGTTGAGAGGTTAGAATGACAACATCTCACATCAAAAAAAGATATCGCAAGGGAGAAAACATACAGCATCTGTGCTCCAACCACATCGCAGGACAGAGAGTGGTGAGGATATCCGGTTCCGGGGCTGGGCGGATACCTGTCTTTTCATTAGTATAGGGGGACACAACTCCTGATAGCTGTGTAGACATACCATTTAATCCACCGAAACGACGGAAGCGACAGAATGTAAATATCATCGAACCCTAGACCCGCTGGCACTCCCAACCCCCCGTAGACGTAGATATTGTACGAGGATCGGTCGTCCGCCCAGACGACCCCGGCGCAGAACCGTCTGCGCTCCTCGGGCACCTCCCCGGTCGCTTTTTGCGTGTACCATTTGCTGTTGGCGATGTCATATAGCAGAATTTCCTGCATCTCATTAGCTTTCATACCCACGACAACAGAATGGCAATCGCGATCGGCTCACGCACATCCATCGGTTGCCCTATCATCGTCTTATTCTCTTTCGGCGTCTGGATACCCCCAAAATAAATCAACATGCCGCTGTCACTCGCTGGAACATACACCATGAAACCCTCAGCGCGACCGACAGAATCCGGCCCCGAGGAGTTCGTCCACGTATTCTTCAACATATCATACGACAGCAAATGCGAGAGCGCCATGGGGTTTGAATCGCCCCAGCCCGGAATCGAGGCATTGCTCAGCCATCCGCCGTAGTAATAGCCCACGGCGCGATCCTGAACCGTGACGCCAGCACCATAGCTGGCGCGCTGGATCCCATCTTGCGTGTCGTCTTCCTTGGTCTTATTCCAGGTGTTGTAGAGCGCATCATACATCCATAACGTAAAGTTCGCAGAGTCAGCGTTGTCGTCGAATTCGCCACCATACTGGTACAGGATCTTGTTGACCGTATCGGGCCACAGAATGCCGCCGTTCACGGAGGGGACTTTGCTAGGTTTGCTGAGGTTGGCATAGGCCTGGGGCATACCCTGATTGTTGACGTCAAAGTCGGCATAGAGGATTCGGTTGTCTGCGATGGATGACGTTAGCGAGAAGCTCCACTCCGAGCGTTTAGCAAGGATGAGACGAGACGGTGGATTGGTAGGTAGGGGGTCAAGAGATCTAGGTACTATACTGGTGTAATTCTCAGGATTTTGGTCGAGAGGACTGTAGTTCACGAAACCGCCATCGATAAACAATCTGGCACCCCGAGCTGGTCAGTGATTCATGAGTCACGAACTAAATTGTAACACGCAGAAAGAAATTCTTACTTATTATCAATCACCGCCGTTTGATGCCCAAATCGTCTACAAAAGTCCTTCAGAGGGTCCTTCCCCTTCTGAGCGGTCACTGGGACCAGCAACGCCAGGGCCGATACCAGCAAAACCCTGGGAATGGCCATGGGGTCGCGAACAAGGCAGGGAAAAGAAAGGTGAAGGGAAGAGAGTAAGACAAAAGAGGGGACACGACCAGAGGAGAAAGGTGATCATCGCCCGACCCGAGATCGACGGTCTGGGCGAGAGGGTCATTATGACATGCAATTATGGATGCCTCGTTGGAGGCAGGCCGAGCAACGTCGGTCTAGCCTAATAGAGTGTATTTTGGGGGGCGAAAGAAGCATTATCGAGGGATTGTGCAGCCTTGTCAAAACAAAGGCCCACATCGAGCCACACTACGGCCGTATTGGGATAAAGCTTGTATATTCCGGGGTCGTTTAAAGAGCAAGAGATGGGACCAAGCCTCGCGTACGTCGATTTAATTAAGAGGACAATCCTTTGATGGAAGTTGTCAGTTGATATCTGGAGAGTTGAAATCTCTGGTTTCCGGGAGCCATATTACCCTCACTACGGTCAGCAATAGGGCTTTTGCTCCCGCGGAAATGCTATATTACCCTCGAGACGAAAAACTCAGGGCATAGATGTATGTATTGAAGAGTTTTACTTACCGTGTCCAAGTGCGAACGAGAAGATTTCACCTAGTCTGATAATCGATTCCACGAGAGCATGGAGTACTTGGCTATATATTCTTTCCGGGGTTCTCCGTCTTCGTTATTATATCGTAGTATCCGTACCTTGTGGCGGTAAAAGGATCCGTCGGTCAGGATGGTGAAATTTCCGTCATTAATGAAGGATGAAAACAAGAGAAATCGTTTTTCAATAGCCTCGGTTTATAATACCGCGAGTGGGACCGCTAAACCGCTTTAAACGTTCATTGTTTTTGTTGCAGGTGGCACAGACTGCAGCGGAAATGATGCATCAGAGCTGATCTTTGGTCAAGAAGGGGAATTTGCGACAGTCAGCTTACGGAGTGCTTCGTACGATGTACGACCGAGGATCCCGGCACGAGTCGTCTTTCACGTACAGCAACGGTCAATACATGGTAATAAGGTACATCAAGGGGAACGATTGGTGAGCAGATGGATGGTCAGCCTAAAAGGCTGGAACAGCGCACCGCCGCTCAGTCTCTCAGTGGTGGTGCGACTATTTGAATCCTGACGTTGGCTTTGGCTGAAACGGAAACCTTCTCCTTTAATTTCTTCTTGTGGCATTTTAATGAGATTGCTTCGACCAGACCTGTATGCACACGCTGGGTTGTGCCATCTGGCGGTGGACATCCGTGCATAGGTGTTCGGGCGGTGATATCTGGGCCCGTTAGCCACATAAACACGATCAGGAAATGCTACAAACACAACATTTCTTACCAGCCTTACAGAGATTAGGTCGTTCCGAGGCCAGGACACCGGGGAAAGTACGTCCAAAACCCGAGTCCCAGCCCCAGGCTTTACATGCCGGTACTAGTGTGTAGACGATCGGCGCTCCAAGAACCGCTAGTTGACATTCACAAATCACAAACATCTATCCATGCAGATGTAGTAGCTATTAAAATAGATTATTCGTCCGAGTTGCATTCATCCTTGGTCTATCCTTGTTTGCCACCCTCATTACGATCCTCCCAGCATTTGCGCTAGAATCGGACTGTGCGTCAATTCATATGCCTCTCGTATGTACGCTTTGTCCAGCGAAAAGGGTTTCGCCATCAGGTTAGGAATATACTTGCCCACCAGCTCGTCAACATCTATGTTCCCATTGAGGAAACCGGGCTTTAGCAGACATTGTCGGAATCGATCAACGGTTGACCGCAGGTGGCTGGAATGGAACGGCACGTCTATCCCTTGCAGGGGAATAGTCGCCTTGCCGCGTTGAAGCTCGATGGGACGCGGGAGACGGCGGGCTTCCGCGAGCAGAGCCCGTATGACCCGTTGAAGTTCAGTCCCGCTCGCTTCTGCAGATTCCGATTCCATGGCGGCCCGAACTTCGTCGAACCCGTTGGCTGACTGTGCGATATGATCCATGAGATTTCCCAGAACATGCAAGTTGGTGGTCTGCCAGGCGTTAATGTGGTATACAGACAATATGGAGAGGAGGAGCCTACCGTTCCCGAGCAGACATACTGCTCTCCATCAACGTTGAAATTGACGATTTCCAGCAGCTCCTGGCTTTCGCGAGCGACAATATCGACCAGGCGGGCGAGTGCGGATTGATCGAAGACTTCACGATCAGCTTTGACTGACATAAACCAAGAAAGAGAAACTTACATGATCCAACACGCTTGGGATTGGCAGCTACCATGCCGTAGGTCATGCTGCCTTGTCCGTCCACGGACGCTTGCATCATCAAGCCCCGATAGAAAGCCAGTTCCGCCAGAGCGCCGATCGGAACGTAACGAGATAGCGCACTGAGAGCTCCGTATTCCCCGAGCGAGTGACCTGCATAGACTGCATCCCGAGAGACATAACCCTTGGTACGCATTTCGCCGAAGACCGCCGCCTCAAATATCAGGATCGCAGGTTGTGCAAATTGCGTCGAGTACAGGAGCCCTCGCGAGTCGGTGAACGTGTATGAAGTCGATGCCAGTGTGAGACCTGCGAGTACAGGCTTCAGGACCCGGCTGCCGTCTGGAAGTGTCGCCTCGGCCGTAATGGCGAGGTAATTCTGTTTGATCTTCCGGCCACGCTTGCCACCAAAGTTGACCGTGAGCGTCTTCGGGTTGTTTCGCACAATATCAAGCACCGACCAGCCTGTATTCCCAGGTTAGTGGTCTCAGCATCGTAAACAGCGGATAGAGATAACATACCATAAGCCTCATAGAGCTGCGCATCAATGTCGTCCCACAACGACTTTGCTACTGGACTTGAACTGTACAGATCCATACCCATACCTTTGCTCTGACTACCTTGGCCGGTAAACAGATATGCTGTCCCTGGTTGCTCAACCTCGGCTTCAGCTTGTAGAACGACTTCTCCGTTGTGAATGCGAATGACCTCAATCGAGAACAGCATTCGTCCATCGACCATACCGGTGTGATTGAGTTTCACCAGCAGCTTCTCCAACGGAAGCACCATGCCAGCGAAGGTAGCCTTGAACTGCCGGAGTCGCTCGCGCTCCCCTTCTAGTACGAGGTGTTCAAAGGCGAACGCCGCAATCGTAGACGTGCACATGCCATGGCAGATCGTCCCGGGGAGTTGAGCCAAAGTGGCGAAAATTGTCGACGTGTGGATCGGATTGAAGTCTTTAGATACCTGTGCGTAAGCATGGTTGCTAGCAGGCATTTGAATTTCCATTGTTGATGGCCCGGACCAGCCCGGCGTGTCAAGGTCCTCCCGCCCGCCCGACGCGACACCCTTGCGCTCCAGGAACTCAACCACAGGATTGCCGACGCACTCGTCACATTCGAAGTTCACTGTTCCCACTTGGATTCGATGATGGCCCTGAGCTTGGGAGGTTGCAGTTCCTGTCACTTTTAAAGTTTTGATCTTCGCCCCTTCATAGGTGATGTGGGTGTCCAAATTGAAAACGAGTGGTCTCCCTACCAGCGGGGGCGCGTTTTCATGCACGTGGAACCAACTTCGGTGTCGTAGAACCGAGTCGTCTAGGGATGACGACAAAACGAGCGTTCGTTCAGGTTCTTTAGTGTGTTGGAAAGTCGTCGAGTCTTTCCCGACCGACCCTCGAATTAGGAAAGTGGACGTAACTGTCATAACTGGCTTAGCAAGGCGACTGATAGTAGCCTCCACGACGATGACCTTCCCTGCATCCTCGGCGTATACCGCTCGAACCTGGGACTGCGACCTGACAACATCGCCAATACGTAGTGGTTTGGCATCCCGTTCATATTCAAACACATTCGAACGATGGACCAACCGAAGCAGATCGCCATTGACACCCTTTGCCACCAGAGGCCGCGAGATGGCCTCCCATGCTATCACGATACACAAGCCGATCGGAATGATATCTGTCTCCGGAAACATGACTCTGTGGTCCTGGAACGCGGGTCCCACGGCCATGATCATGTCATTGAGCACTTCAGGTGTAAGTGTCATATCAGGGCCATTAAAGATGTCGTGGATAGCAGTGTCTTTTCCCTGCGTGGCGCCAAACCAGACATTATTATAAAACTCGCATATCCGGTTTTTACGGGAGTCCATGACTTCGGTGAGTTTCGAAGGAACGTTTTGCGGATTGTATTGATAAAGGAGCCTCAGTGCCGTGGCTCTTTCGTCGGGGCGTACTTCGACCACGATGTCAATTCCGTTGTGGGATTTCAGGGTTATGGAAGATTGAGACCGAGGGGACTTTTCAGAAGTTATCGACAACTCTGACAGGTCTGCATTCAGGCATACCATTGATCGTGGATAAGTCGCGATAAAGTCACGGAAAGGATTCTTTTGTCGTTCCCGACCTTGGAGAACCAGCCTTTCGCCGAGAACTGCTTGCACCCAGAGAGGCACAGTTCGACAACTACCTAGCCCCATCGGAGACAGGGAGCGATCGTCCGTACACTCCGAAATTGTCACTGACGAGGGAAGAGACATCTCCTCCAACGGCAGGTCCTGTGCGGTTGATGAAACGGTTGACCAGGAATCTGGCGTGACCAGGCCACTATCGAGACCGCAGCTGACATCATCCTGGGTCAGGTCCCGCTGAAGAAGATCAAATAGGGTTGATGTGATACTGTCTAATATTTCTTTCGCCGATTGGCTTCCAGTATGGGAATACTGCGCCGCAACAGGACCATGAAGAATACAAACCCGTTCTGCGTCTTGGTCGACGACAGCTTCGATATCCTCAGACTGCCATAGGGAATCTTTCTTGAAATACAACTCGAAGTCATCGTTTAGTGCCGGGATAAAGTTAACGGGCTTCTGGCTCTGTCGCTTGGTGAGAAGCAAGAAGAATGACACATCCTCAGGGTTCAACAGATCGCAGACGCTTCCGGGGTAGGCAGCAAATAGAGTATGCATGAATGTGTCGGGATCTTCCCTGAGAACTGCAAGAGTAAGTCTCAGGTTGCCATGCAACGTCGCATGAAATCTCTCCAGTGCTCGTATAGCAAATGTCATGGTAAAATCAATGTAAGACTGGTCGATCCAACGGCGTTGATGGCGAATATACATCAGCTCAGTAAGACGGGTCAGGACCTCGCCATATGTCATGTTTTTGAGATCCACGGATATCCCTTGAGAGTCACGACCAAACCATGGCCTGGCAAAGTCATTGTTGAGTCGCTGAATAATCGAATCACGATGTTGGATGAGGTACTGCTTGCGATTCTTCCGAGGCAAACTGAAAACCGTTTTATCCATCTCAGCCCAGAGCAGAACCCCCCTGTTGGCGATCTTATGAATCGGCTCACCCATTTCAGATTGCACTGTAATGACGCCACCTGTAGAGCCTGTGTACGTGCCTTCCCAATTGCTATCTGGGGTGCCAGACGTGTGGCAGATTATGTCTTTCACGGCGGGCGAGGTATGAGCTTCCCGCGCAACCATCATGCGGCTACCAAGTAGGATGCCGTCAAATGGCATCCCGGGGTAACCCATGGATATAGACCATGATCCTGTAAGATAGGGGTAGATGGTTTCACCGGTTCCAAAACCACTACCTGCGACCAGATAGATGTTAGGATGCTCACGAATAAGGCCATATGTGCTCAGGATCGGCGCGTGGAAGTCCTCAAAAGAGTGGTGGCCTCCCCCGCGGCCTCCTGTCCATTGAAGTATGACTGGAAAATCGGGATGGTTCTTGGCAATGTTGACAACCTGGCGTATGGCTGCGACAGACCCTGGTTTGAAGCTGATGTGGCGTATGCCCAGAGTCTGGATATACTCTGCTACAATATCCGGAGATGGAACACCTGCCCCGATGGTAAGGCCATCTATCGGGATTTTCCTGTGCGATAAACGACGCAGTAAAGATACCTGCCACGTCATAGCTCGAGGATTGGCATATATGAGGTTGCAAGTGATGCCACGCCCTGGAGCGATGCTCTTCGAGAGGTTTCGGATCGCCGCGGCCATGTCGGCTGCGTTGTGGAAGCCACCGCCAGCCAGTTCAGCGTGATAGCCGGCATTCATAATGGCAGCTACGAAATCCCAATGAGTCGTCGTAGGGGTCATTCCGCCCACCATGACCGGTGGGGCACCCAATAGCCGGCTGAGGCGCGTTTCGATCCCCAAGGGATTCCCGGCTGTCAATCTCGGCTGAAATCGCTGACTCCAGCTCAGAGTCCTGGTCGACGAGCTCAGTAGATTGGGACAGAAAAGATCTCTCATTGTCCCCATTGTCGAATCTCGGGAGTCAAGGTCGGCAGCTTGGATGATGCGGATGCCCTGGCCATCCTTCACCCTTTTGAGCAACGGCGCCAGCCCACCTCTATCCAGAACTATGATGTGCGATATAGGGTGGAAACTGCTCTGCGTAGTGATGGCAGCCCCCGTCAATGCTGTGGGCCAGTCGCATAGTTCGCAAGTGATTGCGTCGAAAGCAGCACGCAGAACGTCCATGTTGCCTGCTCGAAGATCCTGACCGGTCCGCGTGTGGTATACAGGAATCAACAATTGATGTGGAAAAATGGGGCGGGTTGAAAAACGCAACTTTAATGAATCGGCAGCCGCCTGAAGGTACGGTGTGTGAAATGGCGTGCTGATTGGCAAGAAGGAACACTGGATAGTCGGCTTTCGGCTGCTAAAGGGGATTCGACTCTGATCATCTTCGAAGCTGCTGCTCGATTGTTGCAAATGCCTCTCCAGGTGGACCAAGGAAGCAACTGGACCAGCGACCACAAACTGGTCCCGGGCGTTAATCAATGATAAATGAACTTCTGACCCCTCCGAGAAACGTTTGTTGATGTGTGCAATAATCGTGTCCAATTGCTCTCTTATAAATCCACGCACCGAAAGCATGTATGATGGCGCGCTCAGGTCTCCTGCCCGCTCAGAGTGACCCATGGCTATTGCGGGGACTCTGCTCCACGGGGCATTGAAGTGACAGTCCCAGCCCAACCAGAACAACGCCTCCAAGATGAGCTGAGAGTTTTGGTAGAAAGAGTCCCATGAATCCGAGAGGGCGACGGCAATAGATACAAGTAATCCCTGTGAGTGACCCGTGGTCGCGCGCAAGACCTTTCGGAGTCCGCCGGGGGTGAGGCCAAGAACATGGCAAATAACCAGGTATCGAGCTAGACTCAACAGACCGATAGCAGGGACACTAACAGGGGAACTGGTTACGAACCCACCCCCGGGAACGCTTTCAGGATCTGACATCCATCTCTCGAGGTGAAATGGCCGCCCTTCGTAATAGTGGGCTGCTTCTGAAAGCTGCGAGAGCTTAAGGAGATGACCTCCCATTACCTGTAAAAAGCCTCGCAGAACTGGACCGTACGTGAATTGGAGCTCTGACAGCTCTTGAACACAGGAACGGCTCGCATCTCCTTGTCCGCCAAAGACCGCCATTATGTGGAATCGACCCCGTTGCGCCTGATGCAACAAAGCACTGTCAAGCCTGCAAGAGGTTGAAGGAGCATTATCTGGATCATCATCATCCCTAACAGCACAGGCTGCAAAGTACATGTGCAAAAGATGTTGGCGTCGCTCGAGAGTCACGGACAGACTACCAATGGCAGTGTGGATGTCGGTCTCGCCCCGCAGGAACTCAGATTCGAAGGCCCGCATGACAGCTGCCAGTGTGATGTCGGGAGCATTTTGATGAATGAGGAACTCGACGAAAGCAAGCCCCAGTTCAATTGGGGTTTGTAGCTCATCCGTACTGGTAGATTTAAACAAGGGACTAAGCAGAAAGACATGCTTGTAAGACTGTAGTAACGAGAATTGTTCGCTTGGGACGGACAGCGTGAATTGGATATCGTTCCGCTGAAAGCGAATGTCGACAGTGTTGGGTGCAGGAAAGACCGATAAGGAACGAGAAAGAGGAGGAGGAGAAGGGGCCGAGGGAGACATCGTGACCGGAGAGTCAGGTGACAGAGCAGGTACTTCTACCTCCGTCCGGGTCATCTCTCTCTGTCTTTTTCTCATCAACGAGAGTATTCACAACGACCACAACAACGACCAAAATAAACGAGTGAGCCCAACGGGGGTTGAAGGAACAAGATCTTGTCCTGGCAGCAGCATCCAGAGCCCTTCCTATTCAGTTCATCCTGTGTGGGAGAAACGGTGTCGCCGGGGAACTTGGAGGCGCGAAGAAAGAAATCAAACCGGACCAGACGAGGACATGCCGGCGATTCTTCCATATATTGGGGTTGCATTATCCCGGCGTTGTGTCAGCACCAGGCCCACGGGTCTCTTTCCTCCGGTGCATATATAAAGTGATTGGATGCCTGCAGAGATATCTCGGAGAGGACAACGCTTACAGGCCTGGGACACACCCCAGACCACTTGGAACAACCGGAAAGCTGACTTTTTCTTCCTCTCACAGTAACCTATCGGCACTGAAAGTCATCGCGTTGCCACCTGTCGTCGGAGTTCGGCCAGAATCCCTTTGGTTCCAATACACTGAATATTGACGTCTTCCCGCAGCCGGAGTTTCGCAAGCGGAGTTTTTAAAATCTGTCCCACCCGGATACGATGGCGTTCCAATAACCACCAAGACCCGTATCCGATCTGGATCGGCGTTTGGAAGGAGAGGTTAATTTAATTTTCGTCTCTCGGGGTCTCCATGGATTGCTCGACTTAAATTAAAGCGGCTGATCCGAGAATGATATACCGCGTTCGCTCGGTAGGGTGCGCTTTTCCACGTGCCTTGTAGAATATTAAGCTGAAGGGATGACCTGCTGAGTAGTCCCTATACCAGAGCTGGCAGTATATCTATGTGGTGAATTACACCACCGAGCCAGCATTCTCCCAGTGGTCAAGCCGCGAGCAGAATCAATCCGCCATGACTCTCCATCCCATACCAGATCCGTCAGCCATGGAAGTTTCTGGCTCTGATGGGAAAAGAGAATTGGCGTATAAACTGTTTATCGAAATTCTAGCGTGAGTGGTCTGCTGAACCAGGGCACAAAAGAAATAAAAAAGTTGACCAATTAGGTATCAATTGGCATCGCCGGTGCGATGGATCGAGACGCAAAATGAGCTTCTCAAGAAGCATCCGTCAATTCGGCGCTTTATCGAGATTGGTCCACGAACCACCCTCGCGACCATGGCCAAAAAGTCAGCCTCCAAGCATGCGTTGCGCTCACCAGCGGAAGGGTCCCAACTGGAGTTTCTATCCTATCAAGATCAGCAAGATGAGATCTTTTTCCGCTATCCAGAACCGGAGCCCCATAGAGTCACAGAGAAAAGCCTTCTAGCGCCTATATCCTCCTCTGCAGCACCGGCTGTGATTCCGGTGGCACAATCCCACAAGGAACAACCAAAACAGGAGTCTGTTACTTCCATTGGTTGTATTCCTAGTGTAGAGGTTTCGCTTTCCGCTAGCCACATTGTTCTCGCCATGACAGCGCAAAAGCTTCAGCGGCCCTTTGACCAGGTATCAACACAGAAAACAATTCGCGATCTTTCTGGAGGTATGTCATCATCTTAAGACATTCTCACACTGGCAACGATACTAACTGCATGTAAGGCAAATCAACTCTGCAGAACGAATTAACGGGAGACCTTGTAGCTGAATTTGGGAAGGTCCCTGAAGGAGTCGAAGACATGTCTCTAACCGCTCTAGGAGAGGCCTTGCAGGGTGGTTTTGTTGGGAAACCGGGGAAACAAATGGCTGCGTTGGTTTCTAGACTGGTATCAGGTAGGATGCCCGCCGGGTTCAACCAGAATGCCATCCAAGACTATTTGAAATCACGGTGGGGTCTGAGCAAAGGCCATTCCATTGTTCCTATGTGCTTCGCGACAACAGTCGAACCGCAACTACGATTGCCCGATCTAGAAACGGCACAAACATATTTGGATGAGCTAGTCAACCGCTATGGCACGTTTCAGGGTGTTGATTTCATCGCGGCAACTGACCAAAACAACCAGAATACGAGGCCTCAGTCCATGGTCATTGACTCCGCGAGTCTTGAGGCTTTGAACAAGGATCAGCGAGATTTCCAGCGCAAACAACTAAATTTACTTGCGAAACATCTTGAAATAAATATTGAAAACCAGTCCGCAGATGCAGAGATGGAAACGCAAGGGTTGGAAAAAATGTTGCAGCAATGGGATGCGGAGTTAGACGATCAATTCTTCCAGGGTATTCAGCCGCTTTTCGATGCGAACAAAGCTCGGCATTATGATTCGTGGTGGAACTGGGCTCGAGAAGAGCTTATAAACTGGCTGAACGTCATCTCGCAAAACCGTGGGGATGTCAATATCTCCAGCTTGGACCGTCAGCTGCGCAGGACGTTGAATCGATGGGAGCCAAGTTGCACGGACATTACCAGGGCGTTTCTGGACACGAACGACTCCAGTCAATGGAGGATCTCCGACACTCGCGCGAAGTTGAGTGAAATTCTCCGTCTCGGGGCCCAATCTCAGCTTCTCGAGCCCACTTTCATTTATACCGAGCCACCATTGGGTCCAAAAACTATCATTTCAAGCACAGGCCGCTTAGAGTATCAAGAAACCCGGCGCACCGACGGGAATTACATCAAAATCGTTCAGCAAGGCCGCACGACTTCCAAGGACAGAAGCCCGATGGTCCCGTTTGTTCACATAAAAACTCGTCACGATGAAGAAGAGTGGGGTTACGATGCAGACGTCACAGAAGCATATCATGAGACCTTGTATGTAGGAGCCACAACTGGTCTGACATATAGTGGCAAGGCGGTTCTCGTCACTGGCGCTGGACCGGACTCGATCGGGGCTAAAGTAGTACAAGGACTGCTCATCGGCGGCGCGCGAGTGGTTGTCACTACTAGCCGGACTGTCTCGGATTGCGCTCCATTCTACCAAGAAATGTATCGCAAATATGGAGCAAGGGGCTCATCGCTGACGCTTCTTCCGATGAATCAAGCCAGCAAACAAGATTGCAATGCACTGGTGGAATATATATACGGCGATGATTCCCCGACTGGCGGGGACCTGGACTATGTTGTGCCATTCGCTGCGATTCCCCAGACAGGAGAGCTTGACACGTTGAACAGCAAGCACGAGCTGGCATTCAGGGCCATGCTAACCAACGTTTTGCGGCTCACTGGGCTCGTGCGGCAAGCTAAAGAGAAACACCGCATCGACACTCGGCCCACAATGATCATACTCCCGATGTCCTGCAACGAGGGTACTTTTGGCGGTGACGGGCTGTATGGCGAATCCAAACTGGGCCTGAAAACTCTATTCAACCGATTTTACTCGGAGAATTGGTCAAGTTATGTCACTGTATGCGGGGCAGTGATTGGCTGGACCAGAGGCACTGGATTAATGCGGACATCCAACATGCTCGCCGCAGAGCTAGAGAAGATTGGTGTTATCACGTTTACCCAGGCAGAGATGGCGTTCAACATCCTTGCGTTGATGACATCCAAGGTTGCGGTATTTGCCGAAGACGCTCCGGTGTATGCAGATCTGACGGGCGGATTTGGGGGAATGTGGAACGTAAAACAGCAGATTGTTGCAGCACGTCAAAGACTGTCTGATGAGCTTGATTTACGAAACGCGCTTGCAGAAGAGGATGCCCGTCACCAGGAGGTTCTATTCGGACCTCAACAACAGAACAACGAGCCTACACCATTAAGACGAGCAAACCTGAACATAGGTTTCCCTCGTTTGGGAAATCATGAATCATTAGCGACTAGCGGTCTTCCCCGACTCGAGGGAATGATCGATTTGTCGCGGACGGTGGTCGTGGTCGGATTCTCCGAGCTAGGCCCTTGGGGTAATGCTCGTACTCGATGGGAGATGGAACATCAAGGCCAGTTTTCCCTCGAAGGCTATCTAGAGATGGCATGGATTATGGGATTGATCAAGCATGTTGATGGTGAACTGAAAGGGGAGCCATACGTGGGCTGGGTAGACACGGCGACCGAGTCACCGGTGAACGACAGCGACGTTCCTCACAAATACCACGAGCATATCATGAAACATGTCGGCTTGAGATTGATTAGCCCAGATGATCGAGACGGTTATGACCCCTCTCGAAAGGAATACCTACACGAGGTAGCAGTTGAAGAAGACCTCCCGCCCTTCGAATGTTCCAAGTCAACGGCCGAGGCATTCAGGCTGCGTCACGGCAACAACGTGAACTTGCAACCAGTCACAGAAAGCGACAATTGCCGTGTTTTCGTCAAGAAGGGTACAGTGTTGATGATCCCCAAGAGAATTCCGTTCGATCAGGTGGTAGCTGGTAGAATCCCAATGGGGTGGGACCCACTGCGGTATGGGATTCCGGAGGATATTGTGCGACAGGTTGACGACACGACATTGTATACGCTTTGCTGTGTATCCGAAGCTTTTCTGGCAGCCGGAATCCATGATCCTTACGAGATTTACCAGCACATTCATGTCTCCGAGGTGGCAAATTGCCTCGGTACAGGAGGAGGGCCGATGAAAGCCATTCGCAGTCTGTATCGCGACCGATTCCTTGACCGGTCTGTGAGGGGTGATATAATCTTAGAGCACTTCTTTAATACTACTGGAGCATGGGTCAACATGCTGCTGCTCTCCGCCACAGGGCCGATAAAGACACCTGTCGGGGCATGTGCAACTGCCCTTGAGTCCTTGGATACCGGCTGCGACGCCATCCAAACCGGCAAATGCAAGGTGGCAATTGTGGGAGGCTGCGACGACTACACTGAGGAGCTCGCATACGAGTTTTCCAATATCAAGGCAACTGCGAACGGTACGGAGGAGCTGGCCAAGGGACGTCTACCGAGTGAAATCTCTCGGCCCACTGCGAGCTCACGTAGCGGGTTCGCGGAGTCGGCGGGCAGTGGCGTGCAGATTATTATGACTGCCCAGCTAGCCTTGGACATGGGCCTGCCAATATATGGCATCCTTGCCTACAATCAGATGGCGGGTGATCAGATTGGTCGCTCCATTCCCGCGCCCGGAAAGGGTGTTTTGACAGCAGCACGAGAAGCTCAGGACGCAAGAAACTCGCCGCTGCGGGACTTCGGTTTCAGGCGCGCGCAATTTGACGCAGACGTTGCGAATCTCCGGCGCTGCCCATCCCTGATATCCCCAAGCATGTCGCCAGAGCGGGAACAACGGAGACAGCGTCTGGTTTCACTGAAGATGAAAGAGATCCAAAATCGTTGGACGAGCCAAATTCGCCTCCATGACCCCTCTATTGCCCCAATGAGTGCGGCGCTGGCGAGCTGGGGACTGGCCGTTGACGATATCGGAGTTGTCTCCATGCATGGGACATCGACCAAGGCGAACGAAGTAAACGAGGGCGATGTCATCAACACGCAGATGGCCCATCTTGGGCGTCGCAAAGGAAACCCACTGCTCTGTGTTTGTCAAAAGTCACTTACTGGCCACCCCAAGGCTGCAGCAGGGGCTTGGCAGTTAAATGGCTGCATGCAGATCATTCGCGACCGAATCGTGCCTGGCAACCGCAACGCCGACAACGTGGATGAGCAGCTGAGGAAATACGAGCATCTTGTATATCCAATGGAGTCAATTCACACGACGGACGTCAATGCAGTCATGATCACCTCCTTCGGATTTGGCCAGAAAGGAGCCATCAGTATCATTGTCGCACCCAAATATCTCTTCGCTGCCCTGTCACATACGGACTATGAGAATTACCGCAACCGTGTCAACCAAAGACAGCGGTTGACCAACCCCGAGTTTGTGTCGCGCGTTCTCAAGCAATCGCTAGTTCAAGTCAAGAGCCAACCACCCTGGAAGGACTCGGAGACCATGCGGAAGGTGTTTCTGGACCCGAACAGCCGTCTCGTGGGAGACCAGTATACCTTCAGCGAAGATCTCAGCCACGCTCACGCATGCCCGGAGACCGGCGACCTCCCGAAAATCCCAGCCCAGGAACATAACCCCACCGAGTCTAGTGCGGTGTCCGGCCTCGTTCAAACTATGCTTGACGAGGTGAGTCGGCGATCCAGCACATCACCCGTTGCCGGTGTGGGTGTCGATATCGAAAGCATCGCCAGCATCAAGACGGAAAATTCGACTTTTATCGAACGCAATTTCACACCGGCCGAGAGAGACTATTGTTCGAGAGCCGCGGACCCACAGGCTTCTTTTGCTGGTCGCTGGAGCGCCAAGGAGGCGGTTTTCAAGAGCCTGCAAACTCCATCCATGGGCGCAGGAGCCGCCATGCAAGAGATTGAGATTCTTAGCAATCGCGGGATTCCTATGGTGATGGTAAGTTTCCAGATCAATCCGTTTCAACGGTCAGAGCTAACGTGTTTGTTTAGCTTCACGGCCGCGTTCAAGCCATCGCTGCCACAAAGGGAATTAGTAAGATCGACGTCACGATCAGCCATTCGGCAGACACAGCCATCGCCGTTGCACTTGCCACAGGAATGCAATGAGGACAAGGTCTGCAGATTTGGCAACCACAAGAGGGTACATGATACTGGACGCCATAGGAAGTCGTGGGCGCCGCGGAAATGTGGTCGACGATCGACATGCGACTAGCGCCTCGCCAAGGAGCTGTTCATTAATCGTAGGAAGCCGGAGGAGGTTGAATTAGCCGAGGTTCTCACCCAATGAAATATGATAAAACTGGGTCGATCCACAAAACATGCCTCCGCTGGACTTCTCAATCCGGCAATACCGGCGCAAGGGATGAATCAAGCTTTGTTCACCTGGCTGGCTTTGTCTGGATTCACAAAACCGCATAGCCATGCAGTAGTTTCTTCAATGTGGGATGAGTTTCAAACATGGTTGAGCAGTCCGCTGTGCAATGGGCCCATCATCCCCATAACCCCTTCAACTGGCCCAACAGGAAAAAATGGATGGCCATGTTGACCTCCTGCTGGGTCACCTTTATTGTCGGTTTGAATGCCACGTCGATCACCACCGCGGCTGAATCTATCTCGGAGGAATTCAACCTGGGCAATGGCATTTTCGAGTACAACTTCTTTGCCGTGACGGCGTGGAACGCAGCGGCTGCGTTGGTTCCCCTTGCCACTCTTCCTCTGATGGAAACGTATGGGATGAGGAATGGATATGTGGTATGTCCTTCGAATAGCTTCGGCCTAGAAGTTCTAACCCGGAAATATAGACCGCATACGTTCTGTTCACCATTTTCTTAATCCCGCAGGCTCTGGCTCACAATTTTGCGACCCTGGTGGTCTGTCGGGTAATCGCGGGCGCCTTCGGAGGTACACTGCAAAATAGCGCAGATGGTATAGCGTCGAACATGTTCCTAGAGCACAAGGATCGTGTGTTCCCTTTGACCTTGTACACCTTTACCCTGGTATTTGGTGTCACTATGGGACCAGTGCTCGGCGCTGCAATAGAGCCATTAGGATGGAGGTGGTACGTTTGACGAGTCCGAGGCCAGATCACGGCTGACAGAATTAGGGTCTTCTGGATTGAATTGATCCTCTATGGGGCCTGTATCCCACTCGTTGTATTTGGCATGAAAGAAACTCGGGGACCGATATTACGTACCAAATTCATGGTGGAGGAAACATCTCCAGTCGACAATTCTGAGGCCGTCCGCGGCTTCAAAGAGACCATTTTGCGATCAGCGGTGCTCCTCACTACTGAACCGACGGTCACATCTTTCACTCTCTGGTCATCCTTCGCTTTCGGGCTTGTGTTCATTTCCACGCAGTCCATCCCGATTGTTTTCAGCGGAACCTATGCCTGGCCTTCGTATACCGACGGCCTGGTGCAGGCCTCTATTGGCATTGGCCAAATTGTCGGGTTCATCGCCTGTTGCTTCCAGAACCGCATCTACATCAACAGCGCTGCTCATAACCCGGAGGCTCTGGGTACTCCGATCCCCGAGTACATCCTCCATTTATCTATCCCCAGCACAGCCGTTGCGCTTGCTGGTGGGTTGTTCATGTACGGCTGGTCGACGGAGCAAACGCACTGGATTGTACCGGCGATTGCACTCGGTCTGATCGGGTACTCTATCATGATTATTGTTACCGCCGCCAGCATCTACGTCACGGACTCGTACGCTGGGTTCGCGGCCAGTGCCATTGCTGCTGTGGCCTTTGGCGAGAATACCTTTGCGGCGTTCCTTCCGCTGGCCGCGAAGCCCATGTATGTCCGGTTGGGGTATCAATGGGCCAGCAGCCTGTTGGCGTTTGTGGCGGTAGCATTAACTCTGGCTCCTATGGTGTTGCTGTGGAAGGGACGGACGATTCGTGCGAAGAGCAAAGCGATTCAGAAAATGTCATATTCATAACAGAAGTCCTCTGCAGTTGGAAATCTAAATTACAGCAACCTTACTCGTGTCTGTCATCCCTTCAATCATTTCATGTAGATGGTCATATCCCCGAAGAAGTCATTCGCATCGTCCAACGTAGCGCTCGCATACCCTTTGATCATGTTTCTCACGCGCGCACAGTCGGGATCTGTAGTAAACGGACTATTACCGTTAGCTCTTATTGTCCACCCCTCATCAAAAGGTCTACCAGAGGAGAGAAAATACCTTAACCACCGCACCTTACCATTCTCCACTACATTCTTCACCCAGCCCTCCGTCTCCTTCTCCACCAGCGCCACGGTATTCCACACCATCGCGGCCGGCCACTGCACGTCCGCCACGATCTGCCTGACAGGTACATTGGGACTGACAGACACGACCAGCGTATTGGCATCCACCTCCAGAAACCCTTTCGGATCATCCAACACCGTGATGTCTATGCTGGCCAGAAACTCACAGTCCACAGTGTCATATGCGGGGTCTTGCGCGTAGCATTTCACCCCCAAGGGACCGAGCATGCCTCGATTCTTCAGCGCCGTGCGAATTGTTTCGACAGCGGCATGTTGCACATGTGCGCGGGTTACATGCCAGGCGAAAGAGCAGCTGATCGGGCTTGCGTTCGAGGAGTTGTCGAGAGACACGGACCCCTCACTGTCTAAGTCGTCTAGCGGGGCGAGCGTGCCCAGCGCAAAGCAGACGATCTTTGTGATCGGGACGTTTAGCGGCAGGGTAGATATGATGCGGTTCAGGTCGCGGTAAGTAGAACTTGCCAGCCAGAGGTCGCGCGTCTGGATGAATCGGGCACGTACTTGCTCGAGATTACTGCAGTACGGCAAGAGTACGGAGCGCGCGTACACGATTGAGACGGGAGTGTGGTCGTTACGAAGGGCCAGTTCCGGACAGATGGGTGTGAGGTGGCCGAGGTGTTGGATGCTGGAGTAGTTGATGCGGTAGGTGCTACTGCTGTGAGTATCAGTGATCAGAAATCCTCAATCCATACTCATAGGTATGAAGTATGAGATATGAGGTATGGGTATGGGATATGACAAGGGAAAGTGGAGGGCTTCTCACGCGAAATCAGAGCACCAGCTCGGCACCTTGAGACTATATTTCTGCGACACGTCATCCAGGTCGTTGATATACACTTCCTCTGCGCCTTCGTCGATCTGCCGGTTCAAGTCCTCGAGCAAGGTGCGAGGGAAGAAGGGTTTTCCAGCGGTCCAGAGCTGCGTGATATGCGCTAGTCGAGCTTGGATTCTGCACAGGGTATCCTGGTCGATATCCTGGTCGAGAGATAAACTCTGAGTGGGTTTTTCCGACATGGCGCAGGTGAAGAGCCTTGTACGAGATGGATATGAAAGCGAACGAAGGGTAATAATTCTTATAAGAAAGTCCCAGCCCGGTGATTACCTTGTGGGAGGTTTCAGCCTAATGAAGAGTAAAGTGAATGTTGACAATCCTAGCCAAGGAACTGCCAGTCCAGTGATAGTCTTGCGGAAATTTTTAGCGCAGTGAATGTCAGGTGGTTTATATAGTAACAGTAGGGGTTTATCTGGCAAGTTCCGGTTTCTGACGTTATCCCTATACTAAACCAACGGGTCCAAAAAGAAGAACGAAGTAGTTTAGACTCGATCCTGTCTTCTTACACGCTGCATAATCGACCTGCGACAGCGACGCAGAGTTTAGGAAGAATAAAAAAAAAATAGAAAGCAACAGCGGAAAGTGCTGCCTGCCCATCACTTCCCTTCCTCGCCCAAAGGACAACAGAATATCCCCAAAAGCCCGGCTGTTGGACCCAACCGCAGCTGTTTAATTAAACAGCTGTTTAATTAAATTTGTTTATTTATTTTCTGGGCTTCCCATCTAGAGCCCCTAATCATCACACGGGCCTCCTTTTTTCTCCCGACTCCCGTTCTTTCCAGCCGAGGGCTGCGTTGCTCGTTGATCCAACCGCCTGGAAAGGCCATATATGGGGAATGATTGGGTACCAAGAGAATGCAGAACTACGGTAGAGGGGCTATTTTGGGAAGTATTATGGGATATTTTTAACATGCGCCAATGCAGGCGACGGCGGCTGGTTGGTTGAGCGCGTAGTAATTAGGGGCTTTTTGTTGTGGCGTAGGAGGAGACTATTCTTGGGTGGACGCGGGGATTGGTTGCGCGTAATTAGGTGCTAATATTAGATTGTTTTAATTTGTCGGTCTTGTCTATTTGGAGTGTTTTGGGTACTTTTTACCCTGGATTAGGTATCCTGCCTAAGATAGAGTGGGTAGAGCAAGTATGTCACCACTGCGGCATGACATGTTCATCCATCTCCACGAGTTTGCCGCCGGCCCTGTTGGTTTCAAGGGGCCAACATATTTTCTACCTGCTCTACGTCTCTTCAGCTGAACCTGACGTGCATGTCGCTATTCGGGAATTTCCGCCAGATTCCTGTCTCACGAAGTCGGCGGTTAGAGTGTGAGTTGGGAAGTTGGTCATGACCAACGTTAGGAGTTCCTGACATTGGATGCTCTTGGGCGTGGCATACATCTCTGGGTCAGATGGTCTACCTGCCAGGGCTGGCCACATGCAGGCCTGTTGGGTCTTGCAATGTATAGAACGTTTCACATGGCCTACAAACTGGTCACTAGACCAGACTGAAACTGGCCATGATGTCTACTTGCATATTCGGTCTTTCCTTTAGTATTCCACCTACCCAAATTCTCTCCTCTTCTCACCATGCATGCATTGATAGACTCATCATGTATGTACAACCTTACGACCCCAATTCTACCTGCACCTTTCATCCTTTCGTCTTACCTTCCACAGCATGTTAGGTGAATTCTGTCCTACCTGTCTACCTAACCCTCTCACTAACCCGTTACTCATGCCACACCTCTGTCCCCCGTCGGTCGTTTCCCCTGCGTCTATCCGTCAGGGACGCCACACAGTCACATACTGTGGTTACATGTTGCCGTTGGTATTAGGACGAATCGGAATTTCTAATTTGCATCCAAGCCAACTGACCTGCGTCCCTTGTGCCTCCACTAGAAGATTGTAACTGTTATCCGGTTACTCCGAGGGTCATTGAGGTGGGACCAGATAATTGTTGATTTGGATTTGCTTCCGGTTCCTATATCTCTCCTTTTGTGACTTAGTGACCTGATGAGGTGCTGGCTTGTTGTGGCACTTGTCCCTGAACGACGTATCCCCATTTTTTTTTGGTTTCTTGTCACTCTTATCTTCTTTTTGTTGGAATTCGTTATTTTCTATCTTGCTGGTCAAAAGCTAATACGTCTTTGAGGTCTATTTCTATCACAGATATGGTACCTTCAGCATACTCATACAGAATCCCACATTTTAAGCCCCCATCGTCAGCCGTACGTCGCCGTCGGTACACATATTCACGTCCCAAATTTGATACAGATATTCTTACGATAGTGCATTGCCCCTTTCTCTTCAATATCCCGAGCCATTCAATATTATTTGCGGTTATACCGCACCATCAAACACTGTCCTCCCACTTTTCTTCTCTCCCTCTTGGAGACTCCTTTTCGCTATATTCCTATGTTCTCTCGTCAAACATTTTCGGCACAGCCGGGTGAAATTGAAATCCTTGGCAAACGATGTTGCGGAAGAGAGATAGGAAGCGGCGGCCGTGGATCGTATGATGCCTATTCCTGGAAGTCTGTAAGTCGTGAGTGTTTCGGACTTGTTCTGCTAATGTTTAGTTTGTTATACGTGGGAGTATTACAGCTCAGATTGCTGTTGGATCAAGGGAGGGCGTGCAAGTGTATTGCGTGTTCTGCTTTTGCTATGCCAAGCTCTGTCAACAAAATGGTCGAGTCTATTCTCTACAGACTAGTTCCTGGACACAAGCGAAAGGTGTATTCATTGGTGATTATTCTCTCTGTGCCATGTCAGCTTTCTACATATCATACCTTTGAGCTTATCACCTGATCACCAAGCCCTATCCAGCACTCACAAAAACCTGTTTCTTCACATACATCAAATGCCGTTCTTGCGTTATTCAATACATGACTAGCTTAACTCTATGCATGGTTCCATCCCTGTCACTGAAGCGTTTATTTGTTAACAGTGCCCATCAACAAAATCTTCTACATTTTCCACCTACTCTTTCTGCAGAATTCTCTTCAGGCCGAGGTCTTTCCTAGTACTTTTTTACGCTCACTGCACCAATAGTCCAAACGGCAGGACACTGAGTGCCCTATCTGATTGCCAGCGCCGTTGATATATGATCCCTTTTCACTTCCTTCAACCTCCAACATCCCACCACATATCCCAACCAGCATGACTCCATCCAGCCCTGACATCCTCATCATTGGTGCCGGCTTCAGCGGCCTCTATGCCCTCTACACCCTCCGCACCGCCCTCCCCAATCTCACCATCCACATCCTCGAAGCAGCCCCGGACATCGGCGGCGTCTGGCACTGGAACAGATACCCCGGCGCCCGAGTCGACTCGGAATGGCCCTTCTACCAGCTCACAATCCCGGCAGCCTGGCGCGACTTCTACTTCACCGAGCGATTCCCTGATCATACCGAGCTGCGTCGGTACTTTGCCCATCTCGAGGAGACGCTGCATCTGAAGCAGGATATTACGTTCAACGCAAGAGTCAACTCGGCTGTTTGGGACGAGTCAACCTCTACGTGGATTGTGCGGACTGAATCGGGGCTCGAGGTCCATGCTACCTATCTGCTCTTGTGTTCGGGGTTGTTGCATCTTCCATATATTCCTTCTTTCCAAGGCCTGGAGCGCCTTTATCCGTTTCATCAGCGTTATCCTCATCTACATCCTAGCACTAACCCAACCACCCATCCTGACAACACTACTACCAACACCAGCAGCAGCAGCAGCAGTACCAGCCCAACTACCCATTCCAATGATAGCATAACCGCCAATCCCAACAAACCCACCTCCCACCCCCAAATCTTCCATTCCTCCGCATACCCAACCACCCTGATCACCACCGGCAAACGCATCGCGGTGATCGGCGCCGGCGCCACAGGGGTCCAAATCGTGCAATCCCTCTCCAAGACCGCCTCCCAACTAACCCTCTTCATGCGACGTCCTAGCCCGTGCCTCCCCATGCGCAACCGGGCCCTCACGCATGCCGAACAAGACAACTGGCAACCCTTCCTCCCTGCACTATTCCACGCCTCACGACATTCTCGATCCGGCATTCCCTTTTCCCCTGTTTCTGAGCCACACGGGCCTGGAGAATCGATATTTGAGCTCTCCGACACGGAACGGGAAAAATACTACGAAGAACTGTGGAAATCTGGATCGTTTAATTTCGTAGCGAGGAATTTCCCGCAGACGTATGTGTCTGAGGAGGCGAATAAACTGGCATACTCATTCTGGGCCAGGAAGACGAGAGAGCGGATGAGGGACGGATGGAAGAGGGATGTTATTGCGCCAAAAGAGCCGGTTGATTTTTTGTTTACGAGAAGGGTGCCGTTGGAGGAGGATTTTTATGAGTGTGTGGATAGGGAGAATGTTGATGTTGTTAGGATCAAAGACGGAGCAGTGGGATTGAGGTTTACGGAGAGAGGGGGGATTGTTGTGCTGGGTGAGGATGGAGATGGGGATGGGGAGGAGAGGATGTTTGATGCGGTGGTGTTGGCTACGGGGTTTGATAGTTATGTTGGAGCGTGAGTATCCTTCTTCTACCTCTTTTCTTATTTCCTTCTTTTCTTCATGTTCTTCTGTCGTGATTACCTGGCAATCTGAACTAGATAGGAAGGCAAGGGATGGATGGAATTAGGGCTCGCTAATCACGAGGTCTACCTATACTAACTATACGGGTCTATAGAATGGCCGACATGAACATCCGCGGTCGCAACGGCATCGATCTCGCTGGGAGCTGGCAATCAGGTATACAGACTTATCTAGGGATTACGGTACATGGGTTTCCGAATTGTTTTATGACTTATACGCTACATGGTGAGTCTCTCTTCCCTTATCATCTTGGCACCTGGTACTTGATCTGTTCTCTCACGGTACTCATTTTGATTCTCGTTTCCTTGGCCATACTCCTACTTCTCGTCATCATTGTCGTCCCTGCTTCTGATCCTTGTACCCAAAGCAAACACTGCGTTGCTTTGTACTGTACACCACTCACACTATACCTACTTACCTATACCACCCTTATCATTGATTGCGCTCCCCTTTCCTCTGCCCATTCCCTTCCCTAAATCAACCCAGCCCAACCCAACACAAACAGCCACACACCCAAATCCATGCTACACCATACGAACTACCAATGCTAACGAATCTCAAGCCCCAACCCCCCTCGCCAACGGCCCTACAATCATAGAAATCCAAATATCCTTAATAATCACCCTCCTCACTCGCCTCACATCCTCGCAACCTCAACATCAACCTCAACCATCACCCACTTACTCCTCCAAAGCCCAAACCAAACCAACTCCCGAAACCCTCACACACAGAAGAAGAAAAGCAACCATCGAACCAACCCTCCCCTCCCAGACCGCCTGGCGCGAGCTCATCCGCACCCAAGCAAAAGGGACGCTGTTGAATAGGACAGATTCCTGGTGGAACGGCGCGAATATCTCGGGGAAGAAAAAGGAGGTCGTTACCTTTCTAACGGGGGTACAGGAATATGAGAGGGTTTGTTTGGAGAGGATTAATTCTGATTTGGATATCGGGGGGAGGGGGCTTGGTGGGTTTGCGGTTGATTATGGTTCTTGTGAGTATCCTAGGGGTGGCGATGGGGATGGTGGGATTGAGGAGGGTATTGAGGATGGGAATAAAAATGGGTATGGGAAGGGGGTGAATGGGGGAGTGAAAGGGAAAGAGAAGAGATTGAGTGTTTATGGTTTATCTGGGATGTTGAAGAGGTGGGGAGTAGGAAGAAGTTGAGTTGAGTTGACAGTTGAGGATTTGGTTTGATTAGAGGTCGTTTATATCATTCATCCCATATCATATCACATACCAACTAACTATACTTGTTAGTTTACGTGTCATACTTACCACTCTCTATCACTTCAACCTATTTACCGCCTCTATAATTCGTTCAAATCAATCCGAAATCCCCGCCTTCGTCCACCAAAACTCACACTCCCTCCGACTCCACGCATCATCCACCACCTTCGCCGCAGCACCCACCCCCGTTCCCCCCGCTCTCTCATCATTCCCCTCCCCAAACACCATAACCCTCCATTCTCCCTCCTCACCCACATACCTCTCCCACCTTGGCCTATCCGGATATCGTCCAGGAACGGAATTCGGATCCCCAGCGACAATAAACGACGTAACATACGCATGTAACTGTCCGGCAACCTCCTCCTGCGCATCCGACAGCCCCCGAACGTCCACATCAAACGCCTCGTAGGGTAACTGGTCCGCATGATTCGCGCCTCCCTGAACAGTCTTATTTAGTGCCCAGCGATACAAGAAGACGGGGTTCTCGTTCCCGTACTCCCTGGGTCCAAAGAAGCGAAGTGTGCGGTTTGTCGCACAGGACAGGCATAAGCGTAGTGACCGTATGCGGCTTCGACGCGCTTATATTGCGCCCCTACGGGGATTAGTCGTGTCTCTGTATACGGGGATGAGGAAGCTGGAGTGGTTGCCGGATCCGGGTATAGCGTGTCAATGGTATCCAGATCTTTCTCTGTATATGCGGGGAGCAAAGTGTGGAAGAAGTTTCTGAACTCCTGCAATGTGGACATATTGACGGGAACGTAGTATGTTCCTTCATTCGCGTTGAAACCAGTCAAGATGGGCATTTTATTCCACACGCCGGAGTGCCACGCGTCGATTGGCCGACGCTTGATGAGCTCGTTGTCAATGACGGGTTGGAAGGCCCACCGGACGGAGGGGTTGTAGCAGTCGAAGACGGCGAAGGAGGCGTTGGAGATGAGATCGATGGGTTTGTTACGAAGACAGGGGAAGATTTTGTTGTCCGGGAGATTGTCGCAGTGCGAGGCGGACACGAATTGTCGGAATTGAGCCTCGTGGAGAGCCGAGTCGATTGGTGGACGGCGCGCGAGGTGGCGGCGCCGGATTCGATGATTGCGCGGTTGAAGAGAGAGTCATGGAGGTCTGTGTTCATGATATGGTGGGCGATCTATCTCTAGCGGTTAGTCTCACTGTTCAGGTGGTATAGGGTGCTGTTCATTTGTTATATTTGCAGTTTGATTGGGGTCATACCGAATGCGCACCGGCCGAGACGCCAAACAACGTCACTTGCGACGGTTCGCCGCCAAACGAATTAATGAAGATGAAGATAATGTCTTACCAGATCCCCGGTTATACGCTCCCCCATGAATATATACCGCCACAGGGACCTTGTCTTTGCCGTTGACGCCCTTTGGCCGAAACACATTCATCGTCAGATAATCCTCATCACTGCCGGTGTCGCCTTTTAACGGAATCAATTGCTTTCCGGGACATCTGCAGAATTATAATGCTTTAGCTATTTTCCACTGTACTATCGCTAGCCAGTTTGACTTCAACAAAAACCGGTCCCCAAAAGCGGGGAAACGGTACAAGATATGTATTGGAAACTAGGCGCGAAGAAACCGTCTCTCGCCAACGGGTGGAACCGCGTACGGAATCCCTCGAAACGCCTCCACGGGGACATTCAGATTCTCAGCGATCGTGGACCCCAGTAGGGTGCCTTGGGTGATGTGGACGCGGGGACGGTGCCACGATGACAGGCGCAGGACTTCGGGAATCCATGATGAAATGGAGGAGGGGGAAGTGAGGAGGTGCAGGTGTTGGACTTCGAGGAGGGTGAGGACGGGGATGGTGACGAGGAGGATGAGGAGGCGGGGGGTGAACATCATCTGTTTATGTTTCCTTTTTTTGTACGGTTTGGGATTGTCTGGGGGTGAGTTGGTTCCATGAAGAAGATGACGGAGAGGAAGAGAGAGGGGAAGGGATTCTCGCGTTCTTGAGTGATCGGAGGCCAGTGTCGGGGTTAGTTTTAGTGTCCGAGACAGGATCATCTCTGAGGCTATCGTGAGGGGATAATCAGATATGGTATTATATCCCTGGTGATACCTTATCTAGAGTAAAAGATACTAGAAAATAGTCGTAGATATAGATCTGTAGACACAGTAAAGTCATTAATCAAAAACCCACCCAAGCTAAATCCAACCAAACTATAAACATGCCGCATCAAAGGTAAAATATACATCCAGATCACCCCATATAACTCACCCTCATAACATCATCCCCCAACGTCTGCACACTCGTCACGACCTTCCCATTCTGCTTCATCTCAATCACAGTAGCTCCATCCGTCCCATACACCCTCCCCCCAGCCTCAGCCTGCATATCCATAAACTGGACGGTGCCAAAGTCCACCAACGGCACCATCTCACTCCCCGATTGAAAGTCCTCCACGATCCAGTCCGCATTCTCCCCGGCCAATTTCTCTCCACTAGGCGCACTAATCTGCTGCGTCGCTCGTTGCCCTGTACTTTCGTTCACGATCACCGCGACTCCGTCTGTCGGGGTATATGATTCCACAGTCACGCTGACCACGTCCCCGGTGGAGACCGCAAAGTCGAAATCATGCGCTACGTCAGGGAACCACTCGTACCAGGCATCGTTGTATATTTGGCCATTATCGTAGTAGAAATCGACTCCCGCTTGCAGAATCGCGGTCGTGTATGTGTCTCCGTCGATTCCGACCCATGCGGACGCGGCTTGGATTCCGCCAGGGGAGTTTGAGGCCGGTGCGGGTTCGGGGACGGTGAATGTCGCGGACACAGAGGTGTAGGAACTTCCCTGAGTGGGTGAGGATTCGCGCACTACGCCCGCCCAGTTCGCGCTGTAGGCTATGTTGGCGCTTGTGCGGTGTTCGCGGTCTGGGGCTAGCTCGAGCATTGGTTGGGATTGGCGGGTTTGGGCTCGTTGGGCGGAGCGTGCGGCGATGCGTTCGCGGAGACCTGAGCGGGGGGCGCCCAGGATTCCCTGCGCGAGGGTGAGGGTTGTGAGGAGGGATGTGAGTTTCATGGTGGTGTTGGATCTGTATAGTAGGATAGGATAGGATGGGGTAGGACAGGAAGTAGGAGAAGAGAGGAAATAGGAGAAAATATTCAGAAGGAACAAGAACGAACAAAGATGGCGATGGTAAATTTATACTCGATCTACCCAGCCTGACAAGGCAACATGTAAAAGATCAACAGGCAGAAAGGGATGATATACCAGAGGTAGGCTGGAAATGGCATATCATGTTCGTGCTGAACGCGTGGCATAGAGCGAGCAGCGCAGACAGGCTGACAGACCGACGATCTTGCATTCCGAAAGACAGGCCTTATTTAGCTCTGCAAGAATCGACGAGACTATCTGGGTAGATCACTCAGAGATTTTATTACATCAGCAAAGATCAACACCGGGAATGCCATTGATCAGGCTGCGGCAGATAGATGCCTGAAGTCATCTGCTGAGTACATTCAGGATCAGGGTGAAAGGCAAGGTCAGGTTCATCAGGATGACCAACCCCTACCCAAACCCAAACACGAAACACATGACAATCTCCAACCCCAAAAGACATCATACATAATCCCCCTGCCTCAGAATCCTCACTGATCAAGGAAATTGATTGATTCACTCCCGTCACCTCGAGGAAAGGGATGTGCCGTGACCAACGTACCCGTCGAGTTAGGGCTCAGTTCAGAAACAGGATAGTTGGATTCCGCCGAGCAACCACATTCCAACGCCTGCGCTCTGCCCAGCCACGCACATTCCAGACAGGCAGCCTCGTCGGGATATTCGATTCGCGTGGATATGTCTGGTCTGGAAGCAATTTGCGATGTGAGGAGTGAGTTCGGAGGAGTGGTTGGTATTATGTTGCGGTGCGTGTCAAGCTTCCGTCTCGTAGGAGATAGGGTTAGTGATCAGATAAAGAGCAAGGCAACAGAATGGATGAATCCAATGAATGAAATGACGAAATATGATCGCAGCAAGGGTTGACAGGAAGTTCCAATCAAATCACAAGACTCGCTATCTGACTCTATTCATAGCACGTGTCCCCTCCATCAAGGACAAGGACGTCAGATCAGATGTGATACATACATACCCTACCCACATACCTAAATATATCCAACCCCAATCCAAAATCAAAAAAATCACATAGGCAACCCCCTCATCTCCTTCTCACTCCAATACAACCTCATATTCTCCGCTCCCAACGCCCTAACCTCATCATCCAAATGCTCCCACAACACCGTCCCAAACCCCTCCATGATCCGTCTCACCTCGCCCCGATCCAAATCCTCCTCTCCAGAACGACATTTCTCCAAATACCGCTCCAACTTCTCCAACCCGGCATGAATGTCGCGGTGTTGCGCAACGAGGTCGCGGCGGAATTCGGGCATTTTCTTCGCTAAGAGGGGGAAGATGTGTTGTTCTTCTATTGCGTGGTGCATTGAGAGACCGGAGCAGAAGTGCAGGCCGGTGAGGATTAGTTGGCGCGGGGAGAGGGATTTGGTAGATTTGGAGGTGGAAGTGCAGGAGGTTAGGAGTTGGGTCCAGAGGGCGCGGTGGTGGTTGTGCTGGTTTCTAGTTAGTATATCATAATATCTTGTGGTTTGTTGGGGTTGAGGGTATATTATGGTAAGTGGGGATGTGTAGATGTATATGAAGTATCGATGTATGTATGTATGAGTGGGTGGGTATAGGTGTAGAAATAGTATAGTGTAGTATAGGTACAGTTACGGCAAGTGCACAAAGTGTAGAGTCAACGGAATAAACTCAGGAAAACATACAAACATATCCATCTGTTCCGCCATGCGATTATATATGCGAAACTCCTTCTGCGACAATGGCGGAAGAGGCCCCTTCTCGCCTGTCGCTGTCGTGGGTGCGCCGGCGTTGTTCTCCGCCATGGTTGAGAATAGAAAGAATCTTGAAGGAGTAGTTACAGGGGGAACACGGAAGACTCTCCGAGAAAAAAGAGATAGAGGCCGAGGTCGAGAGACTCGAACGGAAGAGAAAAAGGTCGAGATGTTCATGGACAGACAGATAGACAGAGAAAAGAACTCGCAGCTGGACTTAGGTTGTCTTACTTGTACTCCTGTCTTCAGGCCAATATAGACGAAGCAATCTTTGCTGACGGGACTATTGATAAGCAGGTAAGCGCTGCACCGATCAATCAGAGTGAGATCCGCCGGGACAGACGCTAACTGTTTAGGGAAGGTATCTAGACGGAGGACACGGATGGACCCTGAGACCCTGGTTGGAGACCGGTGGCGCAGGTCAGGTACAGGCACATAAATCGTAGAATTGGCTGTTACAGGAACAGAAGCAGTGCATTTCCCAAGGCAATAGGACAGTTGAAGGTAACAAGCAATTGATTGAAAATATATACTACGCTAAATAAAAGTTCATTAGAAGTCAAAACTCTACAATTGAATGTACCAGATCCTCAATGGACGTATGCCATCTCAACCAAGTTGCAAGACATAAATCTAGTACGTCACCGGTAATGATTTCCTCAATATAAGCACTTCTTCGGCACAACCACAATCATGAAAAGACTGGATCGCAATTTGACATCCGTGCTAGCTACGAACCCGCGGGCATGGTTGGTCCAGAGTAATCAGCACATGAGATGAAAATAATAAAATCAATTGACTAGTTAGTGATGATGTTCCAGATCCTCAATGGACGTATGCCATCTCAACAAAGTTGCAGGACATAAATCTAGTACGTCACTGGTGAAATAAATCCTCAATATAAGCACTTCTTCGGCACAACCGCAGTCATGGAAAGACTGGATCGCAATTTGACATCCGTGCTAGCTACGAACCCGAAGGTTGAACTAGTGTTTTGCGGACGGAAAGGGAGAAAAAAAAGAATGAAAATCAATTGACTAGTTAGTAGTATGATGTACCAGATCCTCAATGGACGTATGCCATCTCAGCGAACTGCAGGACATAAATCTAGTACGTCACTGGTAAGGAAATTCCACTCAATATCAGCACTTCTTCGGCACAACCACAGTCATAGAAAGGCTGGATTGCAATTTGACATCCGTGCTAGCTACATTGCCAATGGTTCAATTGTCATACCTAGGTCAGAAGGGGAAGAAGAAAGAGAAGTCATTAGAATTAACCTCGGGTATCATACAACAAGCCCGGGCGGATGAATACATAAATTAGTAGACATGTCGTGAAACGTTAAATCGATCAGAGCTCCCGACGGTTCTCCCTGGGAGGCTTGAAGTTGCCCTGTCTCAACTCCTGCCAGGCAAGATCGAACCGAGCACCGAGGTACCAGGCCACACCAATCTAGAACAATTAGAATAAACCGGCCAAATAGAAGCGAGGCGAGGGACTCACCATGAGAAGAGAAACAATCAGGATGATCACGCCCATCAGCGCCATCATGAAGAAGACGTCTTGGCGTGTTTCAGCCTCTTCTTGCGCCTTCTGTTTCTCCTCCTCGGTCTGCGCGCCAGTCACCTTGCGCTGGGCGTCTTCGGCGTTCTGCGAGGGGAAGATGTTCTCGATGAATTTTTCAATCTAAAGAGTCAGCATAGTTCAGCCAGGTGAGGTCAGGAATAACATACTCGTCCGCAAACAAGACTAATCTTGAGGAAATTGGGGTCCTTCGGAGTGTTCTTCTTGTGGATGCGACGCGCATACCGCCGGAAGACGTCGCACAAGACCCGAAGGTTCTGCGTGGACTCCGTCATCAGACTGCAGGCATCACCCTTAGTGATCTTGACGTTACGTTCGAAGATGGCCGGGTTGCGGAAGCACAGCTCCAGTGTGGCGATGGCCATGGCCTGGGGAATAGCGGCAAAGTTGAAGACACTCTGCTCGCGCAGTCCGGCCAGGTAGAACAGACAGTCCTCGGTGTGCTCCAGGGCGTTCAGCACCATGTCCGAGCTGCAGTTCAGCGCCACCTCGCGGTTCTCCGGCTTGAACAGGTCGTCGAAGTCGCTGACGTACTTGGACCACACCTCCTTGGGCCAGAAGCGACGGCGGTCGTCGTTGTCCTCGCGCACATCACGGATGATGTTGGTCTTCTGCAGGAAGAGACCCATCGACTTGTGCAGACGGGGACGCTCCAGCAGAGCCGGGTTACCGAATCCCGCCTCGACGAACAACCGCGTCAGGCCCTCGCCCACCAGTCCGGCCACGTAGTAGCAGTACAGGTCGTACTCGACGGTGGTCTTGACGCTGGCATCCTCCAGCTCGGCCTTGCGACAGTAGTCGGCCATGCCGTTGCCCATCTTGTCGGTGATGTCCTTGACAATGGCCTGGTAGGCGGGCTTCATGTTCTTATATTCGGTGATGACATTGTGGAACTGAACCAGCAGTTCCCGGTCCTTCTCCTCGGGGCGGTTGCCCGTGAAGGTCCACCCGTCCTGCTCCAGGAAGTCCTTGAACCCGCGCAGCAACGGCTCCTTGGTCTCTAAGGGGATGGAGGTATCATCCTCGATGGTGTCCAACCCACGGAGGGTGAGGTAGAAGACACAGACGGGCAGCAGCAGCTCGGGGTGGAGTTCCTTGATGACCGCGCTGAAACTGCGGCTGGTCAAGTCGAGGAACTTGAAGCACTCCTTCTGAGTCTCGGTCTCGTTCGTCGTGTCGCGTTCATGAACGGGGTTGTGCCAGACTTTCCTATCGGCAAGGACCATTAGACCTCCATAAGCGTTGGCACAATCGTCAACCTAAGATGGGAGCGGGAGTACCAACCATTGCAGGATCGACCTCAACTCGGAGGGATGGAAGGAGTAGTAGAAGATATTCGAGATGAGGGTCATGATGTGAAGGGCAATTGAGACAGAAATGGAGACAATAACGCAATGCCAGAGGTATTAGATAGTAGAGGTAAAAGATGTGAAGGAGAGAATTATTGTGGGAGAAAGTAAAAATCCGGGTAAATAATATACAGGAAGGTAGGAGAGTGGATGGGAGGAGAGGCGGGGAAAGAGGATGGAAGAGAGGAAGGTTCCAGGATCACAGTGAATTAGGGAAGAGATCCGGAAAAAGAGAAAAATCACAAGAAGAGGAGGAGGAATGGGGGAGGAGAGGAGTGGAAGAAAAGAGAGAGAAAAGGAAGCCCAAGAAGGATTTTAAAATGAGGTGGCTCGTTAGGGGCCGCCAGCCAACGCTAGTCCCCGGGTACCGTATTTACCCCCTGCACGGCCTCCACACGTGCTTTTTTGTATGTGCTTAGCCAAGTCTTGGCGGTAATCATCCCCGGGCTGACAGGACGTGACCATACCCGCCCAGCGACTCGACTACGGGCGGCGACAGCGACCACTTTCACCCCCCGCCTCATGACGAAAGGCGGCCAGGCAGAAAAAAATAAACTATCAGGTGGGACATTCCTGATTGTTCATCTCTCATTCTCTTACCCTCATATTTCCTCATTCCCTCCCCATTTCTATACTATCCTTCCGGTTCCATCCCCCCATCCTTACCAGCAGTCACCTGACAGATCCTCGCCCGGGGAGTCGGCTCGTCATGGTCGCTGATACCACCTACTACGATGCCTTAGGAGTGCCTCCCACGGCCTCCGAACTGGAGATCAAGAAGGCTTACCGCAAACTCGCCATCGTCACCCATCCTGGTGCGCTGTCCTGCCTCGTTGACTCTGCTCATCCTGACCCTCGACAGATAAGAATCCCGGCGACGAGACCGCGCATGCCCGGTTCCAGGCGGTACGATGCTTGTCCTACTTGATGTTGTACGGTCGGAAATTAACTGCCATAGATCGGAGAAGCCTATCAAGTCCTCAGTAACGAAGATCTACGCAAGCGCTATGATAAATTTGGAAAGGAAGATGCGGTTCCCGCCAGTGGTTTCGGTAGGTCTAGGTCTATGTGTTCGTAGTGTTATGGTTTGATGCTAACCCCCACCAGAGGACCCCTCGGAGTTCTTCGGTATGATCTTCGGTGGAAACGCTTTCGTCGACCTCATCGGTGAAATCTCCCTCATGAAGGACCTCACCGCTACGATGGATATCACGATGCAGGAGATGGAAGAGGAGGAACTGGCCGCGTCGGCCGAGGAGAAACTGAACATTCACGACCAAGAGACCAAGGCCGGGGAGACCGCCGAAGGTACCCAGCCCGCTAAGCAGCCCGCTGCCTCGACCGATCCGGCTACTTCTGCGGCGGCGGCGCCCGCTCCGGCTCCCGCTGCCGCCTCCGAATCCGAGACGACTACGGAAAAGCCCGCCGCGTCCAGCTCCGGTCGAAGCACCCCCCGTCGCCCGCTCGGCCAGCAGGCCATCATGGACAAGTCCGAGGAGGAAGCGCGCATGGAGGCAGCTGGTCTGTCGCCCGAGGAGAAGGAACTTCGCAAGAAGGAGAAGAAGAAGGGTCTGTCCCGGGAGCAGCAGGAGCGGTTGGCGGCCTACGAACTCGAACGCAAGAAGGCGCGCGAGGAGCGCGTCGACACGCTGGCCACCAAGCTGGTGGATAAGATCAGCGTGTGGACCGAGACCGACAAGGGCGCCGACGTCACGAAGGCCTTCGAGGAGAAGATCCGTCTAGAGGTGGAGAACCTGAAGATGGAGTCCTTTGGTCTGGAGATCCTGCACTCCATCGGACAGACGTATGTCCAGAAGGCCAGCTCGTTTTTGAAGTCGCAGAAATTCCTGGGGATCTCCGGCTTTTTTTCCCGGCTGAAGGACAAGGGCACGCTGGCCAAGGAGACGTGGACGACCATCTCGACGGCCATCGACGCGCAGATGACCATGGAGGAGATGGCCAAGCTGGAGGAGCGCGGCGGCGAGGACTGGACGGACGAGAAGAAGGCGGAGTACGAGAAGAAGGTGACGGGGAAGATCCTGGCGGCGGCGTGGCGCGGCAGCAAGTTCGAGATCCAGAGCGTATTACGCGACGTGTGCGACCAGGTCCTGGGTGACAAGCGCATCAAGTTGGACAAGCGGGTGGAGCGGGCGCACGCGCTGATCATTGCGGGCAACATCTACCAGAAGGTCAGTTTGCTTTCAAGTCTCTCTAAGGAATCCCTACTAATGCTATTGCAGGCGGAACGTGACCCCGAGGAAGAAGGCGACTACATGGCCTTCGAGCAGCTGATGGCGGAGGCGATGACGAAGAAGGGCAAGGACGAGAAGAAGAAGAAGAAAAAGAACGAGCCCGAGGAGGAGCCGACTTCCGCATAGACTAATATTTGTTCATCGTTCCCTTATTGTCTTCATTCCCCCATTCCCCTTCATTTCCCTGCGTTCCCGTTGTTGTTAAGACTGGATACGGGCTGTTTAATATTATTGATTGATCGTTGGACATACTTCGGTAACGAATGGATGTCCAGATGACTTAATAGATGGTATTCTCAGTGTTACCGACTGGATGTACAGTGTAGTTCATGTCATGTAGCAGCGATCGATATGCATTCCTGTGTCTGAATGCCCGACAGCGATCGCCATCGGAGATCTCCGCCAGAACCCCGCAGCATCTCTCATTTCATCCCATCTCCACTTCATGTTTACTTCTTTCTCCCTCCAAATCTCCTCCCCCCAGCCAAGACCATCATCCTATCTTAACCTCCTAACCCAACTAAATCCAGAAACACGGCACGCGATCTCCTCCCTAACCCAACAGCCGCTAACTCCTAGCGCCCTGCTTATCAGTCTTGACTGGTCGATTCCTGCAGCTCGCCACGCACGATGATACCTTGTGGCCGGTAGGGCCAGCAAACCGCGGATCCTTTCCTATCTGCGCCGCTGTGGAGGCCGAGGAGACCATCAGGATGGATTGAAATATGAACTTCCTGACCGCTTCAATGGCTTATCATCGGGCGAGTCCGATCAGCTAAACATGTCAGGGATAATGCATGTAGCTAGACCAGCACAAGGGACGGAGATATAAAGGCGCGAGAAACCCGGATGTTTTCCTACAGTTCAGAATTATGCGATTCTCAAGCCACCCAGCATGTCCCCATTTCTCTCCTCATCGGTGCCTCTGTCTGCATTGGCCCTGTTCGCTATCAGCAGCACCGCCATCCCCACTCCCAGTCCCGTCAACCCAGCAGCACCCACCGGCTTAACCTTCCCCTCAGGTTTCGACATCGTTTCATCCTGGGCAAACCTCGCGCCCTGGAGCGAAGTCCCCTCCTTCAATAACATTTCCAAAGGCGTCCCTCGCGGTTGCGAGCTCTCTCAAGCCCACGTCCTCCACCGGCACGCGCAACGCTACCCGACCAGTTTCAAGCTCGACGGGGGCGGCATTGACGCGTTCAACGAGAAATTATCCAATTATAGCCGTGCGCACAACACCACGGAGATCGCATCCGGTCCGTTGCGCTTCCTGAATGATTGGGTTGATCTCGTCGGGAAGGATACCTTGTTACCGACGGGCGCCGCGACGGAGGCTTCGTCTGGTGCGAGGATCTGGTCGCGGTATGGACGGTTCTTGTACCGCGGTGGTTCCAATGGACCAGAGCCTGGTGTGGAGAGATGGAATAGTTCGTTGAATGTTTATCCGAATGGGACGGAGAGGCCAAAGCCCATCTTTCGGACCACGACGCAAGGGAGGATTCTGGAGAGTGCCAGATGGTGGTTGAGTATGTTTTCTCTTCCCTACCCTGTTATTGTTCCACTTGAAGTCTGGGTGGATGTGGTGTTACGAGGAAATGTTGATTAACGACTGTAGGTGGATTCTTCGATAACGAAGGCGCCAACAGCTCCTACTCGGAATATGATCTCGTGGTCATCCCCGAAGGCGACGGATACAACAACACTTTGGGGTCCGATCATTCCTGCGAAAACAGTCCTTCTGGAGGGTAAGTCCCCTGAACCAAATACACTACATCACCTCATCCCATCCCACTGACCATCCGCCCAGAAACACCGACGGCGCCCACTTCATATCCACCTTCACCCAATCCGCCGTCACGCGCCTATCCCCCTACATGCCAGCGGACTTCAACCTCACAGCCTTCGACATCGCCTCAATGATGGTCCTCTGTCCCTACGAATACGCCACCACAGCCCAACACTCCTCCTTTTGCACCCTCTTCACAGAACAAGAATGGCTCGATTACGCCTACGCCATCGACATCCAATTCTACGGCGTGTTCGGCCCAGGCTCACCAACCGGTCGCGCCCAAGGAATTGGATATATCCTCGAACTCGCGGCTCGACTACAGGGCAAAACCATCCCCACTAGCGACACGAGTATAAACGCGACTTGGGACCAGTCAAGTGAAACTTTCCCGCTCAACCAACCGCTATATATGGACATGTCACATGATACGGTGATCGTGGCGGTGTTGGCGGCGTTGGGATTGAAGTATTTCAATTACGGCCCGCACGGCCTCCCAGCGAATGTTTCACATGAGGTGGAACGAACCTTCCACTTGAATCAGGTTACGCCGTTCGGGGCGAACATTGTTACCGAGGTTTGGACGTGTCCGTCAGATGGAGATGGTGCGTCCTTCGAAACAGAGAACCTCGCCGGCTCGATGTATAGGAATCCGGATCTTTCTGAGACGGATCATACGAAAGATTTTCTGCGATTCGTGCTCAATGGAGCGCCTGTGCCGTTGGATGGACTGGTGGGGTGTGAGGATGCGGTGAATGGGTTTTGTGATGTGGACGAGTTCCTAGGGGGTGTGGAGGCGTTGAAAGAGGATGCCGAGTATCAGTTTGCGTGCTTTGGGGAATATGAACTGGATAAACAGGTTGGGGATGGGAGGCCGGAGGTTTAGGCAGATGTGAAGATATATATGTGCTCCGAATGGCCTGCACTTTCCGGATTTTCTGAAAATTGTTGGTCTACAGGGACCGGATGCACCGGACCGGTCAAGCCACGATAAAACTGATTGAACGGATGCCTGAAATAGTAGTGAGGATTGAATTGATGGATTGATGTAGAAAGAATCGAGGTTGCCGGTCTAGAAGGTGCCTTAGGCAATTTTTCGGGACAGTATTATCGTGATATGTCGCTTGTTTTGGCGATTAGGAAGCCTCTCAAATTCCATAAATATCGGCTTCTTTATCGTGTAGTTAGTTGAATGAAGACTTTCATTCATTTGAATATGATCATATAAAATCGGTTGAATAATCACTTCTTCGGTAGACCCACATATTTCTGCCACAGACTGTTATAGAGATACTTGTCCACTTTGTAGTACCTATTGAACCGCAGAGGTGTGGAGCCTTTTCACATCATTAATTGCCGTGTGAGTAGATATACAGCACTGCTTTTCGACATCCACCAGCATTTCCGGCTTAGATTTTCTCCTAATATCATAGTTTATAAAGACTATATTAGGGCTCTAACAATCGTATCCATTCAATCAAATAGAAGCCTGAAAATCCGATAGGAATAGACTCAAACCCGTCGTAGATACTTCTATTCCTGATCTCAGACAGACAACTCACAGACAGAAAGTATCTAAATTCCGATCTTTTCCACAGCTGGCGTCGAAATTCCCCAAAACAACAGATTGCGTTTCCGATGACATTTTTTCTGCCACGTACTGTCCTTCCCTTAGTCTGGCTTTGACGACAGCGGCCTCTGTACCGAAGCTGGCAGGGCTCCTAGGAGGGGCATTCATGATATTTGTACGTCCACCGAGAAGGTATAACACTGCATGCCAAAGAGCTGGAGGTGCAAATAATCAAGAAACACATTAGTTTGTCTTCCCCTACTGGCGGTCTTAACGTCAAGGGACACATACCTGATAAAACCCTGACGAAAACACCAATGATCACTGTCACGAGATTACGTGATGTGCCGCAGTCTAATGCGCCGTACGGATTGATCTGGTAAATTTTCAAGTCCTGTGCACGTATTCTACCGTGGCAGATAAGTATCCACGCTGCAGCTTTGGAGAGCTGGATCTCTTCATTGGCCCGCCCATAGCTCCAAACGGCTGGCTGATCAAACAAATAGTCGCACCGCATTCGACGCAAAGGGAGATTTCGATAGAACGACTGGACTGCATTCGATGTACCTCGTGTTTCTGCTCGTAGCTTCGTCCCAACCTGCCGTGCAGCCGCTTTTGCCTGATCGGTCAAGCAGTGGCGCATGGCCGCAGCCAAGCGGCGAGGAGTAAGAGACGTATATGGGATCGGAGCAGGACCTGCACCTGTGCCTGCAACTATATGGCCCCAGAATCTCTGGCTATTGGAGAATGTCCGTATCAATACTGGCAAAAGAAGCCCCTGGTAACATATGCGCCAGAAGACATGGGTGAATACTCACTCCGCAACAAAAGGCACCACGACGGTTGGACGGTCATGCTTAAGCCCACATATTGTGGTTCCAATGCCCCCATGGTGGACTACTGCGCTGACATGTTGGAAAAGCCATTCATGCGGACAGTCGTCTATGAAAAGTACATTTTTGTGGCTGCAGGCAAGGCTACCTAGCTTGCACCATCCTTTCCCAACAAATGCACGGATCCCGGCAAGGGAGATAGCTGCCATGACCGTGTCTGTGAGCTCTTGGCTCTGCTGCTCGTCCAAAACGATGCTTCCGAATCCAATGTATACGGGTGTCGATCCCGAGCGGAGGAACTCCTGCAGCTCAGGCGAAGGCTCATGCGAAGGAAGATAGCTGCTGATATAACCAGATACCTCTTTGATTGTTCATTAGTTCCGACAAGGAGTTACGGGCTCCAACCGCACGGGCCGTAGAGGGCAACATTACCTATATGTGCGGGCCAATCATCTGGCTTTGGCACCAAGGATGGAGGCCAGAAATATGTGAATGGGATTTTCAATGTCTCGTGCAATACTGAGCCCAGTTTCATCGGAACGGGGGCCAGGTCAAGAGAAACTCGCAGCTGATTAATGGTATCTCCTAGACTAAACAAACCGTTAATGAACCACAATATTTCTAGGTACGACACCCGGGGAACCGAGGGTACCTTACTACAGCCACACCATCCACTCGGTTGCCACATAAGAAATCCAATTACGACGACCAGGCTTCATAGCCCGTCCAACACCCACTCTGGTGATCGCGTGCGGGAACATCCTCGTCCTCGACCAAGGCATAGTGTACATGAGGTGAACCGGCACCGCCCCAAGAGCCTGCGCACAATGCACATGCGAAAAGACGATCGGACTTGCAATGATCGCATCTGCAACAAACGGCGCCCCAGTATCCGGATCATCGTCCACACACGACCTCCAACATCCACTGATGATGTCGGACATCATCGGGATTTTCTTCCCTTGGAGACGGGCTTGCAGGGTCTTGAGCTCATGAACATACCCGGAATTTTTCCGTCCATAGGAGATCAACTCAGCAGGGTCACCGCCGATAGAGAAAAACTCTAGTTGAGAGTACCCTGTCGCAATGGCGGAGGCGTACGTGGCATGTGTGGCGATGCGAACCCGGTGGCCTTGCCGGACAAGCTCGTCGCCAAGGACGAGGAAGGGTTGAATGTCTCCTTGGGTGCCGATTGTTTGGATGACGATATTCAGCTTGATTGACGGTGTCGCGAACTCTACCTGGACGTTGTGGTCTGTAGCGGTTTCATGTTTAACATCATGGTCATTTCGAAGCAGAAAGTGCTGAAAAGTACAGTTTCTTTTCAATCAGAAGAATAGGCAAGCTCACCCTGCGTCGAAGATGAAGACACGGGTCTTTCACCATCAGTGTTTGACCGATTTTGACCGTTGGATTCGGCTTGGCTTTCAGCAAAGGTATTCGCTACCATCATAGTTAGAGAGCCCAATACGCATGCAGTAAAACACAAAACAGGACATAAAAACTCCGCTGGTGGACAAAAGTCTGCCTGTATGTAGGGAGTTTAAGGTCGTCTAGCACGGAAAGACGCTGCTTTTCCCTTTGCGTTTGTCCCTTGACAGCTCACATAAAGATATAGTTTCAAACATGCAGGAGAAAAAACTTTGGCTTGGTTATCGAGCTACGGAGTACATCCCTTGCATTTCTTTCGAAGCACCTGGATCGGCGCGACCACGCTACTACCTACTTACTGCATTAGCAAAACCCGCCCGATCTGCGTCTCGTACATTCTGAAGTGATCAGGATCCCTCGTATTTTGGATATGTCACACCTCTCCACTACCTATAATCCCGAATTTTATGCATACTAATGTAAGCCACAAAGAGCAATCAAATCTCGTCTCTTGGTCTAAGTCTAACAAGAGGAGTCACCGGAACTGCTCCAGTTTGGTCCTTCCAGTCCAATGTCTCCGGGATCCTTTCTACAGCTTCCATATCAAATTGGGTCCAAATGTGGGCTAAAGCGGTGAACATGTAAATGTACGCCTGTCTGGATTGTTGGAAAACGGGTCAGGTATCTTCCTTGAGCATGGGGAACAAAAGATCTTACGACTTACTGCAACCCAATGCATGCCCTGGATCCTTTGCTGAATGGCATGAAGTGCTGTTCCATTGCCTGAAGCTCATCAGGGGATGCTTGTAGCCATCTCTCGGGATTAAAGCAACCAGGGTTGGGGAAAACGGTCTCATTGTGGTGGAAGGCAAGCAGGGCTCCAGAGATGCGTGCCTGATACGCGTGTTAAAGATTTGGTTTCGTTATAAAAGAGGAAGACTCAGAACACACTCCAACCGGTAGAAAATATGGCCCTATCTCCATTCCCTCCGTGGGGACCACCCTTGGTAAAAGGCCCGGAATTGGTGGTACTATACGTAAACTTTCTTTGACCACAGCATCCTATGCAAGAGGTTAGCGCTTCAGCGAGCTTCTGCCACAAATAAGCATAAACTCGTGTATACGACATACCAAATAAGCTAGCCGAGTCAGTGCCCTCCAGTCAAGCTGTGGACCAGAAATACCCCCAGGCGTTCTTTTGTCGAACTCATCCAGCTCAGTCTGAAGCCTGTCCTTGATACGTGGCGACTTCAGAATATAGAAACATGCAATAGTGAGTGTGATAGAGGGGGATTTACCAGCAATCAAGAAGACTGCTGCTTGTTGGAACAAGCTTGAGACATCACTCCTGCTGAGACTTTGTCCAATTTCATTCTCCAGGTGTAACACTGTCCGTTGGTTGAGTATCGACTTTGCGTGGCCATTTGTTTTTCTAGAAATCAGTAACTCGTTTCCAACACTCCTGCAATGCTACAAGCTTTTAGCGCTGCTCGCTCCTCACATGGGTCAATGTAGATACCTCGTAAAGTTCTTTGAAGCCAACATTGACCCTGCTAATCCAGCTAGGGAAAAATTCGAGAAATTTCAAACCAAGCGGAAGAATCAAGGGAATATCGCCAACTACACAATTATCAACGTGATGTTCAAGACGATTCTACTTTTCGGTGTTCTTTTGATCTCTCAATTCCCTTTCAAAGAAGTGAAAATAAAAAGGTTTGCTCACTTAGCCATCGATATCCATCGACGAAATTGTGCGCAGTCATCCATCCGGAATTGGGCGCCGAATAGCAGACCAGCTCTTTTGAGCAAAGATATGTACCCGCGGTGATGTTGATCTATTTTCCCTCTTCTGTTAGATTCTATTCACGACTTTGAGCTCGAGGTAGGGCTTACCATCATTGCTTTGAAATAACTCAGAAGGTCCACAGGTTTGCCCTCCTGGCTACTCTGCATCATGGAGTCTGCAGCTCGCTTGACTTGAATCCTTCCAATTCGAAATACATCATCCATCTCTCGCGAAGCGAACAGAGGTAATGCTGTATTTCGCATAGCACGATGGCGCTCAGGGTCGTCTGTGGTGATGATCGTATGCACGCCCCGGGCCGATGCATAAAACTCGCTGCATTTCATAAAAGCCGGCTTTGAGCTATACACCCTGTATTCATATCAGCATAGCTCCCTGAAAGAAGAGAAAATTTACAACCTCTTATAGACTCTGGGATCGTTGATATGTACGTGGTTGGGTGCAATTCGAATTACATCAGATTCTGTAGTCACAAAAGAGCCAAATGGTCAGTGGTATTGATAGAAAGCCACGACGGAAAACCTCACCATAGAGCTTGTGCAGATGAGGAAGGCTTTTCGTGAGGCCTCCATGTTTGACTTCGTGATATCTGAGATAGAGGCTTGTCGCTGCTGCGAGTCTGGGGCCCGGCACGCATTTGAGAGGGTGAAAAAAAAGTCGATAGGCAATAATACAAGCTCTGATCATTATAAATACCAGGAGGCATCTTTGGAGTATCCCGTATCCAGACATAGCAAAGATTAACAACATGGTTCCTCGTGGGAGGTTGTTGTTTCTCAGAAATTTGAAAAGGTTCCATCGATTAATAAAATAATGTTGCTGCAAAACGTGGTCCTGTGAATGATTCTAGTTCAGTCCTTCTGCATGCTACCTTGGTTAGCTTTCGTGTTCTATGTAAGGGGCATGCCTGAAGAGGCTGCATAGACAGCGGATCGAGAATTCTTGCATATGTGATAGATAGTAAATGACATCTCTGAGGGCGTGAAGCTAGTCTATGTAGATGGCGGTGGAAGGCTTTGCGCCACGCTAGCTATCAGGAAAACCGTGGTCTATTTCAAACCCCCCCATGGCTTACTTCATTTTGTTCCTCAGATATTGAGGAATCGATCTTCGAGTGAGTGGCCTTTCGTTGCTATGGATGATCAGTTGCTTTCCAAGTCAGTAGCGGTGGAAGCCAAGCAATGTTTACAGCAAGCGGCCAGCTTCACCAAAGAGCTAGTACGATCCGATGGACATTGGTGCGGCGAAGTCAAATCCAATGTCTCAAACACCGCGGAATATATCATGCTTCGACACGCCTTGGGCCTCGAAATACCCAGCCCCGAAACGTGGATATCTTGGATCCTATCCGAACAAAATCCGGATGGCTCGTGGGGTTTAGCGCCCGACCTGGGTGGTTATGTATCGTTTGGTGTCGAGGCATATTTCGCGCTGAAACTCCTCGGCCTCTCGCCTGAGCATCCAGAAATGACAAAAGCACGGAACTCCATCCTAGCAGCCGGTGGTGTGGCTCGAGTTCGGATCTTCACACGCTTCTTTCTTGCAATTTTTGGACTTGTCCCATGGAAGGCCGTGCCAGAAATGCCTCCAGATCTGATACTCGTGCCACCCTCGGCCCCTTTTAGTATTTACAACATGGCATCATGGGCAAGGTTAACTGTTGTGCCCTTGCTGCTCGTTAGCCACCACCGGCCCATTTTCGCACTCCCAAATGGAAGATCAGAAGTCAACACATTCCTGGACGAACTATGGTGCGACCCCAAGGACAAACAAGCTCCGTATTCGCCCAGCTTGTGGAAGCCTTGGAAGGCGGACCTGACCTCACTGGGCTTTACCGTGATTGACAATATCCTACATGCTGTCAATGGATTGAGGAACTTTCCTTGGAGAATTTACGCCCGTCAACGATGCCTTGACTTTGTACTTGAACATCAAGATGAGGATGGCACCTGGGCGGGATGCTATCCTCAAATGCACGCATCCCTCATTGCCCTTATTGTTGAAGGATATAGCATCGATTCTCGTCCAGTTCAGAGAGGTCTTCATGGGTTGGAAAGCTTTATTTGGTCCGATCAAAATGGAAAGCGCATGCAGGCTTCCATATCCCCAGTCTGGGACACCATTCTCATGACGATTGGCCTGCTCGACGCCGGACTTCCGACCGAGAACAAATATATCCGTCGATCGACTTCTTGGGTCAGAAAACGTCAGGCCCTCGGACTACAGGGAGACTGGAAAGTTCTCAACCCGAAGCTCAGATCAGGAGGGTTCACCTTCCAGTATCACAACGCTTGGGCCCCCGATGTTGACGATACTGCGGCGGCGGTTCTCGCTTTCATGAAACAAAACCCCCTCTCAGTTGATTCAGAGCCGGTTCTTCGTTCCATTGAATGGATATTGGGCATGCAAAATACGGATGGAGGTTGGGGTGCCTTTGATCGTGGGAACGACAAGCTTTTCTTCAACCGGATACCCTTCAGTGATATGGAGGCTATGTGTGATCCATCCACAGCCGACGTAACTGCGCGTGTTATCGAGGCCTTCGGTCTAGTTATGAAGACTGACTCCCGTGAGAAGTCACTTGTGCCGAGAGACATGAAAGTTGCGATGATGTCCGCGGCCGACCGAGCAATGAAGTACCTCGTCAGCGAGCAAGACGCTGGCGGAGCGTGGTTTGGACGTTGGGGAGCCAATTATATTTATGGCACAAGCAACGTGATTTGTGGATTTGCAGAAATGAAGTTTATTCAAAGCTCCACAGACGTCCGGATTGGGGATTGTATGGAAAAAGGAGTCGACTGGCTGCTCTCATTCCAAAACAGCGACGGCGGCTGGGGGGAGTCTCTCGATACTTATCGAGATCCCAGTGCCGCAGGCCAGGGCCCCTCGACAGCCTCACAATCCGCCTGGGCACTCATGGCCCTGCTTACCTCGTTGCATCCTACACATCGAGCAATTTTTCGTGGTGTTCAATATCTTGTCTCGACCCAAACAGCAGTCAGCAAGAATGGGGCTTCGTGGCCAGAGAGACCATACACCGGGGTGGGATTTCCGAATCACTTCTATCTAGGGTATTCTCTGTATTCACATTACTTTCCTATGATGGCGCTGGGTCGATACATTTCAAAAATTGGGCATGCAGGTATTTGGCAGCTGGACTAGTTGAGCCAATTTTACTGTTTCGGGGTTTTGTCATATTGACCTCAGATGGAGAAATAATATTTTATGGTTATGAGGGATTGGGATCGATAAAAAGGAAATGGGCCGCTGATTTTCAGGCAGATTGTATGTACAATACGAAATAAATCTATTTATTATCGACAGCAACATACTGTCTCCATGCCAGAAATGTTAAAAGTCCAATTGGCGATTGAAGGAGGGTCTGAATGGTCTTCAGGCGCAACGGCTGCATCCTTCCCCCTTACTGCGACCATTTTGGTTGACATGTAATATATTGGGAAATTAGCAACTAGTTATATCACATCCCACCATTTGATATATGAGTAATATTCCCCCCATATCCGATAGATTATTTTCTCATGCTGGGGACTTATCCTTGCGTCTGATCTATCAGTTGAACGATTCAGGCTTTTGGCCAGGCATGCAGGGCGCGGCATTTGGAGTGAAATGCATGCATCGGGAAAAGGGAAAACCAGTTGCAGTTTCTCCTGAGTAGCACTATGGGCTTTTGCCAGGGTGCGATTCGACTTCTGTTCTTTGGATTAGTACATCCAGGCCAACGATGCATTCCCAGGTCTCGCTTTTGCGGACTCAATCACACGCTCCCGACTCTCAGAACGTCGACGACGTGATTAACTGTCAGATTCATGTCGAGCCCAGTAAAGCGAACTTCTTCTCGATCTATCGGTATGCGACTAGACTGCAGTTGTGCGGATTGTTCTTATCAGCATGTTGTGCAGTTGCTGCCGGTGCAGCGATGCCCCTGATGACTGTAAGTTTAGTCCTCTTACACATAGCAGATAAAAGACTCTGAATAGTGTCATTTAAACGACAGTTTGTTTTCGGATCCTTGTCCGATGAGTTTGTTAAAGCACTTAACAATGGACCAAATGATTTGCTCGACGTTGCTGGTTCAGTCAGAAGTTTGACTTTGGAATTGGTGTACATAGGTTGGTGATTCATTGGAATGTGGGGAAGAATCTCCGTTGACTAAATCTCTCGATAAGCAATCGGATCGCTTGTGACGACGATGTTCAGCTCATGGGGCTTTAACCACATTGGCGATAGTATTACTAGCCATCTTCGACAGAAGTACCTCGCTGCCATTTTGCAGCAAAACGCCGCGTACTTCGATGTAGCCGGGACAGGGGAAATCACCTCAGTCATGGATCAAGACATGAAATTGATCCATGAGGGGATTTCACAGAAAATGGGCCTCCTTATCACCGGCTTCTCTGGGTTCGTGATTGCAATTGTCGTCACGTTCACGCAAAGCTGGTACTTTGCGTGCATAATGCTATGCCAGCCAGTTGCTCTTATTCTGGCAATAGGGGTACTGGGAACTATCTTGACCCAGATACAAGGAAAGACTTTGGCTGAGTACGTCCGAGTTGATAACTTGGCTCAAGATGTTTTCAGTGCAATGCGGAACATTATTGCCTATAGAAGCCAGGCGCGGTACGGAAAGAAATATCATCTCGCCCTACTGCGTCCCACGGCTTTGGAAACTCGGGAGCGATTGGTTTTTGGCATGATGGTTGCAAGTGCCTTCATGGTACTACATTGGGCAAATGGAATCGGAGTATGCACCTCCCTATCAGACTCTACCCTGCTCCCGCTAACCTTCTTCTCGTCAGTTCTGGCAAGCCAATCGTCTCTTTCACGAAGGAACATGCACCATTGCACAGGCGTTGACTATTCTATATGCAAGCTCTATTGCGGGTGCTGAGCTTGGTAAAGCAATGCCATTTGTTCTCGCCATCACACAGGCCAACAACGCAGCAGGCCGGGTTTTCTCTTCAATTGACCGTGTCTCGCCAATCAATGCATTATCGGACACGGGAAGAAAGATGAGCTCGGTGCAGGGTCATATCAAATTCGAGAATCTGAGTTTTGTCTATCCATCCAGGCCGGACCAACCGATCCTGGACCGTGTGGATCTCATTGTACCCGCAGGAAGGACTGTGGCTCTCGTTGGGCCGTCAGGCTCAGGGAAGTCGACAATAGTGGCCCTTCTAGAGAGACTATATTTACCTACTAGTGGTCGAATAGTGCTGGATCACAAACCGATTGATGAGTTGAATATCTCTTGGCTCAGGTCGCAGTTTGGGTATGTCAACCAAGACGTTGCTTTGTTCCACGCATCTATTCATGAGAATATTGCCTATGGCTTAAATACTACCACGAGAAAGGTATGCTGTCGTCATTTCATGGGCATAGTCGGGGCCAAATTGTTGACCATAATGAATAGAATTTAGATTCCGCGGGCACGAGAAAGCTGGTAGCCAAAGCTGCTCAGACTGCTCAGGTCCACTCGTTCATCATGGGCCTTCCCGAAGGTTACGATACGATTCTAGGGCCGGGAGGGTCACTTCTCTCTGGAGGCCAGAAGCAAAGAATTGCAATAGCGCGTGCTATTGTATCCCAGCCGCCAATTTTGCTGCTTGATGAGGCCACGGCGGCATTAGACAGTCAAAGTGAAAAGGAAGTCCAGAAAGCGCTTGACGCAGCCTCGCATGGGCGGACTACTATTGTGATAGCTCATCGACTTTCGACGGTTCAGAAGGCGGCTAAGATCTTTGTTATGGACACCGGCCGAGTCGTGGAACAAGGGACACATGACGAGTTAATGGCCAATGATACATTATACAGCAATCTAGTGAAGCAGCAAGCACTACAATCCGATATTTCGACAGAAGAAGATCGAACGCCAGTGCAAGATCCAAAAAAGCAGCCGTTACCTCTAATCCACGAGACCGAGTATCTTGAAGACGGGTCTACACAAAGCCTTCCTGAAGCTATGCCTTCGAAGAAGAATCCCTTCTGGTCGTTTTCGTCCCGCCGGAGTATAATGTTTGTCTGGAATCTTAGTAGACCCGAAATGACATATACTACCTGGGGTCTGATCTGCAGTGTTCTATCCGGTATAAGCTATCCTGCCCACTCAATCTTCTTTGGAAACGCGGTTATATCCATCATAAGCCCCAGTCTAAGCACAGCAGGTCATACCACAGACTTTTGGGCTCTAATGTACTTGATCTACGGGATCATTGTTTTTGGAATATACTGTGTACGAGGTTACTGCTTTGCCATTGCCGCATCTCAACTTAATCTCCGAGCTCGCTCAAGTCTGTTCAATGCGCTTCTTCACAAGGAACTTCCCTTCTTTGGCAAGACAGAAAACTCGACAGGTCATTTAATCGGGTTTCTCTCATCCGGAATACCGAAGATCGTTGGAGTATCTGGAACATCACTTGGCCTGGTTCTCGAATCTCTGACCATGCTCGTCGCAGGAATCTCAATAGGCTGGATATATGGGTGGAAGCTTGCCGGCGTTGCTACAGCCACCATCCCTCTCATAGTTGTCGCTGGCTATCTTCAATACTCCATGATCGAGAGAGTGCAGGAGTGCATTCAACGTGATTCTAGCGCAGTTGCAGTTGCCAACGAGGGTATTTGTGCCATCAAGACTGTAGCAGTGCTCGGTCTTGAAAATATAGTCATCGAAAAGTTCAGCGATGAAAGCTCTCGCGACCACTTGCCTTCAAAATGGGTGAAATTCAGCATTGCATATGCACTCACGACATCACTCGCCATATTCAGCATTGCCATTGTATTCTGGTATGGGGGCACGCACCTCATCGCGACCGGCGAGTACACTATCCGACAATTCTACATTTGCTTTGTAGCTATTGTCGGTGGCTCTCAAGCATCAGCGGCTATGTTCTCGCATGCCCCTGACATTGCAGGTGCTCGTTCGGCAGTTGAGCAACTCAAGCAACTAATGCAAGGCTCTCCACTGCACTCACCAAATATACGTCAGAAAGAGCTGCCTGCACCGAACCCTCTGGTAGATCTTTCCTTGCGAAATGTCAAATTTAGGTATCCCTCACGTCCGACCGAACTTTCTTTGAACAATGTCAGTCTAGAGGCCCCTGCCGGTCGTTTTGTTGGTTTGGTAGGAGCCAGTGGAAGCGGTAAGAGCTCGGCGATCAATCTTATCGAACGTTTCTATCTTGCAGAATCCGGAAGAATCTTGCTAGGGGATAAAGAGATTGATGATTACGAGCCGGAAAGCTACCACCGATATCTAGCGCTAGTTGACCAAAGCCCATCCTTGGTGGGTGACGATCTGCGTGAGTGTTTGCAGAGTGGTGACGAGGATGTGACAGATGAAGAAATGCTGGCGGCTCTGAAGAGCGTCAGCTTGGAAGGCTTTTTGGTAAGTGATTCTTTCCTAAAATAAAACTCAGCCGGTGCTAATGTGAATGAAATCAGTCGTCCCTTCCCTCGGGACTAAGCACGCCCGTGGCAGGCAACGGATCCAATCTCTCTGGTGGACAACGACAGCGTGTGGCCATCGCTAAAGCCCTTCTATGGAGACCAAAGATCCTGTAAGTCAATTTATCATTCCCAGTCGTATGGCAAAATCTAGATACTGACCAAGTACAGTCTTCTTGACGAGGCAACTTCGGCGTTGGACACAGCGTCGGAGCGAGTCGTGCAAGACGCATTGAAACACACCATAATTCCTCGAACGACCATTGCGGTGGCCCACCGGCTGAAAACAATTGCACATGCAGACGAAATCCTTGTCTTTGACCGTGGATGTATTGTGGAGAGAGGGACTCATGATGAGTTGATGATGGCAAAAGGGCAGTACTGGGAGTTGGCGCGGTTGCAGGATTTTGGTGGCCATGGTAACTGATGTATATAGTAGCGGGGGCTTAATGGGATGTGGCATGCTATTGACCTCTTGATAGTCACAACCTTCTTTGTATGATAGATCAATTTAATTTTCTATGTTAAAATTATATTTATAGAAGTAAGAAGATAAAGTCTGTCTCTCATTCGTCTAAAGGAATTGGGATGCTCCATAAGACTTTTCAAGATAAAATCCTAGACTACGGATCAAACTCTTCATTTGTACAGCATAGGAATTCTACGATGGACCTCCATGTGCCAACTGATATGCTGCACCAGTTGAAGGGTCCACATGATTTGCTCGTTGAAGCTGTTGAACTCTCTTTTCGAGATTGTCCAGTCTTCGTTCTAACCGTAGAACCTAACTAAGTTGCTTAGTATGCCGTTCATTGAAGGTCGAGATAAATCGCATACCTCGCCCTGTGAGATTGTTCAGAGGTCCATCATCCTGATACGAACACTCAATCTGATTTTCTTTACACAAATTGCAAGGTTTGTCACCACTGCACTTTTGAACCTAAAATGTCAGTCTTTTTCAGCCTTTGCGGGGGTGGACGAAGTGGGTGGGCAATGACGGGAACAAAGCAAGACGCTGAGGAGTAGCCGTAAAATATTGATCTGTAGAAAAGAAGAAAAGTAGGACAGAGTCTAACTTGTACAATTTGCCATACTTACTCGTGAATTCAGTTGACGGCATGAAATGCAAGCCGAGCTAACCCTCCGCCGTTTCGATCTTGGTGCAGGGGACATCATTTGGATGATGAGATAATCCAAATAGTTGTCGGGTGAAAGATGCGAATCCTGACTAACAGCCTCGAACACTCAAGGCACACCTCGGTTTCTCCGCGAACTGAGAATTTCACCTGCGGGCAGATCTGGCTTGTGAGACACGATGTCCGGGAAGACAGTCAATATTTGCTTTTCATAGTTGAGGGAATTTATATCCAGTGGCATATATGCCCCCGAGACTCGCAAGAGGATACGCATTCGGAATAGCGGCGATCCTTGGATATCCTGGGGTGGCGCCGATCAAACATAGTAATCGAAAATACGCTGCATATAATTCTGATTATGAGGGCCCGAATGTTAACGTAATCCGACAACGAGCTGGCCGCGACAACGAGCTTCAGCGCAAGTGCTCCACTGGTGTATTGTCTCAGGGAATCCCAGATCCATTATGCAACAGACTCCGGGCGTGGTATCGACATTTCCCTTAGACAATCTCTTTTTGGAGATCAACCATCCCCTCGGTCCCGTTTGGACTTTTTGCCCTCTTCTTTTTTCGCCCACAACCACCGCGATTGGGCCGGGATGAAATTGACTTTCTTGTAAAAGCGGGTGCGTTCGATACACCAGACGTGGTGTTGCGTGATGAACTCGTCCAATCCTACATTCGTCATGTGCACCCTCATATTCCATTTCTCGACCTAAATCGGTTCTTGCCGATGATTCTGGAAGATAAATCTAATCAGGAGACCTGCGATGGTGAGGGTTCATCGCTTCTTGGAATTCTACTATTCGAAGCTTTGATGTTTGCAGGGGCAATGTTTGTGAATGTTAAGCACCTCTATGGCGCTGGCTTCCTGTCCAGGCGGACAGCATGTTCAACGCTCTATCGCCGGGTTCGGGTATATGAGCTTCGTTTCCATTCCCAATTAGAGTTCAAGACTGATATAGGATCTCTGGAATAGGGGCTGTATGACCTCGACTGCGAAGATGATCAACTGGACGTAATCCAGAGCCTTCTGCTGATGTCCTACTGGTACGAGGGTGGCGATACGCAGAAAGACGGTCGCCACTAGATAGATATCCGCATCTCGCTAGCACGAGTCAACATTCTTGTTCTTGACTGGTCCAAAGAAGAAGATGAACAGTGGAGATTACGGAAACGGCTCTGGTGGTCCATTTACACGCGAGATAAACTAGTCGCCCTAGGGCTACAGCAATCTCCCAGTATTGAAGATGACGCTGCTTTGGAGATACCGATGAGCACAATCGATGACTTCCCTCCGCTTCTGGGACCGTCTAGGGTAGCTGATGTTGCTGCAAACTTTGCTGCCCATCAATACAGCTTGAGGCGCATTTTCATTGATAAAATGAAGCTTTGTCGGTTCGTTAACCGTGCTCTCCATCAATGGAAAAACCAACAAAGTCCCGATGACCCACTTTCGATAAGAATCGCCGAAGCGAATCTAGACTTGAGCAAATAAGACCTGTTCCGATGGCAAATTTACCTTCCTGAGAATCTCGTTTATCGTGTACAACTATACCCACTGCAAGATCAAGCAGATCGAATCCTCCACTGCCACAGGGCGTGGATTAGGTTAGCATTCCTCGAGATTCGATTCACCATTCACCGCCAATTGCAGGCAATCAACGAAAATACAGGATGCTGTACCCATGAGGCAAAACAGTCGTTAGAGGGCTCGCTACAATTAGATGCCGTCCAAGTGACAGACGTGCTTCAGGATCTGTACTACCAGAAATTTCTTTATTCTCTTCCCACAACTAGTGTTGCCGTTATTTGTCGCATGTGTCTCACGATTTTGGGAGGGATGAACTCAGAGTCACCTGGAAATGGGAAAAAAGCCCTGGTTCAACGTTTCAATCTCTGCACCTTTGCGTTGAAGCAATTGAGTACTTTGTATGGGTCAGCTATTTTTCTGGTATCGGTGTTGGGTTTGAAGAAACAGCGTTTTAGACACGATGGATACTTATCCATGAAAGAAATCTTGTCTCATATTGACCTAGACTCATTGAGTCTGATGGCCTTACTGGGTGCGGAACATCCGGTGTCAACGGTCCTCAGCATTCGCGACCCATATTGTTTCCAGGTTGTATCAACTTTGAAGTCACAACGGAATCAATTGGGGTCTTGATGTTCCGTTGAGCGTTTCTATACTGCAATATCAGGGCAACGGCTGTGCTTGAGGTAGCTTAAGATACTGACGCGAGATTATTGTCACGGGCTTGGCAGTGGTAGGTGCGCTTCTACCCGCCAAGACCGTTTAGTAGGACAGTTACCAACTGAGCTACTAAAAAGACCAGAATACCAAGTCGAAGACTTGGTATGCGCATCGCTCTATATAGTAGGCATTGGTCAGTTCGTCACAATTATGGTGTGTTCTCATTCCCAATAACTTGAGATATAAAGGATAAAACATGAGTAGAGATGATAGGATATAATTTTCAAATGGTATAGTTTTGTTGTAAATAGCTTTATACCTCCTAGCAAATACGGCGTCTAGAACCATACGTAACATAAGTTGTTTTGCTTTAGCCGTATACTATTCACCTTCATTTTTCAACACCCCAGTAGAAAAACACAAGAAAATAAAATAAAATAATTAAGGAACCGAAGAGCACCTTCCACTCCGACTATTCTACATTGTAGCCACCGATATGAACTACTTTGCCACTTGGTTTCTCACTTTAAACCGCCTCGGCAATTCTCCTATTCTTCTGTAAAGGAACCTCCGTCTTGGGGGTGATCTGCTAGCCCAAGCACTGTCATATTATCAATTTCTTCTCCATCATTCCGAAGTCTCTCTGAATCTCTCGGGCCATCTATCACTAACTATTTTATTTGGCCGTCTTTTATCTCCCCAAATCCTCCGATTGATAAGCTCCCTCGGCCCTTGGTGTATCAGTCTAGGTTGGATACCCATACGTGGTAAAGAGGATAACCATTCCTCGGTCTCATGCATCCTTGAGTAACACTAGCTCCATGCCTTGCTGATTACTCCGAGCCTATTTCTCTGAAAATATAATCTAATAAGGGGAGTCCCAAGGAACTGTAGTCAAATATTTTGGAGGCATGCAGATGACTCAGTGGTTATCGATTATGATCTGTGGACAGTTGGACAGATGGGACTGCTTTGAGTGCTTTTTTTGGGTTCATGTGAATGTGCAATTTGATGGTCTAGTTTTGGCAGTGTATCGCTCTGGGGAACATTGCTTGAACGGCTGTATTTACTTCTGACAACGATTCTCATGCACGATGAAACGCACTTACAAGAATGTGTATGGTGGTGCTCTATGTGTCCAGATCTTTCATCTCTCTTGACAAATGACTGTCCCGCAATGGCTATTCACACAGCGAATATGGAACCCCTTCCCGCAGAGAGAAATTCCCTGGACCCTCCTATTCACAAGGATATTGAATTTAAGCTGTGTACAGCTTCTGTTTTTATCCGAAAACATGTTTGTTTATTGACTGGCAGTGAACTAGGCCATATGTAGTTAGCGCGTGATGAGACGGTCCGGTCCCCTCGGCAGTCCCGTCCCGCCCGGCGTTCGTAGAAACTTCATCACTGCTGTCTCCGTGTGAGTTCACCTGTTTCGACAGGGCCGTCATTTGGGCCACGAATTGCGACCAGACTGTATTATTATCCCAGTCATCGCTCGCTTGCCCAACGACGCTTGTGTGTTGAAGCCAAGCGGACAACCCACTCACTCGAAAATATGTGGGTCCCACGTGCACTAAGCCATATCGGGCAAGCGAGGCCGTACAACAGCAGCTTTTGCGGTGGTGGCATCTAACTTGGTCGGATGGTAAGGAAGTCGATGACGATGCAACGCTCCACGGATGAAAGGGCCCCCTGAATTCTGGCACATCTGAATGATCTGATCATGAGAGGGGAAGCTGTTGTTGATTACGGTTAGGGCCATGCAATGTCCTAATACCAACCAATACAAACGTTCAAGGAAGCGCCGAGGCCGAAACACTGCGACCTCCCTACAAGATAATGAGTGCTCAACAGCTGCCCGGGCCAAGAGCGCCGCAATCTCTGTTTCTATCTAGCCCCAAGCGAGCACGGCAAATCATACGTCAAAACCAAAAGACATAAGCTAATCGATCTTGGCAGGCGCTTTGGTCTTCCCGGGCGGCAAATGTCATCGGATACACAACAAAGCAAATACCTAGCCCATTCATACTGATTGATTTGCGAAGCGCCATGTTACTTCTACGCGTCGATCTTTCCACGGTCAATGGACCTGTAGGCGCTGCCCTCTAATTTATTTGAGAAGGTCTCCTCTCTTAATGTTCTTTTTATTAGAAACCCCATTCTCAAACCATGACCAATTGTGGTCCTAAGCGCTTCGCCTTCCAATGAGATAGATGTATGTCTCATCCTCACCCATTTACTCGTGTCGTAGCGTTGTGAGGGGAGGTGTGCTCGCTCAGGGGAGCGCTTCAAGGATATATAAAATCCGATCCGTTTAATCTGATCAGAGCTGAGAATCACAATTCTCTCTTCTTCTAGCTAGCACACCATGACTTTGGCTCGGTCGGACCTCATACCAAAGGGTATTCACGATCCTTCCAGAGGCCACATTTCAGCAGTCGCCGCGAACGACTCTCGACAATTTATTGGCACAGCTGAGAATGTTCACTTCCATGGTAAGGCACCTGAGAAATCTCATCATCTGTCACGGCTAACCCATCAAAAGGGGAAGAAACCCAGTTCCTGGATGATTCGCATTTACCATGTGCGAGGAATGCACGGTACAACGCGCTCGCCGACAGCGAGGAATCTCCCTGCTGCCTTGAAGGCACGCGCGTCCAGATCCTCCGGGACATTGACGATTGGGTCAATGACAGAGGAAGCCGTTCTATATTTTGGCTGAGTGGCTTGGCTGGGACAGGAAAGACAGCGATAGCCCGCACGGTCGCTCATAAATACGACGAAAAATCTCGACTCGGGGCCAGCTTCTTTTTTCCTACTCTTCATTCTGACACCAGGTGTGCGACGAGCTTCGTGACTACGATTGGGCGGCAGCTGGCGGACGCAGATGCCTCCCTGCGCGATGAGATTAATCGAGCTATTCGCCAAAGAAGGCACATTTCCAGTTACGCTCTTGAGGATCAGTGGCGTCATCTCATTCTTGGTCCTTTGGCTCGGGCTAAACTAGAATCAGCTCGTCTACCTTACGTCCTAGTTATTGACGGCTTGGAAGAATGCAAGACCACGAGCGGCATTGCCACAGTCCTCCGTCTACTATCTCAGACACGAACACTCGGATCAAAGACCCTGCGAGTACTTCTCACAAGCAGACCTGACACGAGAATTGAAGCAGGGTTTGTTGACATACCAGAGGACATGTGGCGTTCTTTCAAGCTCCACAGTCTAGACAATGAGGTCGTTGACGATGATATACGCAATTTTCTCACCCACAGATTCAAGCGCATTGCCAAAACTCATCAGCAGGCTAATGGCTGGCCCGGAACCAACACAATCGACATATTGACACGAAAGGCCGGTGGTCTGTTCATATGGGCTACGACTGCATGCAGATTCGTTGGATCAGATAGTCGATTCTCTCAGCGTCGACTGCTTCAACTCCTCAATGATCATATTTCCATTGATGATCCGACATCCGCGCTGGACAAAATCTACCTCAATGTTCTTCAGAGTACTGTCGCAGAAGGGCACACCGCAGAGGAAAAGGGTTCTATCTACGAAATCGTCCGGCTAGTCCTAGGGGCCATGTCTGTGCTTGTTTATCCGCTTCCAATCACTGATCTTGTTGTTTTGTTGCAATCTGCACCTCGATCATATCGAGCGGAACAATTGGAGATCAAAAGTATTGATGCGCGTGAGGTTCACCTAAACCTCAAACACTTGAGTGCAATTGTGGACGTCCCCGAAGAAGAGAATCGGTCCCCTCGCCTCCATCACCCGGCCTTGCGTCAATTTCTCTTTGATCCAGCGAGATGTAAGGAGCATGCATTTCATGTCAAAAAAAGAGAAACACACCTCATCTTGGCTGGATTCTGTGTGAGCCTGATGTCCCAATCCTGGGAATGCCGTCCAAATGAACGGGGAAACTTCGGCTTGGAAAAGTCTTATGACCCTCTCACCGACAGAAACCCTACCGGGCCAGAACAGCGCCTACAAGTTAGCTTGCGGTATGCATGTCTCTACTGGGTCCATCACCTGCAACAAAGCGGTGCCACCCTTCATGAAAACGACAGTTTTCATCATTTTGTTCGAAAACATGTTATACACTGGGTTAAAGCTCTGATTTCGATGGAGAAGATTCCTGATGGGCTGCGTGCAGTTTCTTCGTTGGAAGAAATGACATTTGTAAGTATTTGCTGTTCTATTCCTTCAATCAGAGCTAATAACTTTCAAGAGTCACAACGTCTGTGCACATATTCGTGATGCAAAGCGATCTTTGCTGTATCCCGGACAAAGCTTGCTAGGCGCTGCAGGATATAATCCAAGAGCCAGATAGTACATTATCTAATTAAAGGACCCTGCTCAAGACATTTCGAGATATCGGATTGAGTGCTGTTTTCGGGCTGGATCAACTACGGATGCTTATGCCAGGCTTGGCATCTATCCACAGGTGGCAGCGATATTTCTTACACCGAAGCATTGCTTAAACTGTCTACATATCTTGCTATGAAGCCGTGTTTCAGTCAGTTGACCGCTCATGTTATGACTTAGGTTCGATGGAATCTCTAGTTTATCATTCGTTCGTATTCCAGGAGATTGGTGGAAACCTTCAATTTCTTTTTCTTATGTGGGCAAGAAATGGACAATAATACAAAAAAAAAAAGGAAAAGAGAACGGAAAAAAGAGAGCACCAAAGATATGAAATCGCGACTGTCCCAAATCTCACAGCGGGCCCAATGACTATTTCTCGTCCAGAAAATGCACCCACATTTCTCAAAATACAGAAGTAATTCCATGGCATCCATAAGCATCGTTAAAAAGACCGGTATCCGTGACTCTCTCGCGAGTTTTGACCCGTAGTGCTACCCGCGCTTGGTTGTGTGATCGTCATCGGAATCAGGATTCTTGCTCATCCATGTCGTCGTTGCATAGTTCATCTGCCAGCTGATTCTCCTCCCTCGGAATCCAGCGATATCTCACCTTTCCAAGGTCTGCCAATGTTTCATGAAGATCGAAAGCCATCTCAATAAGATCCCGATTTGCAACCTCGTTGCCTGCCGCATTGATCCATCCGTTTTCGACCCATTTGTAAATCCACTCGTTCATGCACCCAATAGCATATTTGGAATCGGTATAGATCGTAACCCGGAAGCTCGGCCGTCCGTATAGCTCTTGATGCCGTTTGAGAGCTTGTATCAGTGCCAAGATGATGCCCGTGATTTCGGCCCGTTGGTTTGTAGGTCTTGGGTATGCTGGTAATGATTTTCTCCAAGTTTTGATCTTCCCCCATCTGCGCTGCTGAACGGCAGCAGCGGCGCCGACTGCGCCCGGTCGTCCATTGCGTCTGCAGCCACCGTCGGTATAGAATTTCATGGTGTAAACCATATTGGCAAGATGTGTGGTTGAAGGGGAGGTAGCGGTTCGGGGAGACGTTCAGTGCGCTGTACAGAAGTTGGCGATAGAAGCTTGACTGGCTATCTTTTGTAAGCGTCTTGGAGGATGAAGAAATGTAATGAATGAGCGGAATGGTGATCTATCTAGATGACCCATGACCATGATTTTATGGCAATCGCCATATGATCCAGAGACCGTTTGCTCTGGGCAGACGGAATCTTCCAGCTCCTTCCTAGAGCTGTATCAAAGGGATCTCCCATCGTCTTCTCCGCAGTTGCATCCATGAAATGGGGAAAACAAACGGCGGAGTGCTTGGCAATGTGCGCCTCAGGCATCAAAAGAACTCACCTGTCTTCTTGGGGCACCCAGATCCAGTATCTAGTCGGGCAATTTGAGGTACAGGAGGAACTTAAGGGTTGTCGGAATACATGTCTCCAAATGATGCCATTCACTGTTTACTGACATGTCTAGGTACTGCGAGTATCGACAGTGGATCACATGACTGCCATCTCAACCAATTATATCATCGCTTTGCTTGACCGATTGATTCTGTGGCAGAAATATGTGGGTCTTCCGAAGAAGTGATTATTCAACCGATTTTATATGATCATATTCAAATGAATGAAGGTCTTCATTCAACTAACTACACGATAAAGAAGCCAATATTTATGCAAGCTCAGGAGCTTCAGGATCATCATAATGAGAGCGGAATTACGCGTTCTATGTCATCATATATGAATGATATGATTGATGGGTCCGGTCAAGCAAGGCGATGATATAATCACTTTAGTCATCTTCCGCGGCCACAGGTTCATTGCATTTATACGGCATTTTTCGGGACAGTAATATCGTGTTATTTCGTTCATTTTGACGATCAGGAAGACTCTGAAATTGCATAAATATCGGCTTCCTTATTGCGTAGTTAGATTGAAATCAAGACCTTCATTCATTTAAATAACTGGTTATGATCATATTCCTTGGCTGAATAATCGCTAAGACGACAAGCCTAAACAGACGTTCATTTAACTATCTGGCGCTATGTTTCAGAAATCTAAGCATGGAGAGGAAAATATTGACAGGATCGTGGTTCGTGGTGTTGTGGGATAACTTCGCCAGACGCTAGTCCATATATGGCAGGCGGTCAGAACTGCGGCAGTAACCTCGTGATCACGCGCTGGCCGTGACAATCGCTTCCTGGTAGACCCACAGTAAACTGCCACATTGCCTAAACAAACAGTCCCATATCAACACTACTGAGCTAAAACTATTACTATTTGTTTGCACTGGATTTATCGATGCCTTTACAGAAGATCTGATAGCTCAAGAGTGCATAGATTCCAGATCTTCAGCCATTGTGAATAAGTAGAATCGAATGCTGTGTAATTATCCCAGAACGGCCCCGGTCGCCCTGCGATCTAATTTCATTTGTACTATCGTGGGCGTACCTTACGCTAAGCCTAATGTGGCCGGTAGCCAAAGCCGGGCAGTGATTTCCGAGATCGGTGGCTATAAGTATAACCAAAATGTTGACTAGAAAGTGTCTCGAAAAGGTATGGAAACCAACATGAAGCCACTTGAAGAAGCATAAGTTTAATTGAGGCCTATGTTTTGTATAGTGGGGAAACGGCTACTTGTCTGATTTTGAAGTTGGATATTCGTTAATGTTGGTTAGGATATATTGAAATGTTGTAAAGAATTGTACATAGAGAGAGCAAAATTGACAGCCACCTTACATATTTCGATGAAGAAAAAAGAAAAAAGAAAAAAGTCATTTTATCAAGGCGATTAGGATTAGGTGCTTCTAAATATATTCGAGGCCCTATTCAAGCGCTTGTTCGTGTGGAGCATTTCCAAAGTGACGGGTTCTGTTTAGGGAGCGCATACTGGTGGTATGTTTGGCGGAAGAAAAGGCTGTATTTGGGGCACCCAGTTACAAGATAAATATGACCCTATCCTGCTCTAGAGCCACTTAAATAAGAAGTACCTAGGCCGGTTGTGATGCTGACGTTTCACCAATCATTGGTTACTTCAAACTTAACTTCCCGTAAGCGGGATCACGTCATGCGCCCTTACCATTAGCATCAATGCGGTATATCCGTACTCGCATCTCTTGGAAGTTGGAAGCCCCTCGCTATGTGTATCCTCGTATCTTATATGCTATATAAAATGTGAGCCCTAATCAACACGTGATAGGACTTGAATCTATATCATCACCGAAACAGGTCCTCTACCGAGTACCAGAGAGGCTGGAGCGAAGCTAGTATTTATTCGGACTCAAACCACGGCAGGGAGCCTTATCTCCCGGCTTATTCGCGGGACTAGGCTCGTAGACTAGGTATATAAAACCCCAAACCCCAGTTCTACCAGCACACACGAAACCTCACTTCCTCCTAAGCACAACTTCGGTTTCTCCAATATCCGAGTGCCACATTTCTTTTGCTTTTCCTTTATCCATAGAAATTTCGTATCATTCGCAACTATCTTTCTCCAGATAACTATAACCATGTCCCTAAAAAACCGCCTTGCAGTATTTTCCCGTCCCTTGAGCATGATCTGGTTCTCTTTTTGGCGTAAGGCTATGTCACCACGCCTATCCTAGTCATACTAATAACCCGACCATCTAGTCCATTGGGAAGCTTTGAGAGAAGCGGTTCGTCGAGACGGTCTCGCAGCACTCGTGCGCCCACAACAAATTCGTGATGCGGGTTCAGCAAAGTTGCTCAGTGTCACCTGTAAGCTACCCATAGTACCTCTCGCTCAGCTATTTAGTGCCTGACCACAACATAGCCGCTGGTTTTATTGCATTCGAAGACACAACCATCGTCCCATCGCTCGTGAAAGCCGCTAGCGGCGTCGTTCTCGACCTGGGTCCTGGGCCAGGGAATCAAGTTCATCGATTCGATACTGCTGTTGTCGACTATATTTATGGTCTTGAACCTAATTCTCACTTCAAGGACGCTCTAAACGGAAAGTTAGAGAAGCATGGTCTACATTATATGTATAAGCTCATTGAAGCTGGTATCGAAGACAGTGATATTTTGAGAGAGGAGGGAATCACGGAAGGGAGCTTAGATACTGTGCTATCTATTCAGGTACTATGTGCGGTAAAGGATCCCAAAAATGTGATGAAGGAGATCTGGAAGCTACTCAAGCCCGGAGGCAAGTTTATATTCTGGGAACACGGGTGTAGTAGAGATCGCTTGACGAATGTGGCGCAAGGTAAGTTTGTGCTCATCCCCTATTATGCCTACAAGGGGAATTTAAAGCGCAGTGCAAACAACCTAACTTAAGCAAAGCTTTCATGAACCCTGCTTGGAGCACATTTATCGGATGCCATTTGACCCGGAATGTATTGGCAGACATTCTCAACAGTGGAGAGTGGGAAAACCCCGACGCTATCGAAGAGCCCGAAGATCCGTTGAGCTTTCTGCCTAGGACTCAGGGTGTTCTTGTGAAGAAGGCCTAATTTGGTCGTGAATAGAGTGAATGTCTTCTTTGTATCAGCGTGGACAATAGGCTAGGTGAAACTAGGTGTCCGATGAATTGGATGGTAATCAACAGTCGGAGGCCATTATCATAGTTTGAATTTTAGTCGAGAAGAGTACCTTTAACTATCTTCTCACAAAGCAATCTCCCTTCCTCTCTCAAGATTAATGCATGACGTGAGTAGAAAACGAACGGAATGACGAATAGTGAGGGACCAGTTCATTCAGCGATAAAAAGTCAAGATACTGTAGCTACTGGAGAGACAAATATAAGCCGAAGATGGCGAGGTTTGTGACAATGTATCTTCTTCTGAAGGCCCTTTGTTGGGTGTTTCCATTCGTCCGGATTTAAAAGTAGAAGGGCCAGAGCCCTCCACCTGACTACAGTTCTTCTGGTTGAATTGTTCTATCTCTTCCCCATCAAAAGCTCATACATGGTAGGGATTACGTCTTGCAAAAACCTCGGGTTGTTTCAAGTATCTGCATCACTTGGGCCATTTTCTTGTTCTCCTCAATACAAAGACCTTCCATTTCGCCCTTCAAAGCATTCCTCTCGGAGCTGTCCATGCCGCGTGCGTATCAACTTTATCAGAAATGGCGTGTCACTGACAACCGGCCCGTGTGGTGGAGATAGTCGTAGATTCCTCTAGGAGCACGCTTACAGAAGGTTAGGCCCTTCAGCCTCATCCATATCTTGGAACGCCTGTCCAATCTGTTAGGGACGGTAGCCGAATTACAGGCCTTGAATGATCACTCCTTGCATACTGCATGACCCCAAACCCCATTAGCATAATCGCTCGTGCCGATCTTTCAGAGCACAGGAATAATTGGAGCCGCTTATTGGACCAAACAGTAACATTCCGCATATCCATCTTGACAATCTACTACAAGGGTAGAGCATCTTTTGGTATTACGTCTGGCCCCTCGCAATTTCCAGTAAGCATTTCTAACTAAGCCCTGCTAGAAATTAACGATCTTGATTGGCATTTGCCGAAATCACCGCCATGTATTCAGCCTCTCCACGCGCGTCCCGGAGACGTTTTAAGTGCTTATTTGTAAATTCTCGGAGTGTACGTTCCATGGCCAATGAGTGTCAAATTGAATTTAAAAGGCCTTAGAGACCCCAAATATCATATCGTGCTCACTATACTACAGTATCAGTTCTACGGACTTCACGTTGAGGCTTTTAAATTCCTTGGGCCGAACATTATCGACCGTTTCTTCTTGAATCTATCCTTCACGGCTTGTAATCCTAGTCTTGTAGCCACAGGCGGCTCTGGGATTCATTCGGGGGACAAGATCAACGCAGCCTTGACTTCCACGGGGTTCCAAACTACTATATCATCAACGAACCGCAAGCGAAATTGACTACAACATCCACCGACCCACCCCAGAAACCATTATTCATCTTTAGCTTCGGGTCAGGGCTTCTTAGACCCAATGATGTCCAATAGCAATGTCTCGATAGCCTGGATCAACGCTCCTTCTGCACCCCAGTCTTACTTGACTGCTCATAACGCACCCGCGGTGGGACTCGGAACGCTTCCCAACTCAATCCTTCCATGCCAGCATCCAATACTGCCATCCTTATCGATCCTGCAGCCAGAATATAACACGGATATGTTTTCTCTCAATCCCGAGCTTTTTTACCAAGGAAATCTGATTGGACAACGGTCCACGTTGATCCCACCTAGGTATGTTGATCATGTTCGATGGGAGCTTTTCGTTTTGTATTCTAATAAACTCTTTAGAGCACACGGATCGTGGCCGCGCCGATATGGGTGGGCTGGTTGTGAATATTCTGGTACCTTTGCTCGCAAAGCAGAGCTCATGCGTCACATAGAGACAATTCATGTGGCTCCTGGTGCATATAGATGTCCGGTCTGCGATGTGCGTTTTAATCGGGGTTCCAATTTGAGGAGTCACCTGCAGCGGAAGCATTATGAAACATAGTCTTTGAGACTGGCATGTTCCTTCTGATACTGTCTACGTTTTGTCTTTCTCTTTTCCTCCTTTCTTTTTCTTCGTCTTCTTTCCTCTATTCTTGGTTTTCTTTTCTTTCTCCTTTTCCCCCTTCTCCATCTATGTGTCTTTATTTCCCTTTCTTCTTATCCTTTCATTTGATTTCAATGGCCTTTCCTTCTTCTTAAATTTCTCCCTTGGCATACCTCGGTCCTCGAATTCAAGAGAACTCGACTTCCAAACCCATCGTGACCAGAAACATCGTAGAAAGCCAATGCTGCATGACTCGGGGCATTCCGAATACGTAAGCCGAACAGTGGGGATCGGGCTTCGCCAGCACTTACAGCGGCCGGCATTGGTCGGGCCCGTCGGAGACGGCTACCTATTGTTTATTTTATCCTCCATTCTTCCTCCCGGATTCTTGGTATGAACAAGTGGACATAGTTGACTTGAGAATTACTTAACGAGTTTAAGGTAGCTCAGGTTCCCACAAAATATTATCAGTCGATCTGGACGACTTTCTTCGACGAATAGGCTCACCGTTGACATGCGTAGCCTTTTCATCTTCCGGACTTAGAAATGGATTCGCCCCGTCCCCCTAACCAGAAACTGCAAAAGCCAGACAGCACTTCGCAGACCAAACGATATCCAATTCGCTACGGACTGTCAGATGATAGCCCTTCAGCCCTGCAGATCTACGGAGTACGCAATGAAACATAGCCACAAGGAAAACGCCCAGAGACGCCCCACACAAGCAGGGGTTCCCTTTAATATAACAATATAACCAGGAATATCGACACCGGCAAACCCCCTTCGTTGTCCAGACCTGGACTCTGGTGATTTGCCCTTAATTTTACGCTCAAGGCTTGATGATCTACTGTTAAAGTCGACGTCAAACCGGGTTTCAGGTCAAGATTGCGTAATCCCACGCCCCTTGCTTGTTGTCTGGTCACGGCCTGAGGTTCCAGATGTGATCGAGACCATGAACACATTTGACATGGCCAATTTGCCAATATCCCAGGAATGTGAGCAAAGCGTGCGTACTTGGGCATATGCGACGATCTTTATTTGGGGGCTCGAGACTCATTGTCGTTCTCATCCGTTTCATACTGAGGGCCATCAAATCAATTATCTGCTGAAGGGCGAACTTGAAGGAAAGAAGTGACCGAGGTGTAAGAACGCACATGTCTCTGACGAAGAATAGGTCTTTAATTTATCAATACGGGCGAAATTGAACATAGGAATAAAACAATAATCAGACGCTCATTATAACAAAACGACGGCAAATAGTAGAACAAGAATAGGTCTTCGCAAATCTATCATTCCACTGGCGACACATGGATCTGCCAGTATTTCTTAACATCAGGGTGTTGCTCTTTCTTCCTTTGCTTATCCCGAATATCCTTGTCGTATTCGGGATGACTCACCCGTTCTTCCAGAATTCCCCTTTTATCTGAATCCTGCAAATACTTTAAGAATTCTAATGAGGTCTGGACATACTGTTGGACCCCTTCCTTGACGTCGATCGTGGCCCCTGTTGTCCAGCTGAGTAGCAGTGGCTCAATCAGAGGGGCGTCTGTTACCGACGGGTGCGATGTGCCGACAGAAGTCATGAACCAGGCATCTTTGCCTCGCTGGATGATGCCCTCAACCAGGGCCTTGACGACGTCAAAGTGAGGTCTTCCGGTGAAGATGGTCACCTTGCGGGACCAAGAGTCTGAATGTACGACCAACGTCGGTACATCGACGTCGTGATTCAAAGGCCCACTGGACTTTCCAGGATCCAGCACGATGGCCCCCTTGGCGGGAAACTTCTCGGACGGAGCGCCCTTCAGAGTGCGCAGAGCAAGCGTCGCACCGAACGAATGGCCTCCTACCGCTAACTGATCTAGATCAAGTCGATCTTTCCACGAGTCTAAATCTTCGCCTTCTTTCCGACTGTTCGCACTGAGGATCTCGTTCCCTTTGCCTTCGTTGATTTGCTTCAAGACTTGGTATGTCTCTTCCATTTCCAATTGCCGCATATCAAGCTGTCGCTGCTTGAACTCCGCACGATCAAGATCCTCCATTCCTTCTAGATCACTCGGTCCGAAAGAGTAGAAGGGCTTCTCGGACCCGTCATCCGTCCGCATGATCATTGTCCCAGGACAACTCCCATCTCGATGCTCCACCGCTGCAACGATATACCCACGGGACGCAAGTTCCCCGAGATAATGTGTGTAGTCGGTTCTCGAGGACGCAAACCCATGCGAGAAGATCAATACCGGAAATTTCGATTCGGGTTCGACAGCCAACTCCAGTGTATCCTGGCGATCCAGGTCTTTCTCGCTCGTCGCCAGTGGAACATCCACCTCAGCCGGTATTTCTCTTCCCCCCACAAGACCCCAAATAGCGAGTGTAGCGATCGGGTTGAGGAAGAAGTTGTTCAGCTTCGCGAACGAAAGATACCCTTCCGCCGTAAGGGAGACCGGTTTGGTGATCCACGGATGGCGTGGTTTTGTACTTTCGACGCCTTTGGAGGCGGGATAAAAGACGGAGAACAGCACAGTTTCGATCTCGAATGCCGGCGAGCCATCGTGGAAATTTTCTTCGCCGGCGCGGCGTGGCGGACGTGGGACTTCAAGATCCATGGTACCCACCGCGTAGGGCCCTGAGTAAGGGGGCATGTCGGAGGAGAGGAACGGTTGCCCGGTAAGGAGGCAATAGGTGATGTAGAGAACGACGGTGAGCGAGAGTACGTACTGCCATGTGAGTCGAGGACGAAGGGAAGGGGGAAGTCGAGGTCGTCGGAGCATTTTGTCGGTCGGGGCGAAACGATCTTCAGTTGTTGATGATGCGTTTCTGCCCTTCGTCTGGGTGGATGACGTAGGTTTCCCCCAAAGTCTCGTGGAGATAAGGTGGAGATAAAGTTCCGTGTGGATAACGTGACGGTAGCCGTACGCTAAACCATCCTCGGTCTAGCTAGCCCCTTCTCCCTGACGGCTAAGCCCAATAAGGACATCCCGTCAAGCACTCCGGCATCGGGTCAAAACAGCTTTTATAAAGTTGCTTTATACTACATAAAGTCCAAGGCAAAAATTCTAGATCACCAAACGAAGACCTATCATAGTATCAAGACCGCTTAGTATCTTATTATCAACCACAAGTTTAGCCAGCACTGTAGATATATAATGTTCGAGTACCTCGCATTGCAAATCAAAGAGCCTGAACCTCATACAAAGTTCTTTGCAGGAGGAAATCTACACTTGTCAAATAGTGGCTGAATGTCAGGAGAGACGAAAATTGTGAATATGGCTGTTCTGTTACAATGACTTATAAATATGAAATGGACTCTTGAAGGGTAGATCGAATCAGCGACAATGGATTTTGCCATGGTGCCAGAAAGCAGAATGGTATTCGCAACTATCTCCGATCGATTCTCGAGAATTTGGGGTATGCCACTCTTTCACCCCATAGAAAGATGAAAGGACTGCCATAGCGGTGGCTTTCCATGGAATAATATGTCAAATTATTTGATTTCATAGCTCCAGAAAATCATATGCTATCCAATATCCCCAGCTTCTTCCGGTGCAAGCTACCACACATTTCAAGACACAGGGAGTAGACTCATGGAATTCACCATCTCTCTATCAGGTCACCGTTTTCCACCCTTTTCAAGTCTTTCCCAATTTTCCCTCGCTCTTCTAAACAACTCCATCAACCGCACCGTCAGCTTACTATCCAAGAACTCGACAACCCTGACAACCCTTTCCCTCTTCTCATCCATTGTCAAAATAATGATAATTTCACCACGATACGCCCACTCTTCTTCGGACAGGCCATTGTCCTTGACCTTATCCTTGAATTTTGCCAGGCTTGTCGTCCAGATTGTCACCTGCCCTTTTTCTTCATTCTTGATAATCTTCTTCGGGAACATCGGGAAACCGTCAAGAATGAGGTTTAGGTTGGACATGTGGCCAATGAAATTGTCCTGGACTCTCAGAGGTCCCCATAGAGGCGGAAGTTGGAGCGATGATATATTTAGCATCGGGGGACAAGACGGAGAGAAAGACTTCCAAGCTGAGAGCGTCGAAGGCGGAGAGGAAATTGAGAGTGGTTTGGTGGAGGGTAGAGGACATTGTAGCAATTTGATGAACTTGAAGAGTTTGAGATATCTGAATGTTTGATTGAAACATAGTACGGGGCATATACAAAGAGACACTTCAAGCAGATTTTTGGGACTTATCTATGCTTTCAGGAAAACACGCATTGCGTTTCAACGTCCAAATCCACATTCTCAAGCTACGGCAGCGAATGTTGACATTCTTTGTTTCTCCCCTCTCTCAGCATTCAATCAATATTGCGCTAGCGTTGTAAACTTGGCCGACTCTCCGTTGGCATCTGAGCCAGGAGCGAATAGAAATCCATATCAGAATTCCACCCTTTATTATTGCACAAACTGTGTAACAACCAACCTTGAGAACCCTCGATCACGAAGGAAACCTTTCCCCGCATAATTATCGTCGTACAACGGGAAGGGTTCTTTGTTTGTGGGTGCTTCGATTCAAGTAGAGAGTGGTCTTGGTAAAGATGGCAGAGTCAAGATAAAGTCGGTCGCGGAAGTCTTTATATCTTCCTTAATCGGGACTTTTCTCTAGAACCTGGTCTTGAAGTATACACCCTGGAAGATGAACTTTATGTGCCCCCACATATCAGTATCGAATGAGGACTCAGGGTGCTACAGCTAACACTAGCCCTCTACTTAGTTGTATTTGCCCCCTAAATCAAGGTAAATATTTCCATTTCGATCGATGGCACGTTCCTTTCTATGGCTGGGGAATGCTATGCTAGATAACACTTGCCAACTATGCAGCACTAATACTAAGTACCACAATACCCCCAGCACATCGCATCAAACCTCTTTTAATATGATACTGCGCAGTTCGATCAATGGCTTCCGAGCCATTGATTCGCGGGAATGGAATACCTTTCGGCACATCCTTCCCCAGCGCGTTGCACAAAGGTTCCCAGCCCTCCTTGACATGAAAGAACACCAGACGATCCGCAGGAACAACCTTCAACATTCAATGTGTCTGCGGTAGACCAACGAGTTCGTTCTCTCCTTTCCGTAGATGCTGTCCCACTGCACATGCAACATGTTGATGTAGTCAACGAAATGTCGCATCCCGGGGAGCGGCAACAAAACTGCGCGAAGAAACTATAACGTCGCTAAATTAGCGGCCTGGTCCATGCTCTTATCCTAGGAAGCCGGATCCCGCACGGTACATATAACCATGGCATCCAGGTAAAGCTCCAGCAGTTCTGGAACGAGCTGGAAACTAGGAGCGTCAGTAATTGCGACATAGCCGCTCAAGCGTTCCGCCATGAGAAAAAGGGCCTTCTGTCGGTCCTCCCGCTTCCCAGTGGCCCAGTTTTAAATATGACGTGCTATGCCTGTTCCTACGCCATTCGGCAGTTCTAGCTGTCAACAAAAAGCTGACACAAGAGATTCAAGCAAGGGGTTATCTTCAATAATAGCAATTGGGACACCTCCGATGCTGATCATCCACGCCAAGTAGATTATCTGTCAAACAATGGGTCTATATTCGTGTTATCATGCATGTCAGTTGTTACTGGTGTGGTGATGCTTGCCGGTGATGGCATCATCTGCACTAATGCCGCTAGACAGGACACCAGCCCGTCATATCGCTAAAACCTCGGCCGGTGTTAACTTCTTGCTCTGCCTAAAAGACGGGACATAATGAACAAGCGTCATAATGGTTTTTATCATGCCTCCGAAAGCAATCACGCTATTCAGAGTTATGTGAGTTATGTTTACGAACCCGGTGAGCCGCGGATTTATATTCCAATCTCGCCCCCGCGCATTATGAACAAGGCTTCTTGGATATCATCAGTCTCAAGCGACCGCTAGACTTCCAATGACTGGTGTTATTAGCAATGAGCCTCTTGTGCCTCGGAACAGCTTGCATGCGTTCTATCGGGGCACACTCTTCAACTCGATTCTCATCGGTCTAGTCAGCTTTACACAACCGGGCATATGGGGTGCTCTATCAAGTCAGTTTACATTCTTCATCAATTCACACCATCATGGCTAACCGGAGTGGTGCAATGAAGACCTTGGAGCCGGTGGGCTTGCGACTCCCTTTTTCGTCAACGCGGCAAATGTCATCACCTTCGCGATCATGATTTTTATGAGTCCACTGTGCGCCGTTCTGAGTAATAGATGGAGTTTGAAATGGGTTCTGATTTTTGGAACCCTTGGGTATGCGCCTTATTCGGCGGCATTGTATACGAACAGCGTCTACGGCACGCAGTGGTTTATGCTGTTTGGAGCAGCGACCTGTGGCTTTTCTGTAAGTGAACAGTTTTGTTGAAGGGTATTCCCGACCATGGCTTATATACTGTAGGCGGCAGCGCTTTGGGTCTCCGAGGCAGCAATCGGTGTTGGATATCCTGAGGAACATCGGAAAGGAACTTACAGTATGCTTAAAGCTTGCCTCTCCTGATAGTTAAGACTGTTCACTCAGCTGACGATCCCTATAACTAGTTTCAATATGGTTCGCCCTGAACAAAATCGGTTCAATCGTGGCAACGTCAATCGAACTCGCCCTGAACGTCCAAGGTGACCAAAAAGGAACCATCAGCCCAGACACATATCTCATCTTGATCGCACTGCAGTGTCTGGGTCTCCCGCTCGCCTTCCTCGTCAGTCCGGTCAACAAGCTGATCCGCAGCGATGGCACACGACCCGTCCTGCCCCGTCGAACCACCCTAGCTGAAGGATTCCGTGGCTTCTGGCGCGTCTGCAAAAGACCCGAGATTGCTGCTCTCATCCCTATCTTTCTGACGAGTCAATGGGCGCAAACATACGAGGGCAATTACCTAGCGACATACTTTACCGTGCGCTCGCGAGCTCTCGCAGCGTTCGTCGTCACTTGGGTCGGATTAGGCGTCAACATCGCCTTCGGCTGGTTCCTGGACAGCAAACTTTTCGGTCGACGGTCGACGCGCGCGCGAGCTGGCTGGATCCTGCTAATCGCATCATATACCGCCACCTATGTGTACAATCTCGTCGTGCAGGCCGAATACGCACGCACGAACCCGACATTCGATATCGGATCGCCTGGCTATGCTCGTGCGGTAGGCGTGTACTGCCTCTTCTTCGTCCCTTATAATGCCTTCGCCGTATGGGGCTATTGGGCTCTAGGAACCTTCGATCGGAGTATCGAGAATTTGACATTTTCGGCGGCGTTGCTTCGTGGGAGCGAGTCGCTGGCTAGCACAATCTCGTATGGGCTGGGCGCGTCGAAGGATGTGTCGCTGTTAACGAATCTTATTGTCGCCGCGGCGTTGTTTTGGGCGTCCGTTCCGACCACAACTTGGAGTACGTGGCAGGTCAAGAATGAAGATGAAGTGCAGGATGAGATGGAAGAGACGGAGAGTACTGGTGAGAGTGGAGGTGAGAGCCAGGGTCAGACGGAAGGTGTTAGTGTGATTGCGAAGGGAGCAGGGGTCTGATAGACATCCTTCTGTTGATTGGGTGGGAAGGCGCAGAGAAACAATCACCATAGTATCGAATAAGTCTGATCATTTACGATAAACTTACCTGAAGGCTATTAGTCTAATAGATTATGAGATCTTGAGCACTACGTGCACCGTTGAGTGCTTATCATGTGATGTCACACTTTTGGGTAGCCCTAAGTTCGGGCATGTACTTTTGGTAAAGAAAACATTGAAACCACAACCCCAACTTGGCCATGCATCTAGGCTTGCAGCTCAGCAGTTCTGTGTTGATTCAAAGGCTGCTGCACAAAGTAGAAAATGTCACAGGATGTGCTTTCGCCATGAGATCCTGAGATACGGGTTAGGAGTGGAATAACCATATCATTGTCACGTTGAAGCAAAAGCATTGTCCCAATATAGATGTTGTCCATTGAAATTCCTGATGGTCATTTGATTCTACTGCCTCCCCTTACTCAATCAATCAATCAATCAATCAATCAATCAATCAATCAATCAATCAATCAATCAATCAATCAATCAATCAATCAATCAAAATTCTATTAACCTGATGAAGCCTATCTATTGAAACGCTAAGCTATGCAGGCGCTACGCCGACTGAAGCAGAATTTCGAACCCATACGCCACATAAACCCTCAAAGCAGTAGACAAAGGAAATCAAAAAGTAACACAACTGAACCAGCTGCCACACGCCTGCCGCGTGCCTACTGCGCCTCTAGGCGCTGTTCTCTCCTTCCACTCCATTCTATTTGTAGTATTCCTGCATGTGCGCGTCGTATAGCCAGTTGAGACTCCCTGGCCCTTGGCGTTCGTGTAACTATCGTCTTCCTCGTTTAGATCCAGTCCCTCTAGGAGGGTGCTGGATTCCGGGACCTCTTCGTCCTCCTCGTCGTTAAACGTGGCGAATCGGAACTGCTGTAGGAGGCCTGTTCGTTGCATGAAATCGGCGACGTAGCGTATCGCCTGCGGGTGGTTCATGACTGCGTCGTTGTCCTGTATACGCCCACGCAGTCCCTCGATAGAGTCGAGGCGTTCCATCATTATTCTCCGACTAGCAAGATGCAGCGAGCACTCCATAAGGACGTGTTTAAGCATTTGAGAGCCTAATTCACACCCGCAGCGGTCAGAGTCGACCTGATTTATCTTGAAGAGGGAATGCCTCAATCCGATCCTCATAGTGCGCATCTGGATGATTATAGAGGTCTGGGGCTTGATCAGGCCCTCGTACATCCTTAAGACCTTCTTGGGCCTCTTCTTGCTGCACAGAGACAAGCTCCTGCGAGCTGTGTGGCGGTGTAGATCCTTCTTGAAACCTTACTGTAGAGCGATTCCGCTCCGTTGGCCGGCTGGTTGACCGGGTCAATCTCTCCCTCTCTCCCCCAGATCCCGCAGCCCGCCCCTCGCTGTTGGGCGGGCCAGAGGTCTCCGTGTCGCTACCCACGGAGGGATGATCCTGTAGATAGGGCGGGATGCGGTGTAGGGACTGCCGATATTAAGCTGCAGTTTGCACCCGCTCCTGCTCCGCTACGTACCTCGTACAAACTCTCGACCAGGCGGCGTGCGCTTCGCCGCATCCAGCGCATTTGCGCCCCTGGCCACCGGTGGCGGACCTGGTCGCAGGACCGGGTCTCGTGGCCCTCGGCACAGAGGCCGCAGGTTGTTTTATTCGAACAAACGATTCCTATATGTCCATGCTGACATTTGAAGCATCGCCGAATCCGCGCGTTCCTATCGTATAGAACAAATGAACGAATTCGCGTCGGCGTGGAGGTTCAGTACGCAGGTGAGATAATTCTGATTTGGTGTTTGCCGCCTCGGGAACCCCTGAAAGGGCCGGCCACGGGGTTTCCGCCCCAACCATCTCGAAAACCCCTATAGAGATAGAATCATTCGATAGCTGCTGGAGTTATTGACAAACTGGTCTGTTCTGGAGGCCGTAGCCGTCGTGGTGGTTGAGTAATTTCAAAAATTAGATTCGCGTCGAAGTTGTTGTTTTGCTCCCCTTACTCAGTTGGAGAATTAGATTTATGGGCCTACGAAGATCTTGTGTCTTTGCTTCGATATTTGGTGACCAGTTGTAACCAGCATTCTTCTACCGCTTATAATTGCCCAGGATCGATCGACTCCAGTAGAGCCAATCGCCCCGAATATCACGATGGCCGCATCCCATCAATCGATCATCAGTGATGTGATCAAAGACGCCTGGACGGGCTCGGCTGGTGTTAACCCCGAGGAGAAACCAATGACGTACCCCGTCTCAGCCCGACCCTCTTAGTTAACTGCCTAGTTGGCAGCAGCTGAGACGGTTGAATTTTCCCGTCTACTCCGTACGCTGGGTCTCCCAAAGAACCCCTACCTCCTCTTCTCCTAGCTATGACGCCCTTACTATAATAACCGTTGTCCGTGTTTCCTCTTATCTTCTTGCCCGATAGCAGCTTGAGTAAGTGGATTCCAAGAAATGGTCACTTGTTTTCATTCTTTCCTCGCGCCTAAACTCCCAATTAATCCACCCTGGCAAATCAATGCTCGTGTCTCATTGTATATTTGCAGATGAGAGGCCTAATCGAACATTTCTATTGAACGAGGTGATCTTCGCTAAAGTTGACGGCAAATCCCTAGAGCCTTATCCAGCCTGAGTCGACTACTACCTCATATCTCATGCCACCCAATGTTTCAGAGTAGGTTTCTACCACAACGGCGGGTGAGATGTAAGACGTATGATCCTAAGAGATTCCGATAATATATCATAAGTGGCGTCCGAATTTTCATCGTTGGTTATTGATCCAGCTTGAAATAGAATGTTTTTGCAAGTCGGGTAAAGGTACAAAACGCCACATGGCTGTTTCGTCTGTTTTATACATCCCATTCCAGTGATATTAAAGCTAGGGCTTATCCGGCAGCCACGTATCCGTCTGCCACTTTCCTGTGGGATGCAACCCTTAGTGGATGCTAGAACGTAACTTCAACTGCGTCCTTGGATCGTTGAGAGGGAACCATAGATGTCTCCATAATCAAACGAACCACATCGCTATCATGGTAGATCAACTGGTCTATTGCTTTGCACCTTGACCAACATAGTTGACATGGAAAATGCAAGACAACAGGATCCGGAAGAGAATCTTCAGTTTTTCTCCAGTCTGGTTTAATGATGCGCTCATTTAGTACTAAGCACACAGCACTTTTATTCCCCTTGCTCCTTCGCTTGAGACATCCTTCTAATTTCTCATGATTTCTTTGGAGATCCGAACTAACTTTGTTCTAAGCTCACAAAGCCACGGACGCATCTTTAATCAGGGAATGTGAGAATATTTCCGACGGTCTGATTTGAATCCCAGGTTTTTCTGCGCGGTTGTTCTGACAGGATACGTAACAGAATAGTCGCACGGTTAAAACAGTGCACTCTATGCCCGGAACAGACACCACGCCATGCTTAGCTCCCTGGCGTCTCTTGGGTCGGAAGTAGCTTTTAGGTTAGTCGAGTAGATGTCTCTTTATAGTATTGTGAATCCTAAATCTATTTGTGCTTCTCACCTCGAATATAGACTACTTCTACCGCGTATCTAATAACATGAGAGGCTATGTCTGTCCCCTCCGCTGTAGGGCTATAAACAAGAACTTCTTCAGGGATCCTGACGACCTGAGAGTTTGTTACTCTGCCCTTCAAGAGGGTTCAGAGTCCGCGAAGAGTCATAGCCACTCCAGAAAATGATGCCTCCTGAGGTCCTCTCAAGGGTCAATCCGAGTGAGGCGGACGGAGGATTCCGTGCGCGCTAACTCGTGTCGGGCAGGATATAGTATGGGGAGTTGGCTACTTAAGATGGTTATTCTATGGCCTTTGCACTGCAAGGTCTGTCGAAACGGTGATGGATATTCTTGGATCATCTGGCCGGGCATCATAGGCAGGTAGTTAAAAATAAAAAATAAAAAAATAAAATAAAATAAAATAAAATAAAATAAAATAAAATAAAATAAAAAAACCACAGCAGTGGACTGCCTTCTGAAAGAGAAGGATTTAGGTGATTTCGATGCCATTCTTGCATTCACATCATTTACACCCAAATCAGGCATATTGGATTAGACCCAGAATATAGCCCAGAATATTTCTAGTGGCTATTCAATCCCATGATTTTGTGCCAGGCTTTTGTGCAGTCTCTAGATGTCGGATACATGTGAATAGCAGCAGGAAAGTTGTACGTTAAACATATCTGTCGGCAGATTCAATGTTATCTTTTTTTTTTTGACGTGGTGATCGGGGGAGGGGAGAATCAAGGGCTTCTAGGTCTTGATCTTCCGATTCAACCACGGCGGAGGGATCTTTCTACAGAAACTCGTTACTTGTGGTAACAGTCTAATTCGATCTACGAGAAATGTTACGCAAGTTTGATTAGGGGCTGGTACTCGAGAGATTCGTAAATCAGAATCCTGTCGGATCTACGGTGTTTCCGTCATATAAAGAAATATACATGTCCGAAGGGAGGTCACACCCTAACACCTTATAAGCAAATCAAGTCAGTTATACGAGTTTGCCCCTCCTTCATTCCCTTGTTTCAGCCAGCTGTCTTCCTCGTGAACCCCGACTATGAGATTCACACGGATACTAGAGGTTATGCATTTCAAAGCATAGCCTTGCGAAGCTGTACTTTCATCTTGGCTTCGAAGAAGAGATGACGGGGGAAAGACCTGCGAAATATGAGGAGCCGCTCAAGTTCATATTTTTTATAATCGTCCTTAATATTTTCCCACTCTTTCATATCCCATAACCCACATACAGTGTCCACTAGTCCAAGTCGTACATCGAAACCGAAACTTCTAATCGAGGCCGAATGTCACCCTATTTTCACCAGGTCGGCACCCAGTCAACTATTAACTGTAGACTAGCCATGAACCGGTCGATTAGTAGTGAGGTGGATGACTAGCGAATCCCGGTTGTTGTATATTTTTACTTTTTGCTTTTTATTCCTTCATTTCCGATTCAAAATGCCCCGTTTTCAATTTCATGGTAGTTAGTGGAATTTTGTTCATTGAATGGGGCCAGGGTACCCTATATAATTTCCCCCTATCAATGAGGCTGTGAGACTTCTGCACTCTACGAGGCGAGTGTTTTTGGAGAGATTCCACGGAGTATGGCCTAACGTCGGGTCAATTGTGCTTGCTGCCTTTCGGAGAATCACAGATGTTCGGAGATTATTCGGGGTACATACATCTAAATAGGGTCTGGGGGAGCTGGATGGGGAAACCAAGCACAGAGCGGATACAACTCCCCCTTTCCAAGTTTACTATAACGAATATATCCACGATGAGTTTAAATGTGATAGTCGTTATAGTGCGCGGTAATTAATAAGTTAATCAATATTAATCTCAGGTGATATATAATGTTTCTCCTGCCGGTAACCGTAGGGCTGTGGATCAGGCCACATGAATCAAATCCTGAACAACGGCAGAAGTTCTTGATTGATGCAAAAATTCCAAATTGGCACCAAACATCCCTGAGTTTCAACCTCCAGCTCCGCTCTTAACTGCGACAAGCTTCGGTAACTGTCTCCACCATATTCAATACCCCACCAATAATATCCTCTGAACTAGTGCCCTTAATCTTTTGAACCTCCTGGTGATTTCAAGTAAATTATTTTCTCCTTCACTGGGAACTACCGAACGCTCCACTCAGGAGCTTTAGTGCGCATCCTTCTCCGTGCAGCACTTTCCTCTCGAACGGGAACCGGTCGTCTCAGTCGCGAATTGTGAATTATAAAGACGGCAAGGCATCTTTGTCCCGTTGAGATGTTCTTTCTCATCCCGTCCTTTGCATCGTCGATCGTGTTGATCTTTTCCTCGTCTTGTGGTGTTCGTTAAACCTGAAACGTGAACTCTATCAATATGTTCAAATCAATTCTCGTGTCGACGTTCTTCGCGGCTACTGCTCTGGCAGCTAGTCGTATGACTGCTCCCGAGGGAGCCATCGTCGTTGCTAAGTCCGGTGGTGATTATACTACGGTACGTTGTATGGATTAGGGTATGGGAGTATCAGTTAGTGCTAATGGAAACAGATCAGCGATGCTGTCGGCAACCTGAGCACCACCGCCACTACCACACAGACTATCTTTATTGAGAAGGGTACCTATGATGAGCAGGTGTACATTCCCTCGATGAAGGGAGAGCTGCTCATCTATGGTCAGACGGACGAGTATGTTTGACCCATTGCGAACCTCCAATGGATTTGTGGCTGACAGAATCGAAGCACCACCACCTACGAACAGAACCTTGTCAAGGTCACTCACGACATCAAGCTGGCTGACGTCAAGAATGATGATGCAACTGGTTTGTGTTTCTTTACTCTGATTTTTCCTATCCATCCTAATATTCTCTGCTTTTAGCCACCGTCCGAAACCACGCTGAGAACTCTTCCATCTACAACTTGAACATCGAAAACAGCTGTGGCCAAGTCTGCCACCAGGCTTTGGCTCTTAGCGCCTATGGCGAGAACCAGGGATACTATGGCCTCAAGCTCACCGGATACCAGGGTATGTTCTAGCAGTCCATTACAGAGTGAAAAAGAAAAAAGAAAAAACAAAGAGGAAAACTAATCTCGGCAAAAGACACTCTTCTCGCTCAGTCCGGCAACCAGATCTATGCTAAGAACTACATCGAGGGCGCTGTGTATGTTCAAACCCCGATCACCGACCACATACCCATAGACTAACAAGCCAATCTGTCCAGCGACTTCATCTTCGGCCAGAGCGCTCGCGCCTGGTTCCACTCCTGCGACATCCGCGTGCTGGAAGGCCCCTCGGCCGGTTACATCACGGCCAACGGTCGCCGATCCGAGTCCGACGAGTCATACTATGTGATCCACAAGTCGAACGTTGAGGCCGCCGAGGGCAACTCTGTCTCTGCGGGAATTTACTACCTGGGTACGCTGCGCCCTCTTGTCCCTATTTCATGTACCTTCTATACCTCAGACGCTAATGACCGACTATAGGCCGCCCCTGGTCCCAATATTCCCGTGTTGTCTTCCAGAAGACCGCCCTGTCCGACGTGATCAACTCCGCCGGCTGGTCTGAGTGGTCCACCTTGACTGCCAACACCGAGAACGTCACCTACACCGAGTACGGTAACACCGGCAAGGGAGCCAAGGGTACGCGTGCTAGCTTCTCGGAGAAGTTGGACAAGGCCATCTCTATCTCGGAGATTCTGGGCGCTGATTGGCAGAGCTGGGTTGACACCAGATATGTCAACTAAGTGCAATCTTGTGAGCTGCTCTTGGAGATCAACTCGCGCGATAAAATCCCAGAAATAATCGGTCTTCTTGTTTCTCAAACATGTATTATTAGCTACATTAAATTATAATTGACCTTGACGGTTATGCACACTAGCCCCAAATTTTCTAAATGGGCAACTGAATATCTACTTGCTCGATCGGTGTTCCAATTTCTCGATTTGCTCGATAAAGGACCAAGAGTTTTTCTTTTTGGTCTGTCGCCGAAATGGAGGGTTTCTGACACCCCGGGTTGCGGTTTGATTCGGTCGATCCTTTGTTCACATCAAAAGGTTCTTGCCAGAGCCGTGTTTTATTTGTACAGGGTATATCTGGCTTCTTATGTCAAGTCAATGTTTCATACAAGGAGAGAATAAAGGGAGCTCGAGCATTGATCTATCAACTAAATTGTTCCAGAAACTCTCTTTGTACCGGCAACAAATAGAATTTATCCTTTCGGCCCATTGTCAACCTATACAAGAGCATTTGGGGCAAACAATGAGCTGGAAATCCTGCTCCCCATATAAGGCGAACATGTCCACATCGAAAACTTGAAGGTGTATATTTCATGATTTCTAAAGCGAACATATGGAGCTTTTCAGTTCTAACTATTACACAAAACTATCTTTACCATCCATAACAGACTATAAGTACCATTCAAGAACAGTCTCGATTGCCGTCCAACCCAAATCCTATCTCAACTCCCAGATATATATATTTAAATTTCCTTACACAGTTTTATAGTGTACTTTTAATTCGACCAAGCTTCCAAACAGTCAGACATCATGCGTTGTTCAATTTGTCACCATTCGTATACCTACGAAGTGCAAACAAGCTGGCTGGTATTCGAGAACCAGTATGATTGTGAGTGTCATGCCTACCCTGGGAGATATTCCAAGGCCGTACCGGGAGCTTTCCCCGAGGACGAGTTTGTCACGATCCCCCTCGACGAAAAAGTGAACAGTGAAGGACAAAAGGACCGCGCCGAGAAGATCAGACTCCAAGCATGCGACAAGATAGAACGAGCTGTGGAGGAGCGAGCCAGGGCTGTGTGGGACTCCCAGGAGCCCAAGCCTGAGGAAAAGCCCAAGCCAATACGTATCACGGTGCCGTGCATCGACACCCTGCCGTTCGATCGCTCGTCCGTCTTCGTCCGTCGTCAGACTCATTCTCTCCATCACCTAGTCAAATCTCGCCAGTCATGATTTGAGAGCCAGGGATATGTCAATCAGCTACCGTACCGTCGGGTCTCGGATTGGTCGCGCGATTCGTGTTGCTCTAATCGCCCCAAAACCGGACTTGAAAAGCTTCGTGAGAAAAGCAGTCAGCTCGGGGCTCTCCAAAGAAGCGCCTCCGTCGCGCAGGGTCGTCGCATGGTATAATCTGTTCAGGAGCACTGAGTCGGTAATGGCGAGCCGCCGGAGGTACTCGGTCGGGTCTCTGCCTGGCTCGGTGGTGCTGGAGCTTAGGCCAATGCGATTGCTTCCTTGGATGGGACCAACAGGGCGACTTCGAATAGAGTCCGGAATTTGATGTCAACCCTGACCTGGACCAAGGGATATCGACTGTTTCATTGGCCCTAGTTGTACGGTCGCTGGGCTGTCGTGATCCTCACCAGTGTCCAAGAAATTGCCGTCCACTTCATCCAATATTGTCACTCCTATAAAACGTCAGCAAATGATACAATATATCTCTAGATGACCTACTCTTAACCTCCCAATCGCGCTTGGTGTTACTCATATTGGTATCCCCATCCCCATCCCCATCCACAGCCGCATACTCGACGAGGCACCAGTTATAGGTTCCTTTGTTACTGTAAGTGGTGGCCGGGTGCTGGCGATCGGTCCAGCAGTATCCATTCCACGGTTTATTATTCGTATAACCAGGAAGTCTGTACACCTCATCCTGCGCGAAATGGTTGATGGCACAGATGACCCCTTTCGCTCCACCCACACTTCCATATGTCGAGTCCTGGTATCGGAAGCTGGTGGCAGACCACCAGTCGCTTGCTTCGACAGGGTCTTTTTGGATCCATGTGGCGTCGTAGTCGCGCTTGAAGACCCAGGATTCTTTGTTGTTGTTCTGCGGGTTTGGATTAGCTGTACTGCACTGTCATGGGTAGAAAGTGATGGACTGCGTACCCGTTGTTCGCTTTCGATTCCCTCTGGGAGCGGCTGCTTGGTTGGGTACTCTTTGAGCCGCTGGACGTACCCCTGTTTCCCCTGCGATCCCGGTGTAGTCCAGGCTAGAACCCCGTTGTGTTCAGTAAGACGTCCAAGAATGTGTTTAGAAGTGGTCTTACGGCTGTTGGTACTCCATGGAACCCAGTAATCCCCACGTTGATCGTCGGCTTTTCGTTCTGGCTCCAGCTTGGCCCAGTTCGACTGGAATTCTCTCATTAATTCTGAAGCGGTCAGAGTACGGCCAAAACGAATTTTGACGAGACGCACTTACTAATGCATTGGCCGTACATATTGTTTTGATATCTAGGGACGCAGGTTGATGTCCGGCTGTCGGACGGCAGATACTCTCCTCCCTGCTCCGACGAGGCAAGGGAATTCGTCGCAGTCCAGCTCCAACTTCTTATGGTTACCTGTTCTCCCGACTGCATTGTTCAGGTTCTTCGTTGCTTGTTCGCAGAATCCACCGGGGCACTGGATTTTGCGACGCTTTTTTGGTAGGGAGTTGTTGCGAGTCCCAGGAGACCATGTAAATCTCGTCTGCCGTTTGTTCTCTGGCAGACCGAGAATCGGTGTGCAAAGGCCTGTAATGTGTTAACTAATGCTTAGATCATTGATATTGAGTTCTGCAATGTCATTCAAATACGCTCAATTGACTGGTGTCTCAGGTCAGTTATGTCTGTTTATCCATGTACCAGGCCCGATGCCCCGGGGCAGTAAAGAAGCTGACTTACATCGAAGCTCAGGAACTCTGATATCTCCAGAGCTCGAAGGCGGACATGAAAGGGGGTCCTTGACCTTGGGATCCAGGGGACCTTGTGTGTCATCAGCCCGGCGGACGAGCGTGTTAGACAGTGACAACGAATTGCTGCGACTGGAGATGGCATTGGTAGCGTTTTGTTCATCTGACAAGCTCCGTTTCTCGTCTTCTGCAGACATGGAGATCGACCCGGTCTTCTCGTAGATCTTGATAGTTTTATCTGGATTGTAGGCTTCTCGAGGACTCAGTGCCCAGTCAATGAAGTTCAGAAGCTGGGCAGTTGCCTTGTATCCGATATTGTAGATGAAGTATACACCTAACCTATAATTGAAAGCGTTGCTGTCTGTTTCATAGTCGCCCTGTGCCTGGAAGGACAGTATGCCTTTCAGATAACCCGTTAATTGAGCGTTCATGAGGGTTGATCCCCCCGTTAGCTTGCTGCCGCCAATCTTGATACCGACGTTTGCTTCTGGAGTAACTATGACGTTGAGCTGGGCATCCACTTCAACGCCTGCATGGAACACAGGCCCGACGTTAAATGGCGCTGGAGTCTGGGTGTCACTCTCGATACCAACGAGAGTTTCGTACTTGTTTTTAGAGTCTTCGTCCTGAGGCCAAAACACCTCTGCTTTTCCAAAGGAAACCTGGGCCCCGGCGTTTAGCTCCCCGTGCAGAGTGATTAACCTATCAATCTTTCCAAAGCCATCAGTAATCTACCTTCAGACTGGAATATAAACTTACCTGGCCATAGACGTCAAGCGTGGGTCCCACTGCTGCAATGCCCTTGACAGCAAGCCCGGGGTATGAGAGTGTGTCAATGATCTTCTTTCGGCCAGTGCTATGCTGCATCCTAGCGTTTCCTTCTGTCAGCGAATATGGGGCAATTTTACCGCTAGGATTCAACACCTTGCCGCTTCCGTCTAGATCAACTCTGACGGCATTTCATGGCTTCAAGATAAGCCGATTTCAAAGAAGCCACGTAGTCATATTGCATGTTAAATAGCTTCGTTTCGATCCTCTAAGTCAAGAGGATCAGACCTTCATTGAGCCTCGATTCTGCATACAAATTACTAGGCAATACGAAACCTTATTGTTCCAATACCTTCAATGTGAAGACCTAGATATGCCGTTGGCGACATGCCAAAGTAAGCAAACGCCTCTGGCTTGCCCGGGGGGATAAAGGTTGCTGAGATATAGGGCCAGGACAGTATTAGATAGCACAGTATTAGATAGCAGCAGTACGTTACTCCAGCATAATAGCCTTTGATTTATACTAACTAATGTCCCCTAAGATCCGTTAGTGATTTACTGTACAATCTTATTATGTATCATGCTGATACCCGCACCTTTTTACACTATTATCTCAGCAGGAAGATCAATAAAAATCTCCCTGCTATCATTCGCGGTTTTAACCCTGAAAAGATATTATACGTGCCGTGTGCCGGATGAGCCGGTCCGTCGATCCGAATCGCTCTTAGAAATTAACTATCGCACAATCGTCCTCTGTCAATCAAGATCCGGAAATCGCTGATCTGATTTGCCGGCGCAACGAGCTTAGTCGCCAAATGGGGCACCTATTGTCGAATTACTATAGAACAGAGCAATACGCAATATACAAGAAGCTGAACCAAGAGATCGCGGGTATTAGGTAGCGAGTACGGAACGCATTACTCACTTAGATTCAAGTAAAATATGACTGCGAGTAACTGATGTTTAAAATTAGATGTTAGCTGTCTAGATTTAACCTGTCTGAGGAAAAAAAATCTCTCAAGTGTTCGGAAACGGTACTACTGTTCTAAAAGTAACTGATTGAGAGTCTTCTTATCCTACCTCGCCCGACATTTGAGAAAGAAGTAACTAGACGGACAGAAGCAATTGATACTGTAGTTGCTTACGCTTTTTTTGAAGAAAGTAATATATACTATTTTCCGCGCGATAAGCGTTCTCTTACAGAACCTGCTGCTACCGGACCAGATTACAGTATCAACGGAAAGAAGCAATTGACCCAGCCTTCTTCCCCGATGAATAACAGACTGGTATCTACGATTCAATTGGTAATGAAGGACAAGCCCTCCGAGAAAAGTATCAAGAGGTCTTTCTTCTGTTTTATCTGCTTTGGTCAGCAGGATTTAGATATTGAAAAGCGAACGTACAAATTCTCCAGCTATGGAGATATTACTAAACATATCAAGCGAAAGTATCTTCGCCGTATCTCCACGCAGTCCGAAATAAGGTGTAATGTCTGCGACGAGTTTTTCTCATGAAAAATGCACCTCCAACGGCACGCATTTGATATGCATTCGACCGTGACATAACTTCGGCCTCTGCAACGACTACCTAGATTATAGTGAGTCAGTGGTCATGAAATTGTTACGACACTTGGATGTTCTTCCAAAAGGGTGCATAGCAGCCAGCTTGAATGGGGATTCGTGACCAAGGGATTCTCTGATTCTAACAGTGAACCGTATCTGAACTTATTGTTTCGTTTCTCCATAGATATATAGGTTTCTTCCCTCAAAACACGTGCAGGAGTTTCGCTTCGGGGATCGATTCTTCTATCATCATCAAGTAGCTAGTCAGGCTCTAACCTCTTATCAGGTAATAGCCTCAGAGTTTTTCCTGCTTGGTACATTTGTACCAGCTGACAGCCATTCAGCTAGACTGTATAAAAGTAGCTTTCATTGGCTGTGGGAACGTCTGCGGAATGAGGGTCCCGTACCGCAGCGTACCGAAGCCATTCATTTCGGCATTATGGCGAATAACAACAGAGAAAGGCAATGATCACCAATCTCCTTGCTTACAGCACGTGTGGTATTGCAATATCCGTAACAAGACCAGGCCACATACTAATATCCCCCCAGCTCAGATAGTCCTACATCTGCTGGTCGTTGGCGTCGTTGACAAAGGGGTAGATGAGGGCATCCAAGTGGGCGGTGTCACTGGGGCCGGTCATCGCGCTGGTCATCTCGGGCTGCGGCACCATCCCCGACGCAGTCCCATCCCGGCGCGCCGAATCCATCGCCGTAGCCAGGACAGGCAGAGCGGAGCCATGCACCGCGAGGTTGTCACAGTGCTTGCTTGCCTCGAAGATGCGCGACACGGCGTCCAGGGAGGTCTTGGCGGTATGGTCGAAGAACTGCATGCGCGCCAGGGTGACCATGGCGGTCTCGACCTGGGCCTGGCACGAGCGGATGGAGGCGCGCGGATCGTTGGCCGTCGGGTCGTTGATGAAGAAACCCAGCATGGGGATCATCAAGACCTACAACAGTATTATTGTCTATAATGGATAACCAAGTCGAACGAATATGATTCAATATCAAGCCTTTGCATTCGCATAGAAGTACAGGGAAACCTAACTGAATGGGGAAAACCTATACTAAGGCAGGAAGAATAACCTTGGTAAAGTTCTAAAGTTTTGAAACGAGCCCAGTGTCCGGTAGTGCAATACACCTGTATAAGCCGATTAGCATGGAATACAATGCAGTAAATGCAGTGAACAACCCTGGCGTAGTTCTTCTCAAACCCGCAGTCTCGCGCGCACATAGTTGTCTTATTATAGATACGTGGTCAGCCCTGTATTCTGGTAGTCACATCTCAACGTGAGGTTGAGCACTTACAAGCTATCCACATCCCATCTCAGTCAGCCCTGTGCGCTTGTAGCCACCTTAAGCCACTGGTTTAGTGATCATGCATTTCTGGTGTATATCAAATACGACTTTTGGTTGAAAGCTATCACAGGTTTGTATTCACCTTGGACACATTGTCGGAGTCCGACAGTCGGACTACGACTGGTAATCGTTACCACGAAATACTATAACTAGTACAGCAGGAGCTTGAAGAGCAAGCCGGGCTTAGACATACAGCTCGTCGCGCAAATGTTGAATTTAAATTTAATTGGACCATTTATGTTCCATCTGGACTTGATGTCAACCAATGAAATATCTGGTGAGCCTGGGCTAGCGTACGAACGTTTGTACCTTTAACAGAGTGCCTTGGTTCGATTGGCATGAAGGCCAAACCTGTCACGACTCGGCCGTGCCCTAGTTAGCCGTGCGGGTAAGCAGGGCGCTGACTCAATACTGAGTCATCATAGAAGGCACGCCCACTAACTAACGTATTTCCCCACCGAGTCGGCCACACCACCGAGTCGGCCCCCGCCTACCAACTTCTAATTACTAGGGCCTTTA